CTTGGTAACCTCCCCTTGCCAAGAACAGAACATACAACGACCCGTCACAAGCTCACATCCGGATTTTAAGATTCCTCGGAAGTCCAACGCTTCAGCAACCAGATAGATAGGGACATAAATTAATGAGGAAAGTCAACTGAATGGAATATCCTGACCATATATACTCTGTAACTTAAAGAAATACTGTAGTAGGTTGTGATGTAGCGGTCCGAGGTATAGCTGAACTTGCGCGAATATCTGGATTTTATTTCGATATATTAGCCCTACTACAAAACCGTTAGCTGTCATCCAAGAGTTTGTTAAGGGCCTCGCAGTTGTAGCTTATTCACGCTATTTTTGAACTCTTACCCTGAAACAAATATGCCTATGCACTGGATTTCCTGAAAAACTTTCGATGATTTCGTGGTTAGATTAGTTAACCCTCTGTCTGTTAAGCGTTTTTTGTGATACACAAAGGTAAACCAATGAGTTATCCAATACGCTACCCATTAATTCCATGTGAATACCACTTTATCAATTTTACCTCCCTTCAGGTAGGATACCTCATCAAATTTTCATGAAAACACAGTAAAAACAAAGACAAAATATTGAGCAACGATGATGGTGAAATATAATTATATTTACTAGCAATAACTTTCGTCGTAAAGTTTAAAATTATAGGGCGTATCCAAATATCGACAAACCATTCGCTAAATCTTTTAGATATAATCAATTATGGCTGCAACAGTTCGTGATGTCATTTAAGCGAATACGTCTTGTTTTTAACACATGTACTATTTTTGAATACGTAGGTTGAAAATGGAACAACCTCTAATCCTGATTCACTAATATCTTAATCCCTTACGTCTAGGATCTTGTCGAGCTAAATTTTGCGCTTAGAGAAATATCGCCACTCAAGAACCTTAAAATTTGAGAAAGGCAACATCTTTCAAATCCAAATCAAAGTCAGGTTATAATCGCTGTTAAAATGATATCAACGCAAGACGGTCCCCACAAAATTTATATCAAAATCGGCTTTACTTTATTGAACTCTAGGGCAGCTAGCGAGCCCAGTGAAGCCAGCTTCTCAATATTTGTTTACTTGTTTGTTTTTTTGTACAACTCAGTTTTCGCGCGCTCTCAGTGATCTAACTATTAAAGTAGATCGAGAAATGATTTTCATTTTCCGCTGGCGTTTCCCCAAATAGCAGGGACCACGTATGGCTTACCCCGATAACAACAATAATTCCTGTTGAGCGCCCAATTAATGTAAAACCATTCTAACTGCCCACAGCTTAAGTCATGTTAAAATTTAGGTGAATGTGGTTTCGAACTTTGGCCGCTCTTCAAATTACTGAACAAAAACACTATGCCTAAATGACTGATGCAGAAAAACCGCAGACTATGATTTTCACAATTCAGTTAGCCAAGTTTTATCAAATTTTCAGTCGCTTTGGACATTAACTTACAGACGTTTGTGTTCAGTTTTGAAAATACTAAAATACCACAACAGGAGGTATATTGATCAAAGATTCTTCAGACTAAGATGGACAAGGCTCAAACAAAGTTAAACATCTTTCATTTTACATTGCGTGCAAATGGAATCTTTCTTCAAATCCAAATAAATAAAGATGCGTCGTATGTTTTCCATGAATAAGACAAATCCATTCCGTTTTGTCGGTGGAAGTCTTAAAAATAATGTTATTAGAGGTGTTATTTTCTTTCAAAAATTAAGTAAATGTATTTAAAAAGCTTTTCCCCCACGCTCAGGAAAATACAGATTGTTTTATTCTGAAAATGAGTACACAATTTCATGAAATACTCACGATTATAATGTAAAGTATCTTTTAATTCTTTCCCGCAAAATACTGCATCTCGCATATAATAAAAAAATTTGATTAACCGATGAAAGAGCCATTTGTTTATTAGAACGACGGCGTTCATTCTTTCAAAGCCATCTGGTTTTTGAAATTTCGTTTCCTTCTTAAAAGGTTAAGCAGAATGTTTTACAATTAAACTGTTTTCAACCAACTTACAGGAATTGAATTTAGTTTCATGGTATTATGTATGAAAGACGAAATAAAAGCAAGTCGAAATTTGTTCAAGTAACTTTTCAATTCTTGAAGTTACTGTTGTCCTTTAAGAGTCGTGCTTAAATTGCGAATGCTTTTTTCGATTTTATTATGTCATCATTTTATCTTTACTTAATGCAAATTCTAAAGAAGTCGCTTTCGAAATTTCAAACGTCAGATCATGAAGTTTTACTAAAAAGCCCCATCATGCAGATGCTGGCCTGTTGGTCTCACAGAGGTAGTCTATATGCAGCCCATTCTTCTAAACCTTTCATTGCGAAGATGTCAAAACAGCCATTTGTTTCAATAATGTATTGTCCCTACCTTAACACAATGCACATAGGTTTCTCCTTACTGCGAGTTTAGGGGCTTGAATTTCTAAGGCAGGTATAGTTTTATCCGATCCTCTTGAACAGATGCACCAAATAAAAAACTCGAATAACAGCAAAGCAATATTCATAAGTGAGTGTCTATTTGCAAAAATATGGCGTATTATACTCCTTGGGTATCAAGTTTTTGAGCCAATCAAATTGCTCGATTTCGATAGTTTTTTTTTCTGGGATTACAGACATTGAGGCAATAACAGTAAATTGGCTTTCCTTGATATTTTTACGGCGAACTTTAAAAAAAACGTGAATTTTAAGGTATTTGTTTTATACTCAGAATTCAAGATTGCAAGAATAGTTTCCCCTTACATTCCATCTTATGTCTCTTTATGGTCAATCAATAGTTTTTTAATCTAGAAGAACAAGGCATTAATTCGACGAAACCAATGCTGAGATAAATTTAGACTGACTGTCTGTGAGATCGTACCTTTTTATCTCTAAATTTTTTTTATAACACCCACTACTTAAATATAACTCACTAATAATAAATTTCACTCCAAGAGAACATTTTAAAGTTCTCTTGTAGTGATATATTATCAACAATTTAAAAATTGTCCTTAACTAAACAAGCAAGCCGTCAACAGCCGAGCGAGTCTTAATGACACTCGATCAGCAGTCTCATATAACGCAGTAAGCGAGAAAGTTAAGATAGAAATCTTCCACCTTACAAATGATCATTCAGGCTTATGAACTTGGTACGACTCGCGCTGCTTCTCTGCTATCGTGCTCGTTTACGAACAAGACGCCTGGAACAACTTAATCTTGAATTTATGTCCAACGAAATTTTACTAAGAGGCAGAGAACGGTTTCTCGCGAGAAGCATGAACTTTCCATCATGTGCAGTGTGCTCTGAGCTCAGAGGGTATCGTTAGGTGCAATCTAGGTGTTGTCTCACCGGAAATCTTTTAATCGTTTCTCTCCTCCTGAACCTAGCATGCTCTCGCATGGTCATGTATTACGCATGCTCTGTTGGGTGGTCAGCTGGCCACCTTCAAAATAAGTTGATTTCCAGTAGACGACTTAATTGTAGTGATAACATAACAGAATACGTGACTGACCCAATTACCTTTTCTCTAATTATCCATTGCGTAACCAGCATAATGAATACAAACCACAAAAGCAGTTTGTAAATAGATATTTCACAATAAACTATATCATTGACATAAACACGCTCGTCAGATAGATCTTTATCAAAGATTACTGTAATCAGTTAAAAGCTCAACCATCATCGTGGACAAATCGTTTCCACTGCTAAATAAATTGTTAAAACCAAAGATAACTTGCAAAAGAATTGGTCTCTTGTTGGGTTAGATAAGCAAAGACTATGCAATAATACGGATCCAGACGATGTCTATAGGCTGACGTTTCGAGCCTTACCCCTTCGTCATCTGAATTGTATGACGAAGGGCTACCACTCGTCTCCATCAGCTTTAGCCGAAAAACTTTGCGGTGGCCAATTTACATTATCATCTCAGTTGATGAAACCAAATTACCCTGTTATACTCTCCCAACTACGTAGCACCACAGTTTCTTTAGAAATTTACTTCCTTCATTCACGGAGACGGAGTCTTGAACTAGCATTATGGCCTGTCTTTAACTGTCTCATGTTTTTTTTCTTCTGCCATTCTTAGATGCGCAAAACAAGACATTTTTATTTGTGTAAGGCAGTCAAAACGGTCGGCTCAATAACAGATTTGAGTTTAAGATTTATGTTTTAGCCAAGTTGTAGTGGATAGAGAAAATACAGAAATAACTATTAGCTAAAGAAGGTTATAAGGGAGTAAAAACGGTTGTGTTTCATGCACAGGATTTACATATAAAGGAAATGGCATTGTGTATTTCTCCCACATAACAGGAATCATGTCAGAGAAATGTTTAGGGATGATATCACAAAATAAGGCGTGGAAGGTAGAGAAGACAGTGGCTAGAATACTTAAGATGGCTAAAATACCTGGTTGGAGAAGGTAAAACCTACAATAAAATAAAAACTTGACTAGTTTCTATCTCTTTTCCAATTAAAAAAAAAAAAAATCAATTAAATTACATTCAAAAATACACTTGGACAAAGATAACTTGGTCACATGTGATGCAAAAACATGACTGACTTGAATAGTCACAGTATTTCGTGCCGAAAAAAAAAAACACACACAAGCAAAAGCAGCAGAAATTTGTGCAAAGAATTGGATGGCGATGGACACGATGCTGTTTCAACAAAGCAAAGGGAACAGACATAGGTATATTATATTTACTCGTCACGTGCCGAAAACAAAACACACACAAGCAGTCTATTTTGCAGAATTGGTTGACCTGTTTTGAAGAACGTATTTTTAAATACGTTCTTCAAGGTCAACCTTGAAGAACGTATTTTTAAAATGTAAAAATGTTTATCTTCCCCGGATTCTTGCACATCCATTCCAATTTTTAATTTCCATTTATTTTTAAAAAGTATCTCGATTTTACCGATGCCTTATTCCGAAAATATTTAAACAATTGCCTATTTCTTCACGCCCTGCTTATGTTGCTTTCAAAAAAACAACATTAGCATAAATTTGTATGTTGCAAACACAGGGTCACGCAAAACTCCACTCGAGTTTAGTTTGGGGTCAGTTGCGCAAACCTTGTCGGTAGGACTAGAGTTCTCCCTCGACATTTTCATCGCATTTCAGTTTTCCTTTGGTAAGTAGTTGAAAAAAAAAATTCATTGATTTCCCGTTCTCAAATTGGGTGAAACACGGTTGAAATTATTTAGTAGGTCGGACATTTTGGAGATTTTGATGGTATTGTGAGACCTGTTTGAACCACGTCTTCGCTGTTGCCAAATGCCCGTGTACTTTCTCTAATTTAATCGATAAATTGATAAATGCTGGGCATTTAGAAACTGCCCCAGGTTCGGCTATTTCGTTAACTTTACAACCTACATTATTTTGCGAATCGCTTGAAATTTCCAAAACGAGAATCTGATACTTTCAAGAAGTACGAAACAACGTTTCAATAGGAAATTTGAGAAAATCTCCGATTGCCGGGAACTTTATTCGTCCGTTATAGGACCGTGTGCGGTTGTAGGATATTTAGCCACAGCAATACTAGCTGTTATCGTCGAAAAGTCGTTCAACCGAAAATGCTAAATATTTGCATTTATTCCGATAAGGACTTATTTTTCTAGTTTTCCTTTGATTTGTAATGGAAGTTTTAATATCTAATGAAACGCAAACCGACAAGGCCGCACATGATTATGTTCTGCACGGTTTTGCCGACGTATATGTCCTTTTCGATGACATTCGAACGACGTATCGCCGGTTCGTGTCTCCGATTTTCACGCCTGAACACACATGCTTGACAACACTGGTGTAAGAAAGGGTTTTGGCACAAATATTTACTTTCTCTAATTACCAAAGAGTTTAGAAACCGAATAGATGTGACGCACCAAAAGCAGGAATCTTGCTTAAAAGCACGTACAGGTGAATTTTATCTTTGCTATGAATTCTCTGAATACTCGAGCAACGAACGTAAGACACTTCAGTGATATGTAATAATTTCTTTGGTCACTCTTTAAAATTTTCAAAGTCAGCAGCGACCAGATTCGCTCTGACGAAGGGCTAATAAAAAGCTCGTAACGTCAGCTTTTAAACTCTTTACGGTGGCCAATTTACGTTATCAACTCAGTTGATAATACTAAATCACCGTTTTATGACTTTTAAATTCTCCCACCGACGCAGCACCACAGTTTGTTTAGAAATTTGCCCCCTTTATTCACTTAGCAACCAGAATGGTTCGTCGCGATGTACCGGGAGCATTTTTGCTTCCTCTGGTGTGCATCATAGCCATCTTTCACATTGATCAGGTGAAGACAGAAGTTCGTTTGCCCTGTGGCATGGTTAAAGACTGGTTTCCTAGTGGTACAAAGCCTCAGAATTCACAGCCCCCTTATTTGCTAAATATGACGGATTCGGATGGGAGGTCGGTTTACGATGACCTTTACATGGGTGAACCTCATTATGGACCAGGGCAGAGGACATACACAAGTGAGTTAACTTATTTTTTATTTCTTTGCATGTCTCTAGGATCAGCTTAATATCGTTTGAATAACTTCCTCTTAAACATGATAAAATTGCCAATTTTAAACCTTATCAGAAGCTTAATATAACTAAATTTTCAATGAGCAAATCCAACACTAATGTTTTTTTTAGTGGCATTTGTTGATATTATCACTTTGTCTTGACCCATCAAGGGTATGGTTAGATGTACACTAATCCCCAACCCCCTCACTTGCACTCTTGCCTTTGGAGGGAAATTACACAGCCCTCCTAGATGGTGAAAGGGGGGGGGCGTATCTTTTTGCGCTAATCACCAATAAATTTTGAACTCGCTCTAAAATGGAACTAGGTGATTAAAAATGAAATTAACAAAACTAAGAATAGGGGCGTAGTTAGGGAGAGGTCCTGAGAGCCGGTGAAAACGCCCCCCCCTTTCCAAGTGAGGAGATTTTTTGTAAATTCAACAACACACAAACCATGCAATTCAGGTGGCAAAAAGGCGCAAATTCGAAGAATTTACACTTTATGAAAATATCACTTTCGGTTTATCAAAACACAGCGTGGATGTAGACACGACATTAGGGAAGGAAGCCTGGGTGTAACATAGTGTGACCCCCTGCTTCCTCACCCCCACGAAAGAATTCTAGCGACGTCCTAGTGATCGTAAATGATTGCAAGATATTTGCTGATGTAAATTTTTTTTTTTGTTTCTCTCTAGTAACGCTGAATGGAACTCGCTCTGGTAATATGACACAGAATTTCACGGGCTTCATGCTTTATGCCTACAATGAGTTCGATGACGAGGACAGTGGGGACTTTTTGTCCCCGCTACCTGCTGGAGTGTCCAAGAGGGAGTGTCTCTTCAATGACACGGGACAATTTGTGAGTAAGGCTCACTCAAACAGCGAGGACCGTTGGCAAAGTCTTGAGAAATTCTAGAGTATAAGAGCATGTATTTTGTAGGTATAAGCAAAGTTCATGATTTGATTTGGAAACAGAGAGCGAGATTTTGGCTCCCCTTTTCAGTGTCTTGGATCATTTGTATTTTTCTTTTTTTCATTCGTGACCTAGCGCTGTTCGATCGATTGAATGCTAATATGTTTGAGGGCACAGAGCGATGATGCCCTCCCGTCATTTTACAGTGGCCTCTTTCTAAATTTTCTGGAATAGGCTTCTGGATCTGAAAATTTATTGTAATAACCAGATTTGATCGGGAAACTTGAAACAGTTATCACGTTAAAACATTTCCTTCCTTTGAAAAATCGTCAAGAACCCTAAAATAGGTTAAATTAAAAATTTTCGACGTTTACTATTTTTTCCTCCTAACTCACGACCCGCTTCATTTATTAGCTTTTAGCTTTTTGCTTTTTACAATTTTTAGATCGAGGTGCTTGAAAACTCAACAAACAGCATGTACTGGCATAGCATTCAGATCAAATGGAGGTCGCCCAAGAAAAGCATATCTGGAAAAATCACCATAAGGTATATTCAAGATATTTGCCTTTTCTCCGAGATGCAATTATTTGAACCTAACCATATCATCAAACTTTGGGGCTCCTGATCAAAATAAAAAACCTCGCTGCAATTCAACTTTTTCGTGGCCGGAGTATTTCAGGAAAACACAACAGTACCCGTGGCGGACTTCGTGTGCCGGAAAACGGTTGTGCCCTTGATTATGTTGTTGTGTTACTCACGGTAGAGGTGTAGCTACCCATAACCAAACAGACCACATCAAAAAAACACTTGGTCTGCCTTCACAGCAAACTCTTATGATTGTAAAGAGAAGGAGAGGAAGGTTGTGCGTACCCTTAAAAAAAGAGACCTTTGCGCGCCCCAATCTTGCACGCAACATTTTCATCACTTTGTCTCCCTCGCATAAGAGATATCAGTGGGTGAAGGAAATATTACGATAAAAATTCTATGTAGTTCTAAGGTACAGTTGCGTAGTTATATTCCTAATAAAATTATTTCAGTATTTATTGTTATGTTCTTTTCATCGTCACCAGCGCCAGCGTGGTTAAGGAGGATGGCATTTTTTGGGATGGAATCAGTGTGACCCTTAACCGTAAGTGTCACACCTAACACAAGCTAAAGGCCTCTACTGGTTCCTTTCAGATTCTCACTGTCCTAGCATTCGTGTAATTTTATTTCCTTCTTATATTTTCAGATGCTTGCCCAATGCCAGGCTGTTATCTTCCAGACGGTTGCCCCAACGGTCTCGCTAGAAACAAATATGGATGTACTATTTGCGAATGTGCAGGTTAGTATGGACTGCAAGAATCACCCAGGCCGCTGAACCAGTACAATCCAAGTCTATAATTTAATGATCTCTTGCGCATTTCGAACGCATTAACAAAATTAAGCTGAGACTTAAAAATGCAACGCGTGATTTGCAATTAACAATCGAAATAACACAAGCGTTTGATACTATTATACCAGTAGTCTGTCGTGAAGGAGGGGAACTTTGTTCGAGAGAGAGACAGGGGAATGCTAACAATCAACCTCTTTCGACGACACATTCTTAGCCTACGTGTAGCCGTACCCTCCCCCCCTACACGTAGGTTAACACATTCTTGCTGTCTTTCATTCGTAGGAGCTTCAAGTGTCACTGTTGGATTCCTCAGCCTTGCGGTTATCATGTTCAGCGCCCTCAAAAATTGGATTTAAAAAACACGTTTTGAGCCGTTTTTCTTTTTGTAATGTATTGTTTGTTCGCTTTTGGCTTTTTTTACTTGTACTAGATCAATTATAAATTTGTCGCATATATAGTGTGAGTGCAGTAAACCGTGGAATCGTTTCACGCAAAAAAATACCAGGAAATTTGTCTGGACCAATCACAGTGTAATGAAACAAAGCCACTGAAATCCTGGATGACGTCGATATTTATTTGGAAATTCAGTAACACAATAAGAGCGTTTATATTGGTATACGATCTATTCTATGTGCTAACTGGTAGTTACATTTGTTTCCCCTTAAAGGAACTATCCTTTATACGATATACAAAAGAAAACAGCCTGAGCGGCAGAATAAGCTCGATCCAGTTGTTTTCCATCGTTCCTTTCTTATTAACTCCGAGCCTTAAATTCAATATCTTGCATCTTCTGTATTTTGTTCCATTTAGTTTCTCCATTTTCGGGTGGTAAAGCTTTTTATTTAATTTCAGTTTCGTCATTTCTAGTTCAGATATTTAGTGTCTAATAGTCAAACTCTAATTCATTACCTCCGGTAACTGAAGGGCTAAAAAATCTCTACTTATCAACACAAACTATGTAAAAATCTACGGTTAATTCAAAGAAGCGCACAACACAGCATTTATTCCCAAGCCCGACATTTTCCTCAGAGTCACTTCAGAGTAACACAACTTTTTGTCTAATGGTCTGAAAACATCAACAGTGCCAGGAAAGCCAACATCAGAGAGAAAATTGAGAATTTCACGGTCACTTCCGCGCATACAGAAAAAAGGAAATTCAGGTCCCTATTAATGCTCATAAAACAAACATGGGTCCCCGACCATTCCGTAAACCGTCTGTTAAAAATTAGAAATCATCAATATTTCCTCATCAAAGAGGGAGATCATCAGCATACTTAGACCCCATCCCACCACTAGCATTTGACCAAGCTCCTTTAATTAGAGGGAGATAGCACCTTAGTCAGCATTAAACCCCCCCTAAGGAGCTAAGCCTCATTGACAAAAGAGACTCCTGCTTCATGGTTGTCCAATTTTGTAATCACTAGTATGAGTATACAAACTAAATTGGACTCAACCCACTCCATCCTATTACTATTACTTATTAAAAATTTCTGAGAAATATTCTCCTGTATTAATATCTTTCGGTGTAATTCAACTAAAACCTGAGCTTCCAATAATTGGAATCTTCAAATGGTTAATTTCTCTAATATACTAATTTTGCCTCAACTTTCTATCACTAATCAATATGATCAAAGTCTTTGATACTGACCACATACACCAATCTGCTGCACCATAATTGGGGATTCTTTTTCACAAGAATGACGCTGCATTTTACACTTGTTGCTGTATGTTTTACCATCCGCTCCACATACTGGAGCATATGTCTCAGCACAGGCCACGTTACAAGAACCTGCAATAAGGCATCAAGCATTCTTATCAAGGCTACATGCAACTACAAAGTGCTTCTATTGGGCTCCCAGAGGCATCCCAACTTGGGATTCAGTTTGATTCAAAGTTCAATCTTTACCCTACACATTAATCAACTCCACTGTTAAGTATAATTTTATGATCTGCCTGAACAATATCTGTGAACCAACCAGAAAATCATACAACAAAAACATGATCAAAAGCTATTTATCCCATAAAAAAAATTAGAATATCATTCCAAACCCATTCACTTATTTTGTCTTAACACATCATGCCATATGTATTCAGCATGTACATTGTTCATATTTATTTTTTTCTCAGTTCGTGAGCAGGCGGTATTCTACAAATCCTGCAATCTGATTGGTTCCGAGAGTGGGCAGTATTCTCCCCATCCGGCCCGCTCACAGGTATTCAGGTTCTTTTCACAACCATTTGTTAGATTTTAGAAAAAAATAAAATGTTATTCGCCATTAAAGGTCGGTCCGTAGTGGGAAAAACTGTGCTCTCTGTCTTGTGTACCACCCTCGGCCGACCCCGTTAACAACAACACTCGTTATCTCATAACAGAGTAAAAAGAACCGTCATCTTTCTCTTTCAGCCCGCAAGATATGCCTTTGACACTAATTCCTGAACAGAAAAAAAACTCATGTGCTTGCGTGGTAATTTGAAACTTGACGGTTTCTAATTGAAAAAACAAAACTTACTCGGAGCTTGTCGGTGTAAAAGCGGTTTTAGAGTTAAATTTGGCCCGTACTTGGGCGTAAATTTAAACGAGTCGGCGACAGTTGTATGCCGTTAAACAAAAAAGCTTTGCGAACAAAGATAATGTCTTCATTTACATGAGACAGCTTGGCGAGGACTACTGCTAAGAGACAGGGAAATTCCTGTTTCTTTGGATAATTTCCCCCTTTTTTTGTTTTTTGTTTTCGTTATACGAAAAGGGTAGTCGTGTGACAAAAACAAAAAAAACTTGGTTTGATCATTTAAACAAAGTTTAGCCGTTGTTTAACAAGACCGCGTCCTAAACAATCCTCAATTTAGCTGAACCTTTTATCTAAACGTTTAGTTTTGTTAGCAGCGTGAGGAGGGCCGAAAACTAAAGTTTGAAGAACATTTATTACATTTAATCAAAGCTCTTATAGGGAAAGGCGGTGGTTTGGGTTAGACTTCGTGTTAATAACTGACCCTTGATAAACGTTTCGCATATTTATTGGAGCAACTCAAACAGAAATAATGAAGAAGTGGTTTTAGGTCGCCCACTTGTCTGCTGTTTCTTGTACGCGAGGCTTAACTAAGTCAGATATCATCTAGAAGAACGTTCCTTTATGTCTAGGTGTCCATCAGTGAAAATTCTAAACTACCCAAACCTAATAAAAGAGCAAGCTAATTGTATAGGTTAAATCTTAAAACCGGGAGCCCCATGCAGATCTACCGGTGCTTATCACTAGTTTCAATGAAAGATAAAACGCTTGTCCATCCTAGGTAACCTCCCCTTGCCAAGAACAGAACATACAACGACCCGTCACAAGCTCACATCCGGATTTTAAGATTCCTCGGAAGTCCAACGCTTCAGCAACCAGATAGATAGGGACATAAATTAATGAGGAAAGTCAACTGAATGGAATATCCTGACCATATATACTCTGTAACTTAAAGAAATACTGTAGTAGGTTGTGATGTAGCGGTCGGAGGTATAGCTGAACTTGCGCGAATATCTGGATTTTATCTCGATACAGTAGCCCTACTACAAAACCGTTAGCTGTCATCCAAGAGTTTGTTAAGGGCCTCGCAGTTGTAGCTTATTCACGCTATTTTTGGACTCTTACCCTGAAACAAATATGCCTATGCACTGGATTTCCTGAAAAACTTTCGATGATTTCGTGGTTAGATTAGTTAACCCTCTGTCTGTTAAGCGTTTTTTGCGATACTCAAAGGTAAACCAATGAGTTATCCAATACGCTACCCATTTATTCCATGTGAATACCACTTTATCAATTTTACCTCCCTTCAGGTAGGATACCTCATCGAATTTTCATGAAAACACAGTAAAAACAAAGACAAAATATTGAGCAACGATGATGGTGAAATATAATTATATTTACTAGCAATAACTTTCGTCGTAAAGTTTCAAATTATAGGGCGTATCCAAATATCGACAAACCATTCGCTAAATCTTTTAGATATAATCAATTATGGCTGGAACAGTTCGTGATGTCATTTAGGCGAATACGTCTTGTTTTTAATACATGCACTATGTATGAATACGTAGGTTGAAAATGGAAGAGAAATATCGCCACTCAAGAACCTTAAAATTGAGAAAGGCAACATCTTTCAAATCAAAATCAAAATCAGGTTATAATCGCTGTTAAAATGATATCAACGCAAGACGGTCCCCACAAAATTTATATCAAAATCGGCTTTACTTTATTGAACTCGAGGGCAGCTAACGACCCCAGTGAAGCCAGCTTCTCAATATTTGTTTACTTGTTTGTCTTTTTGTACAACTAAGTTTTCGCGCGCTCTCAGTGATCTAACTATTAAAGTAGATCGAGAAATGATTTTCATTTTCCGCTGGCGTTTCCCCAAATAGCAGGGACCACGTATGGCTTACCCCGATAACAACAATAATTCCTGTTGAGCGCCCAATTAATGTAAAACCATTCTAACTGCCCACAGCTTAAGTCATGTTAAATTTTAGGTGAATGTGGTTTCGAACTTTGGGCACTCTTCAAATTACTGAACAAAAACACTATGCCTAAATGACTGATGCAGAAAAACCGCAGACTATGATTTTCACAATTCAGTTAGCCAAGTTTTATCAAATTTTCAGTCGCTTTGGACATTAACTTACAGACGTTTGTGTTCAGTTTTGAAAATACTAAAATACCACAACAGAAGGTATATTGATCAAAGATTCTTTAAACTAAGATGGACAAGGCTCAAACAAAGTTAAACATCTTTCATTTTACATTGCGTGCAAATGGAATCTTTCCTCAAATCCAAATAAATAAAGATGCGTCGTATGTTTTCCATGAATACGACAAATCCATTCCGTTTTGTCGGTGGAAGTCTTAAAAATAAAAAAATTTGATTAACCGATGAAAGAGCCAGAGTAAGACAGTAAGCGGCTTGTTTTTGTTTATTAGAACGACGGCGTTCATTCTTTCAAAGCCATCTGGTTTTTGAAATTTCGTTTCCTTCTTAAAAGGTTAAGCAGAATGTTTCACAATTAAACTGTTTTCAACCAACTTACAGGAATTGAATTTAGTTTCATGGTATTATGTATGAAAGACGAAATAAAAGCAAGTCGAAATTTGTTCCAGTAACTTTTCAATTCTTGAAGTTACTGTTGTCCTGTAAGAGTCGTGCTTAAATTGCGAATGCTTTTTTCGATTTTATTATTTCATCATTTTATCTTTACTTAATGCAAATTCTAAAGAAGTCGCTTTCGAAATTTCAAACGTCAGATCATGAAGTTTTAGTAAAAAGCCCCATCATGCAGATGCTGGTCTGTTGGTCTCACAGAGGTAGTCTATATGCAGCCCATTCTTCTAAACCTTTCATTGCGAAGATGTCAAAACAGCCATTTGTTTCATTAATGTATTGTCCCTACCTTAACACAGTGCACATAGGTTTCTCCTTACTGCGAGTTTAGGGGCTTGAATTTCTAAGGCAGGTATAGTTTTATCCGATCCTCTTGAACAGATGCACCAAATGAAAAACTCGAATAACAGCAAAGCAATATCTATAAGTGAGTGTCTATTTGCAAAAATATGGCGTACTATACTCCTTGGGTGTCAAGTTTTTGAGTCAATCAAATTGCTCGATTTTGTTTTTTTTTTTTTTCTGGGATTACAGACATTGAGGCAATAACGGTAAATTGGCTTTCCTTGATATTTTCACAGCGAACTTTAAAAAAAACTTGAATTTTAAGGTATTTGTTTTATACTCAGAATTCAAGATTGCAAGAATAGTTTCCCCTTACATTCCATCTTATGTCTCTTTATGGTCAATCAATAGTTTTTTAATCTAGAAGAACAAGGCATTAATTCGACTCAATGAGATAAATTTAGACTGACCGTCTGTGAGATGGTACCTTTTTATCTCTGAATTTTTTTTTATAACACCCACTGCATAGATATAACTCACTAATAATAAATTTCACTCCAAGAGCCGGAACATTTTAAAGTTCTCTTGTAGTGATATATTATCAACAATTTAAAAATTGTCTTTAACTAAACAAGCAAGCCGTCGACAGCCGAGCGAGTCTTAACGACACTCGATCACTAAGCAGTCTCATATAACGCAGTAAGCGAGAAAGTTGAGATAGAAATCTTCCATCTTACAAATGATGATTCAGGCTTATGAACTTGGTACGACTCGCGCTGCTTCTCTGCTATCGTGCTCATTTACGAACGAGACGCCTGGAAGAATTTATGTCCAACGCAATTTTACTCAGAGGCAGAGAACGGTTTCTCGCGAGAAGCACGAACTTTCCATCATGTGCAGTGTGCTCTGAGCTCAGAGGGCATCGTTAGGTGCAATCTGGGTGTTGTCTCACCGGAAATCTTTTAATCGTTTCTCTCCTCCTGAACCTAGCATGCCTCTCGCATGGTCATGTATCACGCATGCTCTGTTGGGTGGTCAGCTGGCCACCCTCAAAATAAGTTGATTTCCAGTAAACGACTTAATTGTAGTGATAACATAACAGAATACGTGACTGACCTAATTGCCTTTCTCTAATTATCCATTGTGTAACCAGCATAATGAATACAATGATATTTCACAATAAATTATATCATTGACATAAACACGCTCGTCAGATAGATCTTTATCAAAGATTACTGTAATCAGTTTAAAGCTCAACCATCATCGTGGACAAATCGTTTCCACTGCTAAATAAATTGTTAAAACCAAAGATAACTTGCAAAAGAATTGGTCTCTTGTTGGGTTAGATAAGCAAAGACTTTGCAATAATACGGATCCAGACGATATCTATAGGCTGACGTTTCGAGCCTTACCCCTGCGTCATCTGAAGTGCATGACGAAGGGCTACCACTCCTCTCCGTCAGCTTTAGCCGAAAAACTTTGCGGTGGCCAATTTACATTATCATCTCAGTTGATGAAACCAAATTACCCTGTTATACTCTCCCAACTACGCAGCACCACAGTTTCTTTAGAAACTTACCCCCTTTATTCACGGAGACGGAGTCTTGAACTAGCATTATAGCCTGTCTTTAACTGTCTCATGTTTTTTTTCTTCTGCCATTCTTAGATGCGCAAAACAAGACATTTTTATTTGTGTAAGGCAGTCAAAACGGTCGGCTCAATAACAGATTTGAGTTTAAGATTTATGTTTTAGCCAGAGAGAAAATACAGAAATAAATATTAGCTAAATAAGGTTATAAGGGAGTAAAAACGGTTGCGTTTCATGCACAGGATTTGCATATAAAGGAAATAGCATTGTGTATTACTCCCACATAACAGGAATTACGTAAGAGAAATGTTTAGGGATGATATCACAAAATAAGGCGTGAGAAGGAAGGAAGAGAAGACAGTGGCTAGAATACTTAAGATGGCTAAAATACCTGGTTGGAGAAGGTAAAACCTACAATAAAATAAAAACGTATGATCCAAAAAAAAAATCAATTAAATAACACTCAAAAATACACTTGGACAAAATAACTTGGTCACATGTGACTGACTTGAATAGCACTCGTGCCGAAAACAAAACACACAAGCAGCAGCAGAAATTTGTGCAGAATTGGATGGCGATGGACACGATGCTGTTTCAACAAAGCAAAGGGAACAGACATAGGTATATTATATTTACTCGTCACCGTGCGTCTATTTAAGGTTGACCTTGAAGAACGTATTTTTAAATACGTTCTTCAAGGTCAACCTTAAAAATGTTTATCTTCCCCGGATTCTTGCACATCCATTCCAATTTTTAATTTCCATTTATTTTTAAAAAGTATCTCGATTTTACCGATGCCTTATTCCGAAAATATTTAAACAATTGCCTATTTCTTCACGCCCTGCTTATGTTGCTTTCAAAAAAAACAACATTAGCATAAATTTGTATGTTGCAAATACAGAGTCACGCAAAACTCCACTCGAGTTTAATTTGGGGTCAGTTGCGCAAACCTTGTCGGTAGGACTAGAGTTCTCCCTCGACATTTTCATCGCATTTCAGTTCCTTTGGTAAGTAGTTGAAAAAAAAATTCATTGATTGCACGTCCTCAAATTGGGTGAAACACAGTTGAAATTATTTAGTAGGTCGGACATTTTGGAGATTTTGATGGTATTGTGAGACCTCTTTGAACCATGTCTTCGCGAATATCAATCGCTGAGATTTCGCTGTTGTCAAATGCCCGACGACCGTGACTTTCTCGAATTTAATCGATAGATCGATAGAAACTGTCCCAGGTACGGCAATTTCGTTAGCTTTACAACCTACATTATTTTGCGAATCGCTTGAAATTTCCAAAACGAGAATCTGATACTTTCAAGAAGTACGAAACAACGTTGCAATAGGAAATTTGTGAAAATCTCCGATTGCCGGGAACTTTATTCGTCCGTTATAGGACCGTGTGCGGTTGTAGGGTATTTAGCCACAGCAATACTAGCTGTTATCGTCGAAAAGTCGTTCAACCGAAAATGCTAAATATTTGCATTTATTCTAGTTTTCCTTTGATTTGTAATGAAATGCAAACCGACAAGGCCGCACATGATTATGTTCTGCACGGTTTTGCCGACGTATATGTCCTTTTCGATGACATTCGAACGACGTATCGCTGGTTCGTATCTCTGATTTTCACGCCTGAACACACATGCTTGACAACACTGGTGTAAGAAAGGGTTTTTGCACAAATATTTACTTTCTCTAATTACCAAAGAGTTTAGAAACCGAATAGATGTGACGCACCAAAAGCAGGAATCTTGCTTAAAAGCACGTACAGGTGAATTTTATCTTGGCTATGAATTTTCTGAATACTCGAGCAACGAACGTAAGACACTTCAGTGATATGTAATAATTTCTTTGGTCACTCTTTAAAATTTTCAAAGTCAGCAGCGACCAGATTCGCTCTGACGAAGGGCTAATAAAAAGCTCGTAACGTCAGCTTTTAAACTCTTTAATTACAGTGGCCAAAGTTGATAATACTAAATCACCGTTTTATGACTTTTAAACTCTTCCACCGACGCAGCACCACAGTTTGTTTAGAAATTTGTCCCCTTTATTCACTTAGCAACCAGAATGGGTCGTCGCGATGTACCGGGAGCGTTTTTGCTTCCTCTGGTGTGCATCATAGCTGTTATATCCGGGTATCCACGCATATTGCAGGCTTGGCTGCTAAGCCGAAGGACGTTTTGGATACGTTGGATCTGACTAATTTCGGTGTAAAAACTCTTCTTGTATATTGGAGTCTGTTCCGTTACAATTAAAGACTTTGCGACACTACAAATTGGCGACGAGGATAAAAGACAATCGGATAACACGCCAAGATGAGTTTTGAAAGGTTTTCGTTGTCACCAGTTAATTTAGAGGCGACAAACTTGGCGGATGAGTGGAAGTTTTGGCTCGATGCTTTCGACAACTACCGAATTGCTACGAAATTAGATAAGGAAAGCGACGACGTTCAAAAGCTACTCTTCTACATCTTGCGGGGACGGGAGTCCAGCGTTTGCTCTCAGGTTTGCCGGGAGAGAACAAGAAATTTGAGGAAGTTAAACAAGCGTTGAGTGCACATTTTCAGCCGAAGAGAAACAAGTGGGCAGAGAGGCACAAGTTTCGAAAACGTGCTCAACTTCAACATGAATCACTTGATACCTTCATTGCAGAGTTACGTATGCTGAGTTTAACATGCGACTTCGGGGAAGCAAATGATGATAATATTCTTGGTCAAGTTATAGAGAAGTGTTCTGACGGATATCTACGAGAAAAGCTACTACAACAAGGAGAGACTCTTACACTGGAAAAGCCCAGACGCTCGGGAGAGCAATTGAATCTGCAAAGAAGGATACACAGCTACTTGGGGGTCACGGGGCCCAAAACGTTCCTGGAAAATCTGATGTTAATGTGGTAAGATTTTCAGTAAAAAAAGCGAAAGAAAAGCCTGCTTTCGCTGTGGAAAAACGGATCATCTTGCTAATAACGAAAGGTGCAAAGCTAGGAATGCACAGTGCATAAAATGTAAGAAGACTGGTCACTTTTGGAAATATTGCAGATCAAGAGAATCAGAGAATAAAGAAGATGTAAAGTTTGTCCAGCCAGTCCAGCATCAGTCAGATAAGTCTAACCCTGAATATGTTTTGTATACTACTAATAATGAGGGGCTGGGTGTTGAAACTGATGTCGAAATCAATGGTAAACTTGTTCAAATGATGATTGACACTGGCTGTGCTAAAACCTTGATCCCGAAACAGTGGTTTAGAAACAACCTGAACATTCCTCTTAACCCAACCAATGTCAAGTTCTCAGCTTTTGGTGGAGGAGACCTCAAGTGTTTAGGAGTATTTGATGCTAAACTGAGATGCAATAAGATGGAAGTAATGGAGCCAGTGTATGTGATCGATGTGGAAGGTCCCCCTGTTGGGAAGAAGCGCCCTGTCCACCCTCAACCTTGTAAAAATCCATGCAGTAGGGGAGAGCCCAACCAAGGCGAGGGAGAAGATCTATCAGGAGTATGAAAATCTCTTCAAGGAAGAGCTCGGAGACTTTAAGAATTATGAGTACAAAATTAAAATCAATTCAGATGTCCCTCCCAAGGTACAAAAACAAAGGCCAGTCCCTGCACCCTTAGAGGATAAAGAGCTTCTGAGTAAAGCACCATGCCTTGCACACTACTCATTGGAAGCCGAGACCAAACTTGTAGTAGATGCCAGCCCAGTCGGTCTTGGGTGTGTCTTGCTGCAAAATGTTGACAGCCGTTGGCAGCCCATATCTTATGCGTCCAGAAGTCTAACTGCTGCAGAGAAGAGATATTCGCAGATCGAACGAGAGGCAATGGCTGTGCTGTTCGGATTGCAGAAGATGCATTCTTACATTTATGGTCGCCACGTTGTCGTCTCGACTGATCATAAACCACTACTTGGCGTATTCAATAAAAACACTCAATCAATTCGCCTGGAACGGATCGCTTTGAGATGTCAGGACTATGACTTCACACTCACTTATGAACCTGGATCTGAGAACATTGCAGATGGACTGTCAAGATTACCTTTGAACGCTACTGTTACAGAAACAAGTTTTGTTGAGGAGCATGTACACTTTGTCAAAAGTGCTGATGCTTTGCTCTCAATTGATGAAATAAAAGAGGCTGGAGAGTCTGACCCTGAATTACTAGAGGTGGTGAAGGTACTTGATGGAACCCAGAACCTGGTAAATAATAAATGGAAACATTTTAAAGATGAACTGAGCTTTGCACAGGGCCTACTGTGGCGAGGTCGACGAATTTATGTTCCTGAGAAGTTGAGAAAAAGGCATTGACCTTGGCACATGAGGCTCATCAGGTATTGTGCGTTGCAAGCAACGCCTTCGTAGAATTCTGTTCTGGCCGGGGATGGACTCTGATGTTGAAGACTACTGCCGAAATTGCGAGACTTGTGTGCGCCTTCAGCCACTACGACGAGACACACCTAATACAGCAACCCCTCTTCCCGATTACTGCTGGGAGAAGTGTGCCCTTGACCTGGTGGGTCCATTTCCTGGAGAGATCTACATCATGACTGTTGTTGATTACAGAAGCAAGTGGCCCGAGGCTATTGTTCTTAAGCGTATTACAAGTGAGAGTATAGTCACTGCACTTGCAGATATATTTGCACGATTTGGAAATCCAAAAGTTCTGATCACGGACAATGGACGTCAGTTCGTAGCTGAGGAATTCCAAGACTTCATGAAGGCAAATGGAATACAGCACAGAAGAGTATCACCCTATTTTCCACAAGCAAATGGGCAGGTCGAAAGATTTCATAGGTACCCCAAAGCACAGTATCAGAGCAGCAGAGTTAGATGGTCTATCCTGGACAGAGGTTCTGCCCACAATCCTGCAAGTTTACAGATCCACTCCACATGCCGGGACTAACATGACCCCGGCTAAACTGTTTCTCAACAGAGAGATAACAACAAAGTTGCCAACAGTACCAGAAATGGATCAGAACAACCCTGAAGAGAGGTACAAGGAATACCAGAGGAAGTTATGTGAGTATACTGATGCCAAGCGACATGCACAACAACATAACCTAGTACCTGGGGATATTGTATTTGTAGCAAATACAAAATCTGGAAAATTGATTCCCACGTTTGGTCATCAGAAGTATGTCATTGTTCGTAGCAAAGGACCAGATACTTTTGAACTTGTCAATGCTGAGACTGGACAACATCTCACTCGTAATGTGAAGTTTCTTAGTAGAGTTCCACGCATGGAGCTACCAGTTAAGGATGACAATGACAACGGCTGCTTGGAGTCGGAAGAGTTCGCTGGGGCAGCGATGCCTCCTTTGGATCAACTCGGATCTACAGTCTCGGATGATAGGAATCCCGCAGATAGTGGTCCTCCCGACTCAGCAATGGAATTGAGACGTTCAACTCGAACACCAAAGCCAAAGAGAGATCCTGACTTTGTTTATGACTAGAACATTGTTTTAGTTCTTCTATGTTAAGTTGCGTTGTTAGAATGGACTTTGAACTTTAAATAGGTTAGGATGGGATGTTATATCCGGGTATCCACGCATATTGCAGGCTTGGCTGCTAAGCCGAAGGACGTTTTGGATACGTTGGATCTGACTAATTTCGGTGTAAAAACTCTTCTTGTATATTGGAGTCTGTTCCGTTACAATTAAAGACTTTGCGACACTACAATAGCCATCTTTCACATTGATCAAGTGAAGGCAGAAGTTCGTTTGCCCTGTGGCATGGTTAAAGACTGGTTTCCCAGTGGTACAAAGCCTCAGAATTCACAGCCCCCTTATTTGCTGCATATAACTGATCCGGATGGGCGGTCGGTTTACAATAACCTCTACATGGATAAACCTCATTATGGACCAGGGCAGAGGACATACACAAGTGAGTAAACTTATTTTTTATTTCTTTGCATGTTTCTAGGATCAGATAAATATCGTTTGAATAACTTCCTCTTAAACATAATAGAATTGCCAATTTTAAACCTTTTCAGAAGCCTAATATAACTAAATTTTTCAATGAGCAAATCCAACACTAATGTTTTTTTAATGGCATTTGTTGATATTATCACTTTGTCTTGACCCATCAAGGGTATGGTTAGATGTACACTAATCCCCAACCCCCTCACTTGCACTCTTGCCTTTGGAGGGAAATTACACAGCCCTCCTAGATGGTGAAAGGGGGGGGGCGTATCTTTTTGCGCTAATCACCAATAAATTTTGAACTCGCTCTAAAATGGAACTAGGTGATTAGAAATGAAATTAACAAAACTAAGAATAGGGGCGTAGTTAGGGAGAGGTCCTGAGTGCCGGTGAAAACACCCCACTTTCCAAGGAGGAGATTTTTTTTTAATTCAACAACTCACAAACCATGCAATTCAGGAGGCAAAAGTGCCTGAGTGCCGGTGAAAACACCCCCCTTTCCAAGGAGGAGATTTTTTTTTAATTCAACAACTCACAAACCATGCAATTCAGGAGGCAAAAAGTTGCAAATTCGAAGAATTTACACTTTATGAAAACATCACTTTTATTAAAACACAGCGTGGATGTAGACATGACATTAGGGAAGGAAGCCTCGGTGTAACATAGTGTGACCCCCTGCTTCCTCGCCCCCACGAAAGAATTCTAGCGACGTCCTAGTGATCGTAAATGATTGAAAAATATTTGCTAATGTAAAGTTTTGTTTCTTGTTTCTCTCTAGTAACGCTGAATGGAACTCGCTCCGGTAATATGACACAGAATTTCACGGGCTTCATGCTTTATGCCTACAATGAGTTCGATGACGAGGACAGTGGGGACTTTTTGTCCCCGCTACCTGCTGGAGTGTCCAAGAGGGAGTGTCTCTTCAATGACACGGGACAATTTGTGAGTAAGGCTCACTCAAACAGCGAGGACCGTTGGCAAAGTCTTGAGAAATTCTAACTAGAGTATGAGAGCATGTATTTTGTAGGTATAAGCAAAGTTCATGATTTGATTTGGAAACAGAGAGCGAGATTTTGGCTCCCCTTTTCAGTGTCTTGGATCATTTGTATTTTTCTTTTTTTCATTCGTGACCTAGCGCTGTTCGATCGATTGAATGCTAATATGTTTGAGGGCACAGAGCGATGATGCCCTCCCGTCATTTTTCAGTGGCCTCTTTCTAAATTTTCTGGAATAGGCTTCTGGATCTGGAAATTTATTGTTATAACCAGATTTGATCGGGAAACTTACCTGATCTCCTATACTTTTACAAAACTACGTGGAATATTTCATCAAACGTCGAAATTAGAACAGTTATCACGTTAAAAAATTCCCTTCCTTTGAAAAATCGCCAAGAACCCTAAAATAGGTTAAATTAATTACAAATTTTCGAAGTTTCCTATTTTTTCCTCCTAACTCACGACCCGCTTCATTTATTAGCTTTTTGCTTTTTACAATTTTTAGATCGAGGCGCTTGAAAACTCAACAAACAGCATGTACTGGCATAGCATTCAGATCAAATGGAGGTTGCCCAAGGAAAGCATATCTGGAAAAATCACCATAAGGTATTTTAACGATATTTCCCTTTTCCCCGAGATGCAGTTATTTAAACCTAACCATATCATCAAACTTTGGGGCTCCTGATCAGAATAAAAAACCTCGCTACAATTCAACGTTTCCGTGGCCGGAGTATTTCAGGAAAACACAGCAGTGCCCGTGGCTGACTTCGTGTGCCGGACAACGGTTGTGCCCTTGATTATGTTGTTGTGTTACTCACGGTAGAGGTGTAGCTACCCATAACCAAACAGACCACATCGAAAAAACACTTGGTTTGTCTTCACAGCAAACTCTTATGATTTGTAAAGAGAAGGAGAGGAAGGTTGTGCCTACCCTAAAAAAAAAAGACCTTTGCGCGCCTCAATCTTGCACGCAACATTTTCATCACTTTGTCTCCCCCGCATAAGAGATATCAGTGGGTGAAGGAAATATTACGATAAAAATTCTATGTAGTTCTAAGGTACAGTTGCATAGTTATATTCCTAATAAAATTATTTCAGTATTTATTGTTATGTTCTTTTCATCGTCACCAGCGCCAGCGTGGTTAAGGAGGATGGCATTTTTTGGGATGGAATCAGTGTGACCCTTAGCCGTAAGTGTCACGCCTAACACAAGCTAAAGGTCTTTGCTGGTTCCCTTCAGATTCTCACTGTCGTAGCATTCGTGTAATTTTATTTCCTTCTTATATTTTCAGAAGTTTGCCCAGGGCACGTCTGTCATCTTGGTTGCCCCAACGGTCTCGCTAGAAACAAATATGGATGTATTATTTGCGAATGTGCAGGTTAGTATGGACTGCAAGAATCACCCAGGCCGCTGAACCAGTACAATTCAAGTCTATAATTTAATGATCTCTTGCGCATTTCGAACGCATGCACAAAATTAGGCTGAGACTTAAAGATGCAACGCATGATTTGCAATTAACAATCGAAATAACGCAAGCGTTTGATAATATTATACCAGTAGTCTGTCGTGGAGGGGAACTTTGTTCGAGGGAGAAACAGGAGAATGCTAACAATCAACCTCTTTCGACGACACATTCTTAGCCTACGTGTAGCCGTACCCTCCCCCTCTACACGTAGGCTAACACATTCTTGCCGTCTTTCATTCGTAGGAGCTTCAAGTGTCACTGTTGGATTCCTCAGCCTTGCGGTTATCATGTTCAGCGCCCTCAAAAATTGGATTTAAACAACACGTTTTGAGCTATTTTTATTTTTGTAATGTATTGTTTGTTCGCTTTTGGCTTTTTTTACTTGTACTAGATTAATTATAAATTTGTCGCATATATAGTGAGAGTGCAGTAAACCGTGGAATCGTTTCACGCAAAAAAATACCAGGAAATTTTTTTGGACCAATCACAGTGTAATGAAACAAAGCCACTGAAATCCTGGATGACGTCGATATTTGTTTGGAAATTCAGTAACTCAATAAGAGTGGTTATATTGGTATACGATCTATTCTATGTGCTAACTGGTAGTTACATTTGTTTCCCCTTAAAGGAACTATCCTTTATACGATATACAAAAGCAAACAGCCTGAGCGGCAGAATAAGTTCGATATAGTTGTTTTCCATCGTTCCTTCCTTATTAACTCCGAGCCTTAAATTCAATATCTTGCATCTTGTGTATTTTGTTCCATTTAGTTTCTCCATTTTCGGGTGGTAAAGCTTTTTATTTAATTTCAGTTTCGTCATTTTCTAGTTCAGATATTTAGTGTCTAATAGTCAAACTCTAATTCATTACCTCCGGTAACTGAAGGGCTAAAAAATCTCTACTTATCAACACAAACTATGTAAAAATCTACGGTTAATTCAAAGAAGCGCACAACACAGCATTTATTCCCAAGCCCGACATTTTCCTCAGAGTCACTTCAGAGTAACACAAATTTTTGTCTAATGGTCTGAAAACATCAACAGTGCCAGGAAAGCCAACATCAGAGAGAAAATTGAGAATTTCACGGTCTCTTCCGCGCCTACAGAAAAAAGGAAATTCAGGTCCCTATTAATGCTCATAAAACAAACATGGGTCACCGACCATTCCGTACACCGTCTGTTAAAAATTAGAAATCATCAGTATTTCCTCATCAAAGAGGGAGATCATCAGCATACTTGGACCCCATCCCACCACTAGCATTTGACCAAGCTCCTTTAATTAGAGGGAGATAGCACCTAAGTCAGCATTAAACCCCCCCTAAGGAGCTAAGCCTCAGCGTCCTTACCCCTTTGTCCATACCTTGCTGAGTTTAGGCAATTAAGGAAGTAGTACAAGTGTTAGGCCAAAGTAACTCTTGCCATGCATGACTGAATGCACCATTACATTCACCATTGTAAGATACAGTGATAGTGTCATTTTTTCCACAGGCTGATACTTCCATTTTACACTCATTCAACATTAAACAAGGGAATTTCCAAAATGGAGGAAATTTTACCCCAGACAATGTCTAACAGATACTATCTCAGATAAATGTACTTAATTGTATTTTTTGGAAATTGTAATGGTTATGATTAATTGGTAAAGGACTTTGAGTCTTCAAATTTAGTCCTTAATCATAGCTGTGATTGACAAAAGAGACTCCTGCTTCATGGTTGTCCAATTTTGTAATCACTAGTATGAGTATACAAACTAAATTGGACTCAACCCACTCCATCCTATTCCTATTACTTATTAAAAATTTCTGAGAAATTTTCTCCTGTATTAATATCTTTCGGTGTAATTCAACTAAAACCTGAGCTTCCAATAATTGGAATCTTCAAATGGTTAATTTCTCTAATATACTAATTTTGCCTCAACTTTCTATCAATAATCAATATGATCAAAGTCTTTGATACTGACCACATACACCAATCTGCTGCACCATAATTGGGGATTCTTTTTCACAAGAATGACGCTGCATTTTACACTTGTTGCTGTATGTTTTACCATCCGTTCCACATACTGGAGCATATGTCTCAGCACAGGCCACGTTACAAGAACCTGCAATAAGGCATCAAGCATTCTTATCAAGGCTACATGCAACTACAAAGTGCTTCTATTGGTCTCCCAGAGGCATCCCAACTTGGGATTCAGTTTGATTCAAAGTTCAATCTTTGCCCTGCACATTAATCAACTCCACTGTTAAGTATAATTTTATGATCTGCCTGAACAATATCTGTGAACTAACCAGAAAGTCATACAACAGAAACATGATCAAAAGCTATTTATCCCATTAAAAAAATTAGAATATCATTCCAAACCCATTCACTTATTTTGTCTTAACACATCATGCCATATGTATTCAGCATGTACATTGTTCATATTTATTTTTTTCTCAGTTCGTGAGCAGGCAGTATTCTACAAATCCTGCAATCTGATTGGTTCCGAGAGAGGGCAGTATTCTCCCCATCCGGCCCACTCACAGGTATTCAGGTTCTTTTCACAACCATTTGTTAGGTTTTAGAAAAAAATAAAAATGTTATTCGCCATCCAAGGTCGGTCCGTAGTGGGAAAAACTGTGCTCTCTGTCTTGTCTACCACCCTCGGCCGACCCCGGGTACGCTTTTTCCCAATATGGACCTCCCATCTGGTGAATAACATATATTTATTGAGTACTATTTGAAAAAATAAAGAATTGCTTCAGCAGTCAAATAGTCTCAACCCTTCAACTCCCAAGATCTGATTATTAATTCTCTCCTCTAGCTGCTACACATTTCCCTCTAAATTAGTTTGGAGAATTTGGTGTTTGCTCAAGATCACAACCTCTACCTAATAAGTTGAAGTATTCTCATAACCTGTCTGCTTGATAGTGTATGGATATTATGGGAAGAAGTAAATCACTTCTGGGAGTTAAAGGGTTAAAAACATTTTTCATTCCTAAATTTTCTCTTTACATGTCACACAATCCACTGATATGTCACAACTTACATTGGCAAGTATTACATCCATAACTGTCATCTTCATAGCTATAGCCACCATTTGGGCATACAGCACATCTTACTGATGGGCACTGGTCTGCATAGAAATTAAATTACATGAAGTGATTAAATAAGGCATAACTTGTAGGAAAAAAAATTAAATCACACATTTATAGAATAATTGTAGATTGAAGCAAACAAAATTTTGATTATCAAAACTTTATAACTTTAATTGAAAAAATTATAAGTTATAAATTAAACATCAAGTAAATGTTTATAACAACATAGCTTACATTTCAGGTGAGCAGTAAATCCTTCATAGTAAACAACAGGATTTGTGTTTTCCAAGACACTTGCTCTGAAATAGAATTCAAAAAGTAATTGATAAATATATCCTCTATTGCTTGCCCAAATTTTTTCATCTATTAATGGTTGATATGTTGGAATCCACGCTGAGAGGTACTGCTTCAGACCTGTCTGGGTCATTGTGTTGTGTTAACTCTTTGACTCCCATGTGTGACCAAGAGAGAATTTCTCCTTACAACATCAACACAATATCAACCAGATAAGTGATGAGAAAAAAGGAAAATATCAATTTGGGGATAATTAGTTAATCCAATACTAAATTCTCTGAACTAACATTATAAGAATTGTATGGTTGATAGTAAGGAGAATTACAAAGTTGATGTGGGAATTAAAAGGTTAATTATTGGATGAAACAGCTTGATGCTCACAGTTAATGAGATAGCATAAAAATAAACTGGCTAAAGAAAGAAAAAAGATTCTAAAAGTTATTCAGCTTCCATTTATTCCTTTTTTTTTCACAATAGCCAAGCAAACTTAAAATATCAGCCAGGAATATACTTGTCAGTTGAAGATGTAAGTAGCTTTAAAATCAAGATAGCCTATATTTTTCAACACACAGCAGTTACCAGTATGTACATGCCCTTTGTGTTTCATTACAGGATTTTAATTTGTATCAACACAAATTTTATAGTACCTGAATTTAATGTTTCCAGCCTTATAACTCTGGGGGGCCTTCCATAACATCTTCACACTGGTCCAGTTTCCAGATGAAGTGGAATTTTGGATAATCTTTTGGCATGAGATGGCAAATACAAACATTAATATTATTCAAAGTATGTTTCAAGTCAATAGCAAAATTCATAATTGCACTGTTTTGCATATCATGAACGTTGTCCATTTGCCAGCACTTTAATCATTAGAACTACATAACAATCATATCAAAGACTCTGCTGGTGATTGATTTTTAATTGGCAAATATACTCATTTCCTATAAAGGAGAAGTGCAAAGCTCCTGATAAGAAACCTCATTATTTTAGTCCTTGTGTATTTAAAGTTTAATACATGATTGATTTTCAAAGTGCTGGGGTGACTGGATAACTTCAGATACTGCATGGGTCTCATTGTTCACAATGGGTTTTCACATTTGAACAAAAAACCTTCATTGTATACCTATTTTGGTGAATTTTGAGCCAGTAACATTTACTTGAAGAGCCAGTAAAATTAACTGGTTGCTACATTGTTCTTTACAAAAGTCTTAAATTGTTGTCTTCTAATGATGAAATAAGTTCATTTAACGATGACTGTATACATTATAAATAACCAGCATAAATTACAGCCATACAATATCAATTTGTATCATGTATTACTAAGGCACAATAATCACTTTGTATTATAACATAGCTAGTAATTTGTCTAATCAAATTCAATTGCATGCGTGTGCTTCATATTCCTATTGTGCACACTCATGACGTCAGCAAACAAATCCCTTTAGAAATTTTAGAATTCGGCAGCAATTTAAGCTAAACAAGATTGTTTACAGCATAGTAAAATGTGTTCCTGGAACAAAATTATCAACACGCTGAAGCATAGCAGAGGGAATATTAACCCTTTTACAACATTTAAACCAACAGGTTGAAAATGACTCAAGAAGCTAGAGTTGCTCTCTGCTACGCCTCGAGCAACTCTTACGCATCTTTCATGCTCTCCAAACTTCCCGTGTGCTTCCTATCTTGATGAACGCATGCTGACATATGAACCAATTGTTAACTGGTTGTATTTACTATCAAAATGAATGGCTTCTTTGCATTCAAAAGGGCTAATGACTCATACATACATAAAGATCTCCACAGCTAGCTTCTTCAACCCCAGTAGGCAAATCCTCTTGAACAAAATGTCCATTGGTGTAATTTTTCACAGAGTTCTCAGCATACACAATAAATCCAACAAAACTCCTGGAGCCATTAAGATAAACTGTAAATCAAATATTTTAATCTGTTTAGCAAATAAACCTCTTCAGGCAACTGGTACATTGGCTCAGGTATTCACTATTGTCTGAAAAAAAAATTAATTTAAAAGTTTTGAGGGCAAATGTGAAATTTATGAACTAGATGAAAAAGTGAAACTCTAAATTGGGCTAGCTTTTTTCCACTGGCTTTGTTTCCTTTTGAACAAAAATAACCAGAGGACAAATATTGATGTAAACAGGGGTCATTGCCAGATAACTGCTGGTGATTTTGCTCCATGTGACGTTAAGTATCCAATAGACTCGCACAAAAATTGGTGGGTTGATTTTTAAGAGTCATGTCCCTGCCTGGTTCTAATAATTATTGGTTATACACATCATCATTAATAGATCTTAAGGTTACATTAAAATACTAGATGAGAGCAACTGAATGATCAGTCTGTGCTATTACAATTCAAAGTTGTCCCCTTATTTTATAGTTTCAGACATTCTGAGCAGTGCATGGATGCAATATATTTCATTAGTGAAACATTTAACCTTTGTGAAGCATCTTTTTAAATGCTATAATGTCGTATTTTACTCTCTTAATTAACTATCTGCCTATAATGTGGTTTTAGGCTGCTACTAATACCAATATTCATTAAAAAGTACAATTAAGTATGGAAATTGGTTACAATCATCAATGTAAACTCCATTTACCATAAACTTATTTTAAAAATTACCATGAGAGTTACATCTCATTCTTTATTCACTAAACTTGGCTATTACCTGTAACATAAAATTTAAGCTGTGTTCAAACACTTTTTTTTCAAAAAGGTTATCAAGACAGACAATTATAATGAAAGATATGACCTATCTAGTTCATTTTCAGTTGAGATATAAAATTTGCTGTTCTGTTTTGTAGATATGTTCCCTCTATAATGCACAAGATTGCATATTTATGTACCTACATGTAGATAAATTCATAGATTGTTAAAATTGCTAAATACTCAACTGCTGAAGACAAAAAGGGATGCATTTACCTCTAGACATTTTGAACACATTTTCAGACTACAACCTATTAATTACATTACAATCATCATTACTTACTTGTGTGGGAGCTTTCTGGAGAGTAACCATATTTAGTATGCCCATGGACACTCAGCTGATAAGGCAAATTTTCTGAAAAATTTGATGGAGGAGTCCCAGGAAACCATGACCTCATGCTGGCACAAGGAGGCACATTTGCACAGTCCACCCAAGTATATGAGAACAGGGTGACAAGCAATATTGAGAGATACACATGTAGCTTCATAGCTGAAAAAGTACGTTGAATTAAACATCAAGTCTACTTGTATTTCAATCGACCTATAGTCGGTCGATAGTCGACCGATATATCGGCCGATGTATCGGCCGATATGTCGACCGAGGCCACCTATAGTACACATGATCCGTTTTCTCTATCCAAGAACTGAATGCATAATGTAGTATAGGGCTGTGCGGAAATTTTATCAATCTCGAGACTCACATAATCCACAATCAAAATTTTGAAAAGGACAGATCCGAAATAGTGCAATGGAAACGTTGATGTTAAAGTAATCGTACAGAAATTCAATATCTTCGTTAATTGCTGCTTGATTAAGATCATATTGATGTAATATTAACAACGATAAGCTCTTTAAGGGTAAATCAATGAAGAAGATTCATTCCAAGTGCGATAAAAATCGATGGACAGACATTGAAGATTCCTCGTCCAAAATGCAAGACGAATATGATCGCTTACAATGCAATCGTATGCATAGTTTACTTATCCTACGACATGAGCTTTCGTTGCCCGGTAGATTTAAAACTTAAGGGTCACCTTTACTCCTTTGAAATCGTACAGCACTTAAGGCAGGACAGATTTATCTCATGTGCTTTGGTAGCAGATATTTCTACTTTCGTGAGCAAATCTTTTTGCTTACATGTGCAAAGATATCAGTTACACAAACCACTTCCTGAATCGTTCACAGGGTCGCGCGTTCAATAGGGACCTCGTGAATGCAGAACGCAACGGCAAGGAAAACGTCGATTGAAAATGAATTCACGTTTTTCATTAGTTGCATGTGTTAACCGTCTCTAGGCCGCCAGATCTTAACGTCAGTATCAACCATGCAAGCGGCGTTGAGTCCCTGAGAGAGTACGTCATAAATAATTCGCTGTTGTGGTTCCTGCTCCCAGGTCACGTAAATTTAGGTGTTTTCGATGTTGATATTTTGCAGAGGACAGCTAAAAAATTGTTTCACCACATTCTCCTTGCCGTCGCCATTGGAGTTTACCCTAAGGTCCTCACTGTTCGGTGAAACAACGGGCGAAAAACTGACCATAGCTATCGCACCACATTTTTAAAAAAAATCTTTAAAACTAAACTGGTTAGCAGCACTCTGCGAATGGTAGTTGTAAAATTTCTTTATTCTCCGACGCGTTCCGTTTAACTGTCGTAGACTTCTTCGGGGAGTTTTACAGTTTAACACTAAATGACTGTATTTATAAGCCATAGTTAGTGGCTATACGGGAGCCAATGACCATATAGGCTTGGCCAGACCTACGAATAGGAACTAGTGAAGTTGCGGAAAATTTGGGGCAAGGTAGGAGAATTAATTTGGGGTCCACGGTTTTGGTTTTCTTTTTTCGTCACGCAGCAAGTTACAAAACGTAAATATAATTCTTCTTGGTGTCTTTCCAGATGCCACCGATGCCTTTTCCGATACCTCCATTGTTTATTACAGCAGTAAAAGATATATGTGACATCAACACTTTTGAAAAATTGCTTAACATTTTATTTAGCGAAGTATACTGTTGACATTTCGGCTTCAGAAGACTATTGTTTTCCGCAACTATAACTGATATGTCTCTATATCAAGTATTAAATTTGTTTACCCGCTGACCACTCGTATTTCGGTCTTTTCTTCATCCCCCACTCGTCGCCCGTGATGTAGTAACTCCCCACTACTTAGAGTACAGATCGACCCACATCCGCTGACCACTGAGCTGTCCCCTATTTCATACCCCGAAGGCGTGCCGAAAGCATGCCGAATCGTAAGTTCATCAGTACCGGAGAGATCCAGCGAACATGTGTTAAGCTGCTCATTTAACAAATCCAGGTTTTCCTTTAGAGGAAAGACACGGAAAACGGAAGTGACAAAAACTGTTGAAACCTTGGTAAACGGAGGAAAGTTGACAGAGCTGTGACAGCTGTTACCGGCAATCAGCTTCACACACATTATCATAATTAAACTTTATTTCCTCTCAGGTATGCAGAGTAGTATGTTGGTGCTACTATCTTCAAACTAATTACATTTGATCATGAGTAATGGAAACGCTAATGAGGTAACGAACTGCCGAAATTATTGATACTTGCTGCTCTACCTGATAAACTAAAGCAAAATTATGCGCCAAGCAATTCAAAGCCTCCCCCTCTCCCGTGCAATACAGGGACATCTTACCATTGTCTGTACCAGGGGAAAGTAGGTGCTTTGAACCCTGCCTGGCGGGGATGGGCAATTGAATCTGAAGTGTCAAGTTTTTCCAGCAGAATATAAGTGTTATATATTTAAATATGGAGGTTTTTATGACAAATAATTCACTTTTGAAAGTGAATGGCTCAGAAGAAAAGGTCTATAAGGTCGAGGTTTTAAAGCTTGGTAAACGTGTAGAAAGTCATTTTCGGTCGGGTGGGGCATTTGAGCACAATTTTTGCCCTGAAGGGTGGAAATTTAAACAAATCAATCTTAACAAGTTCAAATGCCAGGAAGGTTAAAGCTTCGGATTGATCGGCTCTTTGTACAATACAAAATTTATTTCTATTGAAATTAAAATTATATGTCGGCCAGCAAAAAGAAATCCAGAAACACAGAAAATAAAAAGTCCTTTAGTGAAAAAAAACTTGAAAAAAGGTCCCTATCAATACCAAAACAAGAATAATCCAGCTACTATTCCACTAATTTTTACAGAGACAGAGCTAAAGGCAGGGGGAGAGGGGGGTAGAGGCACTGGTGAGCATAAGTTTTAGCACTATTTTCCCCATGCCCAATTTTGCACATGATTAAACACGTCAGATCTCTAAATCAACGATAGAATACATCGAACAAATAAATCAAAGGGTAGGCTAATTTAAAGTCCATGGAAGGTTTCTCCAGTACTGACAGGTTCAGATGAGATGGATGTGCATAGGTTTGTGAAAACCACTGTGAATAGGTTTGACATTTGGTAACCTGGATAAGTTTGGGAACAGAGATTTGATACCCCCTTTGCGCACCTCTATCTCTTCCAGTAACCAGTTGATGATCAGGCACTCTTTTGTTCTTTATGGGAGAAGCTTTGTTCGGAAGAGAGATAGGGGAATGCTAACAATACAGCCGATCAATCTCCTTCGACGACACATTCTTAACTAAAGTCTTTCATTCGCAAGAGCTTCAAGTGTTTTACTTTTACTAGATTAAGTCTCCTATAAGTATAGATTGGTCATTTATCATTGTTGCTTTGCTTTAGTAGTCTGTGTACCCTAAGAAGAACAGGGATTCATTTCTTGATGAAAAACAGAAAATTTTGACCTAATCATTTCAGGTTAGGAATGTCACACTTGCGATTTTTACCCAGTTTGTACTTCATGGGCAGGTTCATAAACACTCGATCTCAAAACTGCATTCCACCCATACAATACAAAAGTTTACAACTTAAATCACCTCAAGAGGTTACTTGGCTATCATCTGTACCTTTTATTTGCAATATTACATCAGAAGCCAGTAAAAGGATTCTGACTTTGCTGTGGTGCGACCAACTCTGACCACCCAGGCAAAGAGCTGGATAAATAAATAGATAAATAGATAAATGGATAAATAAATGGTCTTAAGCAGAAAAAAGGCTTAACTATTTCATCCGACATTAATGTCTACATTTTGAGCGGAGTGTTATTTAGCTCAACCCATATTAATCTCAAAAGCAGTTGAAATTAAAATAAGTAAATAGCCAAATCAATTTCCTAAGTCTCCGTGTATCTGATTGGTTGCCTGTGATGCAATTTTTCTAGGCAATCACAGTGTAATGAAGCGAAGCCACCGGAATCCTGGATGACTTCGACACTCATTTGAAAATTAATTTACTTGATAAGAGTGGTTATATCGGTGTGCGATCTATTCTATGTGCTAACTTGTAGTTACATTTATTTCCCCTTAAAGAAACTACCCTTTATATGATATACAAAAGAAAACAGCCTGAGCCGCAGGATAAACTCAATGTAGTTGTTTTGCATAATTCCTTCATATGTTGCCCACTTATTAACTCCAAACCTTCAATTCGATATTTAATTTAGTTTTATTCAGTATCTCCATTTTGGGTGGTAAAGTTTTGTGTTTAATTTCAGTTTTATCATTTTCTGGTTCAGGTATTTAGTGTCTTAAAGTTTTACTCCAATACATAACCTATGCTAAAAAAGCTATGCTTACCGAAACAAACTAAAAAAAAGGCGTCGATTCATTCTCTGAACCACCAAAAGTAAAACATGGCTTTCACAGAAAATCATACACTGTACACAGTGACCGCGCAGTTTTTGAGTGGGGGGGGGGGGCTATTTTTGGCTCCGTTATTTTTGTTAAATTATTTTTTGTTTAATTTATTTTTATTTTTGCAAGAAGGTGGGGAGGCTAGAGCCCCCCAGCCCCTTCCTCTGCGCAGTCCCTGGTACAGCTACAAGCACTTATACCGAAAGCATATCCTTCAGCTCATACATAATTATTGTGAAAGAAGGAACCACAACTGACAAAGGATCTTCACTTAATTTCACCAAAAAAAATCTAAACGTTTTGAGTACAAAGCATTTTAAACTACAAGTTTCTAAAATTCAGTGTCTTTCAAGAAAAAAAACAACAACAACACAGAGATAAAGACAAAAGCCGTGGCGGTAAACTCATTTTAAATCTGACTTTCTAAACTTTTGCAGATTTGATAGAGGTAGCTGATTCAGCTTACTTTCCTAATCAAAGTTTTGCGATTTGTTCCATTATAAATTAAATAAAAGGTGTAAGATCATTGAAGTTTTCGGTATGATACACACGAAAGAAAAGAAACTTGCACTGCATTTCTTCCTAAGTCTGACACTCTCCCAAGGTTCACTTCAGGATCACAAACGTTTTTGTCTGGAGGTCTTAAAATATCAGGAATGCCGAAAAAGCAAACAAAAGAGACAGGACTGAGAATCTCAATGTCTTTTCACCGCCTAAAGAAACAAACAAACAAAGCTCGCCATTAATACTAGAACAGAAACAGGCCAGCGACCTTTTTGTGGTCTAAGGGAGCGAGAAATTTCTTGTACGAGATCTACATCCCGCCCATGGTCAAAGTTTCTACCAACTTATGAAAGTTCTCAAAATCGCTCGCCAAGTAACTTCGCTCAATGAGAGTCAGTGCAAATTTAAAGTTTTAATTTTACCACTAAATAAGGCTATCCCTGCCGAGCTGTACACATCACCTGTGCTGGTATTGGGAGGGATAACGAGAAAAAGGATTCGATAAATTTAGTTTGTTCCAGGCGTTCAATTAATAAAACAAAACACGATAGTAAATGGCAGGATAGTAGCGAAGGAGTGAAAAAAACGAGGGAGGCTTACCTTGGATCACGTAATGAACTCTACACCACCCGACGCAGGCCTGTCTCATTTTCGCTCTGCCGCCGCTACCATCACTTTGTTTACTATTTCACTCTGTTGTAGTAACTGAACACCTGGAGCAAGCTCTTTCAGGATAGGAATTTTAGATGAGAAAGCTTAGAATTTAAAGAAAGTATCTGTAATTTTATGTATTACAGTCTTACACTGAAAAAATTCTACTGACCTTGCGAGGATTTGTTAATAAAGTTGAATTATTTAATTTATGAAAATTCAAAACAAACTCAGTGCAGCAGTTTCACTAAATGAGAAATAGGGGCTTGAAGGAGTTTTGCAGGAGGCACTGCCATGTGCTTTTACCAATTACTTTTGCCACTTTTCTTGCTCTGTCTCCATCCCCCCTTCTGAGTCTTAGTTCATTCCACACGCCTGTTCGCCAATGCTTGGTTGTTGGCTGTGACTCTGTTGCCATGGTGATTTCAATGCTGCTGAGGAGATTGCTAACCACCTCTAGCATTATTGACTGAGCCTTTTCAATAAAAATCATTTTATATCCTCCCTACGGGTAGCCCTTCTGAGTTTAGACAATTGAGGACGTAATACCAGTATTTCGCCCAATTACCACTGAAATCATATCACAACTTACAATATTTTTCTGACCCCAGTTGTTTGAAGTGCGGATAACTCTATCCTCTGGATAAATCTCTATCTAGTGTGGACACTGCAGGACCTTTTGTTAACACTTATCCACTGAATAGAAATTTATCTGTTGGGTAGACTTTATCACCCTTTGAACAACTGGGCCTTCCATCTCATGACTCAGTTAATGATACTTTCAACTCACCATTACATTCGCCTCTGTAAGCCACTGTGACATTTATTCCATCTGTGCAGGCCGACCCTCTAATGTGGCACTCATTGTTATATGATTTACCATTTGTTCCACACACAGGTCGATAGTCCTTAGAACAGTGCTTGTTGCACTCGTCTCTAGCAGCTGAACCTATATTTTAAGGATATCATCAAGGCAAAAGATTGGCTTTTTGCACTGCATACAGTCATAAATTGCAGTTTGTTCTCATCCTAACTTGGAGCATTTTTTCCCTCCAGCAAGCTCCTTGGATTTTTCTTCCCCTGCAAAACCCAACACAGACTCTTATGCCAGTTTTACTCAGTGGGCTAAACATGTGGGAGAGGAGGAGGAGGAACATGAAATACTTACTAACCACACCACTATTGTTATTTGTAATCTTAATTGAAAATTTCTTGATTTCCAGAATATTCGTTAAATGAAAAGATGGACTATCTTACAGTCATGAATGGCTTCAGGATGCAGGAGTGAGGAAGGATGGTTCATTCCTTCATTAAGGTGAACTAAAAGCAGATTCCCCTTTCTAGTGAAATTTGTGAGTCAAAAAAGGTTAGAGAAAAAAAATGATGTTAGCGGGCCATCTTAAATCTTTGATACCAACCGCATTTGCCTTCGTATTGCACTGTGATGGAGGATTCTTTTACACAAGACTGACGATTCATCTTACACTTATTGTCATAGGTTATACCATCTGTTCCACACACTGGGGCATTAACAGCTGATATCACAATCACCTGAATTAGAAGGCATCAAGCATTCTTATCATGGCTACATATAGAAAGAGTTTCAATAAGCCTGTCTGGGGCATCTCAAACAGGGATCCTTCAAAAAAATTTTATGGCAAGGCTAGTTAAATCTCTACCCATAGCAAATTTCAATGTTTGAAAATTGTTCTATTTGGAGAGTTACCTTAAATAAACACTTAACAAGAGGAAAATACACTAATATCTAACATGGTCGAAAGAATTGTTAAGTTATATTTATCACAGCATGGAACAAATTAGAACATATCCCAACCTCATCTAATTTTCACTCAAAAAAATTACAACTAACTAATTATCCATTTTCAAGATATTTGTCACATTTTTATGCCATATTCCTATATTTATATTCGCACACTCATGTTTTTTATACAAAAATTATTTTGGAAAATACAGAATGGTTATATACATTACAGTCAAATACATAATTTAAGTGTTTAATTTTCTTGCATTTTGCAATCTTCCTGTTACATAATTAACTTACACTGGCAGGTGTGGCATCCATAACTATCAGTTTTATAGCGATCAGTAACACATTGCTCGCACTCCCTCAGTGGACACTGGTCTACATAGAAATAATAACATGTAATGTCAAAAAAATACATATAATTATGTGATTAAACAAGGCTGAATTAAACAAAAAATAAATCATACATTTCGGAAATAACTGAAGCACACAAAATTTTGATAAGCAAAAATGTAAAATAAATGTAGTATACTTGTACCAATATAGCTTACATTTCAGGTGTGCAGTAAATCCTTCATAGTAAACAAGAGGATTTCTGTTTTCCAAGACACTTGCTCTGAAATAGAATTAAAAAAGTAATTAATATATACACTCTTCCTTCCTTGCTTCCAAATTTTTTCACGGTAGATGCAAAGGCATAATGGTTGACAAGTAGACTTCATATTGAGAAGCCCACAGTCTAGATGGCTGGGTCATTAATTGTGTAGTTAATTCTTGGACATAATAGTGCTTCTCTCCATCCAGGATAGTAGATTGGTTTCCCCAGCTACGACTGTTGGGAAGCCAAAAGAAACTCAGGGTGGTGAGGGAGATGGGGGATTAAGATGCAAAGGACTAGCATTCCATAAGTAAGCTCAAGACTTCATTTCCTCATGCTATAGAAACTGGGATGAGTCCTGACTTTAGCTTGATGCAGGCTTCACCCCTTTTTTAACTCACCTCTAGATGAGCAAATTCTGAATATCGAAATCATTAGAACTAGTGTTCAAAGAGGAACATAGTAAGTGTTCTTGAATAGAACAAGGGATATAAAAGCTTGAGCTATTGTATTTCTTTTTCATTCCATGCTTTCACCAATCTATGGCATCCTCAGGATGTCTAGAATCTTTTATTCTGAGATATGTTTCCCTTTATGAAAAAAATGACAAATTAAAATAGAATTTATGTTTAAAGAAAGAAACTATATTCTGAAAGTTCAATTGCATAGATGCATTTCTCACCAGAGCAAAGCAAACTTAAAAGATCAGCAAGGAATATGTTAGTCAGTTGAGGATACGGCCATTAGTAGTGCTGTGAAATATGAAGGGGTTGAAAATAACTAAATGTATGTTTCATAACAGTGCATGTTCTTGTTCATATCAGCATAAATAATTTAGTACCTAAATGTAATGTTTCCAGCCACATGACCCATGTGAGGTGCCTTCCATAACATCTTCACACTGGTCCAGTTCCCAGATGAAGTGGAATTTTGGACAATCTTTTGAAATGAGATGGTAGAGTACAAACATCAAATGCTTGTGAAAGTATGTTTCGAGTCAACAGTAAAACTCGAATTTCACTGTTATGCATATTATGCTTTATAATTATTGTCCATTTGGTATCACTTTCATCACTATAGGACTACATAACATTTATATCAAAGATTGTCACAGGTTGATTTTTACTGGAAATGTAGTGATATCCTTGAAGGAAAGTTATACTCTACATCAGATACCTTACAATTTGTATCCCTTTTTTTGAAAAAATAGATAAGCTGGTTTAAATTGTTGACAATAGGTTCTCACATTTGAACAAGTATTAGTTTGATCCATATTTTTGCAAAATATCTGTGTGAAATAGCCAGTTACATTTTGTTAAAGTAATGAATGGTAGAAGGCTCTCAAAAGAAGGTTGCCTTCGTCAAAACTTAAAGTTCATTTTATGCGAGACTGTAAACATATTAATCAGTTATTCATTATTACATTTAACATAAATTTGTTTCGTTTAGGAAGCAATATAAATCATCACATTATACTGGTTGTCCAAGTTTTAATTTTGAGTTAAGGATTCTTAATTTACATGAGGCCAATTACTCATACATACATAAAGATCTCCGCAGCTAACTTCTTCAACCCCAAGGGGCAGATCCTCTTTGACAAAATGTCCATTGGTGTAATTTTTCACAGAGTTCTCAGCGTAAACAATAAATCCGAAAAAAGTCTTGGAGCCATTAAGGTAAACTGTGAATCAAATGTTTAGATTTATAGAGTTAAATTAATGATACTAGTCTAGTTATTGTTTATAACCATAGTTACTATCAGAAGTAATAGATTTAGACTACATTTAACACGAAATAAGAGCTATACTGACAGAAAGATCACACAGCAGCATATCACCAATTTCCCCCATTTTACAGTTTAAGACATTCTGTGCAGAGCATGGATGGATGCAAGAAACTTTTTGGTGTATCATTGAACCTTTTTGAAACATTCTTTTGAGTTAATGTAACACTACAGTCACACCCCTTATCCTGTCTCTTAATTTATCATCTGGCTCCAAGACACTGTTCAAGTTTACCTTTTCTAATCTACCACTAATCATTTTAATGATTTAAAATTCTTTTAAAAAAGAACTACAGTTAACACCAGCATACAAGCCACACCTTTTCACCCACAATTTTTAAACAAAAAAGGGGTGCAGTCTATCTGGGAGATTAACCAAAACACATTTGTGAATTGCATAAATCATACTATTCAACAAAAAGACCTTCTCTGTAAAGAGACAGAGCTAAAAAAAACTCAATCCCGCCATCTGGTCCTCAGGGACTAGTAGATTTCCAACTTAAGCAGGCAATTTTCTCTGCCTTAACTTGCCCCTTGAGAGCTGAAGTTCAGTGTAGTTAGGATATGGAACAATGTTCTGTTCTTTTTTTGTGGACATAACCCCATATTAATGCATGAGATTACGTATTATATATATAATGGCAACTGAAGATAAATTCACTGAATGATAACATTGCTAAATGCACAACTGCTAAATACAAGTAGGTTGGACACATTTATCCTTTTAAGATAACATATTGGACTTGCTTTTTAGACTACAACTAATTGCATTAAAGAATCATTACTTACTTGTGTGTGAGCTTCCTGGAAGGTAACCATCCTCAGCATGCCCATCAATAGTCAGCAAATAAGGCACATTTTCTGATATATCTGATGGAGGAGTCCTAGGAAACCATGACCTCATGTGGGCACAGGAAGGCACATTTGCACAGTCCACCCAAGCATATAAGGACAGGGTGACAAGTGATGAGGAGAGATACACATGTAGCTTCATAGCTTAAAAAGTACATTTAACTAAACATTTAGTCTTTTTTGTTTCATTCTCTGTAAAATCACTCTATTAACAAACTCAAAATTGACCATTCATATCTAATCATGTTTTTAATAATCAAAAATATTAAAGGAAATAACCTGGATTACTATGAAATATGTAAATAAAATATAAATGTGCAAACTTCAATTTTGCACATTAAAGATCTTAGAAATTGGCAGGTAGCATGCGACTTCACCCACACACTAAGTCTGGCAAAAAAATGCCAAACTTTCTAATTTACGTGAATATTAATCTCTATTAATATGAATCAAGACATTGATAGCTGAGAGGCCTGGAGTGGGTACAGACAGGGTGCATATTAGTATTTTCCCTTTCCTTGAAATTGAGCAATTTGTTCAGCGCACAAGTCATAAGACTTGGCTAGAGCCAATGCTATTCACCACACTTAAAAAATGTGTTTTAACTGCAAAATTACTTTAGTATATTACCGCTAGGGTATCTGTGCAAGTCTTATTAGTAATCTAGCAAGCAAGCAAGCAACAAGTTTATTTCTAGCTCTAAGAAAGTTTTTGTTTCCCTCCCACCCACACCATCGACAGTTTTGATATCATTGTATATAAATCTCATTCATGTTTGTAATTTATTCTTGATTATACTGGACCGTAGGTTTAGTATGTTCATCAAATATCTTTTATGTAATAATCTTGTGTGTTATTTACGTAACAACACTGTCTGTTTTGAACCAGTACAATCTTCCTGCTTGGCGAATAAGTGTAACAATTTTTAGGTTTTTCGCTGAAAGCCTCATAAAATCTTTCCTTCAAGGTGCATGATTTTATCTGGAAATGTTCACCAGTTAATATCAGGAATTGTCCTCAAGTGCAACCATTTTCTCCCAAAAACAATAGCAAGCACCAACACATCACTCTTACTTGTCAACCGACGATGTCAAGTCTATATAAATTTATTCGTAGATTCCAAGCCCGACTGGTTGGCAACATAGAAAAAGGCGAAAACTTTAAGAGGATACAACAAATCTTGAGACTCACATAAATCACAAAGTTAATAAACATATATTGAAAAGAACGGATCTGAAATACATCAGAAACGTTGATTCTAAAATTTAATCGCCGTGACTGATCACAGCCAGCTGACAATAATCGTAACCTTCTGTACGTATTATATATTAAGTTCATTATTTATCTTCGTTAAGAGCTTCATGGTTGCGATCATATGTAAGGAATATTAACAATGATATGCTCTGTTAGAGTTAATCGATGTGCAATACAAATCGATGGACAGACATCGGAAAACGCGAGACGGATGTGATCGCTTTCCCTAATGTATTGCAGTGCAACTAAATACATAATATACCGATTCTTATCCTAACAAACGAGCTTTTCGTCGCCTAAAAAGGTCGTAACAAAATGCTCACCTTTACTCGTTAAAAATCGCACACCTTTACTCGTTAAAAATCGCACAGAACTTTAAAGCAGTACAGACTTTTTCTTTTCTCATGTGCTTCGTAAGCAGATATTTCTGCTTGCGTGTGCACAAATTTTTTTGCTTAATTAGCAACGGGACCAATCAGGCACCTGTTATTCGCTCACAGGGTCTTGCGAAGGGACGTCGTGCAGGCAGGACGGCCACGACTTATACTATTTTGCGAAATGAAACGAAACGAAACGAAACCAGGCGAGATAGAACAAAACTAAAGGAATAATTCAGATATATATTCTAATAAGGTAAAGATATATTTCGCAAGAATTTGGATTAATCTTTCATTAACACGAACGATTTTTATTCATTTCGCAAAGTAGTAATTCAAGAAGAGTTACTATTTTCCGAAATGGACTATTTTCACTGTGGTGACAACGTTACCTCTTTCATGTCACAAAAATACATTTAGACATTACAAATTAGTATAATACCAAAAATTTTGGCCTCTTCTTATTTCTTGAACCGAATTAAAACATATTTCGCAAAATAGTAAATTTAGGAGAGTTACTATTTTGCGAAATGGACTTTTCTTTCATGTCAAATTAAAATACATTTAAATAAATTTTGTTACTATTTTGCGAAATGTATATTTTCTGAAATGAAGTCACAAAAATCTCGAAGGTCACCTCCTCTTTAAACATTACAAATAAGTATATCACCGAAGACTTTTCCATTTCAAAATCTTACAAAATCACAAAAAAAATTTTGCAAATTAGGAAGATTACTTTAGCTTTCCATACAAAATTCATTTCGCAAAGTAGTAATGTCAGAAAAACTACTATTTTGCCAAACAGATTATTTTCATTCAGCTCTAATTAGCACTATTCATTAGCAGCACATTTTTTCATGGTAAACTCAAACGATGGAATTAAAACAGAAGCAAGTATTGATTAAGATATGAATACTTGGGAACCCTGAATGACTGCGATCAGTGGCCGATCGATTAAACATTACAAAATCTATTTTATTTCGCGTTTATCGCAGAATTTGTGGAGCGATTGCTAACAATCTTTCCGGTCAATATATGAATTACCAACTTGTTTGAAATTGAGCACCGCAGGGCAAAATGATTAATTTCGGATCCTTCACCCAAAGGAACGCATTGGATCAATGATCCGACTTTAGACCACGCAGATCAGTGATCCGATGAATCCTTGTCTAGAGTGGATTTGATAGATCACTGATCTGAAAATGGATTAATTTGCTCGAAAGGAACGCCACAGATCAGAAATCCTGATGCGGTCATTCTCCCAAAGGAACGCACCCATTGTTATTAAAGGGAGAAAAAATAGCCCATTTCGCAAAATAGTAACTCTCCTAAATTTACTATTTTGCGAGATACGGTTTAGAAAATAAGAGGAGGCCAAAATCTTTGGTGATGTACTAATTTATAATGTCTAAATTTATTTTTGTGACATGAAAGAGGTCACTCGTCACCGCAGGGTGAAAATAGTTCATTTCGCAAAATAGTAACCCTCATAAAATTACTAATTTGCGAAATATATTTTAACACGGTTTGAGAAATGAGAGGAGGCCAAATTCTTTGGTGATATACTAATTTGTAATGTCTAAATGTATTTTTTGTGACATGAAAGAGGTCACGTTGTCATTGCAGGGAAAAAATAGTCCATTTCGCAAAATAGTAACTCTTCTTAAATTACTACTTTGCGAAATGAATAAAAATCCTTCTTGTTAACGAACGATTACTCCAAAACTCTTGGGAAAGTTATCTTTACCTTATTAGAAAATATATCTAAATTATTCCTTTAGTTTTGTTCTATCTCGCCTGGTTTCGTTTCGTTTCGTTTCGCAAAATAGTGTAAGCCGACGGCCACGCCGTGAAAACCGACGATTGAAAATGACTTTACGTTTTCCTTAAGAATTTCACGTATAGCTGCATCTGTTAACTCTCTCTTACGCCGCCAGATCTCAACCTCAGTCTTACATATCCAAGCAGCGCTGAGTCCCAGATAGTAATGAATAATTCGCTCTCGTGGTTCCCGTTCTCGGACCACATAAATTTAGGTGTGAAAAACTCTACAACACAAACACAAACTTTAAGTTTGTGTTGTAAAGTTTTGTGTTTGAGTTGCGGATTTTGTGATTCTGTTTTAAGTTTGTGTTGTAGAGTTTTGTGTTAGTGTTGCGGATTTTGTGAGTCTGTTTTAAGTTTGTGTTTGTGTTGTAGAGTTTTGTGTTAGTGTTGCGGATTTTGTGATTCTGTTTTAAGTTTGTGTTGTAGAGTTTTGTGTTAGTGTTGCGGATTTTGTGAGTCTGTTTTAAGTTTGTGTTTGTGTTGTAGAGTTTTGTGTTAGTGTTGCGGATTTTGTGATTCTGTTTTAAGTTTGTGTTGTAGGTTTTGTGACTCTGTTTTGTTCTTACTGGCCACCGTACCTTCGCACCACGGACTATAACTTGTTAATAACGAAAACGAATACGCACATGTTTTAACCTGCTCATTGAACAAACTTTTTTGATGAAGTTAGACCACGCCAACAAGCCCTACAGTGCGACGATTACGGTCGATCATATGGCCTTTCTGACCATATGATCGATTTTTGTGTAATCAAAGTCTTCATGGCTTTGTTAGAAACCAAGACAAAGTTTTTCAAGTTTAAGAAATGTCCGTGAGTAAGAAACGAGTACATACCAATCGAACAACGCTTCATTTTTTTGTTAGAAACAGAGAACGCTTCCCTTTGTTGTTAGAAACGAACAACGCTTTTAGAATCGTTACTCAAATATATCTCAATTCCGAGCATACGATCGATTTCTGTGTGGTCAAAGTCCTAATGGTATTGTTAGAAACCAAGAAAGAGTTTGTCAAACTTACGAAACGTCCGTGAGTAAGAAACGATTACATACCGAACGAACAACGATACATTTTGTTGTTGGAAATGAACAACGTTTCCCTTTGTTGTTAGGAACGAACAACGCTTTAAGAATCTTCATGGTGTTGTCGGAAACAAAGAGCGCTTAAGTAATAAAAATTTCTCAACGTTATTACCTATTTACAGTCTGAAATTCAGATCTTTTAAGTATTTGTTTTTTCGGGCGACTTGACTTTTTTTTTCGGGCGACATTATTAAAATTTCGGGCAACATGACTCAGGTTTCGGGTGACATGACTTCGGGCGAGATGACTCTCGAGCGACTTGACCAGTTACCGAGGAAGTAAGCCGCCATCATCACGATTTAAAGGAGCGTGGGCGGAGTTAATATGCCAAGTTTTTAAACAAAGGCGCTGGTGGTAACGCCGATTAGTGGTGATAATTTTAGACTTATCCCACCCAATTATATGGTTAGTTAGGCATGTGTGCCCCGATAAAGCTAAATTTTCTTTTTTGCAAAAGAAAACCAGTCCTTACTTCATGGTCGGGTTCAAAAACACTCGGTCTCAAAACTGCATTCCACACATACGATATGAAAGTTTATAACTTGAATCACTTCAAGATGTTACTTGGCTATCATCTGTTCCTTTTATTTGCAATATTACATCAGAAGCCAGTAAAAGGATTCTGACTTCGCTGTGGTGCAACTAACTCTTTGACCCCCCAGACAAAAAGCTGGATAAATAAATAGATAAATAGATGAATGGATAAATAAATGGTCTCAAGCAGAAAAACGACCTAACTATTTCATCTGACACTGATGTATACATTTTGAGCAGTTTTCGATGGAGCGTCATTTAGCTCAACCCATAGTGATCTCACTAGCAGTTAAAATTAAATACGTAAATAGCCAAGTCAATTTCCTAGGTCTCAGTATACCGAATTGGTTGCCTGTGATGCAATTTTTCAATGCAGTCAAAGTGTAATTAAGCAAAGCCACTGGAATCCTGGATGATTTCCATACTCATTTGGAAATTCATTTGCTTGATAAGAGTGATTACATCAGTATACGATCTATTCTATGTGCTAGCTGGTAGTTACAATTATTTCCCCTACAAGGAACTATCCTCAATATGATTTCCAAAGAAAATATCCTTATCCAAACGATAAGCTCAATGTAGTTGTTTTCCATCATTCCTTCCTACGTTGCCCACTTATTAACTCCAAGCCTTATATTCAATGTTTGGTATCTTCTACTATTTAGTTTCATCTAGTTTCCCCATTTGCTAGTTCAGATATTTAGTGTCTACTAGTTTAACTCTAATTCATTAACCACGCTAATTGAAGGGCTAAACAAGCTCTACTTATCAACTTAAACTATATAGAAATCTACGGTTCATTCACTGAAACACTGAAACAACAACACAGCTTTTACAGGATATCAGACACTTTACAGCTACACGCACTTATACCAGAAGCATACGCTTCATTAATATTAACTATAATTAACTACTGTACTGAAAAGAAGAAGAATCTTTACTAAATATCAAAAAAAAGATCATTGAACATTTCTAATGTGAAGCATTTAAACTGCAAGTTTATGAAATCCAGGGTCTCTCAACAAAACGAAAAAATAGCAAAGAAATAAAAACAAAAGCAGTGAGAAAACATTTTAAATCTGAGTTTCCAAACATTGCAAAGATAACAGAGGTTGCGGAATCAGCTTTGTGTCCTTATCAAGGTTTTATGATTTGTTTTATTAGAGATTAAATTAAATGTTTAATTCAAAGCAGCGCACTACACAGCATTTATTCCCAAGCCTGACATCTTCCTCAAGGGTCACTTCAGAGTAACACAACTTTTTGTCTAATGGTCTGAAAACATCAGGAATGCCAGAAAAGCAAACATCAGAGAGAGAATTGAGAATTTCACCGTCTCTTCCACGCCTAAAGAAAAAAGAAAATTAAGGTCCCTATTAGTGCTAATAACACAAATATGGGCCACCGAACATTCCGTACATCGTGTGATGAAAGTTAGAAATCATCAGTATTTTCTCACCAGTGGGGGAGATCACCAGCATACTTGTACCCCATCCCACTACTATCATTTGACCAAGCTCCTTTAATTAGAGGGAGATAGCACCTAAGTCTGCATATCCTTACTAAGGAACTAAGCTTCAGCGTACTTCCCCCTTTGGCCACGCCTTGCTGAGTTTAGGCAAATAAGGAGGCAATACTAGTATTAGGCCAAAGTACCTCTTACAGTGCATGATTGAAATAATGTAAAAGCAATATTTTCCGGAAGTTAATTCTTTTTTCTATCTCACCCTCAGTACAAGTAAATGTTACTTTAAACTCACCGCTACATTCACCACTGTAAGATACAGTGATAGTTTTGTTTTTTTCACAGGCCAATGTTTCCATGGTACACTTGTTACTGTAGGTTTTTCCGTCTGTTCCACACACTGGACGGTGTTCCTCTGTACACACCTTAGTGCACCGCCCTGAAGAAAGTAGACATACATTCAATAATAAGCTTTGTACCAATGCATATACTTTTATTTAAAAAAAAGCCATTTTTCTCCTCCTCACTCAAAGGGATTTTTTCCCCAGGCTCTTGGATTTTTCTTCCCCGTGCTCCACTCAGTAGACGAATCATGTGGGAGAAGACCGTGAAACGCTCAACCAACCACAACACCATTAGTACTGTTATTTGAAATCTTACTTGAAAATTACTTTGTTTCCAGGATATTCATTGAATGATCAGATGGACCATCCAATCAAAATTAGCTTCAGGGCTGTAGAATTACTATCTTGGCTTTCCATCACAACTGCCATGCATACTATTTTAGAAGGGCAATAATCACTTCCAGATCCTTGTCTTCTTTTCGGGTCTCTTGCTACTCTAATCACAACTGCTACAATTCCCTCAAATTTTCACTAATTATTCTGTAGACAGTTGACAGTATTTGAACACCTGGAGTGGGACAGTTAAAGGGGCTAAGACCACTCAGCAAAATCCACCACTCACAGAATAGATTACATTAACCATAGCAACAACCATTAATCCTACAAAATGGGGGAATTTCCAAAATGGAGGACATTTCTACATTAGACAATGTCTATGACAGAGATACTTTCTCATTCCAAGTAAATGTACTTAATTGTACTTTTTGGAAATTGTAATGGTTAGGATTAATTCGTAAAGGACTTTAAATCCAATTCAGTCCTTAATCATAGTTGTGATTGACAAAAGGGACTCCCGCTTCACGGTTGTCCGAGTTTGTAACCACTAGTATGATTATACAAACCAAATTGGACTCGATCCACTCCATCCTATTACCATTACTTACTGATAATTTCTGAGATATTGAGTGTATCAATGTCTTTTGGTGTAATTCAACCTAAACCTGATCTCCCAGTAATTCAGGATCTTCAAATGGTTAATGCTCTAGTTTTGCCTCAACTTTCCATCACTAATCAATATGATCAAAGTGTTTGATACTAACCACATGGGCCATCCTTCTGCACCGTTATTGGGGATTTTTTTTCACAAGAATGACGCTGCATTTCACACCTGTTGCTGTATGTTTTACCATCTGTTCCACACACTGGATCATATATCCCACCACAGGCCACGTCACAAACACCTGTAGTAAGACATCAAGTATTTTTATCAAGGCTACAACTATAAAGTGCTTCTATTGGTCTTCCTGAGGTGTCCCAACTTGGGATTCAGTTTGATTCAAAGTTCAATCTCTGCCCTGCACAGTAATCAACTCCACTGTCAAGTATAATTTTATGATCTGCCTGAACAATATCTGTGAATTAACCAGAAAATCACACTACACAAACATGATCAAAAGCTATTTATCCCACAAAAAAAAAATTAGGATATCATTTCAAACCCATTCACTAATTATTTTGTCCTAATACATCATGCCATATGTATTCAGCATGTACATTATTCATATTATTGAGTACCATTTTGAAAAATAAAGAATTTCTTCAGCAGTCAAATAGTCTCAACCCTTCAACTCCCAAGATCTGATTGTTAATTCTCCCCTCTAGCTGCTACACATTTCCTTTTAAATTAGTTTGGAGAATTTGGTGTTAGATCAAGAAAAACAACTTCTACATGATAATTTGAAGTATTCTCATTACTTGTTTGCTAGATTTAAAGTGTATGGATATTGTGGGGAGAAGTTAATACCTCGAAATCACAATGGGAATTAAAGGGTTTAAAACATTTTTCATTCCTCATTTTTTCTTTTTACATGTTGCACAATACACTGACATGTCACAACTTACATTGACAAGTATTACATCCATAACTGTCATACTTATAGACATCAGTTGGGCACTGAACACATTTCGGTAATGGACACTGGTCTGCATGGAAATTAAATTACATCTAATGTTAAAAAATACATGTTGTGATTAAATGAGGCATGCAACTTAAAAGAAAAATAAATCAAGCCCACATTAATAGAATCATTTAGATTGAAGCAAACAAAATTTTGATCATCAAAACTTTATAACCTCAATTGAATTAAATTATAAGCTATGAATTAAACATCAACTAAATCTAGTATACTTTATAACAACATAGCTTACATTTCAGGTGAGCAGTAAATCCTTCATAGTAAACAACAGGATTTGTGTTTTCCAAGACGCTTGCTCTAAAATAGAATTTAAAAAGTAAGCTGAAAACCATCAGCTTCTACTAACAAGCCCAAGCTACAAATTCAGCACAAATATCAGGTGTTGTTTGTTTATCATGTCCCTGAGTCCCACGTCCGAGTCCCAGGTCCCAGTCCCTACGTCCCAAATTCAGTCCCACAAATATCAGGTGTTGTTTGTTTATCATGTCCCTGAGTCCCACGTCCGAGTCCCAGGTCCCAGTCCCTACGTCCCATTTTTAGTTACAGCCTGAATATACCAGTCAGTTGAGGATGTAAGTAGCTATAAAGTAAAGATAGCCCACATCTTTCAACATTCAGTAGTCACCAGTACATGCACTTTGAGCCTCATTACAGGATTTTCATTGGTATCAGAACAAATTTTGTAGTACCTGAATGTAATGTTTCCAGCCTTATAACTCTGGGGGGGCTTCCATAACATCTTTACACTAGTCCAGTTCCCAGATGAAGTGGAATTTTGGATAATCTTTTGGTATGATATGACAAAATGCAAACATCAAATATTTCTCAAAGCATGTTTCAGGTCAATAGTGAAACTCATAATTTCACTATTATGTATATTATGAATGGTTTAAAATTATTGACCATTTGCCTTCCATTTCACTACTAGTACTACATAACAATCATATCAAAGTGTCTGCTGGTGGTTGATTTTTAATTGGCAAATATACTCATTGCCTATAAAGGAGAAATGCAAAGCTCCTGATAAGAAACCTCACTATTTTAATCTTTGCGAATTAAAAGTTAAATTCATGATTTAATTTCAAAGTGCTGGGATGATAACTTCAGATACTGCAGGGGTCTCATTGTACACAATGGGTTTTCACATTTGAACAAAGAGATGTTCATTGTATTCCTATTTTGGTAAAGTGTTGAGCCAGTAACATTTACTTGAATTAACTGGTTGCTACATGGCTCTTTACAATTTAAAATGTCTGCTACTGATTGCCATGAAGATAAATTCATTTTATGCATGACTGTATACATTATATGTACCAACATAAAATACATCCACACAACACCACTTTGTATCATTTATTAGGCACATACCACATTGTACTGGTTGTATTTAAGCTTAAAATGAATAGATTCTTTACAATTAAGGCTAGTGACTCATACATACATAAAGGTCTCCACAGCTAACTTCTTCAACCCCAGTAGGCAAATCTTCTTTAACAAAACGTCCATTGGTGTAATTTTTCACAGAATTCTCAGCATAAACAATAAATCCAACAAAATTCCTGGATCCATTAAGATAAACTGTAAATCAAATATTTAAATCTGTTTAGCAAATAAATCTCTTCAGGCAGCTAGTACATTGGCTGATATTGTGTCCACAACTGAGATAATTTGTGCAAAAAAAAAATTAATAAACCCTCAAGGGCAAATTTGAAATATTAAGGCAACAGCCAAAATTTATGAAGATGAAAAAGTGAAACTCTTGCACTGGCTTTTTTCCTCTGGCTTTGTTTATTTTTGACAAAAATAACCAGAGGACAAATATTGATGTAGACAGGGGTCATTGCTAGAGAACTGCTGGTGATTTTGGTCCATGTGATGTTAAGTATCTTATTGACTCGCACAAAAATTACTAGCTTGATTTTTTAAGAGTCATGTTCCTGCCTGGTTCTAATAATTGGTTATACATTTTATCATTCATAGATCTAGGTTACATTAAAATTCTAGATGAGAGCTTCTGAATGATCAGTCTGTGCTATCACTATTGAAAGTTGTCCCTTTATTTTACAGTTTCAGACATTCTGTGCAGTGCATGGATACAATATTTTTTGGTGAAAACTTTTTAACCTCAGTGAAGCATGTTTTAAAATAATTAATTTGCTATGCTGGTGTCACATACTTTATTCTCTTAATTAACTGTCTGTCTTTAATGCTGTTTTAGGCTGCTATAATTACCATGAATATTCATCAAAAAGTACTGGTATGGAAATTGGTTATAATCATCATTAATACAACATTAATTACCATACCACAACATGAACACCATTTACCATAAATAAATTTTTAAAATTACCAATTAAGAGTTAGATCTCATTCTTTATCCACTAAATTTAGCCAATAACATAAAATTTAGCAATGCTCAAGTACTTTTTTTTTATTTTTTATTTTTTGAAGGTTATCAAGACAGACAATCATAATGAAAGATATGACATATCTAGTTCATTCTCAGTTGGGATATAAAATGTGCTGTTCTTTTTTGTAGATATAATCCATAGCATAAGATTGTATATTTATTTACCTACATGTAGATAAATTCATGAAATGCTAGAATTACTAAATGCTCAATTGCTGAAGACAAAAAGGGATGCATTTACCTCATGATGTTTTTAACACAATTTCCAGACTACAACTTATTAATTATTGCATCACAATCATCATTACTTACTTGTATGGGAGCTTCCCGGAAAGTAACCAGTGTGCCCATGGACACTCAACCAATAAGGCAAATTTTCTGAAAAATTTGATGGAGGAGTCCCAGAAAACCATGACCTCATGCTGGCACAAGAAGGCAAATTTGCACAGTCCACCCAAGCATATGAGAACAGGGTGACAAGCAATATAGAGAGATACACATGTAGCTTCATAGCTGAAAAAATACATTAAATTAACCATTAAGTCTTTTTTTTATTTCACTCTCTGTAAAATCACTCTACTAACAAATTCAAAATTGACCATTAATATTTAATCAAGTTTTTAATAATCAATGATGTAAAGGAGATAAAATACGTAAATTAAAATATAAATGTGCAAACTTCAATCCTGTTCCTCAAACATCTGAAAAATTAGCTGGTTGCATGACACTCCAGTAACACGCCTGAGTCTGGCAAAAAAATTCCAAACTTTCTAATTTACTGTGGTACAAAGGCAGTACAGATCAGAAGCTTACACTACATTAATGAAGAAACTCAGTAACTAAGGAAGCTAAATCTTTTACACACCAACAAACATCAAACTGCTGCAAAAAATATGCCTCTTCCGAGTACCATGACAAACGACAACACAGAACTCTAGTTTGTTTAGAGGCAAATTTGTCGAGTCGTTATAAATTTTTACTTAGATTACCAGAGAGAGTTGAAAACTTTACCGAGGACACAACGAATCTTGAGACTCACATAATTAATAAACTAATTTTGAAAAGAACAGATCCGATGATGTTAAAGTTTCCTCGCCGTGAACTATTACAGCTCAATATCTTCGTTAAGCACCCCATGGTTGACATCACAGTGATGTAATATTAACAATGATAGGCTCTATAAGAGTTAATCGACGAAGAAGATTCATTCCAAGTGCGATTAAAATCGACGGACAGACATTGGAGATTCCTCGACCAAATTGCAAAACGAATATGATCGCTTGCAATGCAACCGTATGTATACTTTACTTATCCTACGACATGACCTTTTTCGTTGCCTAGTAAGTTTAAAACTAAATGCTCACCTTTACTCGTTTGAAATCGTACAGCACTTAAAGCAGGACAGATTTAACTAATGAGCTTTGGTTGCAGATATTTCTGCTTTCGTGAGCATAATATATGTGCAAAGATATCAGTCACGCAAAACCACACCTCTAGCTCGTTCGTTGGGTCGCGCGTTCAATAGCTACCTCGTACTTGCATAACGAAACGCTAAGTCGATTGAAAATGAATTCACGTTATCCTTAAGAATTTCTCGTATAGTTGCATGTGTTAACTGTCTCTAAGGCCGCCAGATCTCAACGTCAGCATCAATTATGCAAGCGGCGAGTTCCAGATAGAGTACGTCATAAATTAATAATAATAGTTCCCGCTCTCAGGTCACGTAAATTTGGGTGTTCTCCATGTTGACATTTTACAGATGACAGCTAGGAAATTGTTTCACCACGTTCTCCCTTCCGTCGCCGTTGGAGTTTACCTAAGGTCCTCACTGTTCGGTGGAACGGCGCGCGATAATGGACGCACTAATTGTAGATATGTAGATATGTTTATTGAAAAAAGTGCAACTTGCAGCTGGAAGGCTGAATTGCGTATACACAAAATAATAATTTTAAATAAAATTAATAAATATATAAATTTCATAATATTGAAAACGTGAATAACAAAATTGGATTAATGTGTGTGTTCTAAATATGTGCTATAAAAGGGGGCATTATATCTCAAAGTCTATTGGAAAATATAGTTCATAATTTATATATCAGGATTCGTTTTAAACTCCAACTGAAGACGGTACAAGGGTATTGGTAAATCTACAAGAAGTTTTTTGCTCTTGGGAGGACAAAAATTTTTTTGTTAAATTATATTTTTGTTTAATTTAGAAGATGTTTTTATTAACAATGTCATTGAATAGTTTGTCACATGCTTTTAAACGCCTGTCGCTTAGCTTTCAAATTCCACTGAGGTCCAAGCTGTCCGCGTAGTCGATGTTGGGGTAGATGATTGCCAGAACACGCTTCTGAATCCGTTCTATGGCATCTGATAAGTAGGCTGGTAGTGCGAAATAGAAAACCTGACAGCTGTACTCCAAAACAGGTCTTACGCAGGTCATACAAAAGGTAATAATGTCTTGTTCAGGGACTTTGGCGCGTTTTAACTAGACGATAAAATATATACGTTTATTAGCTTTCTTGATAATATTGGCCACGTGGTCATTCCACATCAGGTTGTCGCTTACGGCTAGTTCCAGTATTCTAGCATTCATAAATACTTCAAGCTGACCAGAGTCGATATTTAAGCTTGGGAAATTGTTCGCAGTTTTTGAGAAAGAGATCACGAGTTCTTTGCGCTTAGCAACATTTAGCTGTAGTCTGTTAGTGGTTGACCAAGTTTGGACGCTGTCAACGGCATCTCGGATGTTAGTGGTGGAGCCTTTAGGCACGACTTCGGAAATGGTGTTGTTGTCGATGTATTTTCAGGTTTGTACTTGAAGAAACATTAATTGGAATACAAATCGACCCACATCCGCTGACCATTGCCCTGTCCCCTATTTCATACCCCGAAGGCGTGCTGAAATGTTCATCAGTACCGGAGAGACCCTCCCGGAATCGTAATTTCATCTTTACCGGGGAGACCCTCCCGAACATGGACCACGAATTGGTTACAACAGCGAACATGTTTTAAGCTGCTCATTTAATAAATCCGGGTATTCATTAGCATGAAATGGACAGAAAAACTGAAAATGTGATAAATAACGTTTAAACTTTGGTAAACAGAGGAAAGTTGACAGAGGTTACTGGCAATCAGCTTCACACACATCATGATGAACAAAAATTTATTTCATCTCAAGTACACAGAGTAGAATAGAGTTAGTAGTATATCTCAAGCTAATCACATTTAATAACTAATTAAATTGCTAATTAGGTAACTAAATGCCCAAATTAATGAGGCTTACTAGTTTTCCTAATAAACTAAGTCAAAATTATATGCCAATCAGTTCGAAGCTTCCACATCCCCTCCACCTCCCCCTGTGCAATCCATGGACATCGTTCATCCGTGGCTGGTGGGGAGTTTGAACCCTTCTTGACTGGGGATGGGGAATTTGAACCGCAAGTGTCAATTCTTTCCAGTGGAGTACAAGTGTTATATCTTTAAATGTGGAGGTGTTCAAGATAAATAATTCACGAGAAAACGGTTCTGAAAAAAGGTCTATAAGGTCTAGGTTTTAAAGCTTGGTCAAAGTGTGGAAAGGCACTATCACTGCTTTTGCTTCTCACGAAAAAATTAGGTGATAACTAACAAAATGTAATAAAAAAAACAAACAATTGTCAGAAAATTTTAATCATACAGTATAACAAGATATTTGCACCAAATTTCTTCATAGTTCCAACCGTCTCTCAAAGAATAGAATAATTCTTTTTCTACTCCATACTCCAAAACAATAGGAATGCCAGAGGAGAAAACACCAGAGAAAACCATGTGAATCTCACTGTTTCTACACCACCTAAAGAAAAATAAATTTTAAAAAAAGGTCCTTATCAATACCAAAACAAGAATAATCCAGCTACTATTCCACTAATCTTGACAGAGACAAAGTTAGAGGCAGTGGTGGTTGCAGGCACTGGTGTGCATGAGTTTCAGTACAATCTTTCCCATATCCATATTTTCCTCAGTGCTTCATCCACATTCATAACACCTTCCCCAGTCCCCCTCCCCCTTGCCTTACCTCCCCCAGTCTCCATCCCCCTTGCTTTACCTCTCCCAGTCTCCCTCCCCTTGCCTTACCTCCCCAGTCTCCCTCCCCCTTGCCTTACCTCTCCCAGTCTCCCTCCCCCTTGCCTTGCCTCCCCCAGTCTCCCTTCTCCTTGCCTTATCTCCCCCAATCTCCCTCCCCCTTGCCTTACCTCCCTAGTCTCCCTCCCCCTTGCCTTACCTCCCCCAGTCTCCCTCCCCCTTGTCTTACCTCCCCAGTCTCCTTCCTCTTTGCCTTACCCCAAGTCCCCCTTCCCCTTACCTTACATTCCCTATTCCTTGGTGCCCACTGCTCTACTGGATGATTAATACAATTGAAAGTTTATTTATACTAACCACATTCACCATTGTAATCCACTTGCAGACGTTTTTTACTCGATACATCTTGACCAATTTGTTTACAAGCATGACGCTCCATTTCACACTTGTTGCCATAGGTTTTACCATCAGTTCCACACACTGGAGCATATATATCAGTACAGACAAACTCACAATTGCCTGCAACATTAATACATCAGGAAGGTTATGAAGAGCTCCTATTTGTCTCCTTGAGAAATCTCAGACATTTCACCACAGGATTCCTTAAAAAAATCATTACACCAGGAGACCTCCACCATTTGATATACAGGACCATAAAAATACTAAGACACTACCAGCCTCCAACTGGTCAAAAGCCTTCCATTTATTGCACCAGTAAACCTAACGTTCCCCTAACATCCCATCTGGGTTATTACGCCAGCAAACCAATCTAAAATTCAGTCCATTGCTTTATGGTGTGACACCTGGACAATCATACCACATATACATGACTGATCATTATCTCCAAGTTCAACCCTTTTCTATTTTAGAATTAATGACCCTGCATCTGTCTTTTTAATGAACACATATGCTGACTGAGCAACTTTGTAACAACTCATGCCATGTATTGCTAGTAAGCACATAAAAATTATATACTGAGTGTTGTTCCAATAAGTATAGATTGGCATCTGTATCACCTACTAAAAAAACTTTTAATGTTATTTAATACACTTTACTCATCTCACAACTTACAGCCACAAGTCTCGCATCCATAATTGTCAGTTATGAAGAAGATACCTGGGCAAGCATACTGGGCATGCATTTATGGGAGAAACAATTAATCAACCCTTTCACTCCCAACATCTCATTAGCAATTCTCCTTACTGTCTGCTGTACAGTTCTTATGTGCTAGTTTGGAGAATTTGGTATTGGATCAAATGATCATCAATAATTTTTTTCAACTCAACACTAATCTGATTGATATTGTATTGATATTGTAAGGGGAAATCTGTCTTTGTCACTCAGAGGAGTTAAAGGGTTACTGATTTAAAATTAACGAATTATTTAATAAATAATTCTGATCAAATGTTTTACAACTAGAACATCAATGACATTAGAACATTAAGTAAGAAAATTAATCAGAAAGCAACAACTCACTTTAGATTGAGACAATTTACACTTTAAATTCATTTCTCAAATAAAAATTCAAAATAATTTATGAAAGTAACATTACAACAAACACCCTATTAACTCACACTTCAGATGTGCAGTAAATCCTTCATAGTAAGTGACAGGATCTGTCTTTTCCAAGACACTTGCTCTGAAAGGGATTTCAAAAAAATTATAGTTACTCTTTTATCTTTAATAAATTCTGGAGGTTTTCAAAAGAGAAGTATTCATTAAAAAAGTATAATTCTGACTGATATATATTTTGCTAAATCACTAACAGCAGCATTGCATATTAAAAACCTGACACTTTCCTAACAAATACAGTTCCTTTTTCACATAATTAATACTAACTTACTATGAAACTCAGACAACTTTCACCAGCAGAAATATTTAGGGAGTAATTATGTTTCAGGGAAAATGCTAATCAGACTTCAGAAAATTCAACTGCAAACTGCAACATTGATACGGAGTTTGTGATTTCATGGTTCCTCTGGCATGTCTTGAAATTACTGATTTGTCAATACATAATTGATCTGTCAGAATCCAATCAATTGGTGCTCACAGTTTCATGAGTTTCACAATAAAAAATCATCACAGAAAAATATAATTTTGTCAGGAGCCCTCCTGATTTCATTCAGGAATTGAAAGTAATGCCCCAATCAAAGCTCCAATACTCCCTACCACAGGTAACCAGCATGACATTTGACTATAGTCTGTGCCCAGGGGTGGGAAATTTGAACCTTGTATGGATGGGGTGGGGAATTTGAACTGGAAATATAATTGCCTTTCCAAATTGTCTTTTAGAGCCATTTGCTTCTATGAGCAAATGGCTTAAAAAGACATTTTCCAAAAGGGGTATTGAAGCTTTAAATTGATCAATGCTTAAGCTCTGATTAGACGCAGTCTCAAGTTTCAACAATAGGCAATCATGTGCCTTTGACCCACAAGGATCATTTAAATCAGTGAACATCATTTATTACCTGAAAGTTATGTTTCCAGCTAAATAGCCATCTTTAGGTGCCTCCCATACTAATTTGATACTAGTCCAGTTTCCAGATGTTGTAGAGTTTTGAATAATCTTTGAGTATAAGGTAGCAAAATTAAAATAATTAATTGATAAATAAGAATATCATAAACAGCATGTTTAAACATAACATCAGATAAATAAATTCAAGATTCTTGAGAAGTAGTCAGCTAATGATTTATACATACTGAGAGATTTCCACAGCTATTTTCTTCAACTCCTGAGGATAAATTATTCTTAACAAATTGTCCATTAGGGTATTCTTTCACAGAGTTCTCAGCATAAACAATAAATCCAACAAAACTCCTTGTTTTATTATCTCCACCCGCGGAGCCATTAAGGTAAACTGCAAGATAAATGTTTTAAGTCATTTTAAAAAAATATCTGATTCAGAGATAATAATAATTATTATTATAACATTTCTGAACTAAATGAGAGCTGCCATCTGTATTTCACCTAAAAACCTTGCATTATCCCTTCTGAGATTTCAGCTGTACCTAATCCTAATTAAAGTGGATATTTTCACAGCAGTAGCATTTTTTTAAGTAAACAATCATGCTATCAATCATTTGAATCTAAATTCATTTTTTAACTATTTACAATTAACATATAATTCACGTTTCCAATACTATTCAAATGCTATAGATTAGCTAATCTGTTAGACCACCAACTTACTTGTGTGTAAACCTCCTGAGTAGCAAACTCCTCCAGTATAACTACTGACACTTAGCTGATATGGCAAATTATCAGCTAGGGTTGATGGACTATTCCCAGGAAACCATGATCTCATGCTGGCACAGGAAGGCACATTTGCACCATCCACCCAAAAACATGAGATTACGGTGACAAGAAGTATTGAGAGATGCACTTGTAGTTTCATGGCTGAAAAAGGATGGTATAAGGCATAAACTTAGTCAGAAAAAGTAAAACAAGATTTTTTTACAATAAGTTAATTAATTTTTGTGACTAATTGTTTTTTTTTTAATAATTTATTCATTATCACTCAAGATCTAGTTTCTTTTGGTCTACTCATTCAAAAACTTAACAATATAAAAAAAGAGCCACTCACTCCAAGCTTAATGAACACAATGTACATGCATTTCTCAAAAAATTCAAAAACGGAACCCTATCAGCCTTTAACCCTTTAACTCCCATGAGTGACCAAGACAGAATTTCTCCTTACAATATCAATACAATATCAAGCAGAAAAGTGATGAGAATAAAGAAAAATGTAAATTAAGGGAATATAAGATGATCCAATACAAATTCTCCAAACAAACATCATGAGAACTGTATGGCAGATAGTAAGGAGAATTAATAATGAGATCTTGAGAATTAAAGGGTTAAAAAGGTGCCAATTCTATACATACCAATTATTAATAAGATGTTTTCTTTCAAGGACAGAACAATATTAGAAATTCAGTCTGGTTTTCAAGTGTAAAGCAATTGCAAATATTTCCTTTTGGCTAATATCGTGTGTAAATCTCTCTCCTAAAAAATTCAAAATTTCCAAAATATGTATGCTAGTATTTTTCTCAATCTCTTTGCTTTGTACCATATCTTTCATAGTATCATCATTTTGTATGAATTACTGTAATTAAGTTTCACGTGATCGGTTTACATGAAAATACGAGACTACGAGCTTGGACCATCATTTAAAAAGACACTTGTTGGATTGGACCATCGTAAATCCTTTAAAAGACAAGACTTGCTCTGAAAGGGATTTAAAAAAATTATAGTTACTCTTTTGTCTTTAATAAATTCTGGAGGTTTTCAAAAGAGAAGTATTCATAAGAAAAAGTATAATTCTGACTGATATATATTTTGCTAAATCACAGTTAAAACACTCACAGTTAAAACACAATCGTTAAGACTTACAGTTATGATGTGTGAAAAAAGAAATCAGCAGATTCACAATTCATTGGAAAAGTAGCCCACTGTCTTTTATTTAAGAAATGATGATAGGCTGAGAGATTTTCATTTCCCGAAGCTTTCCACTTAAACTTTCCCAAAAATTTACAACAGAATTTAAATCATTAATTAAACTAAATCACAGATGCAGACTTAAAGAATTGCATTTACAAAATAATTCAAATAGTACGCGCGCTCTGATTGGCCATAAAACCATTTTACATGAGCGTATGTAAACACAGTTTTCGTTCCTCTTTCATTAGTTATTTTATAAAAGAAATGTAAAATGGTTTCCGTGTTTACATAGCCTGATGTAAACACTTGGGAGGTTGGGAGAACACTCGATAAACTGGAAATCACTCCGCTTCGCGTCGTGGTTTCCCACGCTCATCTCGTGTTCTCCCAACCTCCCGCGTGTTTACATCAGGCTATGTAAACACGGAAACCATTTTACATTCCTTCAACAATGTACAGCTTTTTGTTCATCTCAAGGAAGTTTAGTAAAGATGTAGATGAGATTCTCACCTAAACTGGTTCAGATCGTCACCACAGCTCAGCCTGTAGCGAGTTTTTTTTGCGTGCGTCTGTAAGCATAAAATTGTGTTTCAGTCAGCGGAAGTGTAATATCAAACAAAGTCCTGCTGATACAAGGTGGTCGCTTCAGCCCTATTTACATAGTTCAACCGCACTGGGAATGGCACTAGTACGATAACTTCGTTCCCAGGGTCATACGTTCGATAGCGCGCGCGAGTCACTCTCTGTAAGCTTGAGGAATTAGCTTGAGGTAAGTGCTTGAATTAATTCTATTATGTGGGCAATACTACCCACAACATTGGCAAGTGGTCACTTTGACTCTTAATATGAGGTGTGTGAAAAGGTCGCTGGGCACTCGAAAATCTGAGCGACTTCTAACATCCATTCAAACGCAAATTAGTTCACTTGACTTAAATTGGAAAAATCAAAAGGCTTTAAATTATCAGGTCAATTGTTCAAGTGCCATTTCTGAATATAAACTAGAACCGTATCTGAACTTAGGCGCCCGTAATTATACATAATTATACGTTCAGTCTCTAACCTTGCAATCATTTCTCAGGAAAAATTCATATGTCATGTGAAAGGCTTTATGAAAGTGATTGAAAAACATGTGAAAAACACTATCCCTTCCAAATAGTGTTTTTTAACCTGGTTCATTCATTTCGTTTTTTAAGCAAACAATTATAAAACCGGGGCGTACCCACCCACCATAATACTTGAACTGTGATTGGTGGCTGGCTTTAACAGTCCCAAATTTTTAAAGGGCCTTACTTCTGAGGTAGTCGTATATTTTAGGTACTTAATTCAATATTTGTACGGCGTTCTAATATAAAAAATTGCCTTTGGCATTTCCTGAGCCGTAAAAACTTTCAGCGGCAGGTGTCAAGATCGCTCTCTTGTGCATATCATTTACTAGCAAAATTAGAGCTTGTGCGTGCGATAAATCATGCCTAAAAAACATTCGTACCACGATAAATGTATTTGTTTTGTAATCTGGTCTCGTAAAATCAACATTTGCAATGACGCTAAAAGAGCTTTGTGTGCGATGAAATTTTCTGAGATTATAGCTGATTAAGACATTATGAGAAAACATAATTGCGTTCAGAAATCTCTTGAATCCTGTCCGTCAAAATTGACGCGTTTATTTCCGCATCATTACATCTGATCTAAAGCAGACAGCCAACAAATCGCTATTATCGACCTATGACGCATATCGAGGATAAAGAAAGCTTTATGAAAACGAGTGTTTAATTACATCAGACATATCTTTAGAAAAACAAATCTCGATTACACTCTCTTAAGATTCATGCTCTGGTGGGTTGGCGAGAATCAGGAGGGCGAGTCATTATGGTCTCCAATGATTCCTTAAATCTATGAATTCGACCGTGAAAATGGGCCCTGGTCCTACAGTTCCGACTCAAAGACCATTTCACAGCTATTCGTCTTTCTTTTTGGCTCATATAGTCATCGACTTCGTCATCTCTACACCAGCAATTCTTTCAAACGCCATTCTACTTATTACCATCTTCAGAGATTCTCGTCGGCAGAAGCAACTATGTAAGTCATCTTTTACACTTCTTGTAATGAACTTAAGTCTGTGTGATTTCATCTCGGGAGCTGTTCCTGGATGCGGGAGCCTGTACTACGATTATATGATATTCCACACCAGAACTGATGAAAAACTTGTGGGAATCCGAGTCATGATAATAACCACTGGCATTATAACAAATGTTGTTGGATCATGTACTGTAATGGCGATGTCATTTGATCGTTTGTTTGCAATGGAATCACCTCTGCGATACAAAACGCAAGTTGACGTTGCTAAAAAGAAAACGAAAATTTTCATCATAGCGGTTTGGATCTATGCCTTGCTCTTTGTTGGTCTTTCTCGTATCGGAATTTCTCAGGAAATTTCAACTTTGCTATATTGTCATCTTCACCTATCCCTTCCGTTAATCATTCTCGCTGTGGTTTTCTGGGAATCGTATCACGCTCTCCGCTTGCACACAAATCAAGTGAGAACTTTGTCTCCTACAGATGAACCGATGTTCTACGCGCACAGGAAAAGGGAAAGAAAAGTTTTAAAGGCAATTCTCATCGTGCTGGCTTTGTTTTACTTAACATTTACACCGCAGTTTATAGCTCTCAACATAGCCTTTTTTCGTCCACGAATGAAAACTGAGGTTGGCTTTCGATCCTTTCTTTACACCGCAAATAAGATTCTTTTGATAAGCAGTAGTATTAATCCTTTCATCTACGCATGGAGAATCCCGAAATACAGAAGAGCCTTTAAGGCAATTTTTAAAAGGGGCAGTATGTCTAATCAACAAATCAGTAATAATGCTCCTCGTACCATTTCATCACGCGATGCACGATCGGCAGATTCTTTGGATACAAGTGTTGTGAGTGAATGATAGAGACGTAATCATGGTTTGAAACTGATTGAACGAACAATTATAGGAAATTAATATACCTAGAATCTCGGCGAATTCGTTTTAGAGATTTTGGTGCATGAGAATTGTGGTTCACGCTATTTTCACTCAATCCACGGAATTCATGGCCATCAGATTAAGCAACTATATACACAAATCCTTATTTTTTTTTTATTTTTTGGAGTTGAAGCTCCGCGAGATTTTTTCCTAACGATTTCACGATGAAGTATCAAGATGAGATGAAAAAAGGGAAACCGTCTGGTTTCGAAATTAGAAATATGATGACGTTTCGACTTTAATTACACGAATGTCTTTATAAGTCTATGACAATTGCTTCCTTCACCACAAATATATAAATGTAGAGTACAGTGCAAAAACATCTCCTCAAAAAAAACAACGGGAAAATCTTGTGAAAAGTTTGGTACGAGCACGGTACGGTGTTCATGAGTGTTCAGCCAAAGAATTTCTAAAAATTTTCAATTGAACTTATATCTGCAGTTTCTCTAAAGTGATTGTTTGTCTTCCAAATGAGAACGCATTGAGAAGGAATTGTAACTGACTTCTTTTGACAGCTCACTCGCGTTATTCGTACCACTTTTTTTGCTTCAAGTTAATAACATACCGTTACTAACGTCATCGTATTCAGAATTTCAATCCCAGATGGTTTTGAATTTTACACTTTTAAGTAATGTTTTGTCCTTGATTAAGTGTTTACTATTTTGGTAGATATTGAGAGGCATCGGATAACATGATTATCTGGTTATGAGCTGTCAAATGACGTACGTAAAAACTTAGATCACTCAAGAATATACGTAAGTCAATCTTTGTTAGCAGATTAAATTGTCGAGTTACAGACCAACTTTTTCTCTCTTTTAAAATCTACACCAAAAAAATTCCAGACCTTTTTTTACGGGAAGCGGACGGAAAAGTATTGTCAAATGATGTGAAGTTGCTAAAGATTTTGTATGCCACAGAAAGACCAGAAATGCTTTCATAAGCTCAACGTCCATGTACAACACCATGAAAATGAAATGTTTGAAAGACATTCAGGCAGGAACGAGAGGGGTAATATTGAAAATTCAGTAGAATTAAAAGAGAAAATTGTTCAGTGAAGACAACACTGAGGCAGAGCAGAACAGATCGCCAGAGAACGTCGGCTCCCTTTAATTCTGATCTTGTACTGTACTATTTAAAGAAATTTCTTAAATTTAATCCCAACTTCAATTTCCAATTCGCATAGCTTACAAGAAAGCAATTTTACTTTGTTTCCAATTCCCCTAAGAAATTACAACATCAAGCGTACCGTTATCAATTGTTTATTTCTAACCGGCGGAATACAAACTAACAATTTAAGCAACAATTGAAAAAGGCTGAAAAATGGAGTGAACCGTTCCCTTGAATTGCTCTCCTTAACTTCAATGGATAATCCATTCGGGATGAATCACAAACTCACGCTGATTATGTAGACAGACGTGCTTGGTTAACCTTGGTAGCCTCTCCTGCGTAGGAGCAACCCCGAGTGATCTGGGTCATAGGAACCACGCTACGCATTGGTGCTCTCCAGTCGGGTGCAATATCGAACTCAGTTCTTCTTTGCGCCACGTAAATAAGGTCCCCACGTCCACGCGCCGTTAAGAGATTGGGATTTATTTTGTGCCTGGCGTCATCCAAAGTAATTTTTCTTTTCTGGGTTTGGTTGCTTGTCACACCAAAGTTACGTGTTGAAGCATCAAAAGGCAGGCTCAGTTTTTTAAGCGTTGTGGAAGCTTTCTCAGGAGAAGGTTGACTAGCCATGCTCCGAAATAACTTGAAGATTGCTTTCTTCTCTACAGGGAAAGGAAATGAATAAATTCCAACGTAATGTGTACTAAGTGCACTTCCGAATCATTTAAATGTGACATAGGAATTGCATTTCACTGGGTAAAATTAAGACCTACCAGAGTGGGATGCCGAATTACCGATGTAAATTCAGTTAAAACATTAACCTGTCCATATTTTTACGTTGGGGATTAGACGATAGGATTTTCTTATTCACTAAAAATAGCGCACAGTTGGCGCAAAGGTTGCAAAAAAGCCGTTTCGATGCTTCAGGGATCACATATATGTGTCCGAGTCCAATCGTTAAATGCACACGCACTCGTCCCTGATCCGTTCGGCCACGCGCGCGCTTTTATCAAAAATCATTGGTCAAAAATTCCCTGATAATATTCTGCATGTATAACGGCTAGATTCCCTTAACGTCTTTTGAAATAACCTTCTTAATGGATTACAACCAACACTGAACTGGAATTATCACAAACCTTCATCATCGATTATTGGGCGAAACGAGGGCAAGTAAGAATTGTTTAGGCGGAGCTTGGAGGTAGGATTCCATCGTTGGTTGCCAGCTTTACATTGCGAGGATTTTAACCTCTTATGCTGGCAACATTTCATAATTGTGAACGAATATCGAATCCTCCATCATCATATTTGTTACGTGCGCGCGAAAATAGTGACGTATATTTAATTATCACCTTAAATGCGTTGTCGAATCGTATTACCCAGAACCAATAAAATTAAAAAATGCTCGCGAAATAATTCAGAATGTTCCTTTCCTCCGTATGAAATTTCAACTTAAAATTTGTAAAATGAAAACTTGGGCTCAGGATATTAATTTATACGAGGTCGTCGTAATGATAGCACGAAAGAAGAACAGTAGAAACCTTTCAGATTGTCTCCAATTTAACGAGGTCGTCCCCATTTTAAACCAAGAGGTGTCCAAGATGATACAGATGATTAAGAATCCTGACCAATCACAAATCATTTCCTTTTTGGGGGGAGTGCGTTGAGTAAATTTTTACTATTCCATTTTTCCATTTTAAGCGAAAAGATGTCCAAGATGATATACAGATGATAACGAATCATGACCAATCACAAATCATTTCCCTTATCAGGGTAGGAGACGCAGTAGCAGAACGGTTGATGCGCCGGACTTCGCGACGAGAGGTCTGGGTTCGAGATCTGGTCGGGTCATACTGTTGTGTACTCGGGCGAAACATTTTACTTTCGTCCTCTCTTTACCAAGGAGTATAATTGATTACTGAAGAATTGTTAGATAAGCTAAATGAAATGCTGGGTGACCTTGTTGACTTAGCTCTGACGAAGGGCTAATTACGCTCGAAATGTCAGCTTTGAAGCCCTTTATGGTGGCAAATTTATGTTATCAACTCTATTGATAAAACCAAATTAGCCTGACCTTGTGATGGACTGTCGCCTCTGCAACACTCTTAGTTACTTCATGAAACCGGCTGAATGGGCCACTTAACTCCATAATAGAACTTACTTTTCTACCTCAATAGACCAGGTTACAACCTAGTGTACAATTATTACAGGATACAGGGCTTTTGTAATGAACAAACAAAGAAACAGAAAAGCTTCAAGTTGCTTACCTTCCTCATCAGCCTCACCAAGCCACGCCCTGACTCGTGGCACCACTTGTGGATGGAAACTGTCCCTCAAAACCTGAAGGAAAATTATTCCATAGTCGTGGTTTATATTAATCGTAAGTTTAAGGTTGGCTTTCTGTTACATTTCTTCGGTTGTGGAGTTGAGCTTTCGAAATCTATCTAATGGTCCAAAGCCTTGAAAAAGTCGATATGAACGATGACACCAAAATTAAAGTTATCAAGCGGCTTCAAACACTCTCTCACTTTTGCTTTATTTTGGGCAGTCATCAGAGCTGGAAAAAAGAACATGATTCTTAACTCATTCCTTTTCTCAAATCAAATCCATTGGATCGTTTTACCTTTTCTGTTGCTTGTCTTTCCTCTTCCTTGATCCAAAACGATTTGAGCACCGCAAGTTTTTCTGTCAATCAGATACAAGGACTATCTTTAGAGTCATGTTCCTCTGGCAGGTGAATTCAAATAGGGTTTTCATATATATTGATGTGACACCAAAAGCTCTCAACTTATTTGCAAGGAACTATATCGAAATTTGAAGGAGAATTCTTGATAATATCTTGGTAGTTAAAGATTAAGTATACCGTGTCAATTAAGTGACTTACCGTCGTATTGCCCAGATCTCAACCAATTGAAAGCTCTGCGGGCCTTGTTTGGGGTGAAGAGACGAGGAAGCATCTGAGGTAAGCGTATAAAAAGAGAGTAAGGTCATTCCTTTTTCCAGTTTCATAAAGCAAGTTTTCACTAATTGCTCAATTCGCTCAGGCAAGAGGCTCAAAGTAAAAAACACTTTCGCCTTCGCCTTATTCTTTTTTTTAGCTATTTTCGGCGCAGCTTTCGGTTTTTTGACCCAAAGCTTGGTAACACAAGCCAAATTGAAATTCGCTAAAAACACACACGATACAACACTCAGGCCCGACTAATTCAGCGCAAGCCATCGATGCCGGGTTATCCTAAAACCGGCCGCAGTATGTATAATCCATTTTCCTTACCTCTTCCTCCATGGTTTTCTGTCTGTAGTTATAGGAAGGCTTGCTGCAGTAATTCATCATGAACAGCAGTCCAGCTTATGCACTTTCTTCCTTGAAAACTGATAAAAGCACGAGAACGATCTTGTTAAATGAAAGCTGTTGCTGAATGATTCCACCCTTCCTGAATTTACTAAAAAAATTTTCCATAGAACCCCTCTACCACAAGGAAATAATTCTGTTTACAAGTTAAATTAGGAATATATTGGAGTCCATACGTATGCCCACTCACAATCTCTGTTTACCGTCACCCTAACTTTCCTTGTGAAATCATAATTTTTTAAATTTGAACAAGAGAGATCTCTAAGAAATTGTACTTCTCATTTCAATTTGACAAATGAGTTAAGCAAAATTTCACTTGATCGCTTCGTCCTAGTTGCCTAGATACCGCCTTCCATGCATCCTGAAGCTTTTCACTAAAAATTTCTGATGCAACAGATTTGCTTAGGGTTCATTTTTCAACCCAATTCTTTCACAAAAATCACTTTGATTTCTAAACTAAAGGATTTCCGAAGATTTAGATATGTGAAGCAAAGACTTTCAGAAAAAATTCGTTAAATCATTGAAAACTTCTTTGTTTCCATTTTAGTTCTCCACATGAAGAGACTTGAATACAAAGGATGTAAAGTTAAGAAAACTGAGCCGAAATTCTTAAGATGTTTGTTCTTTTAAGTTTCAGGCTTCTGTGGGAAATTTGACAAAATAACTATCTGAGTAACCACTGGAAAAAAAACTTTGTAACAACAATATATAATTCCTACCTCGTGATAAATAAGTGCTCTCGAATTGCGATTCTTACATTTGATGCTACTCTTATCACGATAACAATGTCTGTGAACATGAAAATCTTTTTTAAACAGCATGCACTGAGTATGTGGACAAGGTAAAAAGTAATTAACCTAACTAAACTTACGTTAATTTTGGAGTTCAGATGATGGGGCGGTAAACTTTAGTGATCTTTCGAATTCAATTCCTTTTGTAACCTTTATGTTTTGGAACTTCGCCGAATTTTAAATCTATTTTATTTATAAAGTTATGCAGGATACTAAAAGTTTCCCGTGTTGCGAATCAATAGGATAATTTTGTTTAAATTTCTCGTCCACACAAATCGCGTTGTAGGTTTGTTTAGTAACCACTAGATAACGGTCTAATTGTTATCACTAACAATTCTGTTTTAGGGGATATTTTTAGGTTTACAGAGTGATTACTCACGATTAATTATTAACAATAGAAGAACAGCTAAAAGCTCTTGAGGTTTCGACGTGCTAATGACTGTTAATAATACGACTGCTTTGGCTGAAAATAGGCGAGATAGATTTTAAGTGCTCAAATTGAAATTGTCGCTTGATGGTATTATGTTTTCTTCTAGTTTTCCTCCTCTTCTTCTTCTTCTTCGTCTTCAATTCATTTATTTATTTCACTTAAATTTCATGCTCTCCTGTTACCTTTGTTTACATCCTAATTACAGCGGAAGCCGGAAGCTTTAAGGGCTTTTGGGATATATTGATGAAATTGAAGAAAATTGGACAAATAAGAAACATTTCAACTTCATTTTGAGTTATGGAAACTTTCCAAACTTGATATGGTCTCTTGCGCCACCACTGGAGTTTTGTCCTCATCGTGATTTTATGAGAAATTGTTCTGTTTTTGTTAACGTGCATCAGTTCATTCATCTTTTAAGAATTTTTGAGGGGCAACAACCTTGTTAATTTGAGCAATTTCCCCTGCTCTGAGTGAATTTTGAATCCACTCAATTCTGTGGTGACAAATATATCCCATTCAAGTGAACGTCGTCAATTTGCAGGCATTGGAAAATTAGTAGGTTGTTAGAATACGGCTCACTTTCGTTTAATCAATTATTTATCTTTCTCTCAACTAGCAAACCGCAAAGTACCATTGTGAAAATTAACAGCTTTCCAAGACGACACGACAATTGAAGTCAGTAGGCAAATGAATAATTATTCCTGCAGTGACTTAATTTTTTGCATAAATTAAAGTAACCAAGCAATGTTGATTGTTGTCAGTTTTCGCGGTGGCGCGGTGTAGAAGACTTGATCAATTTTCATTGGGGAACCGTTTTTCCTTGACCGCGTGAACGAATTCAGAAATATCTGAAGAGCTAAAGAACTTCAGATCGATCTTAGTTAACTTTGGTGTTTTAGTGTGAAAATTATCACATCCATTTGCACTATCTCGATTCTCTAATCAACGAAGTAATCCAGGAAGCATCCGCCATTTGACATTTTTGTAGTGCGATTATGACTCACGTTTTAACAAATCTTGGATACCCACATGATCTTCGCTTCCGTTCTAAGTCCGCTGAGATATTCAGAGAACACGAAAGACGAAAGGAGGGTATTCCGAAGACGGAATTCGACAAAATTCGAAGCCTTTCTAGACAGTCATGGCAGCGATCATGGGAGAACCCTGGAGATCCATTGCCTTCTGTGAAATGTAACCACTTTGTGACAACATATTCGACAACACACAACTACAAAGCGCTTCAAGAACCCACTCCCTGCCGACCGACTTCGCCAACGAGACGAAATAACCCTCATCCAACAAGGTTTGTGTCTTTTGTTTGTGTGAAGTGCAAACATCAATAGGTGATTCTATGGTTTGGAGGATAACTTCAAGGTCCTTTGTCTGTGATGATATCTTATAGGGATTAAATGGTAATGTGTTTTAAGCCAGTTCATCAATGAAACGGGAACGATTTCGGTTTCAAGACTTCTAAAAACAGAAGAGTCAAGAGTCATAGCAAAATTATGCGGATCTCGCATGAGAAATTTATGAACCACCTAACAATTCCGAGACGGGATACCGTATTACAAGATGGATCTAGCGGGGATCGGGGGGGGGATATACTCTTCCTACTCATCCCACCTGAGAGAAAATCAAAGGACCAACTAATCTATCAACGTGACGTCGATAAATGTGTGAGAATCTTATAGAGCAGATGTCAGTTACATTTTCTTACATTTCCTTGTATGTAAGAACATCTTAATGTTCACATAAGTTATTTTTTTCTGTAAGTAAATGGCAGGGCAAATTTATTTCTTGTAGGCCATTTTTGCGGCTCCACCTGAGGCAGGCAAAAGGGTTTCCCAAACCTAAAGAAAAGCCACAACAGGACCCATATGATGGTAGGATGAACATTCATCTTTCAGTTATGTTAAAATGTAAACATTGATAAAATCATTCAATGGGATTTTATTTCACTCTGGTTATTGGCCTGGGCTTTGAAGTGTTGCAGTTGCAAAACTGTATCTTGTGGAACATAATTAAGATTTTACAATTGAAGATCTGTGATCAGGTTATTCTGGAATGCATGTCCAATATATATTTTGTTTGTTGCTGAAACTAAATCCAAATAGTAACAGCAAAGAAACCATACTGGCACTAGTCTTGACTTACTCCCAGTTATCAATGTGTCAAGAATGTAGAAAGAGGGCATGAAGTGTGACAGGTGGTCCCTCAACCTGTTTGGTCCCTGTTATGTGCTGTTCAAAACCATGAAGATGGCCAACCACCCTGTTGGCTTTCAGTAATCTTTCAGTTGCAGACTGCTGGCAGTCTTTTCTGTCTCAAGAAGGAGTGCCAATTATCCTCTCGAGACAGAGAGAAAACTTTTGGCGAGAAGGGATTAGGAGGGGGTGGAATGAGACATGGACCAGACGAGGAACTTCAGGAACAACTCAACCAAGCCAACCCTCACCACACCCTAACCTGTGGAATAGCCACAGTCCCTTCATGCTAAGACAGTAAATGGTCAACTGGTAATCCATTTCAGTTGAGGCAGGTTTTAATAAATTTTATTATTTCTTAGTTGGTTATAAACCTGAGGAACCAAATGACAGGCAGCAGACAATGTATTACACTTTATGGGAAATGAAAGATATGCAAAAAAGAGGCCTGGATGAGGTATGCTTCAAGTTAGATCATTCTTGCACCTTAGTTAGCAGAGGTGACTCAGGTGAGGAAACTCGACAGATTTCTCTTTTGTATGTTTTTTTTTCACTTTTTTTGGCCCCAATTTTCACATAACATTTATTAGTGTTTGCATCAATTTTAAACTGGGGACAACTTTTAGAAACTTCCTTAACTTAACTGGTGAGAAGAGATAAACACAAAAACTAAAGGCTACAGGTACACTGCAAAGAACCTCCCTATATAAACTGCAGCACCACTGTTTTTATCTTTAATTTGGACAGCTTTCTTTCTTTCTCCCTAACCTTTACTAAGTATGCTTAAATAATTAAAGGGAGATCTTTAAATGAAACAAAATAATTTCTGTTTTGTGGCACATAAACAGCAGCCATAATATTTTCATCCAGTCCTATTTTTGTAACAATATGTAGCCATTGCAAGCAGGCTCTCAGTAGTAGTGCCGTAAAAAGGAAAGTTTCTCTACCCACGCAAAGATTTGAGACAAATCCAAGAAAGGTTTTCTAGGGGATTGAGCAGTGCTAGACTCTTACAGACCTCTGTTGCAGAAGGGTGACAAAAGGAGGCCTGTTTGCAGGCTTAACAATGTTTCTCCTTTTCAGGCTTTAAAAGCTACTATGACTCCAAAAGCAGTACCAGCAGCACAAGCCTGGGTCAGGAATGCTGGCATGAAAGGTGATGGAGTAAACAACTTGTTATTTAAAATTAGTAGAAGACTTGAATGAAGCTGCTTAGCAGTATTAATTATACACTTTTTTTTGGTTTTTTCAACAGACAGGAAGATAGTGTCAAACATGTTGGATGTTGTACACGATGCACCAAATGTTGAGCAGGTAAATGACTGAATTGGATAATGTAAAATATGTGTTATTGAAAAAATAGTATTTTTTACATACTGGTATATTACACTTGTATATTTAGTTTTTAGCCACGCATGGTTTGAAATTTTAAGTACAAAAAACATAGTTATTAGTAGGATTTTGCAGTCACTGTAGCTAACCTCCTCAAGCTAACCTCAAGCTTAGATAAATGACTGACTGTGTAAATTACCTTATATTTTCTTTTCTTATGAAATAGACTGTTAGTTCCACATTCAGGCCTGATGTTGTACCAGCTGTGAATCGATGGCTAAAGAAAGCTGGAAATGAAGGTACATGTTCTTCATACTGGGCTCTTAGCTCAATTCTGATCAAGGTTGCCAATTTCCTGGTTCTTTCATAGGTTCCTTGTGATATTTTCTTCATTCAATTTAAGTTTTTGATTACTCTGGTTTCAGTTTTACAACACTCATTTGAAAAGTACTGTAACAAGCACAAACCAATCTTATATTTAATTAATTTAATTTATTAGCTTTGCCAACAATACATACAATGTGGAACATGGGTAAATTACAATAACAATGACAGGCAGGCAACCACAACAGCAATAGCCAATCACTGTGGTCCCAGCTAGACTTACATGATATGATTCTTCTATTGTTCAGAACAACAAGCTGTTATGAGATTGATCCGAACTTTGGCCTCTAATCCAATTAATGATGGAACAATAGATCCAGAGTACACAGGGCAACAACATCCTGACAGATACATCTTGGGGAAGTACACGATACGCCAGACAGCAACTAAAGGAACTCCCATCACTGTTAAAAATCATTTTCCTAAAAAGTCCCATTTTAAGGCACATCCTGCATGGCTTCAAGCTTCATAACCAATTAGGTTTTAGCCTATTCTGGTATTATATGTGAAGTCATGAAGTCTAATGCTGAAGAAGAGGGTTAATCCTTTAACTCCCAAGATCTAATAATTAATTCTTCCTTCTAGCTGCTACACATTTCCTTGTAAATAAGTTACAAGAATTTGTCGTTACGCCAAGGTAATAACTTCCTTCAGATAGGTTTGAGTATACTCATTACCTGATTGCTGAATAGTGAACGGATATCATAAGAAGAAGCTACAAGATAATCACTTTTGGGGGCTAAAGGGTTAAACTCTGGGGCACAAACCATTCACTGCATATTATTTAGTGTATAATTATAATTTCATCCATGTATATAGCTGTCTTTTGACATGAAAAAAAAAGTATTTCTTTTGCTGGAATAGCAATATTTAAATGCAAAATACACTATGGCCTGTAATTTTTTTCTCCTTTATTTCAGCAAAATAATCAGTTATGCTAGTATGTGCATGTAGAATTTTCATCTATTAAAAGTTAAATTGTTATCAGTCATTATTCCTGTGAATTACATTCAACAAAGATAGGGTCACAAAACCCCTGAAAGTACAAGTACAGAATACTTCAAGTTCAAAATTTATTTCATATAGTGTGCCATTCTACTGTATCCAACAGAACAACTATCATGTATGATAACTTGTTATGTAAAACACAGTAGCATCATTTTTTTTGACTGTGGTAACACAGTTTGACTTAACTCATGTGTATATCCTTCACAGTGCATGCCTGATAAGCGGTCAATATTTTTTGTTAGTATCAAAATAAGTATCATAATTGTTAGTTGACAGAATTGTTTTTATGGACTGGGCTTAAGATTTTGTGTCATGTCAATTGCAAAGAATATTTCCTCACCATTGCCATCACAGAGAACCTTTTTTACATTAACTATAATTGAGGCAAACACACAAACTGATCATACTGGAAGCAATTTTTTAATGAGTATTTCACTAGTGTACATGTTGTGAAAGTCTCATCTCGACAAATCTAACTAAACTAGATAATAGAATACTCATCAGTAACATGATTACAATAAATATTGTTTGTGAAATTATTACATTCTATAATTATTATTTTTATGACACATCCTTGTTTGAAACTGGGAGATTCTTTGTTTTTTCCAATGAACGAGACAAACTTCATTTAAAATATGTTTTAAGACTTACAAGCAATGAAATTGAAATAAAATTATTTGCACAAATTCAACAATAATTACCAGCAACTGTCTCACCCAATACTCAAATGAAAACAATGGTAAAAAAATTCATAAAAGGAAGATTCAATTGTTAGCTTGGCATATATCTGTGAAAAAGGCTGAATGTTTGACTCGGATTCACCCAAGACCTCATACTATTTGCCACAATGTCAACACTTTCAAATCCATTCTTCAGTCCATGTTTTGCTAACCTTGCTGCTAATTTTGTCAATGGAGTGGTGTCTGTGTGGGTAAGGAGAGTTGATAGTTCCATCCACTGACACTGTGCAATCTCATCCTCACAATGACTAATGCCAAAGCTTAATGGTTCCATTCTACACACAACATAAACATCAGACTTGTCAAAAGCATTCTTCATTTTGTGCTGTTGTCTGAAGAGCAGAATGGATTTGAATTCTGCAATCAAAAGTAAAATGAGAAGCAAAGAGTGAGACTAAAATGAAATCAGAAACAATCCTGAATTAATATTTCATTTTGTAATCACTGGAGGTTAACAATTGGCATGCTAGCATGCTGGAGGCCATGTAAAGAGATCTGTTAGAATATTGGCTGGTTCATAGTCATGGTCTGCTGAATAGGACACCTTAGCATGTCTCTCTCTACAATGAAGTTTAAATGGGTACCAAAAAACTTGGAGAAAACCTTAAATTACTTGATGGTAACCAGTGACTGACCAAGATCCTATTAGTACTTCTCCTTATTGTCTATTATACAATTTTTTATGATTGAGGACAGGGAGTTTGTTATTATATCAAGAAACAACCCTGTACTGATCTTTTTTTTTTATTCTGATCACTTGCCTGTTCATTGTCGAGAGGAATAATTCTGTCTTGGTCGTGGGAGTTAAAGAGTTAAACACCCTGAGGTAAGCTCTTTATGAAATGGGTAACTAGCTACAAAAATCTTTACCCTTGGCTAGCTTCTTACTAACACAAGGTGTGCCCTGTGTATTACCTGCTCGTATTCCTGTCTCTTCCCAGACTTCACGCACTGCTGTTTCCTCTAATCAAACACAAAAATAGTCAGACAGAAATCACATACATGTACCAACATGATTCTTAAGTCCAAAGTACATAAAAATGAGGTAAGTGAAGAGGAGCAATTTGAATCTGACCTTGGCTCTTGGCTTTCCACTCAGGAAACATTTTAACTCAATAAGCATTCTTTATAACAGCTATGGGGCAAAACCCCATAATTTAAAATTATTATTGGCAAATAGGGATTAACCCAGTTCCCTTGGTATCATACCCATATTATTGATGATCTTCAACATATGAACAGCTACTTTTCAGGTACAATTTAACCCAGCCCTGATTCTTGGTTATACTCGCTAAAATCAATCCCAAAAATAAAGGAACAGATACTAAATAAATTAAACTCACCAATACTTTCTCCTTCATCTGAGAGTCCTCCAGGAAATTTCCAAACTGGTTTTTTAAGTGCCGGCCAATCTTGAGCTGCCAAAAATATTGTGCCAACATTGTCAACATTTACAGTACCAAAACTACCATAATGATTATTAATTACATTGTTAGATATGCCATGAAAACTTTGATTTGCAATGTTAAAAATGGTTTTCCATATCATTTTAATAGAACTTGCAATTTTGATGGTAGAATGATGAAAAACTGTCTTTGATTAAAAATCATAAGAACAATAATAATAGTAATAGCAATCCAAGGAGGTGTGTACTTGTCAAAGCAGATTTTTACAGGGCCTGAATGTGTGTGTTACATACCATGTTCTTGTCCTGGACCACCAAAACTTCATTTTTTTCCCTGTTAAGAACAAGACCTGCAATTTTTTACATTAGAAATGTTGGATATACATTAGACCATCAGTTAAAAATTATAGATAAACCTTTTTCTTGGGAGGGAATCCTTTTGAAACTGATAACTATCATTCAAAGAGATATGTTATAATTCAAAATTTCAATTAAACTATCTTCACTTGGGTTAATTTATATTTCATTTCTATTGTTCGGGACTATAACCCATAATTTTAGAACATGTAAAACACGAGTCAAAGTAGTTTTAAATCATTTTGAACTGAAATCCATATATAAATATGGAAAATTCCTATTAAAGGATCAAGAAAGAAAATTTAGTACAGATTTTACAAGTTCTCTATTTATAATACATCTTTGCACTCTGTCTTTGTTACCTGATACTCCAACTTGATGGGTAGCATAAGGTGGAACTTTATTGTGCTCCTTTTTTGGAAGCCATTTTAACAGCATAGCATGGTCTCCAACAGCATGGTGATAACTGAAGCCATGTTCAAATGCCACTGGTATCAAGTAACTCTGAACGATTGGCACTTTCATCCACACAGACTTCTTTCTCTCTTTTCTCCACTGTTGGATACTTCCTGAGAAAATGGTAGAAAAATCAGGCTTTGCATGAATTGGAGGGCCATGGATGAAGCCACTCCTCTCAAACAAGGGAGAGACAAGGTGGCTTGACCTTTTACACTGTAACATCAGTATGTATATTCTCCACACTCTTCTCTAAACATTTCCTAAGATGCCAATATGGAGAATTTGTACAACAATCAAGAGCTTCTTTAGGGATCAGCTTTTTTATTCTCCTGACCTTAATTTTTGATTCAGGGTGATATGGTAAGGAGAAATGAGATGCCAGTCACTATTAGGGATTAAAGGGTTAATAATTAGTGCCCTGGACTCCAGGTCCAGAGGTCTGTGTTTACAATAAAGGCTGCTTATTGTGCTGTGTTCTCACCCAAGACAATCTACTCTAAAAGTGCCCCTATCTGCTCAGGAGTACAAAAGGGTACTAACAAACAGGAAAGCCTTATGATCTCCTAAAGAGTAAACTCCTATAGACTAGCTAGCATCTCAAATGGGGGGGAGGGGGGAGCTGCAATAATCCTAGTTGGTTTTTGCTGAAAAGACAAGGATAAGCCTCTTATATCAGAGGGGAAAAGGATGATGCAGTGGTGTCAAAGACTCCCATCAATATGGCCACTATTTTCAGACCCTTTTCTCTTATTTTCCACTATGTCCAAGGTTCTCCGTGCTTCTTAACAGTGCTGCTATGGTTTCATCAAGGTTGTCTAGTATAAATCCTTGACTAAAAACCAACATGGGTGCGACCTTTTCCTTCAAAAATGTAAAGCTCTGTCTCGGCAAGGCCAACCGGCATAATTTTACTCGTACTGTTCAAAAAAATTATGCCGATTTCCAAAACATCGGGGAACACGGGACACAATTCCTTTAGATTTGAACACACCCAAAGTTATTGAACCAAGAAAAGAGCCAAAAATAACCACTCACTCGTTAATTTCACAGAAAATTCCACAGGGCTACATTGCTCTCCCAGCTGGTCCAAATTCACGGTCACTCCATTAAAATAAGCTTCGTTCCAATGCAGTTGAGATTCCTCTGCAGAGCTGCATTTATTCCTACAAAAATATAGTCCTCCTATTCCCTTTCTGACAGACCTCCTTAGCAAATGTGACATGAAGACAATGTTCTCTTACAATGGTGTGATATTTCTTGTAATTACACAACACATTTCACAAATTGTCCGCCATTTTGAAAACTGCTGACCAGTCTGCACCCTTTCAGTTTTTTCATTCATATAAGGATACGCTTTATGTCCTATTCTCCTAGACACGTTTGTTGGAACCATTCCCCTCTCAATGTTCGTCTGCACGGGTTAAAGAAAATTGTAGAAGTTGTTCGGGAGAAGTGTCCCAGCTAAATATGTCTGGAAGTGTGGGTTTGAAATCTATTCAAAAAGTTAGTAAGGTTGTGTTGCGATTTACAAACAAACAGAAAGAGCCAAGGTTTACTATAAGATAATTTTAATTCATAATTGAGTTACTCTCAACAACAACAAATGAATATGTACATGATTGTCTTCGTCTCTCCTTGGTACACTTCCAGTCCTCGACAGTGCCTTTGTTATAGATTCAAAACAGAGTGAAATTTCCGACAACAAATTGTCAAATTCTTTGCAAATATAATAAATTAGGCATTAGGAATTACACATCGACAAACAAGATACTTGAAATGCCTTTATAAAAATAACTATAGAAAAACGAACACACACAAAAAAAAAACACTGAATTTGATTCATAATCGAGTGTTCATATGTTTGCACAAATGGCTCTTTTGATTAATACTTTCGCGATTCACATCGTTGTCATTCTGTCATATATTTAACTTTGTACAATTCATGAATTAACATTTAATTTCTCTTTCTTTTTGCAAGAGGGATTGCGTACTAGTGATTGATGCGAGCATTTTATGTTTGGCAAGTCAAACCATCTCTTGTCTATCATATTTTTAACAGCAAGCTAAAAAAAATTAATGTAAGAAACAAGAGCTACGCAGAGGATCTGAATAGCTCTTGTTTGTGACTAGAAAAGTAGTTTAGCAATTTCATTGCCTATCGACATACAGTAATGAAGCTTCGTTGGTTGCCGCCCTATTTCAAACAATATGATTCTACTCCACAGAATAACCCGTTAGTGTTTACCCTCAATCAGGGCAGTAACAAATAGTGCGCTGAAGTCTCAAGCTCTTAGCTACATTTATAACTGCAATATGTGATGCATAAGAATGCGTCACATTCCGGGCCATTGGACATGTATATTAACTCTGAAGCATAAAACCCGTAACAAGAAAAACCTTCCATGAATGATTGGCAATCCCGTTAAAATAAACAAAGAATTAACATTTCAACATAAAAATGACCAACTATGTTGATGTAGAAAGCATCACATGGTCTGATATGGGGCAACAAACTGATGGTCAAAGGTAGAATTTTAGCGGTCAACGAAACCATCTACACATCTTGTGTCGTGTTCTTTCTTTGTATTAAGCCTTCCAAGTTCAGTGTGACTGGGCAATGTTTGAGAAAAACGACAGGATATCATTGATGGTAACTTCCAGATTGATCATAGATTCAGGGTAACAGCGCTGGATGAGATCCTCAAAATGCTTGTATTGTTGGATGAATTCATCTTGCATGGTGTGCCACACAACCTGAAATGACATGATTGGAATATTACTTGTCTGTAATGCTTGCAAGACATCATCCTTGAAGGTTTGTAGAAAGAATTTGTTTATGCATCAGCTTCGACGTGTTCTTAATATTCTTATTCCTGTACATGCCAGTGTAAGTGTAATTTTGGGAGAAAAGTCACAGAAGTGAAAAGTGGTGTGGATACTAGTAAATATAGAAAACTGACTTAACTTCGGTAACAAAGGTGTGTCTTGGTAAAAAAAAATCGACAGTGGTAAATTTAAAAACCATAAAACAAGCCATTGTAGGATTGTTCGACTGAACAGGAAATCAAACGCACTCGTTCACACGAAGGAGCTTGTTTCATACGCTCCATATAAATTTTTAAGGGCCTTAAGTAAGGTAGCTCCATATACATACAAGGCCTATCATTTTACCTGAAGTAAGTTCTCTTCCTCGCACAAATGTTTCTCGACTTTCTTGTACAACAGTTCGAGTCCTTTTTTTATGTCCTTGGCAGGGTACTCCTTGATGTTTTTTCTTAGTTCTTGTTTACTGAATGCCAACTGATATCCGACTTCGTCTTCCTTCACCCCGGCTGCAATACATTCTTGTACACCCTCGAAAAAGATCTGCAAATAAAAAAATGATAAGAACTAAAAGTTTTTTTCTGTTGTTTTTGAAGTAGTAAACGATATCCCTTGGGCGGCTGAAGCAGAGCAATTTTCAATGAGTATCCAAAGTAATGCAAAATAATGTTGGTTTTTTTTTTATCCTCAACTCTATAGGATTGGTCTGGAAAACTCGCGGCATCCACTCAACCAATCCCACGCAACATTAAGACCAGTTGTCTTAATCAATTGCTCTTCCCGCACTTACGGCTGTTTGTTTGATCGCAATTAGGTTCTCCTAGCTCCTTGTAATATTTCCTATGCTGTATTGGCGGTTGAGGATACCTTTGGTTGGTTTTATCACACTCGATCGAAAAGCTCCCAATGCAGTTGATATAGACAAATCAGCCGCATAGAAAAATATCTAAGCTGACATTTACGGAGTAAGTTTGAAGATCATGGAAAGTGTGTGAGGCCAAAAACGATAGTATTAAAAGGAAGGTTAAGAATGCAGAAATTCATGCATACGACGGACTTAAAAAAAAAGCAAGTTTTTGAAGATTCTGAAGACATCAATAGGATAACCCATAAATAAAGCGCCTTCAATTTTGCATCTGTAAAGTCCATCCTACAAAATAAGGCGGGATCCTCTGAGAGTAGACTCTTGTTTCTTACGTTAATTTTTTCCATGGGTCTTCCAAGCATCTCCTTCACGTACAATTTCAGGGTGTCGTTGTATTTCCTTTTGGCCTCTCTTTTCTCGTTTTCCAGGCACACTATCTTGAGACGCGTAAGAACCCCTGTAGTGAGAGTGATAGCGGCAGTCAGTTGCATGTTTAGAATCGTCCTAATTCTAGTGGTAACTGAGCAATAAAAGGAGTGAAAAGAGGGACTAATATTACGTCAGTTAGACTTTATCAACTGTCTATCACCGCCTGCAAGACCTCTGACCACCGTCTGTTGAGCTTGCAAGAAGGCTCTCCTGAGTGGGTTACGCTTACGGCCCCTTTTGCGCGCACAACCGCTGATTACATAATCGGCGGCTAAACTTCGAACCACAAAAGGCTATTGAAAAACCCATCCCTTTAAAAATCGAAAACCTCTTTGCCTCGTGTGGTCCCTGTTTTTGATCACACAATGTTCCTGCCATCGATCATTGAATAATAATCTCTCAGAGGCAAGATATTCCCTTAGGCTAAAGCCGTGGGTGAGTTGCTCTCACAGCAATTCAGTTTTGTATTACTATAAGTTATATTTTTTCTAACAGTTTTGATTTATTTCACTGACAAGTGCTGTGAAGTCTCAAAAAAGTCATAGTAAAGCCCTGATTGAGAGAGACAGCAATTCAGTTTTTACCACTACAAAAGATATTTTTTCTAACAGTTTTGAACAAACGATGATAGTTTTCTGGAGAAAAAAAAGTGATTAAGGTATCAGTCGGGAACAAAATAGTTAAAAAGTTCCGTGAACAAACGATGATAGTTTTCGCTGGAAAACGCAGCATTTGATGGACCAAAAATGACAAGATGATACTGAAAACAAGCAGGCTGAAACACGATTACACCCAATGCCGGCTTATTTGAAGGCTGAATAGCTTATTTCATTTAACCAATGTTTAATATGGAAAGTATCAAGTTAATTAGAAACGGATGGAGCCTAGCATAGCTAATGGCGATAAACTTGGTAAATTGCCGCAGAATAATGCGTGCGAAATTCTGAAGGTGCTTACAAGAAAGTTGAAGCTCGTGTCTTTTTAACCCAGCGAACTCCCCAGTCACTCGCACATAGATGTCTCAATACCTGCCATCACCAGCTAAAACACTCAAGGCCCATCCCACTATAAAGCCTTACCCTGCCCTCCCCTCCCCTCTCCGACCCTACCCTCCCGTCCCTAAATTTGTTATCCTCTCGGCTTACCCATCATGACCACCGCTCGTGGTGTCTTCTGATGTTCCTCAGCCATTCGCTCCACGTTAATGAACACAACTCGAATAAGACTGTGATAAGCTTTGTCAAGGTCATTGCGGCGATCAGAGTTCTTGAACACGTTTTCTGAAATGCTTGCAAATTCCTGTGAGGAAAACAGACCCGTCAGTCTTTATCACTAGAGGGAAGGAGGCGGGGAGGGGATCCCTCATATGGATCTGTAGTAATATAATTTCCCTCCTCATATTAGCAGTTCTTCCATTTATAATCCGTTGGCTACGACTGATCCCTCCAAGAAACATTGAAGAAAATTATATGAAAAATTGTCAGCTCACAAAAGAAAAAACGAAAGAGTTCATAGTCACCTCAAACTTGGTCACAAATGGCAAGATTCCACACTTCTTCGTCTTCTGAATCTTCATTTCCTCAATTTGTTTCTTTAGGTTCGACTTTAAGGGAATTATAATGAATATAAATTGCTATAGCATTGGTAATGCAGTTTCTCACCTCTTTAAAAAAAACATCACCAAACAATTTTAAAGCGTTCACTTACTATAAACTTGTCAAAGAGCCTCTTCACAGAGATAAGGCAGTTTCCAAGCTGCTGGCTGAGGTAGGACACAGGTGAGCCAGACAACTGGGTGGTGATCACAAAATGACCAATCTTGACCAACATATACATGGTGTTACTAAAACACAACGAAAATGAACAATGGTGATAATATGTATTTATCAATTGAGGGGTGGAGGGGAGGGGGGGACGAAGGGGTGTGGGGGAGGGGCAAATATTTGGTTGGCGGTCACGGCGGTCGGACCTCATCCTTCGGACGAGATTGCCGGAGTTTCCATTACGTTTCTTGATGTATCTATACAAAATTTTGCTTTTGGAAGTTATCTATTGGTTTAAATAAAATATGGACAAAAATCCGTTTTTTCTCTGTACACTTACAAAGGATCAAGTCTATCTGCAAAGTGGATGTAACTTTGTAACTCGGCTTCCAAGACGTTGAACAATCCTTGCATGATTTTCCTGAAAAATACGCGAAGGATGCATCATTTAGAAAGACACCGAGCAAACAATTTTGCGGAGCTCTTTCACATGTCTAATCAACCGTTTTGCCTTTTCTCGAAAAAGAGCGAAGTATATTCAAATGCGAGGAAAACCAAGACTTTACAATTCCAACGGAAGCCAAAGCCGAGATCATTTAAGTTCACAAACAGTTCAGAGCGCAAGGTGTTCTGGGAAGATATATTTTCAAAACACCAAGGGTACCACACTTCACCGTTTCAGTTTTTGTGCATTGCCATATTAGGACATTTCCACTGAAAGGTCTAAATATTTGGTTGTCCACGTTGTGGTTCTGATGCTTTCTTTTCAGTCTGAGTTGACATTAGATGAAACTGTGAAAGAGCTCATAAAGAACATCAACATTAAAGTGCATAACAGTGCAAACGTGGAAATGTGCAGTTTACTTTAAAAATAACTTACCGTGCTCTTACTTTGTGGTGCAAGTTACGAGTATTTATCCATTTACTTTTAACCCCATTTACAGAAACCTTACTGTAGCCTTAAGCTTACGATTTAAACCAAACAATGTGCTTTTAACGATAAAAAGTTTAGATTCCTAGACTTCAAATTCTTAATTTATATTTTATGCTTAAATTTATTGAAGCAAACCTCTACAGCGATTTTACGATTATACTTTAAACCTAGGCAGAGTGCAGCTGTGTTAGGACTCAACATACTTCATATCTTCTCGGTTTTTATTGATCCGCTGTTTTCTTTTTCTGGAGAAGTAACAGTCATATGACACATTAAACTAGATCATAGTTTTCCTAATTTTTTTTATCGGGAGGAAGGAGATAACCACAACTGAAGGAACAAACTGTTTACACATGCGGTCCTTTGCTTCATCGAAGACATCTGCTTTGACGATTATTCAAAGACAAAATGAAGTTTTACCCATCAAAAGTGATACTTACTGGAGGAACGCTACCAAACGATAAATGTCTATTACTAACAAATTTCTTTCCCTCCAGTTACCCTTTTTAATGTGGAAGGGATGGGATTACTGAAAATAGACGGGGAGACTGTTTAATATTTACAAATCATCGTCTATAAATAAATGAAAGTAAAAAAAAGAGAACGGAAAAATAGAGTCATATGATGAGGAGAGAGCTAAGCCGTGAGTGGCCTGGAGAGGAGCTTAAAATTGAAAAACCAAGGACTGAAAACAAACATCCCCTTAATTATTTGCCGGCATTCTTGCGTCATTCTTTAGCAACTTATCTCGTGCAATGTTCAATGGTATTTTATCAGTCTTCACAATAATTACACCATGCATGTAACAATACGTGGAAGGGTTTGTGCCTGGTCTCCATAAACCCAGCGTGACATTCTATGTAAAACTACACAACGGTTACCTGACTTCCTCGTTCAGCGGTGTTCGCTCTTTTACATCCCTATAAATAAAGTAACATCGCAATTCTTATCTTTTGCCATGATTCGAGCAATAAAACAGTCAAGGAGGAATAGTTTTAAATAATTGAGAAGTTAAACTACGGGTGTTGGTATTCAAACATTTATTTTTTGTCCTACCCTGTTTCCGGCATTCAGTTAGAAACGAAGCAAAATACTAAACGGCGCAAGTTCCGTGTCATACTTACGTAGTGTCTATGGATTTAATTGGCGGTGCCTTGCTAAACATCGCACCATCAGAAGAGTCAATATTTAAGGTGCTTGGTGTCTCTGAAGGCTAAAGAAAAGAGAAAAGAAAATAAGCACAAACTGGTACCATATGATTTGTCTGTAAGAAAACCACGATCACTGAGTCTAATCAGAAGCTCATGACCTAGAGGGTTATAAGCGTCTGGTCTAATACATATATTATGGTAAGGATGCTGATAGCCTTCCCGAAGGGAATAAAGAAAAACAAACAAACAAATATTTTCTTTCGCGTTTCGCCTTGGTTCGTTCGGCTTTTCTTTTCTCGTCGCCAAACTCTCTCCATAAATGCTTTTATACTTTGGTTAAGCGAAGAGGCTTTTTACACACAAAGTCTTCTCAAATTATCTATGGTAATAATGCAAAGTCAAAGGAAAATCAACAGGTACTGACAAAGCACAGTTTTAAGTGAAAGTGAAACTGTACCGTGATAAAATGTATAGAATACTTCTCTACAATAGAAAATACTGATCATTATCATACAAACCTCTGACTCCTCCAAAGAAAAATCGAAGAACTTTTGTACAAATTCCTGTTCGGCTGTGCATACTGGTTCCAGCTCCAATAACAGAACATCAAATACCTGATTTTACAATCAAAGAAATTGTATGTAGGTTAATAGACGGAAGCGATTTGGAAGTCTTCCTTTTCTTCTTGTATTTCTGCAGTATTTAGGCTATTTTAAATCAACAGTCAGCATAATAACTGGCTAGGAAGACAAAGGAAAAGACTGATAAAACGAACAAAAAGGAGTGAAAATAACAGAAAGCTAAAGGGATTTCAAGCAACAAGCTTGAAAATTTTACATTGATTTTCATGACACGTGCAAAAAAAATGGTAAACTTCACGCTGCGCTAGCTTGGCTATACGGTCAGATTTCACCTCAAAACTATTTAGTGACTTCTATACATGATATATGTAAAGGCAGGTTAGCTAGATTGTTGAGCTATCTGGAGCCATGACTGTATGAACAGCTCAATCCGGTCACGGGGGACCACACTCAGTGGTAAGATCGCGCTTTGTTCAACTCGGTCACGAAGCTGAAAGTTCTTAACTGAACAGTACTCGGGCTCCAATCACAGCTCAGTGACCAGGATCAAATTTTTCATATGAACAGAATACAAAGTTCGTTGGATAAACTGCTCCAGCTCATCGAGACCGGTGGGTAAGCTTATACCCAAGCTGTCTCCGCAAAAGTTTTCAACATACCCTTTCAAACTTTCCTCTGCCCTCCAGCAACTGATCAGAGGAATCCACCGAGCTCATGGAGCCTGATCTTGACCTAGTATCTGAGCCCATCGAGCCAATGGAGTCAGTGTCTTTCCTGTCGGTTGCTTTTTCAGTTTTTCTGAAAGAGCCCGTCTTGATAACGCGAGGACTTGGGCGGGGGCTCATTTTCGGGTCATTCGCACCCGTCGAAGTCCCTGTCATCTTAAAGGCAGCGTAAGCTGTATAGAGAAAGGAAGCCCTATTAACTCCTGCTTCAAATCACACAGAGCAGAAAATATCGACATGTATTGGCAACTTAACCCTTTAACTCTCATGAGTGACCAAGACAGAATTTCTCCTTACATTATCAATGTAGCATCAAGCAGACAAGTGATGCGAGTAACGAAAAAGATCAGCTAGGGGATTATTAATTGATCCAACACCAACTCTCCGTACAAACATCCTTAGAATTGTATCACGGGCAGGCTGCGACCATTTCCTTTCCCCAAAATGGAGGGAACCAAAAAATACTTCCTCTCCTTTTGGGTCTACTCCTCTATTTTTCTCCTCTGGCATCATTTCGCACCCAAAAACTAATATTCTTGAGCTTACCAGGGATTTCAAAACGAGCCGGAGATTGCCGGAGTTCCGCCGGCTACTTGACAACATGTCATTGGTTACTCTGGTCAAAATCATTTCACAGTCACCTTCTTTTGCCGAGTCCGACCCCTACTTCAAAATTTTAAAACCCCTAGCCTACATTTTGTCAACAAAAAATGTTTTGACGTGTTTAAATGGTCCACAAGGCCGCAACATACCTCCTTTAATGTCAAGCCGTATAAAATTGCAATGAACATTGCGGACTTGAATGAAGTTCATTTTCAAACTCGCCCTCTCCAAGACTCCAACTAATTCACTCAAGGTTTCTTCCAGTACACTCCCTCCACCCCCCTCTCCCCCGTTTCCTACTCCGAAAACACAAACATCACGTGACGACTGTTGGGATTATAAATCAAATCACCACTTACTTCGGACGCCTTTTGTCATAGTCTTTTGTTTCACAGCCTCAAAGAAGTCTCTTAGCTCCCTCTCGTAGACTCTGCTCAGAGATTGTGTATACGCCTGACAAGGTAGAAAATTATATTTATGAGTCAAGTTTGCCATCAATTTTAAATATTTCCTTAAAGTGGAAGGAGTGGAAATGTCACATACCTGACAGAGCTCAAGAAACACAGTCTGATCAACCTCTTTCAGCCACTTCATTAAATCAGAGAATGGCGCCAAGTCATTATGACAAGCCAGATGTTTAGGGATACACAGCTCACTAGAATGTTGAACCAGAGTCTCTACGTCTAAGCTCTAATGAGAAACAACGTGACAGAAAGAAACTTTTTGAAAATGTTAAGGTTACGAAAATAAAATAGTGTGTTACTGCGGCGGAACACTCGATCTCTCTCTGCGTGACACTGAAGGAAGATTTATAATGCGTGACTCCAATGCGTAAAATTGCAAAAATGCGTTACAAATCAAGTCGTCATTTTAACATCCATAGATGGAAAATCCTTTGCTTTCACCGAATACGTGGTACAAATACGTCTCTCTCATAGGTGACCGACTATGCGGCCGCCCTATGCTACTGACAAGACTACAGCTGACCGTAGTACGCAGGCAGAACTTACGTGGCGCGTGAAGATTTCCATGAGGTGAAACTTCAGACGTTGAGCAAAATCGCTGCTCAGCTGCCAAAACTTTTCTCTCTGTTCCTTGACAGCTCTCATGTCAGTTAAACCTTAAATTGAAACACCCAAAACCTCAAGACCATAAATATTGGGCGCTTTCCAATCAAGAAAGTGTGGTGAAATAAAATGTCCAAAATTATTACAATGGAGATAAATTGAAGTTAATAAACAACATCAATGAAAACGGAAAGTAAATACAGCTTTTATAAAAAGTACTGTTAGAGCTACAAAAACCTGGAAGCGGAAGATATTTGCCGTGGTCATTGACAGAGGTACTGGACACATGTTTCGAGTTAAACATCCTTGCAAGTTGTAGATGAAAAGAAAAAGCATTCAAAACCTTTCCCAGAAACCGACTTGACATTTAATCCCTTTTCAATATGGAGCGCTTTCAGTCGAGTAAGTGCCGTAAAACAAACTTTAAGACATTTCAACGGCCAATAAGTCCCAAAGTTTACCTCAGAACGAACCAATGAGAACTCGAATTAAGAAAATGGTAAATTGCCTGAAGCGCGGGAAAACACATGAGACCTTGGGGCAATTTGTTTAAGCTTAGCAGCTGATTGGTTGAGAAGGAGGCAGAGTGAAGTACAGCAAAACTTATCCAACTTTGGATTACCTTAAACTAGCTCTTACTACCTGGACTGAGATCTGCTTGCAGAGCATAAAGCACGGAAAACGCGGCGTGAGTGCACTCTTTCAGTCCCAGCCCTTTGGAAAGGTCAGCTTCTTGTAAAGCTACGATGTTACACTCAGGGACATCCAGTGAATTCTGAAACGATGTTTTTAAATAGTATGTAGTCAAAATGGATTGTGAAGATTAATCATACACCTGTTTACATGACCTTCCTGTACGTCTTTTAACAATCGTTTCCTTGATTTGAACTGATATGTCCTTTTCTGTAAAATTCTGTTTGTAAATTTCTTTATCCATGGCTGTCTCTGTTTTTCCACTCTTTCAGTCAGTCGATCGGCCAGAAGTCAGTCAGCCAGCCCGTCAATTGGTCTGCAAGCTGCTAGTTCTTTCGGTCAAGTCCGTCAACCAGTCAGTAAGTCAGTCAGTATTTTAGACAGTCAGCCAGCCAGCCCGTAAGTCAGACGGTCAGCCTCTCGCTCCGCCGGTCAGTCCGTCCATAAGTCAGTAAGTCAGCCAGTGCTTTAGACAGTCAGGCATCCAACCCATCAGTCACAGTCAGCCTCTCGCTTAGCCGGTCAGTCCGTCAACCAGTAAGTCACCCAGTGCTTTAAACAGTCAGAGAGCCATCCAGTTCTTCCATCAGGCTGTCCGTCAATCATTTCATACAGTCTGATAGTCCTTCAGCCTGTCTGTCTGCCTTCTCGTTTATCAGCCAGTTGGTGTTGACTACTTTTGTCCGCTGTTGAGTTTTCTAATTTAATTCTATGTCATCATAACAGTTGAAGAGTATACCATTTAGTGCTTGCTCTGAAAAGTGAAAAACTTGAATAACCCTTAACTCTCAAGATCTCATTAGTAATTCTCCTTACTGTCTGCTATACAATTCTTGTGACGTTAGTTTGGAGAATTTGGTATTGGATCAACTTATAATCACCTAACTGATATTTTTCTATATTCTCATCATTTGTCTGCTTGATATTGTTTTGATATTGTAAGGAGAAATTCTGTCTTGATCACTTAAGGGAGTGAAAGGGATAACACTGAGAAAACTGACCACTACTAATTCCACCTCCTCCAAAAGCTTTTTACGATTCCTGCTCTCTGTAACCATGTGTTTATCCTTATCCTCCATTTGCTCCATCTGAGCTCGCACTTCCTAAGTTATCAAATACATCACAATAAAAACAGAATCAGGCCAACCATTCAAGATACTTAGTTTAAGGCTTGAAGACAAGGTTCAAAATAAGAAGCGGAACCAGATAAAATCGGACAGATTATTCGAAATCTAACGGAATTGTCGAATGTTGGTTGGCGCCATCCGAAATCGAAAGGAATCATTTGAAGTCGGAAGGATCCGTGCGCAATAAAACGTAATCGCCCGAAATTGGACGTAACCGTACGAAATTATACGGGTCTGCACTTCATTAAAAGTAACATTTTGAAAGCAGAAGGATCTCAACGGAATAAGACGGAATCAGACTATTTACCTTAAGACGCGAATCATATCCAGTAAGTCGTTTATCAAGGTTTTCGAGCTCTTTTAACGCATCATTCAACAGCTGCATCAGTGATTCCACTTGAGGCTCAGCATCCATGATGGAATGAATATTGGCCTGCAAAGTGAAAGAAAGTAAATATGTTGGAAAAGTAAATATGTTGGAAAAGTAACTATTCACCTGACAAATAATCAATTAATAGAGATTTAATGGTAGACTTTACCCCATCCAAAACAGACAATTCCTTGGAGAGTTTTTCAGTGAACGCTTCAATGTTGCTGATGGCACTCTCAGTTTGTAATATCATGTACTCCAAGTCACTCTCCTCTCGCTGTGTCAGTTCTTGGTAATCTTCACCTAATAAATTTGTAATGCATGTGAAACAACTATAGTATTTTAAGATTTGTACTTTATGTTACAATGTTAACTCATCTGCCAGTTAAGTAGACAAACCATTCTGGATTCACTGGTTACAGCAAAAAGACCCTCCATCAACAAGTTTTCCTTCTGTCTTTTATCTTTTTGTCCACATGTATCCACAAGCCATATTACACTGTGACACACATATTACTTTGCAGATATGATAATGTCCCATAATGTCTAGCTGGATGGAAAAGTCTTGTGAGCATAACTGCAAATGTAAAAGCACTTCTTTTCATAAAACTACCAACCTTCAGCTCCCTCTTCTGTGTGCTGTTGAACTCTGCTACTCTCAGCCCCATGGATAGAGCCTAAAATGAAACAAAAATACATACAGTTGACTCCCAATAACTCAAACCTTCCTAATTTGAACCTCACACAAACTTGAACCAACATAGATTTGCCCTAGATTTCCATCATACATTTACTGGTACACTACAGTTTTACCCTTTGTAACTCAAACCCTCGATAACTCAAACTTCCTGCTAACTTGAAGCAATTTTCATTTCCCTTCCTGTCATTCTTTTTAATATTCTCACTCTCAATAACTTGAACCACTTCTAACCACATCTTTTAATATGTGACAAATCAAAACAAACAGTGTGCCTAAATCCAAAACATTTACTGTAATTTATTTTAAAGCAGCCATGTAATCTTCATCCTGTTTTGCATTTCTCAAAACATGTCAGTCCACTCCAGGTTTATTCAGTTTAAATTACAGTGCCTGTATCTTCAACTACCCATAAATTGAACTCCTAATAGCTCAACCTTTTTCAACTTCCCCTGAAGATCCGAGTTATCAAGAGTCAATGGTACAAGTCATGTATTTTAATTCACCAATGACTTGCTCATTGCACAGTTTACATAATAATGGAAATGTCAACAATTATCACAATGTTAGTTCAAGAGATCTACCAACAGACATTGGGGAAACATGATAACATGATTAATAAAGAAAAATATAACACCAGCTACAACTAATTTTGCAATGCAAAAGGAGCACTGAAAAAAGCATCATCAAAATGCTTATATCAACACTTGTACCATAGTTTCTGAAATAACCACTGAGCTGAGAAATACTTTAATTCATGTTACCAGCTCAATTTATAACACTAAATTACCCTGTTACACTTTCACATCACGGATTTAAATTAAAATATCACAACAAAGAATCAATTCTTTTAAAATTAAGATATCATTCTTTATCATTAACATAGAAAAACTAACAATTAGATTTTGTTACAGGTAGTTTAATTTACCTTCAATAGCACTGACATTGGTAAAGCTTGGTTTCCTCTGTTTCCCATATCTGTCGGCCACCTGTAAATTAAATGTAATCATTTAAAAACTGATTTTTATCAATATACTCAACAAGCATCCTTGTGACAAATGATCAATACCAAATGTAGAAAAAGGTCAAAAAGTACACAAAACATCTCATTCTACATTAGTTGTATATCCATGGCTCTGGTAGTTCAAAGGGTTGGTAATGTTATCCACTTGATAAATCTCTGTGGTGAATAGCACAGTACGTTTTGTTAACATTTATCCATTGGAAAGAAATTTATCCCTTGGATAGCTCTATCTAGTCTTTGAACAACTGAGGCCTGGGATATACACGAGCCATGGATCCAAAAAAAAATGTGGCAATTAAACACTGATCCCCTAGCTACTTCAGTCTTGATTCAGTGAAGATGCCAATGGAAAGGTGATAAATGATTGAAAGCAAAACGTTCTGCCTGTCACTGTCTAACTTTTAGCACCATCTAACTGTCTCATAATCCCTGTGGAATCTGAAGGTCAGAGGTTAGATTCCTCATGGTGACTCAAAATTTTTTCTTCATCCCACGCTTGTGACAAGATGAAAAATATCTTTCACTATTGTTATGTAAATTGTCATTATGAGTAGCATGGGAAATTTATGGTGAACAGTATGGAGAACTTGCATACTGATGTTTGGGTAGTAGCAAGTGGTAAGTCTTAATAACTTGAGAAAAAATCAACTATGAAAGGAAACTATAATTCATCACTCAGGATACAAACCATCTTACTATATCATTGATGCGATAGTGACAAAATATTCTTCTGGCTGTGACAATCAAAGAATAAAGACATAATTATTACAGTAACTGCAACTTAAATTTAATTTACAATCTTCACCTTCATTATTGCAGTTATAAAATTGGTTTTGTCTTGAATACTGCTTGCTACCCACTTGTAGGTCTTCTCAAATAGAAGGTGAAATTCAGGGGTTTCCTGAACATGAGGATGAAAGTAAATATAAAATTATTTCCATGAATTTAGAATGAACTACATTTTAAGTAAAATTGTGTGGAAAAAATTCGAAGTTTCTTTACAAGAAAACATTGACAGGGTGAAGCACTAGCATACCTTGCACTCTCAATTATCAATATCAATCCAATTATCTGTTATTTACAGGTATCCAACAGACAAAAGATATGTTGATCAAGTAAAAAATATGAAATGAAATTAATGTTCCATACATTAAACATAATGTGGCAGTTGAAGGGTTAGCTCCTTGTACTTACATTAGTTTCATCTCTACCATCAACCAGTTTTAAGTCTCTCAGTCTCCAGTGCATTCTCTTCTTGTATGTATCTTTCTCTGTCTTCTTCACTTGGTAAAGCGACACAGTTTCAGGTCTCACTGTTGTCACTGGATGAACAATGTTGACACATATACAGACACATTTTCAAAATAATGGACGGTAAGAAATAAAGTGCATTTTAACGTTCACTTTAAATTATAACATTAACGTCCAAATTAGTAGGAATAGGTAAAATAATTACAATCCTTATTATCTTCATTGCGATTTTAAGGAAAGGCTGGATTGAACCAAGGCATGATTTGGGTCAGTTAGCCCAGCCCTTCAACATTACTTTGCGTATCATAGTATGCTAGACATGGACTTCAAACCCTAGGGAATCAAATGAAACGTATTTACCTCCTCTAATAATCACACTAACTGGCTCGAGAAAATTGGGATTTTCCTCAAATAGATCAACAAAGCATTCACAAATTATGCCTAATCTAATTCAAGTGTTGGAGCAATGAATTTCATTTCCTCCTCGGCATCTGCAGTTCTGAGAGTATCTTCTTCAGTATCGTGTGAGATTTATAATATAAGGAGCGACTGTACTTAATTTGCAAAATCATAGAGACAATTTTCATCAAAGGTGATGAGCATAAAGCCTATATCAACTCCACAGTGAAAGACACTGGGTGTACGGCAAGTTCTTGGAGGATAAGCCTAATATTTGCGGAAAGATCTTCAGCATTAGAAAAAGGGTCTCGAGATAAATTCATACCAGCTAAACAGAGGAAACTTGCTTTCTTCTTTTTCCCCGCTTTAGTTACGCTTACAACCGCATAGAGTCGCTCCTCAGTTGGGTTGAACAACTCCTTCTGTAAGTTATGCTTTAAGGCCGCCATGTTTACGCCATCAACACCTGGCACCAGTCTTCCGCGATCATGAAAACATTTCCTTCTCACCCCACCCCTACCCATGTTAAAAGAAGTCTTTGTCTATCAGTACATTTTCGCACAGGCAAAACTTATCACAAAATCCACCATGAAAAGGGTTATTATGAGGCTGTATAATTGCCCCGATTTAGTATTTCGTGCAAATAATAACAGATTTTTTCTTCATCCAGCATATGTTTCAATCACTCATAATGTAAATGCGACAAACTTACTAAGTGAAACCAGAGGGCAGAACACAATTTGAAATGAAAAAATTAGAAAGTCATTTTGCTTAGCTTTAGAGTGCTTCTAGCAGTGACAAGGCAGATAATGAGAACAATAGCACCATTAATATAATAATTCATCAAACGCTTCACGACTAATTTGACCCAATCCGAAGAAGAGAAATAAAGCAAAACTTTGCTGACTCCTTTTAAATAATTCCGCTACGTTATGAATGAAACATTTCGATGGTAGGTGGCGTGATCAGTTTTCATGTGAAGTAAAAGTACATTGATGCAGTACAAGATAATAAGTGATGCGGAACGTAATATATTGGGTACGACTGTGAAACTTTTGTTGACGACATTAGCGCGATTTTTTTTCGTCTTTGCTTCAAGTGTTTATCTGAAAATGAGATCGGCTGCAATTTAGTTTTCCATCCGAAAAAAAGGAACGATAGAGGCATTTTCTGATGCAACGTACAACGAAAACTTCCTTTTTTGGATAACGAGAAGTTATTGATTGAGTACGATGCTGGTCGGAATCGTTCGTTTACAGGCTTCTTGAATAAGCCATTTATCTCGGTCGTCTCAAGCCAGAGATAGCAGGTCACATCAGCGTGTTCTGACACAAAAAATTTATAGAAATCACATGGATTGGAAGGTTTCTAACGGCTGGCACTCCTCATGCCATGGCTGATATAGCTAGGAGGTAGGTTGTAAGAGTGATCTGTCTCAATGTTGTTCCGAAGCGGCTGCTATTATTTTTATGCGACTCCAAGTCGATTTTCGTGGCGTCTTCCCATCGACGGAGTTTTTGTTTCGTGCCGGTCAATTTTCTGGCGCGTAATTTTTGATCCGACCCTTTTACGTTGTTTATTTAGTCAATTTGACACTCTCGTGTCATTTTTTGTGTAGAAAAAGTGCTGGATTGACTGTTAACATGGCAGGAAAGGTATCTACGGAGGGTAACTCGATTGTTACTTCGCCTGGAAGTAGCTCGAAGACAGCAATCGGGTCACCGACCAGTGATGGAGGGAGAGAAGTGCGCGAAGACCGCGCTTGGAAAGCGTACGTTTCACAGATTGATTCCCCCATTTCGTCTTCGTTATTGGTGAATGGAGAAGACTTAAATATGGCGTCCAATCTTGGATTCCTGTATGATTATTACGAGGTGACGGAGGAATCAAGTCAGGCTCCCCCTTCGCCCCCTCAAGGGTAAGACTAGTGTGTCGTTGACGTAACGAGCCATGGTGGATTTATAAAATTATGGATCGTTCGCTTTTACCTCGTTTATGCAACTCTTTACATTTTTCGGGAGGCCTAGTAGGGGAATTTTCATTAGCCTTTTGTTCAGAGGATTTGTTAAAAAAATCTACCCAATTACAGAGGGGAATGTTTTTGTTATGTTATTTATCTAGCGTAGATTTCTAGTAAAATTCGATTTGAGCGTGTCGTTTTCTTGTTCTATTGGAAGAGGAAAGGTATGCTTTTGAGCTGAGGCTTTTCAATTCGTACTTTCATGAATCTATTTTTTTTATCACAACTTGTTTTCTAGAGGAAAAAAGTGATGATCTTCGTGATTAATCCAAGTATTGATAAGGTTTGCGAATATGTACCCCACTTTTGACGCGAGAGGGCTACTTGCGGGTAATAACCACATTAACTTTTCTCTGTTTGCTCGATTGCAATCTGTTTACGCCATCATTAACTTCACATGGAGGACTTTCTAGTATGGAAAAATTTCACATACCCTTCTCTCCGCTCCTTTTCCTTTAGTTAATTTATAAGAGGTCTTTCGAATCTTAAAGAATTCCCAGGTTGATGTGAGAAATATAGCAATTGGTGAAAATAGCTACATAACCTTTTTTGTCTGAACAACAATGCAACATTTTTCGAGGGAGTTTTCAGTATTGATCTGGTCCACGCATTTTATTGATTTCCTAACCATCAACATGCTCCCCAATCTTTCCAAACACATACAAACGCATACACTTCATTAATATGCAAGTCATGTACATGGTCTTAGAGAGGGGTCATGTTTACAATTAAGAAGCTGAATGTGGTCCTCAGATATGGTAATTATGATATCAACTCAGGGAGTTGTTCTCAAATTTTGTAGTATTAGATTTTGTCAGTCACGGAAGTTTAGATTATGCTTGGTACTGTGACCTTGGCCAAAAAGGAAAAACTTTAAATAGAACTTGTTGTCTCTAAAAACATTGCCTTGAACCCCAGGTCATTATCTTTGTGACAAGCTGACATAAATCTGTGAAATCAGAGAGAGTGATTTCTCTCAACAAATAACAAAACAAATTAATCTGCAAATATGAACTTTGATTTTCATAATTAGTTGTCAGGGCGTTGATGAATGTGGCAGGAAGTCTGTGTCGTGCTTTCTTTCAATTGATTAATTGGCAAGTCATCAAAATAGTTGATGCGACTACTACTAGTACATTTTCAGTGACTGAACTTGTAAAGTCCCACTAGTGACCAAGACAGAATTTCTCCTTACACTATCAGTACAATATCAAGTAGACAGTTAATGAGAATGTAGGAAAATTTCAAATAGGGGATTATTGTTTGATCCAATTCTAAATTCTCCGAACTAACATCATATGAATTGACAGAAAAGTAGAGATGGTAAGTTTTGAACTTGGTGAAGAATTAAGAAAGATGTTTTTTTCGTCTTGTCATGAGCGTGGGACAAATAAAAAGTTCTGAGTCCCCATTGAACCTTAGACCTCACTCGTGACAAGACGAAAAAACATCTTTCTTAATTGTTCACCGAACTCAAAACTTATCATCTCTACTTTTCTGTCAAAAACATTACACTATCAACATTGCTGATCCTAGCAGTATGCAGGACATGTGTCATTAGAACTTCGTAATAGACCCCGCTCACCGAAAAGGCTTTGTGGTTCAATGGTAGAGCATTGGAGCACAAGTCCAAAGGTCTGAGGTTTGATTCCTCATGGGGACTCAGAATTTTTTTCTTTGTCCCACACTCATGACAAGACAAAAAAATCTTTCTTAATCATATGAACTGTATGGCAGACAGTAAGGAGAATTACTAAAGAGATCTTGGGAGTTAAAGGATTAAAATTGCAATAGCTCAAGTCTAACTGTTATCATTATTATAGGTATGTCAAAAAAGAATTGAGGGTGTGGCAATTATATTATAGGTATCATAGTAGCACTGTCTTTGTTGCTTGTGTTGTTACTTTTATGAGTCTTCTGTCACTGAAATTATGTGATATTAGATTTGTTCATCAGTTTTGTTGATACTGTGAATTATGTTTGGCTCGAGTGCCAGAAACTTCTGACTTCAAAAGAAAGTAATTTGAATCAAGTCCAGGAATGAACTCCAGAAAATTTGGAGTGTGTGTTTGCTATAAACAAACTTCCCCTATTGAAGAAATTGTTAGTATCAGCTTAACCCTTAAACTTCCATGACTGCTAATGACAAATTTTTCCTTACAACAACAAACAGGCAAGTGATGATAAAGGAAGATATCAACAAGGGAATTATCGGTTGATCTAATACCAAATTTTCTGATCAAACATCATAAAAATCGCACAGAAGACAGTAAGGAAAAATTGCTCATGAGATCTTGGAAATAAGAGAGCTAAAAGAAAACAAAAAATAAAGGAATGTAAACATAAACACTGAAATTGTTTTACTGTTGCTCTCTACTTTAGCTCTGGGGGAGGAAGTGGTCAAGGGAACCCATCCTCCGGAAACAGCCATTCACAAGGAGGAAACAGTGATTCAGAGTCTGGGAGTCCTTCTCAGTCAGAGGTAAACAAACTATCATGGCTGGTAAGGTTAGCCATATTGGGTTTGATTTATTTTGTCTCAATTAATACTTTTTTGCTAGTAGAAGTAGAATCGTTATCTTGTACAGAGCAAATTTGTTACAAGCGCACCATTCAGTTACAACAAGTGTACTGCCATGATGTCTCTCACTTCATGTAATATCTTCCTTGACAGGTGTCCTAGTAAGGCTGGTTTTCACTAGCAACATAGTTTAAGGCAAAAGAAAATGCTTCTGACCAGGCCCCGGTCCTTCGAGGTTGGATAACGCTATCCACTGGATAAAACTCTATCTGGTGGATAATGCTATTCGTTTTGCTAGCACTTATCCACTGGATAGCAATTTATCCTTTGGATAGCGTTATCTGCCTTTTATACAACTGGGCCCAGTTCAAAGTAGATAATCAGTGTCCTAAGCAGAGTCATAAAATCAACAGAATAAAAATTAGAAAAATCAGAATGGCTCCATTTTTCTCTGTTGTCCCTTATGGCTCTTGACAATCATGATCTATTGATCAATTCTGTGATTGGTGGATTTGACTGAAAGGACCAAGTATGATTGGCTTCTTCAACTGTCCCATTACAGGTGTCCAATTACAGTCGACTATCTATTACACTGTCCAATCACAACTCTACAGTATGATTAGTGAAAAATAAAGCAGCTTCTGCTCCAATCTTATTTGAGGAAATTGTAATAGTTATGATTATGATAATAATTATGTTTGTGATTGAATAGTTATAACATATAAAAATAAATATATATATGTGTGTGTATATATATATATATATCCATTTTCAAAAATGCTGTGATTTGAATAAATACATGAAACATGTATCTGTTTTCTCATTGAACAGAGACACTTTTTGACGAGAAAACAAAAGCTGTATATATTTCATATATTTTTTTTAAAATTGCAATGTTTTTGAAAACAGGTGTATATATATATTAATTTATATGAACCATAAATATATATATTAATGGTGTTGATAATGGCAGTGACAACAACAGTGATAAGACAATGGTAATAACAGTATTGGCAATGACAGTAACAGTATTGGTAATGATAATACCAGTATTGGTAATGATAGTAACAGTAATGCTATAATGGTGATGACAGTACTACTTTGGTAATCTCTTAAGATGCCATCTCAGGGTGTGAAATTGCGCCTAATACAGGCGCCAATGTGACTAAATTTTTCACTTTGGCGATCAAATCCTGAAAGTTCGTCGCCAAATTGGCGAATAAATCCGCGGCAAACTTCCTTGTTAAGTTTGTTTCCAAAACGTAGCACATGCATCTCGATCAATAACTAGATGCCATCTTGGATTTAGATGAGCCTGAACGTTGTATATCATACATCCTAGTGTCCACTTTGTAGCACGTTAAAGATCTTTTCCCTAACTTAATTTTGGAGGGTCTATCTAGAACGCTGACAGCGTAAAGAAAGATTTTGTTTGTCTTTGAAAATGGCGACCAACTTTTTTTGAATTGGCAACCACTTTGAAGAATTTAGGAGCCAAGTGGCTATCAGAAAAAAAAGTTAATTTCATGCCCTGCATCTTGAAAGGTCTTTTTATCCCCTTGTAGATAGGGGTGTGCTGGTATTGGTACAATTAGTTCATGTATTAACTAGCATTGTTATTTGGTATAATGAAATGTCTAATTCTGGTGTTCTTTAACTTTTTATTGATGCTTAGCAAACCACTCTTAGCTTTTTACAAGCAGTGCAGCAAATAAAAAGTCCAAAACACAGGTAAGAATAAAAAGAAAAACCATCTGACATGATACATGCCTAGCCATTGCTTCTACATTGCTAAGTTTTGTTTTTATATTTTTGTTGTAGCACACAAGTCCAAGGTGATCACCATATTACTCCCAAACAAGAAAAAATGACTCCAAATGTCAAGGTATGTTTCAAAGCATGTGATATGATTTTTTTTTTTTTTTAGCCTGAATGAATTAAATATATGTTAATTTAGGCAAGAATAAATCTCATCTCTGTGGAAACAGCATATTTTTTGCAATATGACTCATCTTTAAAATTTTATTTTTCAGACACTCACCCTCGGGCAACAGATAAAAGTGCAACCAAGGTGAATTTTTGTAACAATGAACCTGTTTGATTTCATCGAACTTGTGTTGTGTGAAAACCTGTGTTGTAAATGAACTATAGACTCTTGGTTTAGAGAACACGTGCATTTCATTCTCAACTTTATAAAAACCTATGGAAACAACAGATGATAGTAGTTATTTTGATAACCATTCTATGTTTCTTCTAAATTAACTGGTAGACAGAGGAAATACCCTCCACTCTATACTTTTTCTTGGTTACTTTGTGGGGATGTTGATCTGTTCTCTTCACTAATCATGCAAATATAGCCACTTACTTTTACAATGAAGCTACCTACCTCAAAACATACTGCAAAGCTCCCACCTGAACTAAAATGTTGATTTTGTAATTATGTTACTTGCAGTACATCAAGTTGTAGCCACACCCCCATACCTGTGGCTCGCCCTTCTTCATACCCCCCCTCAACTAAAGCCCCACAACAAGTAAGCGATGTGTCGCCACTCTCCCTGAGCACCACCCCCCCTGAGGTAAGTGTCATTTACACATATGAAGCTGCTTGTTTGGTTATTTGCTCAAAGATAAATAATGTTTTTACCCTTAAACTCCCAAGAGTGACAAAGATAGAATTTCTCCTTACAGTATTGTTACAATATCACACTGAAAAGTGATGAGAATAACGAAAGATACCAGCTAAGGGATTGTTAGTTGATCCAATGACAACTTATCTGGACCAACATTATAAAAATTATGTGTCAGACAGTCAGGAGAATTACTAATGAGATCTTGGGAGTGAAGTGGTTCACTTTCAGCAGCATTTAGCATCTGCAGTTTAACTATCTATTAAACAATTCCACATTAAAGTTAAATTCTTAAGTGTAGGGCTGGGGAACATTTTAAGGCCTAGGTCCAGTTGTATGAAGGCCACATAATGCTATCCAATGGATAAATCACTACCCAGCAGATAAGTGTTAACAAAATATGCTGCCCTATCCACTGGATAGAGATTTATTCAGTGGATACAGTTATCAATGCTTCAAACAACTAGGGCCAGGAGAGAAATCTTATGATCATGTAATGGCACTTTTTAACTGAATTTTCAAAAAAAAATCTAGGTTTGGGTTTGCTTCCCTTTAATGTACACTTTTGGAAGTCTAGAAAACTTGCATGACCCTCTTGACTAGTTAGGTGTAAAACTTGAACCATTGCCACTTGTCAGCTCAGTATGTCCTTTTCTTGAGTCTGTTGCCATGTTTTTATTTGAAATTCTGGTTGGCTTCATGTCATATATTTCTTTAATGTGTTAGGTTGAAATGTTATGAATATCATTCCTTTTACCGATGAGAACAATTATAATGAATGGCATCATCTTACTTCTCAGGCATTTAACTTCACACCATACACCCAGTCGCTGAAATCCACACCCACTGTTTTCTCTGCTCAAGATAGGTAAGCATACCTTTAGGACTTGCATTTAAATGGTACACCTATTGCAGGTATGTCTACTAGCATCACTAAACATTTTGAATGTGTGTTTTGTTAGGTATTCCTTCATCCTTGAGGCACCTACATCCATTATACAAAGAAGAGGAGATGACACTTTGACATATCTTAACAAAGGTAAGAAGGTTTGTCTTTCTGAAGGGGCCAGAATTTGAGAGTAAAGCAATAATCTCAATCATTTAACTCCCAGAAGTGATTGACATGTAAATTCTCCTTATAATACACATACATTATCCAGCAAACAGGTAATGAGAATACTCAAACTTATCAGGTAGGTGTTATCTTGTTATTCTTGTAACTAATTTATAAGGAATTGTATACCAGCTTTTGTGGAGAAAATGAACAATAAGATTTTTGGGGTGAAGTGGTTGAATTGAATACAAAGTCAAGACCTTCATGTAGTAGTAATGTGTCTGTATATTTTACTCCATTCCCTTTAGGTCAATTTTATGCTATAAGTTTTGAGGGTAATGTGGATCCCCCATCGACTGAGGAGGAAATTCAACGTGTGAAGGTATATTTGTGCTGACTATTTCATAGACTTGTAGAATTCCATCATATAGGACTAACTTAAAAATTACTTGAGAAGTTTTTGATAAATCTGTTTTGGTAGCTGAATGAAGATTCTTTCAAACAACTTTCCAGCAAAAATTTTCTGTACCTTATTTCATTTACAACTTTGCTGAAAACTTGCAGTCTCTCCTAAAGAGACATTGCATTATTGACCTTTTCATACCTAGGAGGGACCAACAGTAATTTCTCTGTACAATTTCAAATAATTTTCATGCAATAAGATTTTCCCAGTTGTTCTGACATAGGGCTTACGCTCAAAACGTCAGCCTTTAAACTCTTTACAGTGGTCAATTTACGTTTTAACTCGGTTGTTAACACAAAATTACCTGTTAATTTTCATGCCAACAATTTGGAGATTTTACATTAAGTACAGGAGTAAAAGGATTAATTTTTAATAGTCACAATCCTTTCTTCACAATTTTAAATGTAGTTGTTTTTCTTATTGCAGTCCTATGTTCACTTGGTTTTCCGTGATGAGAAGGATCCAAGAACAGAATGCGAACACTGGCAATATTGGCACAGCCAGCAACCTAATCCCCAACAAAGAGCATTCGATATAGGTAAGTAAAGTAACTGTACCATAACTTTTAACTTGATGTAGAAGGAATTGTTGGAAAAAAAAAAAAAAAAGAAAAGAGCAAGATGTTATATGACAGTAGGAATGTTAGCTTCCCATACCAAAAAAAACATTCTGACTTTATTGTTGCAATGATGATATGAATGTTTCCACACCTGCATAGTTTGAAAAAAAAAGAATAGATTAAATGATTCATGACTCTTGTGTTGTTAATAGTTTTTCCTTTGTTCTTTCCTTCAATGTTTATTTCTTTTTTAATGCCTTCCCTTTGTCCTTTCTCTATTTGGGTCATTTGAACACAGTCATACATGTGTGATATTTCCTCTTTCATGTGTTTGTTCAGATCGCAAGTCTTGTCAGAATATAGAAGACAACATAGATGAGATATCATACAATGCAGCTGGGTTTACATGGAGCCCTCACTTGAATGCAAAAATAGTAATAAGGATAAACTGCCTGAGTACTGATTTCTCCTCTCAGAAGGGAGTGAAGGTGTGTATTTAATTTCCTCTTTCTGTTTGAAGGTTGGTTTTCACAGGTAACAGTCTTCTAATCAGAGTTGTACTGTTCTAACAGTGCATATGACTTATTAAAAATAGAACTTCAGAGTTGTAAAAGAAGTGATAAAATCAACAGAACTGCATTTGGAAGAGTCATAGCATTCCTATGACCATTTAGTTAAACTTCTCACCCTAATGCATATGATCCAGGGCAAAGTACATGGTGAACATTACTGAAGTTGCAAGTCGTTTTGGAAAAACTAACCAATCACAGTGCCAGTTCTAAGGCCCTCTTAGTGCTTATGATTGGAACAATGTTGTTTTGGCCAGATTTCAAGAGGCAAATGTTCAAATGGCATTGACATTCTGCTCCAGTTTTCATTAGCTTGGTTCTCACTACATTGCATCCCTCTGTGTTTTTCTGTGCTTTTGATGTCAGTGTGGCCCCTGTCATAAGTGAGAACAAGCCTGAATTGTCTCTGCATTGTAAAGCATAAAGTTATCATTTTAAGGTAACAAAGCTGGCTGATTTGAGACCAGAAGTTTAGCAGTATTAGCTGCTGAATTGATCTACTTTACTGTTTATCTTTCTCAAGAAATTTTGTCTAAACTTTGTTTTTTGTTGTATTTCCTTCAGGGCATTCCACTGCATCTCCAGATCGATACATATGAAGATATAACCAATCCAGATGCAGAACCTGTACACAGGTCATTCTGTCAGATAAAAGTGTTCCGTGACAAAGTAAGTGCTTCTTCTTCTTCCTGGTGAACATCATGAAATATTTAACAGATGTAGTTGGAAGAACTGGTTGGTACAATGCTAATGCATATGCATGGTTCATTAATTGTTTTTCTCATCATGCTTTTACTTTGTCCTTCCTCAATTTAACCCTTTAGCCCCTAAGAGAGACTAGAATCTAATTTCTCCTTACTGTATCCCCCCTGAATCAAACATGTAAGTCATGAGAATAGAGGAGATGATCACCAACTAAAGCAGCTCTTGATTGTTAATCAATTCTCCTTGTCAGCCTCTTTGGAAATTTATGGAGAACAGTATGGAGAATGATCACTGTGACAAAGGGTTAACACTCAAAACATCAGCCTTTAAACTCTTTACGGTGGCCAGTTTATGTTATCAACTCAGTTGATAATATCAAATCACCCTGTCGTACTCTCCCACTGACACAGCACCACAGTTTCTTTAGAAACTTACCCCCTTTATCCCAGTATGGAGAATATGCATACTGATGCTAGGGTGTGAAGGGTTAATACACTATTTTGTTTTATTCAAGGGTGCTGAACGAAAGAACAAAGACGAATCAAAGAGTGCGGAAAAGAGAATTCAGAAATGGGTGAAGCAGAATACATCATCATGTGCTGGTTAGTTTAACTCTTGTGGTCACTTTGATTCTAAACACAAATGTTTTAGCAAGTATGTGTTTACTGTAATAGCCTTTGCGTGATTTAGAAATGAGTAATTTGTTGTGTTTTGTTTTTCAGATCCCAACATGGTGTCTCCTACATCTCTCTTTCATCCTCCTAGCAAATACACACGGCTTCAAACAACCACACCATTAGGACCAAAACCTATTCTGTTTACTCCAGCTGTACACAGCACACATGTAAGTTGATCTTTACAACAATTACTTTCTGTGTATACCTTATCTAAAGGAGATACAGCAGTCTTGCAGTTAAGGCACGGGACTCTGGGACAAGAGCTGCAGGTTTATGATTGGGCTATATCACTGGTTTTTTTGTTAGTTTATCTATTTGTTGTTATTATTATTTTTTATTCATTGTGTTGTGATCTTGGGTATGACATTTAACTCTCACTAGGCTTCTCTTCACCAAGGAGGATAAACAAGTTCTGGCAAAATGTGAGAGAAGCCTTACAAATTGTCAGAAGGTAACCTAAAAAAATGGCTCTGAATCCCACCCAGGGGAAGTAATTATAGTCCAAGTCACTTAATGCTATGAAGATTTAACTAGTGTTGATTCTCTTTCTTTTATATGACAACAATCTGGAAATCAATTTTTCTACCATTGTTTTACTAATGTTTAAATTATTTTTTTATTAAGATACAGGGAGGCTTTGAGGAGTCATCTTTGCAGACATTGTCTCTGTTAGCATCCATAAAGTAGGTTAACTTTTTCCTTGGATTATACCCAGAATGTTTCATTTTTTTAATTAAAACTTCAATTGCGGGATATACATGTATACCGTGTACATCCAGAGAATAATTTTTTGCTTTTCATATTTTAGGGATCGTGAAAACAAACGTACTCTACAATCACACCTAGCCATGGCAAAGGTAAAGACATGTCTGGGTTTTGTTTGGTTGTATGCTTTGTTTCATTTCATTGTTTACTTGTGTTCTTGGTGTTGATCCAAGATGGTTACTTCCATTACTCTACACAGGATGAGCTGGCTGATTTAGAAGTTGTTCCTAGATTAAAAGTACAGAAAATCCACAGACCCAATAGACCAGGTTAGTTTCCTCAGGAAGTGCTGCTTGATCTCAGTTTCAACCTGAAGTATTGCTTCTCTTTCATGATGATGGGTGCAGGGGCATAGCCAAGATTTTTCAAAAGTAGGGGGGGAGGGGTCACACTGTGTTAAACAGTGAGTACTCACCAGATTGGTATGTTGACCTCCACACTGTCTCATTTATTGTGACAAATGAGGTTTACAAGGGGGGGGGGGGGGTGGGGGTCACTGGCATCTCAGGACCTCCCTAGTCGCTACGCCCCTGATGTGGAAGGTGGAAGGAAATTCCTGAGAGATCATATTGTTGACATTGTATAGAAGGAATAATGAAAATTAAACTATTTCCCTGCAGCTGTTACAATTTATGTAAAGAAAGAAGAGGAGAAAGTTTACAATGCTCTGATGCTTGATAGCTTAACAGTTGGAGACATGGTTGAAGCAGTTGCCAGTAAATATGGCATGCCTCCCGAGATGATAAAGAATGTTTATAAGAAAACCAAGAAGGGAATTCTTGTGAACATGGATGACCGTATGATTGAGCAGTTTGTGGATGAAGACGACTTCATTATAAATCTGGATTTTGATAATCAGCTTGGGCATTTTGAACTAACCTTACAGTACTGAACCATTTGACATCATTGAGCCACTTGTCTTCTTTTTTTCCAGTGTTCCCAAAGTATGATTAGTAATTCTCCTTTCTGTTACATTGGGAATGAGTCAGGAGAATTTGTTATATGTTAAGATTAAATGCTCTTAGCGATAAACTGTATTTTCTCATCACCTGTTTAAGTGATATTGTATGGGTACTGTAAGGAGAAGATATATGTTAAATCCTTTTGGGAGAGTAAGGGCTGGGAAAAAAAAAACTGAAATTCTCTTGAAACTGTGTGTAAAAAGTGTTATGGTTCTGAGGTATTTTAAGATACTAACAATTATAAAGTGTAATGTCAACTGTTAAACTTAGGATATTTTCCAAGAAATTTTATGTAGTCCTATCTTATTACTCACCAATAATTTCCAAGACATGCCACTTGCGTGCATATGGTTGCATGATGCAATACAGATTGCACAAGTGGAAATTTCTGTTAATGTATTAACTTTCAAGATCTGTTTGGTAATTCTCCCTTTTAGCAGCTAGAAATTTCCTTTTAAATTAAGTACAAGAGTTTGCGCTTAGATCAAGATAACTTCTATATGATAGGTTTGAGTTTTCTCTTTACCTGTTTGCTAGATAATGTTGGATGTTATAGGAAGAATTTACATGTTAACCACATCTGGGAGTCAAGGGGTTAAATGGCAGTTATGTCAAAGTCCTTTTAATGACTGTCATCCACCTTGAAGTACATGAATGGTGACAGGAAGGAACATGTTTCTTTAAGTTTTGGTGCTCACAAATTTTCATGTTTTGCAGGATTAGTAGAGTAGTATGAGTTTCTAAGGAAATTGTCATGAGCATATATATCTGTGCATGTCTGTGACTTTCCTCCCAATGACCTTCACTTGTTTAAGTAGTTATTAATGATAACAGAGGCACTCAAATTGAAAGAGTACAGATGTGTCATGCTGCACTATTTTATTCTAAATAGAATTTTTAAAATTCATATTTTTCTTCTGCTTGGAAACTGCTTGAAAACTGTGAAACATTATTGAACAAGGAAATTCTTGCATTAAAAACTAGTCTGCTGGTTGAAAAAAAGAGCACTCAGTTTTCTATAAATAATTTCCAACAGCGACATTTTTATGAAGACTCTTTCCATAAGGGAATGTTGCACAACTCTGTCAGAGAATGTTACATTACAGGATAATAAGAATGGAGAGATAATATGATAATCAACAGTTAGACACCAAAGTTGAGGGGAATAATTGTGTTTGTGCATACCACACAGAAACCCAAAAATTAGTTTATTTCTGTCAGTGTTTGAACCAGCCTATCGGTGCAAGGGGAGAACACCATACGCCTGTGTGGTATACAAACTAATTATATCTTTAACTCCCAAGATCTCATTAGTAATTCTCCTTACTGTCTGCCATATAGTTTTGTAATATTAGTTTGGAGAATTTGGTATTGGATCAACTAATAATTTCCTAGTTAATGTTTTTCTTTATTCTTTTCACTTGTCTGCTTGATATTGTAAGGAGAAATTCAGTCTTGGTCACTCATGGGAGTTAAAGGATTAACTTGCAAAAGAGATTGCAGATGTAAAGGCCATCAACTCCTATTGAAACTTCAAGAATTGTTGGTGGCTTGACTTGAGATCTGCATGACATAACTAAGACAAGTAAGGCTATCATTAAAGGTGTGTAAAAACAACAGTATTCTACTTAAACAGATAAGTATACATTAAACTTATTCACTATGTTTGAAAATCTTGTACCATAATGTACAATCATAAAGTAAAGACTTAACCTTTTTATCCTTTTTCAAACTTGTACTTTCTGTTATTAATTATTGCTGATTTTGAGACAAGAACTACAGTTTGCCACCAAAATGAATTTTCTACAAGTAAAAGAGATATTGGGGGATAGTTTCATAAACTGAAAGACCTGCCAGCAAATAAAGGTATCTTTCACAAGAAGGGCAGAGCATCTTGGCAGGAAAAATGATTGGTTGTAACAGTAAGTCTAAGTAAAGATTCAAATTTTGCCCCTTTTTTATGCTCAATTTTTATGGTATGGAAGTAATGCAGGAGGTTTATTTTGCAGCAAGGGTAAAGCTAGAGAATAGGAGAAGGGACACAGAGTTCAAATAACCCTGTTTTTCAAGGAAGCCATCATTTGTAATGTAATGATAAACAAAAAAAAAAGCCTTGCCCCACCATCCCCTCTCCTCCAAAATTCCCTTACCCGTTGGTACGTGTGGAATGTTCAGTTCACTTGGGTTACATAGGGTAGCTAGAATGTTCATAGTCTGACTGGTTAGAGATTAAAGATACAACAGACGTCTTTATCCTTCTTAAGAGGTAAATTATTTTTCATATTTAAAGAGAGACTTGTTTGTATTGGTATTATTAGAAATGCTGTCACAACAAATTAAAGACTACATCACCATTTATTTTTTTTCTTCAAACAATCTCTTTGATAAATTGAGCTTCAGTCAAGTTAACCCTTTAACTCCCAGAAGTGATTAACATGCAAGTTCTCCCTGTGGTATTCATACATTATCCAGAACACTGGTGGTGAGAATACTCAGATTGGTCCACTATGAGATACTATATTGATCCAACACCAAATTATCATAACAAATTTACAAGGAATCACAGCAACTAGAGGGGAGAATTGATAATCCAATCTTGGGAGTTAAAGAGTTAAGGCACATCCATTGTTATCTGAGTTGGCCCCAATTAAAGCCACAACTGACTTCATACTGTAAATTATAAAGTTGATCTTGACATTTCATGTCTATTTTTTGAAGTGACTTACATTTTGGTATATATGCTTTTTGCCCTGCTAAATTGTGTTTTTTGTCTTAACTGTAGTACTCTTGCCAAATGGGATATTAGATCTTGCACAAGCACTTCGAAGAGAAAAATACCCCAAAGGATACCCAGAAGTCTACCTTAGTTTGAGGGAAGATTGAACTCAGAACAGAAATCCTTCCTTAGATTTAACTGTGGTTATACTCTTGGGGCTGTTAAAGATTTCAAATCTTTTCCCACCACTAAAGCTCATGTCTTGTCCATAACTCGCTTTGATTATATTTTGGAACAAAGCTGTCATAAATTAAAGGTCGAGTTTGCTCTTTTTGTGAGTAACATCTGATTCTAGAAAAATTAGCTTTTGAAATTATCTTCATCTTGTCATTGTTCCTACTTCTTTATCATTAAATAATATTCATTTTCTCAGCTGATGGCATCAACTAACCAAGTGGTAGATTACCACATGTAACAAATTTAAGCTGAAATATATGGAATCTAGAGCTAGGACAAGTACTGCAATAATTTGCAAAGTATTGTAAAATGTGTGCTAGATTTGTTTCATTGGAATAAATATTTTATTTATTCAGATGTTATATTGTGCTAGGAAATGTGGTAGATTTATTTCATTGCAATAAATATTTCATTAACCCAGAATACTTGTCATATCATGTGCCATGAAAAAAAATAATTTTCCTGAGTCAAAGTAATGGTGACATCACCAACTGTGAGTTAACCAGTTGGAGCAGTTATGTTGGGAAAGGAAATGAATTAATTTCATCTTCACTTCTAATTGGCCTGTTCTTTATGGTAAACAACACTTCAGAAACATTTGGGTTTTCTTACTTTTCTGAAATCCACAGAAGTAATTTTCCAATGAGAGGGCATTTTGAATGCTTCAAGAATAGTGATGGGGAGGGAGAAAAGAACAGGGTAGCAGAGATAGGAAAGACATCCGGGTGAATAGAAGAAGCAAAATTGTAAAGTTGACATTCTTTTAGGAGTCATCTTCAGTGTTTCGTTAATGAATGGAGAGAGGAAATTACATTTGAGAGAGAGGCAGAACAGCAGGGTATAACAAGCTGGAGATTGTGGTATCCCCTTCCCCATTCTACTGCTGTGTTGTTGGGCTATCAAAAAGAAAACAACTTGAAAAATTAATCATTATCTGCCAAAGGCAAAGTGAATATATTTGAATACAGGTGATCTCTCACATGAAGTCTAGGGGATTATTCAACAATATTTACTAACCCTAAGACAAATAATTGTTGTAGTATAATTACTCAGGTGCTTTTGAATTCTGTGACAACTTCATTTTCATGATGAAACCATTCTGTTCCAATTGTTTTGGTTATACTTGTATCAAGATAAGCAGCCAGTCTCCACTAAAACTTAACAGGTTGATTTAATTCCATCAGCAAAAACTTCATATCTTTCTTTAAAGTGTCACACCAAACTTAGTAGAATCTTTTGCGCTCTTGGGTATTGAATCCTCTTCAATCAATTTTATGACTTCCTTGGTAACAGTGACAAGAAAAGGGGCTGCTACTTTGAAATTTGGCGCCATTGCTATAATCATCTCATGTCAGGTGATTATAGCAAAACGTAATGCAATCTTCAACCAATCAGAATGTGCACATCTCCACAATCACCAGAATGATTATACTATCCACAATGAACAATTGACTAATATTTCCTGAATGCATTATAGAACATGTGATTTGGGAAATAATTACTCATGCTTTTTCACAACAAATTGCACTAAAAATCATTTAGTATACTTTATTAATCAGCAGTCTGAATGCTTACTACCTTGAATTAAATGCACAATTTAGCTGAGAGAATTTCGAATTCCAAACAAAAGTTGTTTACCAAATCGCAGATATAATTAACCTTTGTATACCTTTTGAGTTTATGCTAACTCTGTATAACAGAGAACACAACGAAATCTTATATAACACTGCTGTCAACAAAACTTAGATTAGTTAATTTACTGGAAAAAAAATAGATGAATGTCAAAATTAGCGAGCACGCATAGTATGGTGAGAGAAACACAGTTTGTAATAACGTCACGCATTCAGCACAGTTAAAGATAATAACATAGCCCAGCCAGTAAAATCACTGTCAAAAATTGAACAGCAACCTTTGATCCCGATGATTTCGTGGAAAGCATGTCTTCAGCGTGTTTACGAGCGACCCTCTCGTTGAAATTTGTTGTACCATTCGGCCACAGTGTCATGCAATCTATGCCTAATTTCCCTTTAGAGTACTTCCATGAGTAGTTAAAAAGTTTCTCGCAGAATTTCTTGGCATTATCAAAATATTCCTTAAAAGTTTTGCACTCCAACTTACACATGCCGCTTGTCCAGTTCCATGTTTTGAAGTCTCCCCAGTTGTCTGAGCAGGTGAAGTCGTCTTTGCAGGCATCAAACCATGCATCGCAGTCCTCGCTGCATATGGGCACGTCTTGAAAGCGTTCTTTGCGGGTCTTCTTAGAATTAGGGTCCACAACGATCCATGGTTTCATGTTTGGCGAGCATTCGTACATACAAGTGTCGACCTCGAAATATCTACGGCACTGAGGTGACATTTTTCTACCGCACTGATCCCAGTGCCTGTTATACAGCGAGAGAGTTCCGTCTTTTCGAATGCTGTCGGTTGTATTCGACGTGCAACAAGCGTGGTTCTTCCACGGGGTGCAATGAAACGTCTTATTGAAAAAATCACTTTCCGGTCCTGGTTTTTCTTTGTGGTATTTAGAATCGATGCAGATATCAAGAAATTCGTCAATCTCCTTGTCGGTTACTGCCATGGTAGACACGATCAGGCAGGACAAGACTAGTAACGCATACAAATCATCTGCCATGTTCAGCACGTGCTGCCGAAATTAATGAATTTCAAAGATTAGAAACATCGACAACATCTGGATTCAAAACTAGCTAGAGCAAAATGTAAGTATTTCCTTCACGTAGTGAAGCATGAGAATATTTCAGTTCAAAGAACAGACCAAAATAACGTATCTTCTCCTTACCCTAAACAACAATCGCAGTCAACGACGCAGTTGCATCAGAACATAAGAGAATCGAGGTACCAGATTATACGTCGGCTCCACCAATCAGCGATCACTCTCACAGCTGGCCCACAGTGCACTGGAAAATGCCACTAGGTCTAAAAATGACTGAAATATCACAGTCCGCCGATCTAACAAAAGTAATATTTTAACTGATTTCTTTGCTTCTCTCTACAGCATTACCTTAACGTGTCTGTGGAGGAACACCCATAAAAATAGGATCATCCAAAAATAAAAAAAAATACTCTTTGTTTTATCGCCTTGCTGGCTAATCTTTGACGCTGGATAGCGATGTTGCATTTCACTAGCTATGACCCCTTGGCAGTTACAGTAATGCCACACCCAAACCCCAGAGGACAGAAGTGTAAAGCATGTATTTCTCACATTCAAAGGGAGGGGCAGAATTTTCAATTTGTGATCATTACAAGCCTCATAATCCAACTCGCTATTGGCAAAAACGAAAAAAAAACCAATAATGAGATGGAATAAACAAACACGCGGAACTCAATCCCCCATATTTTAACTATCTTTTCAATGATTTTTAATGTGTTATGCTCGCATCGAATATACCATATGGGGCCCGTTTGTTATCAATCAAACTTGTGACACCGGGGTGAATTTACACTTCCTCGTAGTGATCTTTGCTCCTTCCCAGGGGAGTGTTTTGTTAACCATAAGGTTATTTTGTCTATTCGATCTTTCGTCGCAAAGTTCGAAAGATCCATGTAATCAAATGAATCAATATATTCCTGATTTTGCTCTCCTCACAAATCACTTGTAATTTATGTTTGAGGAGAAGACACAGAAGCAAAAGCTTTCATTTAAATAATTCAGTTTCTTTCACAGCTACTTCGGTTTTGAGTAAATACAATTCACAGTCCATCGGCCACTCTGATCCTCTCCTCAAGCAACAAAGTACTTAATACAGATACAAAATACCTGCTCAATCCCATGGTCCTCGGCTCCTAGTGATGGTATCGTAAATCAAAACTGAGATACGCCATTCACTCAATGCTACTTAACCATTAAAAAATGTCCATGGATTTAAATGAAGTACCCTTTTTCCATTGGCTGTTTGAAGAAGTTCATAGAAACTTGTTTTAAATTTACTTTACTGGTCGCCTTTACATATTTCTAATATCATACTATTTCTTTTTTAAATTAAATGAATTTTCGAAAGGAAGTTGTGTTGTGGCATACCTTTCCGATGTACAAAGGAAATATCACGGAGGAGGGGTAGGTGGGCAGTTGCCCAGATACTGATATTGATCCAGTATCATCATGTCCCCGAGCATGTTTTAAAGCCCGAAAAGGGAGTACGCTAAATCGTGAAGATTGAAGCTCCATTAGAAGTTTTAGAGATCCAGGTTACGTGGGAGAAAAATCACGGCCAGTCAGTCATGGCCTGCGGGGGTCGGAGGATTTTGGTTGTGTCACCCCCCCCCCCCCCATCTGTTCGCCTTGAACCCCACAGGCGATAGATAATGATTGATCCCAGCCTGGTGATATTCAGATCTTACCAATGGAATAGATAACAACGATATCCGACTTTTGATCGTATGGTCTGATCGTCTGGGTGAGGGTGTCCTGAGATGGACGGTTGTCGGTAATGGTGACCGACTCGTTCAAAGAGTCCCCCTCCATCCCTCTCTTCCCAGGAGATGAACTGATGGAAAGAAAAATCCGCTCTACTGTACAACGGTACCGAAGTCTCAAGCCTGACGGAAAGCCTTGTAAGATAGAGTAGTCAAAACGACTTTCCCATGTGCGAATGTTGAAAAGGGACGTCGTAAAGCGAATAGTAAACTGCAAGAATAAGAGTCGATTACACCGCCACCTGCAGCACGGTATGACGTCTAGAAAACGTTTAACTTTGTTATCATACTCAAAACAAGTTAAAAATCAACAGACTACTCGTAGCTATAAAATAAGATTTTTGTGAGAAAAGTGTTCTCCTTTGCCTGTCCCTTCTTCTTATTCCTTTCGCAACTGTCGAGGAATATATCAGCTTTTTTCAAATTTTGCGTGACAATATTTGTTTTATTTCTCATAAAATTTTTCGCGGGAAATTGACGCATCAAAAAATTTATACATTTGCGCATGCCCGAGGTTTGAATGGTGTTCTTACATTGTGCGTATTGCCTCAGTCGCTCCATTTCTCTGTGGACAAGGCACCTATTATATATTCATCAACCAATCGGATCTCGCGAATTTGAGCAGGTGGCTTCAAACGCTCGTAAGGTTTCCTTGGTGACAATAATTACAAAATCAACAGGAACCTTTTCGATAGTTTCACTCCTATGTGAGGCTTGACAAATGCAAGTAATCAATAATCCTACAAATTTGCGAGCGTTGCTTTGAGACCTGGGTTGGGAAACTAAATGATTAGGTTTCGCTTTTTGCGGCTTAATGAATTCTCGCCTCTCTACCAACTTCTCCATCTTGATTACAGTCACTCATTTATTCGTCACTTGGTAAATAAACCATTCTGGTTTCGAGGAAGATCGGCATTTATTAATAAATAATGATTTTGTAGGTTATTGGTCAAATTATGCACAGCGGCCTGTTAACGCTAATATGCAGCTCTCCAGTTTTTGACGAAGTTTCTCCGCGAGACGAAATTCGTTTGACGTTGAATTAGGCAAGGTTGTTATCGTATTTGTGGTTGCAATCGCACCGGCTTCGAAGGAAAAATCTTTCATTTTTACCGTTACTTACCCAAAGGATTGAAAATGACTGGCTTGTATAAGGTAGGAGGAATAAATTTCACTGGGGAATGAACCAGTATGGTCCTCAAATTTCGAAAAATTATCGTCATGATCGGTCATGCGGGCCACGTAAATATGATGAATAATTTTTATATCTCTTCGCTAGCGTCAGGTATCTCTATCCCTATGAAGAAACAAATGAGTTATGATCTTTCTTATTTTGTTTTTCACTTGACTTAGGTTGTGTGTCTACTTTATACGTGCTTTGGGCCGGTGTTATCCAGCACCACGTCAGGTAAATTTAATCCGCTCGTTATTGCACAAATTATCGCTTTCTAAATTGCCGTATTTTCCCGTTAGCAAAATCCAAGATAGGTAAACTCTTAACGACGTTCCCGGCAACCTTGTGCTTTTGACTAAAGTTCGTAACTTTATCCGGCGGATGGCAACAACTGTTGCCCTCAAGTCAGTATCTTGTGACAAGCACTTCTTTATGTAAACGTGAGAGGAACATCTTTCAATTAGAAGTTCTACTTCGCCTTCCACGAGCGCCTTCTTTTTCAAAATTATGTTTGAAATTATAAAGCGAATTTTACATTGCAGCATTGCAAACGGTTTTGAACTATATCTGGCTTTTGTTTTGAAAATTTCTTAGCTTCTTGTTTGAATTCTTTCTGTCAGAAGCAGGTGATGTCAAACTGTCATTGCCATATGGAAATTATTCGCGAAGGGCTTAAATTAAGAAGAAAGAAATACAATTGGAACAATTCATGAAAATTTTCGTGCCGTTTTTTATTAACACAGATGGTTAGAATTATACTTAAATATCATACTTTGGCTTTACGATGTAACAGAGAACGATAGAATTTTATTCATTTGAAATTGACCCAAACAAAGTCGAGCGCGGATTAGCGCTTGTTTTGGGAATCGTCTTTCGGTTGTTTTATATCCGCTCTCTGAATAGTAAATAGGTTTTACACGGCTCACGTTTAAAATATCTACCAAAGTTAAAGCATAAATATCTCATCTATCGTTGTTAGTTACATTTTCTTTTCACTGCAACGTTTTCATTACGCTTTCTCGTTATTTGCGCTTCGAGCATTTATCGTCAAGCATTACTATTAAAAGGCGGTGCAGGTTGTTTTGCTTCGTTTGCGATTCTCTTTTTTTTTCTCCGCCAATATTTTGCTCTGAAAGATTGTTCAAAGCCCTAGGGGGCGTGGGATAATACAGACTCTTATTATAAACCTGCACGGAATCTCTATACGCCTCAAAACATCATTAATTTTGAGTATAGCCCCAAGGTTGTTGTGTTAAAAGTCTTGAAGTATCATTAGAATTAAAACTTGTGGGCAACTTATATAGGAACAATAAGTAATTTTTGCGGTAAATTCCTTACCACGTCTGTGATTATCGGTTATAGAGTGCAATTTTCTTTATGTTACTATCTTGTAATCATTTTCGCCTGAACGATAAATCTTCTTTGAAGGGTCTAGGAATTTTAAAGTTGTGCCGCACGAAACACAGTCTGCTGCCGTCGAGAATATGGATTCTTCAGAAACAAGTTGCAGTAGACCGTTAAACGCAAGATGTTAATTATTCTCACAGAATATTTACATAGCTGCATTGAGGCGGTGTAAATGGGAAGGAAAAACTGAGAGCTCTGTTGGCAATATTTATTCAAAGCGATATCTGTTTTTCGTTCCATCTTCCTAAATACATCCACTCAATGTTTTTCATTCATTATGCATCCTTCCTCGCCAAAAGAAATGACATATATTTTTAAAAAGCTCTTCACCTGTGGTGTATTTATTTAAGTCAGTTCTGGGCGGAGCAGTGACCAGTCTACTTTAATAAGTTTTCATTTATTAAATATAATTGCGGACTTCTAGCAGAAGTCAAAATTAATCTGATCGAGGTATGCTGTTTTTTTCTCTCTTTATTTTCTTATTTTCACTGAGTAACTTGTATTTGATACAAATTTGCTAGAATTGCTTTAATTCGTGTTTCTTTTGAGCGATGACAATTTTTCACTGGAAATTCCCACTGTGAGGATTGATGTAAGCGCTGCTGCTTTAGAAATTTGGTCTTGAAATAAACCAAGACAACGATTTGCATCTGAACTAGACTATAAATCACCTCTGTCTCTCACGCAAAAAGTCTCACAAGAAATCTACCAATTAATATTTTCGAGAGATCAAACTCTAAGGAAAATTGGAACTGAAATAGTGATTGCTCGAAGAACTAATCAACAAAGATGAGTATTTATAAAAAATTTAAAGGGCAAAGTCAAAACTACAAGGTGATTATTCATAGAGAGAAAGCTTCATTAACTAATTTTTTTTTTGCAAAAAACGTGCCGATAAAAACACTACTTGGTATTGTTTCAAAAGATCATACGCTCTTTTTTAGTTTTTGTTTTCCCTTTATCAATCATAAATTTATGTAATAAATATGAGAACTTCACGGTTAGTTTAATTCTGACTCACACTAGCCGAGGGGTTGTAGTGTTTCTGACTAGTGCTGCTTTTAATTTGAAAATTTCAGCGTTAGAACCTTCGCCGACTGTGACCTCTAATTTGGATGTCACTGCGACTCCTGCATCCGGGACTGCAGCCAGGACTGCTAACTTGACACTCAGTCCTTCTTCGACTTTAGTTTTTGCCCAGTCGTCCGTGAGCCAGACAGATGTGAGTGGTTACCACTTTTCATGAATTATCACAAATTTCTTTCCGTCCGTCCCAAAATTTTTGATCATCCTTCTAAACACTTTTACCGTCAATATTTAACTGGGGCCTACTTCAATACGAAATGTTGCCTCGTTCCATTAAATGGGCATGCATACATTTAAAACTGCGCCGAAAATTACCAGTGAATTTCTCTCGTTCTAAGAAGGCTTTCCTTTCTGCCATCTACACCTAGCCGACCTTTTCTTATTTCTCCATTTGAAGAGGATGGTTCAATAACAAACTTCTGTTTTTGCGGCGAAGTTTTATTCTAGGTTATTGATCGTGGGAAGAGGCGGAAGGACCTAGGAAAAAAAGGTCAACTTTTTCTAAGAGCATACGGGGATGGTCTTTCGAAAGGCGGTTAATGGTAATCCGGATTAAAAAGTTAACCTATCCTTGATTTCACTTTAAATTTAGGGTATATTAGGGCTTACTTTTTAAGAGGTTTTACAATAGTGTATAACAAAACTGAAGGAAAAATTATAAATTATTAAAACTGTCTGCAAAGCATCAAAACTAAATCAAAAATTGTTGGGTAACTCTTGGTTAGCTTAATCTTCCTTTGAACAACCCGGCCCATGTGTGTATGTAGTCGAGGATATCTGGACTTGGAATAGACATCACATGATTGTAAGCCTTTTATTATTTTCAATATAGGACAGCGACAACCTGTTCAAACAAGCGGCAAAAGAACTCGAGGGAACGCTGAGACGTAATGTTGAAGAGGTGTCTACTCTTTTCATTTGTATATGTATTTATGATCTCCTCATTTTAACACAATCTGTGGCTGTTGTCCCACCGAAGAACTTTTATAATATTTAATAATGTTTTTTAATGTTGTAGATCGAATAGGGACTACTATTTTAAAAAAACAAGCTAGCGACAATATTTCTCAGCAAAATAAATATTAAAGGAAAGTAACTGGAATTTACCGAAAGGGTACCTGGTAAGAATCATCCACAAATTCCACCCATAAGTCTCACCAGAAGACAAACCAGGTTGAGGGCAGCGGCTAGCTATAGTGAGCCTGAAGATCCTGCTGTTTTTCAATTTTCCTTCTCTATTGAGCCCAAAGCAGAAAAACACAGAATAAGTGGATTTATTTATATATCTATTCAGGGGTTACAGCCCATTTTGACTTCACACATCTATTTTCTTGACGTTTATGTATGATGCGTTCATGGATCTTCAGCATATTTCGGCAAGGACTGAACAAATTAAAACTTTGATTCTATTGTCACCAATACGTGTTCATAAAAGTTCTTGGATTATTTGCCTTCCAGCTTAATGGAAAAATCACTAATAAGATCGACCCAAGATCTAACCCGAGGGATGTTAATGTTATTGACACGCTGACAAAAATGACCGAGCAAAACCAGGCTTTTTTAACGAGGTTCAACAATTCGGGCAATGCCACTGGCTATTCCTTCAACGCCACTAAAGGCTTGGGTTTTGGTAAGACGATTTTCTTTACATCGATACCTCTTGTAGTTTATTAGCTGAGGCAGTCTCCTTTCCCATTACCCCCTTAAAAGAAATGATCTAAAAGGAAGCATTTTATTTAAAAACAATCAAGTCGCAATTTTTCCTGGATTTTCTAGAGTTAAAACTGTATGTATTTCTTCATTAACTCTTCACACCCAAACAACGCTGCATGTGCATATTCTCCCAATTGTTCTGTCTACATTTCCTGTGGTAATGACAAGGAGAATTTGTTTTTGAAACAGTCGAGAGCTCCTTTAGTTGGCAACAATTTCTTTTATTCTCATGACTTTACAGTGATACTGTAAGGAGTAATTAGCTGCTGGTCTATCTTGCGATTTGAAGGGTTGAGGTTTCTTATCAACAGGCAGATTCTCAGATTCTGTGGCATCATTCTTCCTTACGCGTGTGTTATAATAACTCGTACGACACTTACTGTTACAAATTTTAACTTAAACTCCAATGTTCCTTCCTAGTATTGCTGATTAAGAAGCTTGACTGCCACAAAAACAGATCGTTAGCTATTCCTGATCGCTCTGATAAGACGACTAGTCGAACGCTGGCAAAGTTCTCGGATTACGTGTCCTTCAAATTTGACTGCCCATGGATCGTAATAAATGGTAACTGGCAATTTACGGGAGTAACTTTAGAAAATAGAAGCTTTGGTCCCTGTAATTAAGTCATAATCCAACAGCTTTGTATGAAAAAACGTTCTCTCGTCTCTTTTCGTCAACAGCAGTCCCTAACCTCCCAGGTATCGAGCATTTCCTAAAAAATGGGATGTGGTCAATTTGTCGAGAGTGTAGCTCGTTAGGGGGGGTGGGTAGGGTTCTTATTGTGAATGTGGTCCCTTCCTTCTCGTTTGAAAGAGTAATAATTTATAAATGTGATAAAACACCTCGCTTTGTTTGAAAATCCAATAAGATAACAGAGACACACCTCACCTGCCTCCTCCTCCTCCAGTAATGCTTCTTGCACCCCTGGCCTTTTTCTCCGTGGAATTCGATAAATGTGAGTTTTCGAGAGTTCCGTCTTCATCTCTTTATTCAAGCCACTCGGCCGAAGAGTTCCAACTCAAGGAAAAGAAGAGATGTCCACATTGAAATGACCATGGAAGTCGGCGCTGAAGAAGAGGACGAGACTGATGACTTCCAGGAATTCCAAATGCTGCATCATCCCTCACGTGTCAGGAGAGAGGCAAACTGTGGGCCACTCCCGTGTAATGGTTAGTGTGGGCCACTCCCGTGTAATAGTTAGTCGGAAGGGTTACCCCTTCCCCCCCTCCCCCCCCGGCCTTCCTGCTCCCGTTTTTGCAGCTATTATGTTTACTAAAACCTATTTTGACTGAGTGTCGTAAAGAAAAACCTAAAGAAATCACAATGCCCAGTCATAGATATAAGCCCGGAAATACTGGAGCCGAGGAGAATAAAAATTAGAGTTGAAAACGTAACTGGTTTCTATCGTGGAAAAAGAAGTGATTAATTTAGTCTTGAATCTGATTGATTAAGAGAGCTTTCCTTGATTGATTATCGCGCTCATTAAAGTTATCATTCTTATTTCCTTAGTTAGTTGATTAGAAACGAACAGGAGAGAATCAAGATTAACAAGCTTATCCTGTTCTTGACGTGACTTTTTGCCGGTATACCAAGCAGGCTCTCGGATAGGCAGGCAGGACTTGACTCAGTCGAGTCCTGCAGTACAGACCCTTGTACAGCTGCGTATTTGTAGATTGGGCTAGGTTCCGATTGATTGTGACTGTCCTACCTGAGTAATTAGGCTCTTCAGATCAGGCCTTCCATCAAAACATCAAAAGCAGTTTTGAGGGTCTTATCATGATTTCAATGATGATGATGATAATAACGATGAAGATGACCTTAATCATTACTATTTTTGTTTTTCATCCAGTAAAACGCTTTGAAACAACTATGGAAATAACAGACAGAGTATTCAACAGCAGCTTGAACGACAAGTCTTCATCGTTTTATAAAAAGCTGGCAAAAGAAATAGAAAATAATATGGTATTTTATAGACTCATCAGATCTTTGGTATAAAAATTTTTACAACAGTGGAAAAACTGAACGAGGAGTCTTTTTTATTTATTTGGGTTCCTTAAGCTAGATACTGTTTCTCGGCATCTCAAACAATGGATGGAATGGAAAGAAAATAATGACGTAACTACATTTGGTGCTATAATGCCACCGACACACAAGCCCTTTGGGTGTGTGTATCTCGTTCGGGCATAAAAAAGAGATTCTTTTATTTTTGAATTGGAGGCTGTTTTTTTTGGGTTCAACCTCAGCTGTTGGAAAATTTATATTTTTGTCCTTTACATCTTCCAGACACTTAAAAATTCTTCCCGCTTCGATTACCTCCGCACATAGAAAGGACTCGTGAAAATATTACTTGACAATGTTACTCTTCTCTTATGAACGTACTAAAATCTAACAATAAAATCTCTGTTAACACATCTTTAATGTATGCTTGTTTATTACGTTTTTCTTTCAGCTGAATGACACAGTCAACCCACTTGATGTACGTGACGTACAGATACTAAAATTTAGGTACGTTTTATGGATTGCAGCAAAATTTCAGGAACACTGAAGTGAGGAAATCTGGCGGATATCTGTAGATACAAGCGCTCTTCTATTGAGACCACTTGTTCAGGATACTTTTAATCTTATGTGTTTTATATAATTTTGATTCAAAGCGCTACCAGTGGAAACGGCGTCCAGGCTGAGTTCTATCTGGATGTTGCTGGCGTAGATCTCGCTAATTCCGTGACTGCTGCCTTGAAGAATGCAACAAATGGCGCTACATTTGGGGAGTTTAAAGTAGAACCCAGCGCTTTCAATGCTACACATAGAGTAGTTGGTAAGTTGATGCTTAAAAAACTGAGGCCTGATACCATATCGTGCCTCACTTTCCTGAGGGCAAGATGGAAGGGAGACGCTCAGATGAGGGAAATCTGGGTTGGAGAGAGTATCGTAAGGGCTCCTGGGAAAGATACCTTACCGTTAAAATTCCACTCTCCAGAAGAAAAAGTGAAAATCAAATGAATATCAACCAAGATAAAATTGGAAACCTAAACGCACAGACAAATCCTTTGACGCGTATCCGTTGAAATTTCAATTTTGAATACCGTAGTTAATTCATTACTTTGTTTTATGTTTAGTTAATGGCAAATTCGGCAATTGGAATAGTTGGTCAGAATGTGATGATGAATTTGAACAAAAGCGAACACGGACGTGTGAAGGAGCCCTGTACGGCGGTAAATGTCATGGCCATAACCAAGAAACCAAGAAATGCGGTAAGAAAAGCTACGCCCGGACCTACAATGATCCATAATTGAAGTAATTAAAAAAAAACACCGAAAACAAATCAAGCTATTTAACTTATAACAGTGTGCAGAATTGATCTTAGTGGTTGAATATAATAAATCCATTCCCGTCAGCAGCCTAGCGCGGCAACAGATCCAATCTCAAGTACTCAAAAACTTTTATTTGCCTCCTCCCCCCTCTCCCTTGCTTCTCCTTGGTAAGTCATTCGGTTGTGAGCCTGGAGCTCGAAATTGAAAGTCCTGCAGTACAAACGTCCTGCGGTACACATGTAACAAATTGCGGCTTTGGAAAATTGGTCGCTCTTCCATTTTGGTATATAAGAAAAATTACTTTGCCTTTTCTAGTCTTCATCCTTCCTGCTTCTATTTCCATTTTTAATTACTTGAAATGGAGGCAAAGAAAAGGTACCACAAAACTACAGAATCGCTCCTCTTATCAAAACAAGTGTTTGCTCCTTTTTAATACACGCTTTATTTGGTTGCACTTCTGTTTTCGCTGTAGGAGAGTCACAAAGGAAGCCCCTTAGGCAAAAATAGAAAAATTAGCCGGAGAGCCTGCTCTTAACATTTTTATTACTCCTGTTTGGCTTGACAGATTGCAGATACAATTTTACAGCCGGTGGGAACATCACATCTCCTCTGTTTGATGATGAGTATCCAACCAATGTGAACTGTACATGGGTATTACAGGCACCTGTCAATCATACCGTAAAACTGGAGATGAAGGAATTTCATTTGGAAAAAGATAAAAAGTGTTTCTATGATTTTATGAAATTTTTCGACGGAAGGAATTTAACTGATGCCTTTCAAATAGGAGAGCGGTTGTGCGGAGAGCCCAAAGTCCCATTCACTATTAACTCTACGGGGCGATACCTTACGATTCAGTTCACGTCTGATAAAAGTGAAACCTACAGAGGTTTCAGAGCTGAGTGGGAGACCAAGGAAATAGGTATGAGATGATATGTGATAATTTGCTTTAATTTCAGTGTGAATCATATGTTGTGATTTTGCTGTAATTTAGAAAAGAGTACAAGAGTTATGATACACTTTTTCTTCACTTATTTTGTGCATGACCGTAAAAAAATCCGTATAAACTCATAACTATAAAAGAATACCTAATTACCTAAGATTGAGCAAATCAATAGCAAAGAGGGACGGCCAAACGAGTAACAAATCCAAAACACATGAGTAAGATTTGCAGCTAGGTTTCGAACTTTGCAAAATAGGGTAGACCGAACAGTCGAGAAGTGTTCTCGGATGCGTGTCGAAAATATCCAAGAGTTCGCCGTCGTAGCAGGCCTTAACGCATGCGCAAGTTAAATGATTAAGGCATGTAAAAGTCGTTAACTATCGTGTTCTGACGTCCCATTCGTTGAACAAGCCAATCAGATATTATACAGATTCCTACTCACACCAACCCGTGATCGAAGACCGAGAAGTCTGAGGATAATAATCCCTCTCTGAAAAAAGTTAAACGTACACACACGCGCGTGCGGGTAAGAAGCGGGCTTGTCCCTCCCGTCCGGAAATTTAAAATTTAACCACCACAAGCGCCCGCTATTCAAGACCATCGTTGTCAACTTATTTGAAACAATAATTTCAAATTTATAGTCTTTCAAAATCTGGTTTTTTTTTGTTATTACTGTTTTTAGAAATGAGAGTGACAAAGTATGTGAAGCAGTACGTCACAGCTTTAGTGATGATTTACAGCCCGACAGTGAACGACACACATTATCCTCTTGGTACGGCCACCACGTGTTCTTCAGAAAGGTACTTGTTGTAAAAAAAGAAAACCATACCTAATCCGACAGTATTCGACGAAATTCTGCTAAACAGAATATTGAGCCCGCATCTTCGTTTGGACGGCTGTATGCAGGGCAATTAACGCCGAATATCCTCGTTAGCAAACAAAAAGGCTGTGAAGCTGGCATGTTTTTAGGCGCGTTGAAAAAGAAAAGAAAAAAATGCGGAGAGAGGGTTATTTCGTCCAAGCTCCATGCGGGAGTGCAGGAAAGAGAAAATTTGGTGTCCTTCTCCGATTAATTCAGTGATTTCAATGAGAAATGTTTGCTTCACCAATCGGAGTTATTCAAGTTACCTCAGCTGGTTTAAATTTCACGGTGATATCTCATATTCACAATCAGTAATGGTCAGCTTGCTCGTGTGGGCTGAATCATTGTGGCTTAAACATATGATGCATCGCTTGCAAGACTAATATTAAATTTGTCGATTTCATTTTTAGCCAAGCCAATGACAAGGAATGCGTCTTTGAAGACAAAGTATTTATTATTTCCCGGCTAATAACTGCTCAGATGGACCGCAGTCTTCCACTTGATGGCGACAACAGAATCGTTTTAAATTTTGAGCATATTATGGTAAGAAAATTGCAATTTCTGTGCCCGACTGCACACTGAAACTTATTACGTCTCAAAAACAAAGCATACCTTCCTTAGAAACCGTTCCTAGGTAGTCCATATCAGTTCTTTCAAGTAGTTTTCGACGAGTTTTTAATTCTGGCTCTTTTTACAAAGGATTACTTTTCTTTGAACATATAAGGTATGGTTATGGGAGAACTCATACGCCTAAGGGGCACGTGGCCTACTCCATATTGGTCAAGGAAATCAGGATACACTTCATTATCGTTACACGATTCTGCTAGTGTTACAGTTCCAGTGCTAGTCCCAAAACTCAGTCCCAATGCTACTCCCAGACTCAATCCCAAACTCAGTCCCAGTACCAAGCGAGCTAATAGCTATGTGAGGTGTTTTGAGGGAGATGTAAACTTTAAGGTTCTTTACTATTTTTTTCTTTTTTTCCAGCACGAGAAACTCTTCCCTGCTATCTACAATGGAGAAAAGACGTGCGTGTCCTGGAACAAAGAAGCAAAGTTAGTAATCATGAAGTAATGTAGAGGTAGAATAAATGATAATATTCCTCTAAACAAGTGTCTCACATTCTCTAGGAACGAGCCTATGGACAATTCTGATCTGTAAGTCGATTTCGACTTCCTCCACGAGCCATGTTCATCGGGAGCGTTGTTAGTTATGTTAAAAACAATCGCTAAGTGCACGTAGTAACCCAGACATTTCGAGCATCCTTTTTAACTTTATGAAGATGATGCTGGTAGATTTCTCTTAGTAGCAATAATTTTAACAAGCTTTGATACAAAGTGATGAATCTCTTTAAGGAAAAAATGATGTGCGCGTAGGTCATTAATTCAACCTGCATTCCTACAGCTGCTGTTTTTAAAATTCACACACAATCAACCACATTTTTCACATATGAAAAACAATCACGCCAAATACTTACGTACTTTGAACAAAAACAGCCGCATTCCAACCGAAATTGTTGTAGTAAAGCTTTTTTAGTTTTTATTGATTTAATCTATACCTCTTTTAATCTGCCGGTTCCAGTACACTTCAATCAAAGGGTGGCTGGACAAGGCGCGGTTGTTCAGTTGTGAAAACAAACCTCACACACACATCTTGCGCCTGTAGCAAGCAAGGGCTGTTCGCTGTGGTGGGAAAAGAAAAGGTAATAGACACTTTGTTTTCGTTAATTGTGAATGACATCATTAACACAACAACGATGACGATAATAATACTGGCAATGACCATGATGAAAATGCCGACGATGACGATGATGACCTACTTTGACGATGAAGACCACGACGACAACAACGATGACAACAATCACGATGACGCAGACGATGATGGCCATTGGTAATAACAATAACGATGACGACAATAACGACGACAATGAAAACGATGTCGACCGCGATGGTGGATGACGAAAAGGTGATGATGATGATGATGGTGGATGACGAATAGGTGATGATGATAATAGTGGATGACGAAAAGGTGATATGATGATGATGGTGGTGGTGGATGACGAATAGATGATGATGATGATGATGATGGATGACGAAAAGGTAACGATGATGATGATGATGGTGAATAACGAAAAGGCAATGATGATAACGATGATGGATGACGAAAAGGTGATGATGATGATGATGATGGTAATGATGATGATGTTGGATGACGAAAAGGTGATGATGATGATGATGGTGGTGGATGACGAATAGGTGATGATGATGATGATGGATGACGAAAAGTTAACGATGATGATGATGGTAAATAACGAAAAGTCGATGATGATAATGATGATGGATGACGAAAAGGTGGTGATGATGATGATGATGGTGGATGACGATGATACCAATAACAATCAATAATGTGGCTGCTGACGAAAATGATGATGATGAGGTTGATAACAGTGATGATTATTAGGAGTAGGAGGAAAATGAAAAAGAAGAAGAAAAAGGATGGTTGAAGACCGTTCTACGCCATCATTTGACCTTGAGTTGTTTTTCTCATTTGTAGGTGGAGTCTCAAAAACTCAAACTTTTGGCGAATACGTACATCGGAATTGGAATTTCATTTTTTATCCTCCTCTTAGCAATTGTACACATCGTCTGGAAAGTGTGAGTGGAAGCCACTTTTAATCAGTTTCTCTCCTGATTCATGATTTTGGTTTGCCGTGCCTTATCAAGCTGCCTAGATTTGAGATGCGATTCTATTCAAAATTTTTAAAGGATTTGCCTTCTGTTTGTTTTCGTAGTGAAATCCACGGAGGAGAAGTCATGCGTATCAACATGTGCGCCGCCATCATCGTCATGCAATGTGTATTTCTGATTGGTGCACACGTTAAGGCTCAGCAGGTAATACAAAAATTCTCTCTACCATTCTCTCTCTGTCAGATGTGACAAACCAGGTGTGTTCCCAAGAGGGATACTATGCTCATAATGGATTTAATCAAAATCATCTTGCAGTTAAAAGGAAGAGTAAATTCAAATGAAAAACTTCAGAAAAAAACTCTGACCCTCAATCACGAAGATTCTTTTACTCATTAAAACTGAAGAAGCATAAGTTACCGAATGCCTGTGTCGTAATTGTTGGACATATCCCGTCCCTTTAATTAGATATTTCTTGCCAAAAGTAACTTCAGTTTAAAAGTTTATTGTGTCGTGTTTTTATTGTTTAGACACTCTGTGGTTTCCTGGCCTTCGCCGTATATTTTTCAGTGTTGGCAGAGTTTTGCTGGCTTCTTCTCCACGGTCTGAGAATCCATGGAAAGATCAAGAAGATATTTGCCTCAAATCTCAACATCGAAATCGTTTACGTAGTAATTGGATGGGGTAAGATTCAGAAATATTACACTTTTATATAGTGGGAAAGTTGGGCGGTAGGAACGAATTTCAACATTTATTACAAAAAGCCACAACTTTAGGGATTGGAATTTGTTTTACCTGGCTTGCCGAGAGGTGACCTTTCAAAACGATTTAAGTAAATGGTTGACTGTGGGGGAATTGGGCACGAGATTAAGACAACAGTTACAGCGATCATTAGCGCGTGTCTTGTTGTTTATTGCAGGATTGCCAATGCTACTGGCTCTTATTGCTATTGGTGTGCAGATTGATCTCAAAAACCCTGATGACGTGTAAGCAATTTAAATTCACTTCTTTATTATAACTTTTATCATTGCTAGAATTTACCTGTAGCTAATAACAACAGTCAAAGAGATAAGATCTAGAAATAATGTTTAAACGCACGTTACGTATCAAATATAACATCAAAGATCGTTGGTGATGTCAAAATGCGGTAGAAACAAGAATAAATCAAAATCCAAATAAACTAGAACACAGGTTTTTTTTTTAAAGCGATCTTGTTTGAAAGCAGACAGATAAAATCTGGTTTTTTTTTGTGCTTGTCGTTTTGCTTCTTAACAGTTGCTGGGAAGCAGCAGCAGGCAGCGCTATGTGGGGATATGCTGGACCCGTTCTTATCATTGCCTTAGTGAGTATTTCATTTCGCTTTAGGATACGAAGTAAGATATGAAATTCTTAGCTCTGAACATTGTGAATCTGACGACAAGGACCCCGCCCACCCAAAACAGGTTCCCACCCCATCGCCACCCCCCAAACCAACCCTACCTCTAGTTACAAATAATTTTTAAATAATTTTAATTCTTGAAAAAAACCTCACACGCTTCTAAGTTCCGTTAGCACTCTACTGAGATCTTTCCCACTGAAAATATATAGCCTTTAAGAAACGCAAATAAATGAGGCTTTTTCGCAGGCTGGATTATTTTTATGGTTCAGTATCTTCTTTTTTCTCTCTTGTTCACCCGCCGGTTTTTTTCATGATTATTTCCGTCTCAGTTCAATGTGGCCATTTTGGTGAAACTTCTTATTCCAACTGAAGATGTTCGAAACAACTATGACTACGAAGAGATGAGGTACAATCATTTTTGAAGAGTAACAGTTGTAAAGGTTTTGAAGTAATTGTAAAGGTTGTAAAAATGTGTAAAATAATTGAAAATGTCTTAACGCGATCTTGTCACGCGCTTCAACGCATTGAGATTCCAAACTGAACGACTCACTTTGGTAGTGGGTTCTATTACCATGATGAAAGTGGTGCAGATTGTCAGGAAACGATCGTGAATATTGATTCGTGTTATAAGGAATCCACGTGTAACTTTCCTTCTTGGCAGATTCCGGGTGATCAAAGACGCTATCTTGTTGGCTTTCTTCGGTTTGACCTGTACATTTGCCTACCAAGCTGTCGAAAAGGAGCGGTTCACGGAACAGTATATCTTGACAACCTTTGTTGTCTTGCAGGTGAACCACACGTCATTTTATATTCTAAATATCCCTCCACCTCTTCCCTTCCATCCGTCTATCCTCTTTTTGTATTTACTTTTTCAACATCGTCCAAAAAGCATTGCACCAGAATCATCAAGTCCCGTTAAACAGGAACTGATTGCAATGGCTTCCTTTGTTATTAATGTTTTCTTTTAAACTTTTCATTTCCTTCCTTCCGTTTATTTTTATTTCTTTATAAATATCACGATTGCTACCTCTTTAGAAGCAGCACTAATGCCATGTAAGTGCACAACTTTTTTGCTGATAATGGTCCCAAGTCATGTTCATTATCTGCTAGCTCCGCATAGTGAGTTTGCACTTTCTAAGTTTTTTTCCAATTTATTTCAGGCCATTGCTATGTTTGTTTTTGGAAAAGAGGTAAGCGTTACTTGATTATTCAGAGTGATGTAACAAGGTACAATAAATGGAAAAAACAGGGATTATTTGAAATATAAATGTACAGAAAATTATCGCACGGGATTGATTTAGTTGCGTTAAGTTCCCTGATAACTTCCCAAAGAGAGGGTGTCTCCTCTTGAATATCTGGTAGCTTATGGAAAGGTGGTAGAAATTTCGTTAGCATCACTGAAGTGTCACATGATGTAACGCTGTAAGAATATGAAACAATGGGAAGCACGCAAAAAATTTAAGAAAAATTGTAAATTAATTGTAAGCAGATCCGAGGGTTGAACTAGTGACTTAACCACGGGATACAATGCAACCCGGAAGATAATGTGGGTTGTTTTGTCGACAAGTACCCGTGGGATAGCAATCTAGCCTGGCGTTCAATATCATCCATCCCTCGCACAATCGGAGCCAGTATCTGTATTCGCTCTCCTTGATAAAACACGAACGAGTTTTCCTGGTCTACTGGGAGTTATTATTTAGGTTCCCTTAGAGCATTGTGTCAGATTTGAAGAATCTGCTAGAATCTGCAACACTCTAACCAAAATAATTTTAAAGCAATGATTTTGGGCTAGATCAAGTAAGTTTTGAAAATGAGTGGACCGTGATAATGCCAACTTTTCAGCTTGTTTGTTCGAATTTTAAAGTGATTTGTTGCCAACCACAATTCTTCAGGGTCGAAAAGATTTTGTTAAGCAAGCCGAGAAAGCCAAACCGGATGCAAGCACTGCCGAGATCCAGCCGACCGCAAACGAGGAACCTGAAAATATTTACGAGAATATTGAGGATGTAAAACCAGGAACCGACTTGGGAGAGGGTCCAGTGAAGAAACCTCGAAAGAGAAATGCAGGGGTAAGATGAAAAAAGACTTAAAACCTGCCCTATTACACATCGAAATCTAGGAGTTCAGTTCAGTGGCTACAACTGACAATAATCCATACATAATTATATAAGGTGTGTATAGAACTTACGTAACCTTAAATCAACTAAAACCAACAGGCCCAGTAAGTGTTATCATAGCGGAGCTCGCAGAGCGTAGCCCCATAATTATACAAAATAGTAGTAACCCATCAAGCCGAAAAAATTTGGATGTACGACCGTACAAGGTGCTACTTTTAACATGCGTGGTCAACTGTACCGCGGGCACGCCAACACCACGGCTTTGTTCAGTAGTTCAGTGGTCAGTGCACTAGGCTCCGAGTCAGACGACCGGGGTTCTAGTCCTGGCCGGGGCAAGGCGTTGTGCCCTTGAGACGTGTGGGAAAAAAAATGCGAGCTCCGCTTTTAGGCTTGGCTAAATCTATATATTAACTTGATTGCCATGACTTATTTGGCGTAGGTTGTTCCGTTTTGTTTTTAATACGAAAACTATTTTACTTTCTCGTTAGAACAAACAGCCGGAGAAAATCACAGTTTCCACTTTGAAAAACCTCAACATCTACAAGGAAGGAGGTCAATACGTAATCGAGGCCTGAACCAATCAGAAATGTAATCAGGCGCCCGTAATCGTCCGAAAATTTACTCACATCACAGTAGAACTGCTGGCAGTCAATTAGTTGCAATGTGGACACTCTACGCATGTTTCACTTCGTAGATATATTACCTCAAACTATTAGATTCAAGAGTGAGTCATGAATGCTATGAAAACTTACATTTTTTTGTAGAAAATAAAACATTAAAGCGTGTTGAATAAATCCACTCACAGAACAACAACCGAGTTACCAGTCAGCGGACTACCATTCCAATATTGGCACAGACGATTCCGTCATTTCAAGAGAAAAGACAGTTAAATTATATCAAGCAATACTTTTTATCATTCAACCGAGGGTTGTAATGGAGAATATTCATTCAAGAAGACGTCTCTCATCACTGAACTTTTTTTTCTGCGATACACACTCATTTTAAGGCCAACCATACATTGTTTACTTCTGTTTCTTGTTACCGTCCTAAATTTCACTAACTCAGCAATAACCTCTACGCCAATGATGCAGAAGAAGCGCAGGCCATGATCGCGGTTTGAGTTGTTTGGGATATAGAGAATAATACATGGGCGCGCGTAGATATGGAATTTCTCTTCGAGTGTTGAACTCGACAGCTCACGAGTGAGTGCAGCGAACGCGTGAGATGTCGAGTTGAACACGAGAAGAGAAATTCCATATCTACAAGCAACCATATATTATTTTGTTTATCATATAAACACAATAGCCCTTTAATGGGAAGACAAGCCGACTTCATCAATGAATGAAAATAAATGAATCGACAATCCTCGAATAACAATCGCAGAGTGCGTTGGCGCTGACTCTTTAGATGGAAAAGGGCGTTGAATCCTTATTACAAAAACAACAATGGTCGTAATTTTCAATTTATAAAATTCTCATTTATTGACTTTGTCCTTACCGACAGAAGAAGTATTTCAGGTAAACGGCCAAAATCGGCCAGAGGCAAATCCTCCAGTTATCGATTTTCATTCTCAGCCGTCAGAAATGCTAACACCAAAGCCACTGAATACGCAACTTTCGGTTTTTCTTTTACTATACTGGTTTTCTACCCCTTCTAGGAAAGTTTGAACATCATTGTCCGTCAGCGATACGGATTTTTTAGTGTCTTAGCCGCCATAATTCGAGAAAGCTCCAACAAACAGCTTGTATTGAGAATCGTGAAGGCTTTGCCGTTCATTTATCAACCTGACCGAGTGGCACGAGTGACGTGTAAGCAGATATTTTTTCACGTGTGTTGTTACGGCTTTTCTTAGGGCCGGAAATCCCCGTATAACACCACAGTTTATGTGATAGAAAACTTTATATCACTAACTTGCTGCACTCTTACCGAAGCTCTTTCTAAAGCATTGAAAGATGTGTACACATAGTTTTCATTATCTGGAAAGCACTGACCACGACTCGCTTCTAGTACTTTTAGTGCGTCGATCACATGGACCGCTGAACGGTAACTCGGTAATTTCGGTCGATTTTTAGTCTGCATAGTCAGAGTACAAAGGAGAGAAACAGAGGAATATTAATTCTCCGGGCACAAAGTGTGAGCCCTGGATCGAACATTAACTGTTCCTTTCTCAGTCTCTTCTTTTTGCCGGCCTTACAGGCTATCAACCGATTGACTTGTATTACAAAATTGTTGGTGCATTTAAACTAGTCGTTGATCAGGAGACTTGTTAGTTATAAGCTTTTGTTGCAAATTAATAAGAAAAAAATTAAACCAAAACATAAACAAGTCAAAGAAGAGTCATGAAGTCTCTCTTATGTTATAATAGTTCATGCGAGATAAACCTACATCCTTCTCTGGAAGAAGCAAACTTACTAAAAAGGGAAGTAAAGTCTCTGTTCTATGAAATCAACTGTGTTGATTTCTCTTTGTGGAGCTTGGCCATAATAGAAACTCGATTGTTGGGGAAAACTGTGAGATATAAAATCACCCAACTGCCTGACTGTCGATAAAAAAGTCCGTGTTTGTTTTGGAGGTCCAGTTCTCCTTTGTCTACCCCCGTCAGGTCAATTTTGGTCACATGACATTCTATGCGAATGCCGAACGGGTCCATGGGGGTTCAGATAAGCCTTGTTTGATATTCAAGCTTCGTAGCGCAAAACATTTTGATGACTTGTCTTGCGATTGAAATGATAAGCAACTCCATTCTCTCTTCGTTGGTGTTAAGAAGGAAATGCGGGCGGAGGTTGTTTTGAAATTGAATTTTTTTTCTTGCCCGCGTGACGGACACTCTCATTACACAGCTTTCAGTCTCCAAAACTGCTTGATTGAGACAGCCTGACGAACGACTGGAAATACACTAAGGCGAAAGGTAAGTTAATTATACTCACAAAGCATTGCATTCGTACTTTTTAAGAGTTCACATATGCCGCAAAAGTTGTGATATTGTCTTTGCAACACAACACCGCTGACAGATAAGTGTCGTAACCTTCGCTTTTCTGTGACCTAGCAGGACGGAATTTTTATCGATAGCGGCTCTCGCGAGAGAAGGAAGTATTCTATCTAATTCGCAGCGCGAGAATTACCAACCGTCTCCCACATCCCATCTCTCATCCTACAAGAGATTTACCCAGAGAGAGGCACCAAAGAAACTGCTCAACTATCAGTAATTGCATCAGTGGTAAACTGTCTTCACGTCGAGCTAAAAAGCGATCGTCTATTTTTTTTTTCACTTCCGTTCTCAGAGTCCAAATTTATCATGAGCCCGTATGTCGACAAGACACGTCTAGAAATTTCGAAGCAACTTCCTATTCGCTGTCTCAAATAATTGAAGAGCAATAAGGTCTTAGATTATTGAATAAATTAACGAGAATCTAACTCACTCAAGGAGACGCAACACTCTTAGAAAAAATTACTTAAAACCGACATTTAGGACAGATTGCGTAACTCGATACAATTGTACAAATAAACTATGATCGTTACGTGAAAATAATTTTAAAAATGTCCAAGCTGCCTTAGAATTAATTATTTTTTTCTCGGAATTCGTTGCTCTGTTTCTTAGAAAAACCTGCCTCGACATGAAGTGCAAAACAATCTTTTTTTTTTTCCTAAGACAAAATCTATTGGTTAATAGCTGATCTGTCACGGTTGCTTGCCCATAAAAAAAATAACTTAACGTGATGTTTTGAATATCTTCCAAAACACTGTGGATCGGAAGTTGAGCGTCGCTGCTTGCTTTTCAAAAGAAGAAAATACAATTATGTGAAGTTAAACTTTTCTATTGTCAGGTAAGCGTTGTAAAATTCAAAGGAAGGGGTTCTTAAGATTATCATAGAATATCATACAGACACAGTGATAGAAATGGGTTTCAGAATACGTTTTAATGCCGCCACTAATAAGTAACAATTCCTGCCGCTCGAAAGGCAATTGAATTCTGTTGTCATCGTATGCCCTTAAACGGATTTATATTCGCAAAATTATTTCTTTATTCAACAGCTCACTGTATGGCAGAAGCGTCGATGAAAAATATACATTTGTGATCTTCCGCAATGATAAATTCGATAGAATTTCGCCACAAGAGTCAGATTAAACGCATTTAGTCGAATATGACGAGATGGTTTTGATCCAGTAAACAGAATTGCCACCATAATGAAGGCAAGCATAAACCTGTACATTGACGCTTGAGTTTACAGAAAGTGGTCGCTCAAAATATCAACAAGACGGAACTGAAAATCGTTCAGCTTTCTTATCAATTTGAATTTAAAGATCGTCCGAGTCAGGACTATTAGTTACTGAGAAAGTGGTAAATTAGTTAAAGTCGACTTTAAGTGAAGTTGCGACAAGATTCGTCAAGACTCATCGTCAATATCGAAAATAATCAACTGACTGCGTTCGGTATCCTTTATCACTATAAGAACATTTAAGTGCCTTGGTCGATATCAACACGTTTATAACTTCTACTTGAAGAAGATAAACGAATTCTGCAAACGAGCGCATACATTTAACGGAAAATTACTTAAAGTTACGAACTCTTGGCTAAATCTTAACGGAAAGGTATAGATTGTTTTCCTTCTCGATGCTGATACCTTGCTAAAATTTGTACTTCAGCCAGAAATATTTTACCTGAAAACGAAATTATTGGTTTCCAATCGACAGTATTTGAAAACGAAAGCATAGGACATACAACGATGGTTTAAAATCACGATTTTAAGGAATAAGAATATCTTCACGTTCATGATTGTGTAATTCGCTTTTTTTCGCTGCCATGAACGCGATGGAAAACATTCGGAAGAGCGAATTATACCTCAGTCATGTCCTCAAATATTGCCCCTAGTTTTCCAGAATAGTGAAACTCATCAGTAAGTTCTATTCAGCTTTAAGTGTATGACTGTAATGTTGAATGTTTGATAACAAAGAAACTATTAGCTTCAGAATATCGTCCAGCAACTCGAAGAATATCACGGTATGTGGTGCCGGAACGATGTTGATCTCGTTTTATTTTGTACCAGAGGAGGCTTCATGATGGAGGGAATGGACCCTCGTCATCTGGGTATGATGGGAAAAAAGTCCATGGAGCTCCACAATTATCCTGATGCGCTAAGACTGTTTTCAATGGGCTTGGCTCGATTGGAATCTCTTCAGCTGCCTCGACAGTTCGCTGCTCCATTCCTTATGGATCGAGCGGAGTGCTACTGGCAGTTAGGGGAAGTCGACATGGCACTGCATGAGATGGATAATGCATTGCGGCATGGATTACCAAGAGATGCCGATTTTGCAGAGGTTAGTCAACGAAATGGTTTAAGGTGAAGCCAGAGATTTAACAAGCATTTGTGCTCCAAACAGGTTCTGGTCTATGACCTGACTCTTTTCTTGAGAGTATTTTATTTCTTTGGATTGTTGTAATTTTGCATCCTCTTCCAAACTTATAAACTTATAGTCATGCAAATCAAAGTATTTTTTGTTACCTGCTGCAGTGGCAGGTTCGACTCTGAAGTTCTCCTGTCAGTTAATGTTTTCAATTTCTCTTTCTAAATTTCCAATTGTATTTAAGTATTTTTCTTTTATTTGGAAGTACTACAGCAGCAAATGCTCTGTTAATTTAAAGTTATGGGCAAGTATGAAGTGAGAAGACGGTCATGGATTTATCGCTGCAGTTTCTGTGTTTGTTTCTCTTTCAGGGAGAATCACTAAAGTGGTCAAATCATGGCTTTTCTCTCTTGGAGGGACATCAATTTGCCATGGCCGAAAAATGTGCCAAGTTTGCCCTTTATTTCCATACCTCACCAAGAACTAGAGCCCAGGCGTTTCTGTGTCAGGTGATTGCACGACATGAAATGGGTAAAATCACTGGAGAAACAACGGAAACGAAAGAAATCAAGAAACTGGATCCAAATCTTGCAAAGGTAAGATAACTGGCTGATGTTTGGCTGTTTTGTAGGATACACTTGATCAAAAAATCCTATCACAGAACACAGAAATCGTACTTTTATTGGTGCTATTAGCCACTTAGATTAGTGAGTTTATCTTGTCTAATTCATGAGATCCAAATTACCATGTCCTTTTGTTCATAGTTTTTTAGCTCTTCCCTGGAAAAAACTTTGAATTAAGTATACTTTTTTGAGGTGTAAATTACACCATCAAGCAAAATTAACAAATGCCACTGTGGTGTAGGTCATTTTTACTTCATCTGAACTAAATGATCAGGCACCTTGACAGATCTTTATGTAATCAAGGCAATGCTATAAGAAAGTTTATGACACAGGATCAACAAAATGCTTCCTCTGTTTTCATCATTTAAGCTTCATGCTCATGAAAGGAAGGATTGTGCCATCAGAAACATGCAGAATCAGAATTACCAGTGGGCAATTAAGAGCTTCATTTTTGCTTTGCTGCTTCATCCTGACGATGGTTCCAAGATGAAATTTAAACGTTCTGTTGAAAGTCATTTGGCAAGTGTTTATTTTAAAGTTAAACAATACAAAAAAGCAGTTGATGTTGGAAAGGAAAGCTACAAGTCAAACCCTAACTTTAGGTCTAAGGTAAGAGATAAGATTAAATAGTGAAATTAGAACTTATTCGACCGGAAAGTTTGCATGGAAGAAAACAGGGTTTCAGAAGCAAATGCAATCAATCTTACCGATCCATCACCAACGTTTTTAACGAGCTTATTCATGTTTGAGGAGACCCATGTAATAAAACCTCTGTTCCTTACAGAGTAACTTGTTGGACCATTCATCCTGTTCTCATTTTCGTCCTCATAAAGAAGACTGAAGAATGAGGTGGGATCAAAGATTGCTCATTATCGACCTTATACTTCATTATCACTCTGGTATATTCAGGAGGAAGCTGAAAGGTGGAAGAAACGCGGAAACGACCTCTCGAAGGAGCCAAATCTAGTGGATCAAGTGATTGCCTGTTATTCACTTGCGTTAAACTTTACACCAGCAGTAGAAAGAGAACTCAAGGCGACCATTTTTTCCAATCGTTCTCTGATGTACAACAAGCAAGGAAAAGCTGACCAGGCACTGAGGGATGCACAAAATTCCGTGGAGAACAACCCTAGATGGCCTAAGGCAAGGATGTTGATATTTTAACCCACTGGGTAAATTAAGACATAGTTGCCGCAGTCATAAGCTTTTCAAAATTCCATCATTTTCCCAACCAACTATAACTGAATTAACAATTTCACAAACAAGTCTTCATGATCGATTCCAACCTCTCCTCATAGACATCCTTTCCACCCATAAATTTATGCTTTAGCCAATTCACATGCAGTTTGCATGAATTGACAGGTACTTAAGGTAACTTGGAAAAAAGATTGATTTTCTTGGAAACCTAACATCAGCTTGTTGCTCAATTTCATTAAACAATATTCTACCAATCCAATCCCTGATGTCCGTGAAACGTACCGAATATTTTTAAAAACGTTAGAAAGCAGTACCAGAAAAAGAGAAAGAAAATGTATGGTTCACCGCAAACCAACTTCAACTTGCATTACAAAGGGATCGAAGGATAGGCTGGTCAAGAATCTGTCACCTGTTTTAAACAAGTACATCAAGTGACGTCGAAAACCAAAACAGGAAAGTGCCATAATCTGTCATCATGAAGGGTCCCAAACAAGATGAAGGAGTTCATATTTACTTGAAATTTCACTTTTCCCTGACTACTTTCAGAGATATAAATTTTCCCTGACTTAATGTGAAAATCCCTGACTTTCCATGACCTGGAAGAATTTTTTTTTTCCTTGACTTTCTTGAACTGTGGCAACCACGTAGATCCATTCAAGCTATAAATTAATGTTTTAAACGACGTGATGTTCAACATCATGTGTAGTATACATGTGCACCGTTTCAGTTGAAATATTCACCGTTTACACGGTACATATCATTTTTTGCAGGCATACTATCGTCTGGGATCTTGTTTATTTGTGCAGAGAAAGTATAGGGAAGCGATGGAAAAATTCTCAGAATCACTGAACTTGTTACTTAACGATGCTTCACGGTCAGACCACCAAGCAGTAGATACTTTGAGTCAACTGCTGTCCGTAGCATTGGAACTACCAGGTAAACAGTCAATCATGTCATGATTCATAATTCTGCCATAGCACTTTTGTTGTTTGATATGACTGAATGAAGGATTAAATGTTTGATAGAATTGTAAATTAATAAAAGAATGAAAACGTGCGAATTATCGGTTTGAATTAGTTGAATTATTCGAAATAATTCGAGGGACAGATCGATACACAGAGGGCTGGATAGATCATTGAAAAAATGGATTGGCAGATGTATGGAAAGAGAGTAAACTATCAAGATATCACATCAATAAATCGTGCCTGGTCATAAGTATGGTTCATCATAATGAAACTTTTTTCCCTAGATGGCACGTCAAGCATCCAATATGAAATTCCAAAGACTTATATTCAAAAAGTCCTTGACAAAGCTGTAAGTGACGAGGATTGGGCCACATTGCATCTTCTCTTCTTGGGCGGAGGAGGACCTAAAAAGTTTGAGAAAGGTTTGGGAGGCCTTGCCGATGGCTGTGATGCAAGCAAAGTCCCATTAACAGAAGTAATAAGCTGTGATTTTTCAGATCTCGGAAAATTCGTCAGCGTACTGTTGGATCACAAAGCACGTGATAGTCCCCAAAGAAGAGGAAAAACTGCTTATGATCTCGCCATCGACCTGAACAAATTTGATGTTGCTAGTGTGTTAATGGATAAAAACACTACTTCAGGGCCTGACGTACAACTTAAGGTAACATAATTATAGTAATAAGACACCTAAATGCATCATTGAATGTTGTTTTTTTTCTCGAGACTTAGTTATGAAAATCACCTTTCTTTCCAAGGATGTGAAAGCTACCTGATTTGGCCGTGGCCAAACAACAATGCCACCGGAATTTAATGATTTTCCCATCCCCCGACAACCTGATAGTAAATTAAAGTTGTGAGGAATGTTTTTTTTCATTACTCCTGGGAAACTAAGAGTTAACGAACCGAGTTGAAATAACTAGTTTACGTCGATGAATTTGTTCATTATTTCTTCCTCTGTTTATTTATCTAAGAGAAAATTCAAAGAGGATGCCAAAAAAGCATTGGAAGAAGGAGATAACAGTAAAGCTATCGGATTATTTCAATATTCCTTGACACAAAGAGGAATCACGATGGAGGAACGGCGCGAGACGTTACAAACTTTATGTGAATTGTACTTCCAAAAAAAGGACTTCAAAGAGTGTCTCGACAGTGGGTGCGAATTAAAAGAAGATTACCCGAAGGGATACAAAAATGAGGTAACAGTAAACAGCAGATTCGCACTTTTTTTTAGCTCAATGGCAACTTGCGTCATACGGCAAGTAAGTTCTAAGATCCGATCGATGAAACTGGAACTGTGAAACATGATCCTCTAATAATCCCCCAGATATCAGATTGTATCTTGTAGGTCAGGCTCTATCGTTTGATCACGAGCAGATCTACTTGAAATTATCTATTTATGTATTTGTCTGTCTGTCTATTTTTATGGCTGTCTGTCGGTCTATCAGGTTATTTATCTATCTATTATTGAATTTACTTGTGGTTATTCTATAAAGAGTAATGCGATACAGTGGAAGAGCTGGGGAAATGAGTTACATAAGGAAAGAAAATACGACCTTATGGTTGATTATTATACACTTGCCTTGGAATTCACACCAATATCAAATATTGAGCTGATGGCCTCTCTTCTAAGCAACCGGTGTTTGGCGCGAAACAACCTGAAGAAGTTCAAGGAAGCCTTGGAAGACGCAGAACAATGCATTAAAATAAAGCCAAAGTGGTTTAGGGTGAGCAATTAACTTTTTTGTCCGTTTGCCATTATAAAACAACCAGACGAGATGCTAGATGTTAAATACAGCACTCACGCTGAAAAACGTTTTAGGAGATCAGGGGCACCCTTTCAACTCCTCTCCCCCACAATTCTAACATAACCTGTTATATGGTCGATTTCGCACAAAATTTGATCACTAGGGCGCAATTTTTTTTTTTTTTTTTTAATTTTACTCAATTTGCTCACGTCCGAAACAGTTTCTGTTAAACAGGAGCCCCTCGTGATTCAAATTTTCGTTATGAAGGGATTCCGTCATAATTTCTTCTCCTGAAATAATTCAGTTGAGGCGTAATTAATGCTAGCGTGCTGTTACGTAAACAAACCTTTAATCGCTAAGAAGTGATAAAACTTACAGCTTGCATTACCGTATTCTTGCGTTACCGTATTTGTAGGGGTATTCTCGTAAGGGAACATGTCTTCTGCATTTGAAAAAGACTCAAGAAGCTCTGCGAGCATTTTGTAAAGGATACACCCACGCTTTCAGCGATAAAGAGAAACAGATAACTGCAACAGATGTGATTTCTACCGCTATGATGATAGAAGGTTGGTAATCTGTTCATAGCGATCGTAATTACTTCCTTAATGTCGAGCGTAATTAGCTGTAGGAAGAGTATTTGCACCCATGTTGCAAATCGATAAGATGAGTCAGAGAACCTGCCACTTATGCTGAGATTATTAAAAGGCACTTCCATTTTGCGACACCAGAACTAAGCCTGGCATCAGGAAAGGGAAGTCTTTATTTTCTACTGATATGCTCCCGTTTGCAAAACATCCAACTCTTGAGCTCGAAGACTGTGGTGAGTTATGCTCTAAGAACTTCTCACTACTCGATTAAACCCCTCTCTTAGGTGGAGAATCACAGATTACTTGCACTCTGTCATCCCACGTGCTACAATTTCTGGTGAAGGACGCAACCGAGAAGAAAGATTGGAACAAACTGAGATCTCTATATCTTGGTAGTGCCCCAAATACATCGTCTAGAGGACTAGCTAGTAAATGTGACGCCTCGTATGTGCCTCTGGATCTTCTTATTGAGTCAAATGTTGAAGATGTACACAGTCTCGTCAAAGTTCTTCTGGAACGTAACGCCTCTGCGGACGGACTACGAGGTTGCGCCAGGCCCCCACTTTTGGCTGCCATGGAAATGATGAATTTTCCGCTAGCTGTGACTCTCTTAAGAAACAACGCTGATTCAGCTTGCATAGTTGGTCATGGGATTTTCATGAACAGAGAGGTGTGAGATTTCTTCTTTAATAATAAGTAATCCAACATTTACATGTGTAGTTCAGCATTTAATTATGGTCTGGGCGTAAGATAACTGCTCGTCATAACGTCGTTGATCCCATAAAACGTGGATTATGACATAACGCAAAAGTTATCAAACACTAATCACAAATTCTTTCCGGGCGTTTTCAGTATCGCTCACAGTAGTAGTTATCATATTCAGATGACTTATATTGGTGTATGTGATCCGCTACAGTGAATCTTTAAATTTCATAGGGTCAACCGAAGCAATGGCTTCAACTTGGTCGCAAAGCGATAGATGCCAACGACAGTAAAAAGGCTGCGATGCTGCTCAACATGTCTCTGTACCTTTCGGATTCCAACAAAGACAAAACCATAACAGCACAGATATACCATGCGCTGGCAGAGGCCTACTTCATTGGGAGTGAGCACGAAAGATGTATCGACGCAGGAAAGGAGTGCTTCAAGTTACAACCAGTAAAATCAGAGGTATTCTTCTTTTTTTTTAGTGAGTCTTTTCAGTTTTTTTAATAACCGTTTGTCTAGACAGCCAGTACTCTACCGAGCATTGCTGGGAATCTAGAATAAATACTTTTCTTGTCCTTACGGGTTGATATACACACTTCCATGACTAAATATTTAGAATAACGTCAGCTGACTAATTTTAAATCTTATTAAAAGGAAGAAGCAAAGAGGTGGGGAAAACGAGCCGACCAAACCCTTCATTTAAGGAATTACAACCAGTCCATTGACTACTTGAATCTGGCTTTAAAGTATACTCCAGCTGACTCAAAAGAGATCTTTTCACTTCTGTTGTGCCAACGTTCAGAGGCTTTCCAACAGCTGGACAACTTCAAAAGCGGTTTGGAAGATGCAGTAAATGCATCAAAGATGTGCCCAGAAATGTCTGAGGTAGGATCCACGTCAGTAAGAAACTGCACATTTATCATTACTTTCACATGAAATACACAATCAAATTGACAATAAGCATCCTTTCCACAGGTTTATATACATCAACATAAGTGTTTTCAGGCACTTAAACGGAAAAAAGAGGCGATGCATGCTGCAAACGAGTGCCTAAAGAGGACAACAGATGAGAACTTCATATATTCCCTTTTGTGTGACGCATTGGCTACTGCTGCCAGTCTTAAAGGTAAAGATTAAAAATAAAAATCACTTGGAAAAGGTCATTAAGTGAGGTAAAAAGACTACTTGAAGAATCCGAAGCAACAACGTCGCTTTCTCAGACAGAAAAACAGAATAATTTTCCACGAGTGGAAAGATGTAGACTAACAACTTTGTGTAGCCTTATTTTGATTGAATTCAAATTAAACGGTAGACTCTTTCTCTTAGAGGGAACATCCGCTATAACGGCCCCCGTGCCCAGCAAACTTCTAGAAAAGCTTGTGAGCGAGGTGATAAAGAAGAAGGACTGGCGTAAACTAAGAATCCTTTATCTCGGGGGAGGAGGACCAGGATCGCAACCAACAGGAAATGGAGGAATGGCGACTGGAATCAGCGCATCAAGTGTCCCACTTGGAGAAATCATACGCTCCAATGTGCCTGAGCGACCCATTTTAGTGTCGGTTCTCCTCAAGCATGGAGCCTCAGCAAACGCAATTAAAGAATCAGATACAATACCTTTAATGGAAGCTATGAGACTGCCAAACTTACCCCTTGTGGAAAAATTGGTGCAGAATGGAGCCAACCCCTGTGTAATGAACAAAGAAGGAGAACCCATAATTCACCGAGCATTGAGGAGTGGTCTTCAGAAGAATGGTAAAAACTGGTATTGATATTAAAGTAGAAGCCAAGAGGGGCAGCGCTATTGTATGAGTTGAGCACGATAGGACAGCAGACAAACGCTGGTGTCACTTTACTGAAAGAGTATAAAGAAAGTAACAAGGACTTAACCCTCTCTGGAGTTAACATTTCCTTTTAATTACGAGTGCTCATTTTTGTGAACATAACCTATATTCGAATTAATACTTGTCACTATCAATTCGCCAGGGACATTTGAATTCTTGAAAGCAATGCTGAAGTCCCCACTCCCCGAAGTTCAAAGTGTCCAGGACACGGACGGCAACACTCTTTATCACATTGCATGCATTGGCAAGAATTTACAGAAAAAAAAGTGTGACGCAATCCGAATACTTCGAGAGGCAAATATAAATCCGAACCTCCGAAACAAGAGGAATGAATACGCAATCCAAAAGGTTCCATCCAAACGTGATCCTCGTTGGAAGATGTTAGATACTGCATTACAGTGTTACAAGTTGAACTCTTCTGTGTCTGTCACCCACGAAGAAAACTCTGAAAAGGTCTCTAATGAAGAACACGATAAGGAACTTCAATGGGCAGATGCAGAAGAGGAATACGTTTCAGACGGAGATGAAGAAAAACCAACAACAGAGGCCAAGAACACGCCTCAAAACGTCAACGTTTTGAAGGTAGATCAAAAACAGCTGCAGCGAAAGGAAAGGAGGGAAACTATTGTCAGCTTGATAGATGCAATAACGCCTCTTTCCACATTTGTTCCAAACGCATTTGATACAAACGAAGAGCAAGATGATATTGAAGTTTTCAATGAGTCATCAGGGAGTCCTCGAGCTGCAGAGAGTAACATCGACGTGGTGATTGAAGACGAGACCGCAGATGACGATCGATATGCTGATGAGAATGACATCCTTGGAGACAGTGACAGAGAAACAGAAATCGACTCTAAATCTCCCTTTGAGGATCTTCCTTGGGAAGTGGACTGTACTGATCGAGTTTGGAAGATTATGAAAAACAGAAAAGTTGGTTTCTCTACGAGGAAACGTATAATCGATAAAATTCGCATGTTGGCCAATGGCAGATGGAGTAAGACACTCTGCAAGAGACTCGAAGGAGAAGCGAAGAGGAAAGACATTGAGCTTTACGAATCAAAGCTAACAAAAGGTCAACGAATAATTTGGGAAAAAACGATCGCCTTTTCTGGTCGATGCAGCGAAAACCCCGAGCTCCGTCTGGACAAGAAGAATCCTGAGGGTCGCATTTACTCAGATATCATTCGGGTGTGGGACATTGTATTGGACCACGACAAACTTCAACGCTCGATAGACCTCATCGTCAAGTCACATGACAGAGGAATGGATTGCATTGTGAAAAGGAAACTCAAAGGCATGCCGGTGAAATCTGGAGGTAACAGCGCGTTAACTTCCGAATGTTTACCAAACAAGTATGCAGAGATTGGTGATTTGGAGCAAAAAGGAAATCCACAAGCCAAGAAAAGCGTACCGAAGAAGTCGACCATTGCTGACAATTTGCCTCAAATTTTCTTTCCACCTGCAAGTGCAAATGAGCAAGAATATCATATTCTCAAGTTCTACTCATTTAGCACCGCCCTCGTTAGAACAGTGCTAGAAAGTGACATTTCTTCTAGGATCGACTTTCCTTTCAAGATAACTGAACTCGAGCATGCCATCGTTAACCTTCGCCCAGATCCTCCGATGCCCATCATTCTTCTTGGTCGAAGTGGTACGGGCAAGACTACTTGCTGCCTCTATCGCTTATGGGACCGGTTTAAAAGTTACTGGGAACGTGCAGAAACTGCTGGCCCCTACATTCCACGATTTCTGCCCCCTCCATTGAAAACTAGTCAATACTCTGACGACGATGAAACCTTGCAAAGCAGCATTGAGCAGGATATTAATCAAGCTGAACGTAGTCCGAAACAAGCATCTGCATCTACAGAATGCCAACAACCCAATGCTTCGTCACATTCAGCTTCAGCTCCAGCGTCACGAGACGACCACCAAGATCAAGTAATGCAATCAAACTCTTGCCCTCCAAAGGCAGAAAACCAGCTTGAAGACAATGATCAAGAAGAAAAGAAGCAACCTGAGATGTACGAACATCTACACCAAATCTTTATTACAAAGAACAATGTTCTCTGCAGCGAGGTTGAAAAAAACTTCAAGGAGCTATGCCATGCCTGCCCAGCAGCACAACACCGTATACCACTGGAAGACCAATCTCTTCCTGCAAAGATGCAGGACGTTGCTGCAGAAGCGTGGCCACTTTTTGTTAATTCGAGGGACTGGCTTCTTATGTTAGATGCATCTCTTCCTGGCAAAACCTTCTTTAACCGCGCTGAGGATGGAAGTTTGCTTCGGAAAATTGATGGCTGGGGGGAGGAAGACAGCCATTTACAATTTATCCCAGCCACAGAATCAGACGACGAAAGTGACCACGAAGAAGAAGACGAGGGGGCCGTTGGAACACCACATGGTAGCGAAGAAACTAAACAAAAAGGAAAAGAAACATTCATTAAAAAAGACAAAGACCCGAGAAGGGAAATCACTTACCCTGTTTTCCAAATTTGAACTATGGCCAAAAATGAAAAAGACTTCAAAGGAGAAGGTTGATTACCATCCTACTTTGGTGTGGACGGAAATACGGTCTTTCATAAAAGGTTCTGCTGAAGCCCTGCTGAGTGAAAATGGAGAGCTTTCACTTGAGGATTATGAGTCCCTAGGAAAGAAGAAGGCTCCAAACTTCTCTGCAGACAGAAAGGTAGTTTATGATCTGTATCGAGTTTATCGACGAGAGCGATCCTCAAAACGGATGTTTGATGAAGCCGACCTGGTTTACAACATTCACAAACGCCTTCAACTCATTACTGCTCCTGAATGGTCAGTTCATCAGGTCTATGTCGATGAAACCCAAGATTTTACTCAAGCGGAGTTGTCTTTATTGATTCGTTGCTGTCGCTCTCCAAATGAACTGTTTTTTACTGGTGATACAGCACAGAGTATTATGAGAGGAATTTCCTTCCGCTTTAATGATTTAAAGTCTTTGTTTCATCACGCCAGGAAGGCGGCAGGTATCAATGATGACCAGAATAATTTCATTACAGTCCCAAAGAAGCTGTATCAACTGACGCACAATTATCGATCACACGCAGGAATTTTGTGTCTTGCCTCCAGTGTCGTAGATTTGTTGCTGACATATTTTCCTGACTCATTTGACAGATTGCAGAAGGATGAAGGGCTTTTCGAAGGACCCCGACCGGTCCTTCTGGAATCCTGCAGTCCTACAGACCTTGCAATGATTCTTCAAGGAAATCAGCGGCAATCCTCAAGAATTGAGTTTGGTGCTCACCAAGTGGTTCTTGTGGCGTCAAATGAGGCGAGAGACACATTGCCTGATGAACTGTCACAAGGACTGGTGATGACCATATACGAGGCCAAGGGACTTGAGTTTGATGACGTCTTGATTTACAATTTTTTTAAGGATTCTCAGGTAAATTATCCAACTCTCTAAACTTATCAATCAAAAATGTTTTCTTCTCCTTGAAATGGTGTGAAAAAAAATTCAGTGAGTTTTTGAAATGTTTTTAAAGGTGCAATAGGGTACTATCGACACTCTTAAGTCACGTCAGATGTAAGTATGGTACTGAATAAATGATGAGCGCGTATTCAATAGCAAACAAAATGATAACCTGTCTTTCTTATTACAGGAATAAATTATTGGTTTATATAACAGATTTAGATGGTTTAGGTTAAGCATAGGTGATTAAAAGGCGCTTTGAAAAGGTAGATGAGGCATCCTCGGCATTTCCCGTAATTGAACAAACATATCTTTTTTTTTTCATGCCCCAGGCTACGAAAGAATGGAGAGTTGTTACCAGTTTTATGAGAGATGAAGGCTTCGCTGGTCTTTCAAGTTCGATTGGTCTGGCTGAGGTAACAGAGGACAGCGTTACGGTACAATCCTCACGTCCCCTTAAATTTGATCCGGACAATCACAAGGTTCTGAATTCTGAGCTCAAGTATTTATACACAGCTATCACTAGAGCTAGAGTCAACGTCTGGTTCTTTGACGAAGACAAAGAATCTAGAGCACCCATGTTTGAGTTCTTCCAGAAACGTGACCTTGTTAAAGTTGTATCAATGGGAGATAATGACGCTGGATCTGGTGAGCTGGCCAGTATTTGTGCTACTAAATCAACGTCAGACGAGTGGCGAAAGGGTGGTTTGCGCTTCTACAAACGGAGTTTGTGGAGACTTGCCATACAGTGCTTTGAGTTCGCTAGTGATGATGTCTGGGTTCGGAAAAGCCAAGCACAGCAACAAGCAGCAGAAGCCATTAAATTGCGTTTCACAAATCGTCAGCAAATGAAGGACGAATTCCTCAGGGCAGGAGAAAGCTTCCTGAAATGCAGCATGTTTGATGAGGCCGAGATTTGTCTAAATAACGCCAGAGAGTGGACCCTTTTAGCTCGACTGTACGAGAAAACAGGAAAGGTTAATAATACAACTGACTTTTTGAAAGCTGAGGTTTAGTTTTCCATGAATGTGATGCGTTAATCAACTCGAGGCTTCAACATTCGCCTCCGGGAAACCCCTAGGCATTTGAACTTTCGAATACTGTTTTTTTTTTTCAAGTTCCCGCCCCCCGAGGAAAGATTATTTTCGGATGCCCCACCCACATTTTTTGAAAAAGGCAAGATCAGCGACAGCGACTTTCTACACATTGACCAAACTTTAACATGGACTTTGTAAACCTTTTCCTTTGAGCCATATGCTCGTGGAAGCGACCTATTTTCCGTTAAACACCTCCATATTTGAAGATATAACACTTGTATTCGGCTCAAATTCCCCACCATAGCCGTGCAAGCTTCAAATCCTCACACCGGGGTAAGGACGACCATCAAATGCCCGTGGGTTGCCGGGGGAAGGGGGGTTGCTGAAGCTTCGAATTGATCGGCGTTAAACATTGTTTCGGCTCTCTTCTAAATATTTATTTAATGACAACGCTGATTTTCGATTCTGGTATTTTTGACGATTTGTTTCTCACTCATTTTTTCGTTTTCTTATAGCTTCAAGACGCTGCTCGCCTCTTTAAGAAAGAAAGACTTCACAAGGAAGCAAGCAGATGTTACGAGGCACAGAACAACTATGCGGAGGCGATCGAAGTACTTTTGTCGTGCAGGCATCTTTGAAGAAGCACTGAGTGCCCTTGAACGTTACAATATCCTGGCATCAAGTGGCGACTTAGAGGGTAAACAAGGCATTATTCCCCCAAGATCTACTCGCACGGTGGAAAGACTACGTCATCAACTGGCAGGCCAACATTTCGAGAGAGGCGAAACAATCAAAATGGAAGAGGTCCTTCAATACCTTCCATCTACTACCGACCGTATAACGTTCTTGAAGAAACGTGGATGTATAATTGAGGCAGCCAGAGCCTTGGACGATGACGGACGACGGGACGAAGCTGCTCGACTTTTAAAAGACGCGGGAAAATTTGAGGAAGCTGAAAGGTATTCTACTGATCCACAGTTTGCCGCCGACTGTTTGATATCACTTGTTCGCACCACCACGAGGAGTGAAGACAGCTCTGCGATTCTTGAAAAAGCTATTGAGAAGTATCAGCTTTGTGGTAACCCTAATGGCCAAGCAGAAGCCTTGCTGTTGCTGGGAAGATTGTCTCATGACTCTAGGAAGCTCCAGGAGGCGGGAAGATTGTTTTGACAAGAGTAAAAATCCCTGCGGGGAAGTAGAGAGTATCATGCAGTTGCTTGAGACAACAAATTTTGCACCTCCGAAAAGCTTCCAACAGTGGATGGCTGTGAGAGCCTTGGAGAGAGTGCTGGGGCTGATTACTACATTACACACGCCCAACAAAAAGCTAACCTTAGCTGAAGAGACAGAAATTACAAGGTGCGAAGAGCATTTTGGACTTTTCAAAACTGACACCGCTAACGAAAAGAGGTACTTCTGCAAATCCGGGGGCAGATTCTCCCTGGTCTATCCAAAAATCATTGAAAACGATACCTCCAACACGGAGGCGACGATAAACACACTTGATGCACACAAGGAAATACGACGATTCTTACTTAATGTCTGTGCCAAACTAGTAAAAATGACTCACGTGATGCTGGAGAAGACGGTGGCCAAAAATACTCTGTGCACGAACAAGGGGATGGGAACAACGTGCAGCGATTCAACTTGTGAAAATCAGCATGCAGATTCGATAGACCTTTTCAACAACCGCTTCCTCGCTCTGTTCCATTTCATTTATTTAGAATCAGTTGTTGAATCGTTCAGGTCGGAGATGGCTTCACGGAAAGAAGAGCAGGAGACCCTCCCATTAACTTTAGAAGAATTTCGTGAATTCCGAACATGTCAGCGTTTTTACGACTTCTTGTTTCCCTCGTCAGGTTATCGAGAATATCACCTTTCATTGGCAAGCATTCGCCACCTTAACAGGACAAAACTAGTCACCAAGCGCATTTTTCAATTTGCCAACGTTTCGTGGAAAGAAAATTCCGAGGAGTTGCGCCGGTCAGACACAAATAATTTTCTTAAAGTGTCCTTTTATCTGCAGCTAATCAACTCTTCTCAGTCCATGGTGAAGTGGATTTGCGAAGAGGAAAAAACGTTCCAGAGGAAGACAAGGACGCTGAAGCTCAGGCCCACAAATGATCTGTTAGCTAAGAATGGGATGATTGGTCCTGATGAAAAAGGACGCTTCGAAAGCTACTTGCAATGGTGGGAGGACGGTAAGAAAAGGCTCTACGTTTACGGTGACGTGGGAAACGCTGCACATATTATCATCAGACGTTTCCTTACTCTAACAGCAAAGCGAAGTCAGATGATTTATCCATCCATTGCCAACACGGTTATGATCTTGGAGCATCAACTAACAGCCTGCCTTGCTTTGTACAGCCGTTTGTCGACAGAGAACCGGTATCCCGTGTGTCTACCAGCAAGTTATCTGACTATGGTGAGGTTTTGGGACAATTGCAGGCCAGGAGCCGACAAAGGCACATTTACCCTGTACCAAGCTGTTGAGGAGAGCTACGCGCAAGAAGCTAACAAAATAAAACTGTTTAAAGTCGTTCGCTCTCTGTTAGACTACATGGTGAGGCTGACATGTGGTGAGGTGGCCTATTCATTTGATGTTTTAGGGGACGCTCTTGATTCAGAAGAGAGTCCATCGTATTGTGACTCTGGAGAAGGCAGAGAGAAGTTTGGTGCTCTTCTTGACCATGATGTGCAATTGTGGCAAAGGAATTTCGATTTATCTGGAAGAATTCATGCTCAGAAAAATCTTGCGTATCAAGGCAAACCATCGGTTAACAAGCCGCATCAACAGCGTGTTAGACAAAATCCAAGAGGTGCAAGGGCCACGTGATGTGGTAATGATATTGAAGACGTTCCTGCAAAGTAGGGCCGAAGAACTTTATGATCTCCGCTGGTACAATGGAAGATTGTGGTACGATGGAGTATGCAAACCAACCTCTTACCCAAACACATTTCACACAGACCTAACGCACATACGCGAAGGACTGCAACAGGATTCAGACCGCGAGAAAACGTCTGAAGACACGGAAACTTTAAATACAACCGAAGCCGAAGCAAACGAGGAAGGAATGGATGTGGAACTTACGGAAGAAGAGCGCAAAGAGAGAGAAAACATTCAACGAGATGTTGCGGCTACCACAATCCAAAGGTGGTACAAACGAATAAAGTCACTAGAGAAAAAGCAGGCTCAAGCCGCAGTAGTACCAGCTAAGACATTGCAAAGACTAGAGTCCACCCAGGAACAAATAAATTCAGAATCTGATCTCTTAGAGAAGCATTTTTCCCAATTCAGAGTCGACGTATCTGCTTGTGGGATCTGTAGGATCAATTTCAAGCCTTTAGCTGAGGACACCCTGCACATGAACAATGAAGATAGCGAAGGTACTCAGTAAAACCTACTTTCATTCTGAAATTAGCAAATTAATGTATTAATTTAGTCGACCTGCGAACATCTCTCTTTCCCTTTGGTTAACGTTAAAAAGAGGTGTGTGGTGACGTATGCAAACAGCTTAGTTGTATTAATGCACTCAAAACCAGTCAAGGCCGTTTACTGATGATGTGATCAAGTTGAAGCTAGAATGCTAAAGAAAATGTTCACACCTATCCTCATTCGGTAGCTTGCAATTAATGATAACAACTCAGAACACAATTTTTGTTCACTCCTCTTGAATGATCTGTCATTGCGTTACAAACTAATTGGGTGTGCTAACTAATAACGAACCCTTCTTCGTGGATTACCTACAGGAACCAGTGAACCAACAGGAGAATCAACAGACATTGAGACAGAGAATGCAGAAATCCATGGAAATTCCCCAGCACATTTGGAAAAAGAAAAGGCTTTCAACCATTACAAAGATCTTTATTGTTCAAAATTCCATCCCTTATATACGAGAGAAGAGCAACTACTCAAGGTGTTAGAGGATCATTCCCTGTCTGTTAAAGTCCAATTGGATATGGACCGCTTAGAAGCGAGTCTTTCAGCAGTTAAGAGTGAAATACAGAACATAGAGACTACTTTGAATTGGGAAAAGGTCAGCCCTCTGCAAAACGCAATAAAAGGGTTTAAAATCACTCTGCAAAAGACAGAAAGAGTCGTAGAACAAGGTAATCACGACAGGTGTTTAGAAATATTCACATAAGGGTATGCCCCTAGTATACATTTCAACCAACATCAAAATTATAAACTTAGGAAACATTCAAACAAAGTGGTCAGGTGAAAAACACATGACTTGAATGATATGACTTCAGTGGATATCTTTAAACCCAAGGCAAACTGTTGCTTTGCGTGTTGCTTGCATGTTTCGTTGGAGAATCATAGACGCCACTAGATTGCCCACGTTCGAAACCTACGCAACCCTAAACCTTATTTGAAGATTCGTTATCTGAAGTATCGATATCTTAAAAATCAGGAGAAATATCGATATAAATGAAAAAAGCTTAGGCTGAAAACGGGAAATGTAACACGAGTGCAAAGTTTGTGCAAATTACAAAAATATACGCGCGAAAAACTTCGTCCGTCTTGACTTTCGGTGATGTGTTTTTCATTTAAATTATTGACAAGAAGCAACATGATTTCTCGTGTAATTTGGTGTAAATTAGTACTTATAAACTTTTCAAAGACTACAAATTGCACTCGCCCTAGCTACGGGCTCGTGCAATTTTTTTGTCTTTACTCATGCTTGTTAACACCAAATCGCACTCGAAATTATGTTTTTACTTATACTAATATGGCCTGCAGGGGAGGTGTTTAGATCAGTCTCTCAGTTTGATCGTCCGATCTCGACGTTCGGATGATCCAAACTTTTTTCAAAATATTTTCAAATTAAAAACACAAGCAAAACGAAATGCAATTTATTTTCTTCAATGAAAAAAGGAAAATTCATTCTGATTTTTTTAATCATAAAAAGAAGCAAAACAAGAGTCTAGCAAATCGTCCTTGCTGCAGAAAATGAAGACAGTGAACCAGAGGAAGAAGGAGAAGAATTGCACGAGGAAGACAAGGAAGAAGAACATGACTTTAGTCCCATTCAAGAAATCCCACATGGAAGCAAAAAAAATGGTGGTAAATCTAAGAGACGTCGTAAACAGCATAGGAAGTAGACAGATTGCTAGGGGCATTTTCAGTTGCATGGAAATATCTTCCCTTATAAATCATCCTAGCAGTCTTTCGGGGGCGACAATGACTGTTTCATTTAAGTCTGGTGAGATCCCTCCACGCAGGAGTTGTTTTCTGACTAACCATTTTATGAAACTGCTTGCAAAGTATTTAAGTGCCACTAACTTTTGCTGGACTAGCAACACGTACTTGACAGATAGAGATGTTATCAGTGGCAAGGACATGTCAAGACAAACTGACCCCAGTATCTGTTGCAGTGACTGACCGGATGATAGGTTTGTTTATCTCTGCTCTTTGTGTAGTGCATATCACAATGTTGGCAAACGTCCATCACGGACCTTTCGACAGATGTGTTGATCGTCTACCAGGGTGTCCAGTCTCACCCGGAGTAACAGGGGAGCGGTTCACCACAGATCTTAAGACAGATATTGTTTTAGTTCTGTCAGGATGCCCAGTTTCATCCTTCACGCCCTCTAAGGGGCGGGGTTGCCAGTTGAGTCGCCGACTCTCCGACCCATGAGACAGGTAGTACCGGTTTTCATGGTTATCCAGTAGCAAGCAAACCAGTGCCTGACTTGACATAAATAAATCAGTAGTATGCATACGTTTCAAGCAATGTAGAGTTTTGAATGACTTGTTGCGTGGTTAAATTTTCAATCACACTTCTAAACTATCAGAAACAGATACCGATATTGTGCAAAATTTCCACATATCTGAGCGAATTTTTAGAAATTTAAAAGAGGAGGAAGGTTACTGTAATTTGAGGGAAGATAAGCTTTCTTCAAATCCATTTCATGGGAAGCTATTTTTAAACTGTTGCCTGAAGGAGTGGTTTACGATTTTCTGAGTGCATAATTATTTACAACTCGTCTTTAAACTTTGAACTTGTCTTGGTTTGGGTTACCTCAAGGTTTGGTAGATTTTGTCATTTTTGTTATTTACGGGCTACAGTCGACTCGCGAGAAAATATTTTTTTCTGTAATTCAACTTACTTGAGAAAGATAACTCGAACATCTCCCTCGAAGAATTTTCACTTCCCCTTGTGACATTTTCAGTAAAGATTTGCCTTCTATCTATAGTTCGAATACTTTATATTTCTTTGGCATTTTAAAAAAAGTCCTTCAGTTTAGGTTTCGCTGGTTTCGGGTTCAATCAGTGCACTGTATTTTCAAAAAGCTTTGCTGTTTAAATAATTTTTTTAAATTTTCTTTTTTCACAATCAAACTTGATTAAAATAAAGACGGAAGTCATAAAAAAGTAGATTAGTTGCGATTGGCAACTAAAAAAGTGATGCACTAGAGTACAAAATTAAATCAATGATCATTCGAAGGATGTTGCGCAAATACACAATTATGATATTAAAGGGGATGATTCAATGTCATTTGTCCAATTCTAAGTCTATCTGTCCTCCCAAACCGAAAACCTACGAATATTCAGCACCGATCCATGGACCGAATACGTATTGGAAGGGGAAAGGAACACTACTTTTTTAAAATCCAGTGCAAGGCTAGGCCACAACTACTTGGCCCAACTTTTTCTAAGCATAATGGCCCAGCAATAGGTGAAAATATGACTAGTCGCTTAAACGCAGAAGCTTTTCCACACGAACCTGGCCAACCAAGCTGACTCAGTTTCTGAGAACTTACTTCATCACTCTTTCAACCAATCAAAGTGGTGCATAATTACAATAAATGACCCACAACCAGCCCACCCCTTGCCGACAAGACTACCTGTATGAAGTCGCAAACACATCGCGACCCACACCGAAAGTTATTACATCTTGCGGCAAACGATAACACTTCATAGGTGTCATATTTCTGAAAACCGCCATCGCCCTTCAGAGGTTAGTTACCATATGACGACCAATTTTAAAAATTTATTCTGCTCAAAGATTTGGACTGTAAGTCCAACTATTAGTGGTCCAGTGTTCAGGAATACAAGTTCTTTAAAAGAAAAATTAATAGCCCTTTTGACGATCACAAACTATCAAAGATCTCACCTGGGCATGCAAGGATATATGCACTTCTGCTTCCGATGAATGGCCAATGTAGAACACCCCAGCTGTTGACGAATCCTTCTGAAAGCTTTGTTTTTGTCTAGTGATCGTTTACGGTTTTGCATAAGCCGTCACAAAGTCCAAATTTTTCCACGACATAACTGGAAAGGACGATGGCCTCTTTTGACTTCGTTTTGCATAGGAGATCCTCGTATTGATTTAGCTGACCCAGTTCACGGAATGAGGAGATATTTCAGCTTTGAATAAAAACGTCGGCTTTGTCTGCAAAGAGATAATAAAAAGTGAATATCCATTGCCAAGCGTTTGTCGTCTAAATACGTTTGTGCATAGCCGAGTTTTACTTTGTGTTGACTGGGATAGCTGCCCGCGTGATCACATGACAAGCGCAGTACATAAGCACGCGTAGTGTAAGCTGAAGGAAACTGTGAACAGGCCCTTTGGCTTTGAATCATAACATCCGGAATCATTTTTTTCATCGGTGGACGTCATAACTTCTCACTGAGGACCTTTTCCGCAATAACAGCAGCTGCTAGTTTGCAGTGGGGCGAAGACGCTGGGCTTTGTAATGACGAAATTGTTTTGAATGAATGAATGAACACATCGACCTCTACCAATAATGTTGTGTTTCTCTCGTCTGCCTCTCATTTTCGCTGGAAATAAAGCTTTCTGTTCGAGTGTGTGAAAGGTAAGGTGTTTTTGAGTGGACTATACTAGTTAGCGAGGTTAGACAGACCTTATGAGAGATATGCAAGGTATTCGCTGCGTAAACAATTTCCCCTTTGCTTTTTGTCAAGCTCGAGAGTTGGTGCATTCATGAATTTCTTCACGAGAGATTAAATATTCATTCAGCAGAAGGAATGTCAATAACACAAAGCAATATTGCTTTATGTTTCCAATGTCACTGCTGTTACTCTTATCGTACTTTAGTTGAGCTTGTCAATGGTATCAAACCATTGAACAGTGGACGAGTTCAGCGTGAATGGTGAACTCAAACTGCTTGTTTACGAATTTCAAATTTCTGTTTTCTGCCCTACAGTGTGGGAACATTTCATCAGTTATTTCAAGAACAGCCTCATTTTATATTGTTATTCAGAGAATAGGAGATTAATATTTCTTTTAATCACAGAAAACTCGCCCTAAAAAGATTGAATGGACGACGCTGTTTTGTTCAATCGGTGATAGGTATGATAGTTATCAGAGTGAACATGGGTTCATTTAATTTCTTTCCTGCTGGTGTTAACCGGAAATAAATCACATTCAACAGTTCTGTGTTCCTTCTTTTGGTAGACGGTTGGAGAGGAACCATTTATGATTTGTTTATGTGATACTTATGTTGAATGTTGAATTGCTATCACTGTTTACAGTCCTGAGGAAGAGTGGTAGGCATACTTCAAACTGGCTAGCTACCATTATAATTCATCAAATTTTTTTGCTTGCATGCAGTTGGTTTTAAATTGTCACGTGACCTGATATGCTTCAGCTAAAACTGGGGAATATGCAGTGTCGTAGTCCATCAAATATTTTTGCTTGTGCCTGATTTGCTTAAATGCATCACATGACCAAATATTCCCCCTGCTAAAACTGGAGGACATCCTAGGAGATCACTCCCCTATATTCCCCTTATGTTCAACCTTACATCCACTTTGATAGGTCTTCTTTTAAGACTTGATTTAAGATGAGAGTGCATTTTGTGGTTGCTATACAGAAGAACAGAAATCTTTGTTTGTTCACAAAATCATACCAGAGATCACTCTAAATTAAACATCCCATACAGAAAATGGTAAGCTGTTTCAAAACCTTTTTCTTCACCTGTTACAAAATATTTGAAGGATAATAAATGTGATACCCTCAATTTGGTGCAAAAATATGCACGTTTATTTGTCCATGGATATTATCTGTTCCTTGAAGCTCACCCAACTGCCAAAGAGAGGCTATTGTTCATTTTTTCCATAAGTGATGTTCCCCAATTTGTAAATTTTATGTCTAATAAGATAAAATTCTTAGTTAAGAATTTAATTCAAAATGAGAGAGCATTTTGCTATTGTGATAGTGAAAGAGACATATATGGTACACGTTTCTTTCTATGCATTACAAAACTATTCAAAAGATATTGTAAACACAGTAGCCTCCACTTGGCATGAAAATATCTTGTCCATTTGTCCACATTCTCTATTACCTTGAAGCTCACATTTTTCCTTGAGCTCTACTTGTGGAAAATGGTTCACTTCTCATAACAAAATGGCTGCACACAAATATCCAGGCATCTTTTTGCACCAAATCGACCAGTCAACAAAGAAACATATTTTGTCAGCCTGGAGAATTGAGTTCCATGTCTTGGGAGTGAAACTAAGCTGTGATTTCAATAGAGTCAACAGGTACCCAAAGGTGCCTGGCTCTTAACTCTTTAACTCCCATGAGTGACCAAGGCAGAGTTTCTCTGTACAGTATCAATACAATATCAACTAGATTAATGATGAGAACAAAGAAAAGTATCAATTTGGGGATAATTAGTTGATCCAATACTAAATTCTCTGAACTAACATTATAAGAATTGAATGGTTGACAGTAGGGAGAATTGCAAATTTGATCTGGGAGTTAAAGGGCTAAAAGCCTCCATGAAAGAAAAGTGAAACAAGTTGCCTTTAGACAAAGTTTCCCTTAGCATCTGAGCTCTTTTAGAGAGCGGTTTAGTGAAAGAGTTGTAAAGACTGTTGCAAGCTGCTTAGTAAAAGAATTTAAAGATTTGTTCTAGCTAAATCTTGAATTTCTTATTGTCTCTGCAGTAAAGGAATTTTGAAAGATGGATGCTATAGAGTTGCGGCATCAAGCAATCCTCGCTCATCAGGCTGGAGCACTTGAGCAAGCATTATTGCTATTTACACACAGCATACAACTCACACCTCCAAGTAGACCACACTATGCTGGCAAACTACTGAGAGAAAGAGCAGATTGTTATTGGGACTTGGGATGCAAAGAAGATGCATGCAGTGACATGAAGAGAGCTTTAGAGCTATTTCCAGGAATCAGAGTATGAGCCTTCAACTTCTATACAATCTTCCTATAATTTCTCCTAAAAAATCTTAATAGATTATCACATAGACAGGTGATGAGAATATTAAAAACTATCAGCAACATGTAGGTGTAACAAAGACTTCCTGTTAAAAGATGGTAGGAGACATCACAATGATTTATCACTGGCTTGTGATAAAATTAATGCTCTGTGCAGAGTGTTCTGTAAACTCTGGAATTTATGAGTGTAAGCATCATTGGAAAGAGATTTGCCTATGTAGGTGTGTATACAAACATTTTTGTTCGATAGATATGTTCACTCAGTGTTAATCTTACCAGGATGGTGCAGAAAAATGGGTACACAGAGGCTTTGAAGCCAATAAAGAAGAGAACTGGTCTGTTTCCACTCAGTGTTTTACTTATTCACTGTTGTTTTGTCCTCGCAACAATATTGCCTTGCTCTCCACTCTGTACGCTTCAAGAGCAGAAACAAACTACAGAACTGAGAGATTTGTGGAAGCACGCAGTGACATTGCAAATTGCTGGAAGGTTGACCCTGCTTTGGTTAAGGTTTGTTTCTCCTATGTCTCCTGAAAGATAATTCATTATTGTTACAATCATTATGATGAATTGCTAGTTGTGAATACCACTTGTTGATTTCCTGGAGACAATGCAGATTGTCATTTGGTTTTCAAGAAAATTCTACTTTGTTGAAAGATTGAAGTGATAGTTCTTATATTTCCATCATATTACAGCACAATGCATTTGAAACCGGAGAAGCCAGTTTCAAGGGAAGGATTCTGTAAATTTTAAACTCCATTAATTTTTGGTGCCTCTGAGTTTGAAAGAATAATACCTGTCTGGAGTTTCATGCAGAAAAACATGTAGAATTGGAAACTTTCTTTTTTAGCTTTTGTTTTTGCCTGTGTTCAATTATTATGTTAAGTAAATTATCAGGTGCACTAAGTCTTGATTTCTGCTTGGCTAAAGAATGTTGGGGTACATACAGGTCCTGGAAAACCCAGAAAGTCCTGGAATTTTATTTTGGTGCTTTCCAATACTGGAAAGTCCTGAAAAAGGCTACAGGTCCTGGAAAGTCCTAGAAATCTGCTTAACTTTAGCAGTAAAATTTTGAGAAGTTACATTATAAGAAATGTATGTAGACTGTAAGGAGAATTGATTTTGAATTTGGGAAATCTTGGGTTTAAGGTGAAATTTGGAGTCTTGGAAAATCAATCTGAGTCCTGGAAAAGTCTTGGAAAAGTCACTGAATTTGTTTCTGGAAAAGGTACTAACCCCGATACATTACTGTAAATATCAACATATGTTTTACCTCTGTATTGCAGCAAGAAGGCAGGCGCTGCAAGGATAAAGGCATCCGGCTATATCAAGCACACAAGTACAATCAAGCCATTGTTTCTCTTGGACTTGCAAAGGAGTTTTTGCCACGTTCTATGAATGAGTTTCATGCACAACTACAGAGCTATTTGGCATCTTGTTATTTTAGTCTGCAGCAGTATCCAGAAGCATTAGAGGCTGGTAAAGAGGCATACAAGATCAGGCCAGGGAGGGCTCAGGTCAGTATTTTGCATTGCTAACATTGGGAATTGTAATGGTGTGCTGATTTGCTATCATTTGAAGATGCACAGCACTGCTCATATTTAAGATGAAAGTCTTGATTCTAGCCTTAATCCTCAATTCCCAAAAGTTTTGATAATCAAAGATCAAGTTTCAAGGTTGGATTAAAGAGTTTTATATTCAGGAATCTAGATTCAAATTTAAAGAATCTAGTTACAAAAACCTCAAAGAATGATTTTAGGAAACAATTCCAATTTCAAAAGCAAAACAACGGCATTGGACAAAGTGCTTGGCTCATGACATCCTTTATTCATACTAGCTATTCTCAAAATTTGCAAATGTTATTTAGATTCAAGGATCAAGAACTGAGAAGCAAGGAATATGTCTCTCAAGACTGTCAACTTTTATTTAAACATTGCTATATGCCAAAACAAATTGTGAAGAGGTGCTTCCTTTGTAATTTAAAACTCATATATTCATGAATGAGTTTCCATGTAGGCTTAGAAAGGTCTTTTGTTGCTTGAAATTGTAGACATTTTGACTCCCAGGTTTGTATTCATTCCAAGAGTCTCTTGACTCGCAAGATAAGACAGACTCTGACCCAGGTTGTGTAAGAATAAGGAGCCGTGTGAGGATGGCAAAAAGCACAGCATGGTGTTGAGGGGGCCTGGCTCCCTCTTCTGTTGCCCGAACCTGGCATTTGCTTTAAACATTTAGTAGTTCACTATGTGAAAGGAGGCTAATAGCACAACTGCACAATAGCAATGACAGAAAGCAGCATCCTTTACCATTGCAGGGTGAGGCAAAAAGGTGGAAGGAAAGAGGCAAACAACTTTTTAAAGAAAACAAGTTGGATCTGCTAGTTGACTGTTATTCTCTAGCAATCAACTATGCTCCTACCAGTGAGCGAGAACTGCTGGCACAGCTACTGTGTAATCGCTCTCTGGTCTTTATAAGAAATAACATGTATAAGGAGGCAGTCTTGGATGCTGAGCGCTGTGTCAAGATTAGGAGCAACTGGTCAAAAGTGAGTTCACAAAGGATGTTTGATTAGATCAAATGTGGGGTCACTTGCCATTTGTGAAGCTTTATTGTTTGATTAATGTTTTAAATTGTGTCAGTGAAGTTCTTTTACTTTCTAGAGCTCCATGAGAAATGCACTTGAAACATTGCAGGAATGAAAGTTTCTTGCTTGAAAACAAGGATAGTTGATAAAAAGTCACAATAATCTAGGTTTCATTGTGAGATTTTTACCACTGACTCATATTGCAAATAAAATTTTTTTAAATTTATTTCAAAGAAGCTTCACATGATGTGGTCCTGAGCAATGATAGAGAATTTATACAATCATGTAGCTTTCTAAGTGTTACTCGTTGTTTAATCTCACTTTGTATAAATTTTGTTTCCTGTATACCAGGCACATTATAGGCTGGGATCAAGCTTAGCTGGTTTGAAGCGTTATACAGAGGCAATGCATTCTTTTGCTACAGCTCTTGATCTTGCTGAAACCGAGGAGGAGAAGTATGACACTCTGCTACAGATCACCACGGTAGCCCCTGAGGCAAGAGGTAGATATTTAGCATTGGGTGCTACCTTTTTTCCCATTTCACAGGGTTTTCATTGGGCCACAGAGATCAGAGAGTGCTCTGGCTTGTATGCAAAATTCTCCGTCTTAATTTCATGGGCTGTCTTTTCTCATTTATATTACACTGTACATTCTCCTGTTACTTCACACTTCTCTGTAGCCACAACATAGAAAACCCTGTTTTTTATATGATTAAACCGGTTGATGCCATTTTTCCAGACCTATATGTTCAAGGCAGATCCAGATTAATGGCTGGTTTTTTATGAGATCAGTTTAAAGTAAACAGGGCACAGTCAGCAACAACAATTGTCTTAGGGGAACTTAATATTTTATGAAGCAGAGGTTGATCCTCTGGGTTGTAAGCTGGTATTTGCAGGCAAGGCCCAAAGTTATTGTACTTGAACTTAAATTACTACTCCACAGCTAGATTGAGCCATTGTTTACTCTTATATATGTCTTGTTTTCATACTTCAGATGGAACAATGGGTGTAGATGAAGGATTTTGCTCTCAAGTCATTATCCAGAGAGCTGTAGATGATGCAATATCAAAGCAGGACTGGGAGAGGCTTGGTGTGTTGTTTGTTGGTGGTGGAGGCCCTTATGATGCTCCTGTTGGGGAAGGAGGGCTAGCTAGTGGATGTGACTCCTCTCAAGTGCCTTTAGATCTGGTCATAGCATCAAGTGTGGCCTACAAATCAAACCTTTTGACAGTACTGTTGGAGTTTGGGGCTTGTGTGGATGGACTGCCACTGTGTCAAAAGCCTCCCTTATTAACAGCATTGGAGATGGAGGAATTTGACATTGCAGCTAAGCTGATAAGTGAGGGTGCTCACCTGGCCTGTGTTTCAAATCAGCCTCAGCTCCATTCAAAGGTTTTTGATGTTTAATGAATTAATTTTTTTTCTTTTGTGCACAGTATATCAAGTGAGAGAAAGCTTTGTCCTCTTCCTATGTTACTGTGCTTTATTTATTTCTTTTTTTGAAAGGGGTGGGGGGGCTGGAGGTTGAAGAATTACTCCCCTCTCTCCTTTTGCTGTACTTCTGCTACTGGTCTTTTTGACATTTTGACAACTTAACTATCAACTGGGGTTAGCTTCCAATCCATGCAGGTTCAAATGCTTTGGTCACTCTTTATAAAGTGAAGCAATACACTGGCAATAGTGGGTTTGTGATTTTGAAGTAATGCCTGCTATGTCATGCTTCTGTGACATTTCTGATGGTTTCTTAATTGGTCTATTTCAGGCTCAAGCAAATTTCTGGAAAGGAGAAGCTAACAAGATGATCCAACGCATGGAAACGGAGAAAGCCTCCCAATGCTACAACTTAGCATTAGAATATGCTCCAGAACAAGCCATAGAACTCAAGAGGGAATGTTTTGATGTGCTAGCTGACATCTGTTTTGAGGGCTACAAGTTTACAGAGTGCATTAAATATGGAGAAAAAGGATATGCTCAACCAATGAAAAATGAGGTAAGAGATTTGTATGTTGAAGTTAATTTTGTGACAGAGCTCTAAGGCCACAAAGCAGCAGATGGACAGTGTCTCTACTCTATACTTGGGAGCACAAATGAGTACCAGAATCTAGCAGGGTAACCTGACAAAGTATGAAGTAGCCATGCTCAAACTCCAGTTGCATGCCAGAAGACTGTTGAGTTTTATTGTTGATCTATTTCAAGGAGTCTGTTCAGAAATGGAGAGAACGGGGAAATAAACTGTTCAAAGAGAGAAAGTATGAGCTGGTGGTCCAATATTACTCCTTGGCAATGAAGTATATACCAGAGACCATGGAGAATGTGCAAAAGATGAGAGCAGTCTTATTAAGTAATAGATGTGCTGCTTACATTAACCTGGAGAGGTATGATAAGGCAAAGGAAGATGCTGAGAGATGTGTTCAGGTTGAACCTCAGTGGTCTAAGGTACGTAAAGGCAAAGTATTGTGTGATGTAAATGTATATAATTGAATAACTAAAGTTTGGAGGTGAGTATTTGAGTTCATGTGATCTTATGTCCTGGTATTCCAGTGTGTCCTGCTATCAAGAATCCTGTCATGTAAACAAAAATCTTCTCCTGAGTGTGTTTTTTTTGTAGGGATACTACCGTCTTGGTTCCTGCTCAAACTACCTTGGTCAGAACTTAGAAGCCCTCAGAAGTTTTTGTGATGGACTTAAAAGGGCAGAGACAGATGATGACAAGTTTTCCCTTGCGTCTCACATAATTTCTACGGCTATGGATGTAAAAGGTACTGAATATCATCGTCATTTAGTAAAAAGATTGTCAAGGTGGCTCTAGTGATGCATGTATTTAGTTTGGTCACGAATCAGTCTGTATCATATTGTACTCTTATCACCCCACATTAGTTGATTTTCCAACAACATTCTCTTTGCCTTCCGCACAATGTTGTGAAAAAATTTTGTAAGTAACCTCAAAAATGATGGGGTACATCTTACCTGTGGAGCCTTCTTTGATACTAAGGAGATTAAAAAACCCATGAATGCTAGTGTGATTTTTCACTCAGTAAACTTGCTTTCCGAGGCTATACATTTGAATTTTTAAGGATGTTTCAACTCTAATTATTTTATTCTTGTTTGTCGAAGATGGAACACTTGCGATGACCTGTCGCATTCCCAGAGCCACAGCACAGAGACTGATCAAAGACGTCTGCGCCAAGAAGGAATGGAACAAGCTGCAATTGCTATTCCTTGGAGGTGATAGTCAAAGGTCATTTGACAAAGGTCGTGGAGGTGTTGCAACTGGATGTAATGCTGGAATTGTTCCTATTAGTCAAGTGCTTGAGTCATCTGTACACGACCGTGATAAGCTAATTGCTGTGTTGCTGGATCATGGAGCTCTTGCCAATGGTCTGCATGGTTCTAAAAACCCACCTTTGTCTGTTGCTTTGGAGATGGAACATTACGGTATTGCCTATACCCTTTTGAAGCATGGAGCTGATCCATCCGGGATTTGTTGTTCAAGAGTTACAGGGTCTCATCACCGTGAGGTGACTATGTTTTTGTATGATATCGTATCAGCGATTGTTTCCCCTTATATGAATTTAATTTACATTGATGAAATATATGTTCGACCTTCAAGTACTAACAGATAAATGCTCAAGGACGAATAGTACCTAGAAAAAAATATAGTTTTGCATGTGTCACGGAAAAGCTCAGCTGGAAAGTGATTGAATTTTGCAAGATCATTTCCTGGGCCCTGAAAGTCTTAAATTTGAATTCTGAGTTATAAAATGTCGTGGATGATGACTACATCTCAGTAGGGATGTTTATAATGTTGTTTTGGTTTTTTTTTTTTAAATTTTTACAGAGTCGAGGTCATTTCTGGAAAGATGAAGGTGTCAGGGCTTTGAGTGCAAAGGATTACAGTCAAGCTATCAAATTGTTGAATTTAGCTCTTCAGTTTCCAAACAATTCAGCAGATTTGAGTTATATTGTGAACAACTCTCTGGCAACAGCATATTTTGAAACAAAGCAATATGTGAAGGCAGTGGAGAAAGGCCGGGAATGCTTTAAGTTTAGACCAACTAAATCACAGGTATAGTACGTTTCTGAAAATATTCTAGAATGTAGTAGTATTCTTTGCTTGAGCCTGTTCCAAACTCTTGGTCAGCGGAGGAACCACGGCGAGCGAATGTTACTTTGCGATTGTCAGAGGAAACGTTAATCCCCTCACCCTTCAGCTTTTCCACTTGTCTCCGCTGACTGAGAGCCTGGATTGATCTTAATCATGTGAATGCGTCTAAATCTCTTTAAACCAGACGGAAGCAAGTAAGTGGAAAGAGCGAGGCAAGAGGCTTTTTTCTGAGAAGGAATTCTCTACTCTAGTTGAGTACTACACTTTGTCCATGCAATATGTTCCAAGCAACGACAAGGAATTTCTGGCTACGCTACTGTGTAATCGTGCTCTGGCTCATTACAACATCGGCAACTACCAACAAGGTCTTACAGACGCCAAGAGCTGTACAAGATTCAGGCCAGAGTGGTACAAGGTAGGTCATATTTTTGACCGTCGTCAGTTTTGCTTTATATCCAAACAAGTGTCTACAGAGCTATTTGTAATTTGGTTGTCGTAGGGTTTTGTGCGGCAAGGATTCTGTCATGCATGCCTGGATCAGAATAGAGATGCTGTAAGAGCCTTCGGTGAAGGATTGAGAAGGGCAGAAAATGATGGAGACAAGTTTGCTATACTTTCTCAAATCGTGGATCTGGGCCTCAATCTGTCAGGTAATGGGCCGCCTTTCTGTTTCTATTTATAATTACTGTGATCTTATTTAACTTATCCCCTAGCTAAAGACTTGAATCGTGAGACTTGCAGATAGTTATCCGTTGCTCAGCAAATTGTAGTTTTCTCTTTCATTTTTTTTGTTTTTCCTGTTGTTTTTGCTTCCCTTGTAGATGGAACTTCAAGTATAACGTGCAGTGTATCAAACCCAACTCTGGAAAAGCTGATCAAGCAGCTGTCAGAGAAAAAGGCGTGGGATAAGTTACATGTCCTATACCTTGGGGGTGGAGGACCTCAGCGCTATTCACCAGGGGAGGGTGGCCTAGCGACTGGTATTGATGCATCCGGGATACCTATTGAGCTTGTGTTTGGGGCAGCTGAAAAGTACCGGGTTCCTCTCATTGCGGCTCTTTTGGAAAATGGTGCCTCCTCTAACGGACTTGGCAAGGCAAGCAAATGCCCTCTGGAACTAGCCATGGAGAATGAAGAATACAACATGGTGGTTACATTGCTACAGTATCACGCCGACTCTGCGTGTATTATGAGTAAAGCTGGTGATTCACTTCTGCACGAAGCTTTGAGGCAAGCATTTGCAACCGGTAGGTCACAAGACTGTTCCGTTAAACGCATTTCAGCTTATTCTTTGTCATTCCTCATATTTTATTTCGTCAGGAGTCCTTGTTTTCCAGGTTTTTTCAATAGTAGATTTTGCCCTGTACAGTATAACGAGTTCTATGGACAATTTGGTCGCTTAGCGCTTTATAGTGTATCTCTTAACTCTTTCTAATGTAAGAAATTACGTGAAATCATTTGTCGTGATTATGCTTTCAAAGTAGCTTTTCTTCTTAATAAATAGTTTTCTGGTTTCTTGAATTGTCGTACTTACAGGAAACACTGGACTAATTCAAGCCCTTCTTAACTCTGAGCTGTTTGACCCTGACACGGTAGATAGCAGCGGGAACACGCTCTTCCACCTAGCGGCCTTTGGAAATTGCTCCAGGAGGAAATGCGGAATTATCAGTGTTCTAACAGATGCGGGAGCCAATCCAATCGTAAAAAACACGGACGGCAAGGTCCCGTTGGATTATCTAACTAAGAAAGACCCGCGGGCAAAGTTGATCAGGCAGGCCATTAACTCTTACAAGAGTTGCAAGAAGTCGGATGGTGGTAAGAGGAAGAGGAAAGTTGTGAAACAATCAGAAAAGACAGTGCCTGGACACGAAACAGCAGCAGGAGGGGAAGGAGTTCAGGAAGAGGCAGAGAATGAGTGGTGTAATGCTGCAGATCAGGATATACCAGAAGGCAAGCATCAAGTTGTAAAGGTGAAAGCTGGAGATAAAAAGCCCATGCCGGTAGCCGTACTGGTGAAGAAAGATCCTCTGTATGACCTACGTGCGAGCATCAAGAGCATGATTGAATGCATCAGTGTTGAGACTTTGATGGAAACCGAGAGTGAGAATGCAAGCGGGGCTGTGGACAACTCGGAAATTGAAGCTACAAAAGATGACCCTAGGATTGAACGGCTCGACAAGGAAGAACATCATGTCCCTGACATCGAAAGAATTATAGATGACGAGGACGATGAAGAGGCAACTGAAGAAGAACTCGAGGTAGACCTAGAGTCCCCTTTTGAAGATTTGCCATGGGAAGTGGACTGCACAGACCAATTCTGGAAAGCTCTACAGAACACTAACGTCAGTGATTCCTTAAAGCGACGTATTATCGGCAAGATTCGGATGCTGGCTGAGGGTCGATGGACAAATACACTTTGCAGGAGGTTGGATGGCATGCCCAAAAAACGCAATATCATGCTGTTTGAGGCCAAATTAACACGAGCTTCTCGGATTATTTGGGAACTGACAGTCGCGTTTTCAGCCAAATGCAGTAATGATCCTGAGTTAAGAATACAAACGGAAACATCTGTTGGGAGAATTTATTCTGAAATTATTCGTGTATGGGACGTTGCAGCGGACCGAGATGGCCTTATGGCGAAAGTTGAGAGCATCGTTAAGTCTCATGATAGAGGATTGAGTTGTAACGTGAAAAAAGAGTTGTCTGGATTTAGGAAAGGAAATGATAAAGTGACAAATACCAGTGGCGAACGACTGCCAAATTTCTTTGTTGAACTGTCTGAAAAAGTAGAGGATTTCTCGCAAGCGAAGACAACGAAACTTGAAAAGTCCTCCGATAAATGTAGAGGTTCGCAGTTCTTCTTTCCACCAGCAAGTCCAAATGATATGGAGTTCCACATTCTTAAATTCTACTCCTTTTCCTCACCCTTGATTAACTCAGTTCTTCACAGTAACCCTACAGCCAAAGTGGATTTTCCCTTTAGAGTTACTGAGCTTGAGCACGCTATTATCAACTTGCGTCAAAGTCAACCTTGCCCTATCATTCTTCTCGGTCGAAGTGGCACCGGTAAGACAACCTGCTGTTTATACAGGTTGTGGAATGAGTTTCAGTTTTATTGGGAGAAGGCGGCCACTGCAGGACCTCATATCCCTAAAGTCACGCACTATTTGCCCAAAGCTGATTCCTGTGGAAGTATCACAGCTTGTGAGCTGCCAGAGGAATTACCCCTCCAGTTGTCAAGTTCCAATGTTACAGAAGACATTGTAGAGCACTCACCAACAGACGAGTTTATCAGAGCCAAGGATGCTCGGCGCAAAGACTACGAAGAAGGCGACGACACAGTAGAACCTTCCGAGTTTGAGGAAACGACAGCTGCCCAGTATGAACATCTGCATCAGGTCTTTATTACAAAAAACTCGGTGCTTTGCAGTGAGGTTCAGAAAAATTTTTCCGAGCTCAGCCACGCTTGTCCTGCCGCAAGGGAACACGTGGAAAAGGAAACCACAGCTCTGCCGTCCAGAATTCAAGATATCGATGATGCTGCGTGGCCTCTTTTTATTAATTCTCGTGACTGGTTGCTTTTATTAGATGCCTCCCTTCCTGGCTGCGAGTTTTTTCCTCGTGACGAGGATGGCAGTCTGTTGAGAAAGATTTACGGATGGGGAGAAGCAGAATGTCACTTGGTGGCTATTGAAGACGATTCTGACAGCGAAGTCGAGGAGCAAGACGATGTGCATGTCAATGACACAAATGATGTTGTGTGTAACCGGTCGGATCCCAAAAGCTTTGACCCCAGACGTGAGGTCACTTACGTTGTATTCGTATCAGAGCTGTGGCCAAGAATGGTGAAGAAAGTTAAGGCTCAGTACCATCCAACTCTAGTCTGGACTGAAATCCGATCTTTCATCAAGGGATCCGTTGAGGCCTTGCATGCTGAACACGGTTTCTTGACTTTAGAAGAATATTCAGATCTTGGAAGGAAGCGAGCTCCAAACTTCTCTGCCGATCGTGAAGTTGTTTACTCTCTTTTCGTTATGTACCAGAACACTAAACGATCATTGCGAATGTTTGACGAAGCTGACGTCGTTCACAACATTTACACTCGTCTGCAGAAAGTCCAAGTCCCTGATTGGTCTGTTCATCGGTTCTACGTTGACGAAACTCAAGATTTCACTCAAGCTGAACTGTGTTTGCTGATCCGTTGTAGCCGCGATCCAAACGGTCTTTTTTTCACCGGTGACACGGCTCAAAGTATTATGAGAGGAATTGCGTTTCGATTCAACGATTTGAAATCATTATTCTTTTACTCGCAGCAGTCTTACCAATCCCTTGGCTTTCAGTCGGGAGTTAGGGTCCCAAATAAACTATATCAGTTAACACACAACTATCGCTCGCATGCAGGGATTTTGCGGCTCGCCTCTAGTGTTGTGGACCTGTTACTTCATTACTTTCCAGAGTCTTTTGATCGCCTCGAGAAAGATCAAGGATTATTTGAAGGACCTAAACCTGTGCTGTTAGAGTCATGTAGTTTCGGCGATCTGGCGATGATTCTTCGAGGAAATCGTCGGCAATCTTCGAGAATTGAGTTCGGTGCACATCAAGTCATACTTGTGGCCTCAGAAGAAGCTCGGGATCAGATGCCCGATGAGTTGAAACAAGCTCTAATCCTAACAATTTACGAGTCGAAGGGCTTGGAGTTTGATGATGTCCTAATTTACAACTTCTTCAAAGACTCTCAGGTGAGTTCCAGACCGGTGATTTGCCATTTATGGCGGATTTTGTTCGTCCCACAATATGTTTTTGTATTCGGGCGTTCCGTACACAAATTGCCGTCGAGGTTCTAAAACGCATACACGGGTGCAAGTTGTAGACATAAAAGCCTCCAGAATTTCTTGAAAAGCAAGTAAGAACACTGTCAAAGGGATAGCATTTCTTACAAGGTTATCAAATACTTTTCCCATTCCCGTCCACATGGCAAATATCACATGCTTACGAAATTTTCATGTGAAGCAAGCGTGGAAACTGTATCGCTCCAATCTAAGTTACACCTGTCTATGTCTGTAGAATTTGTGCTCTCTGCACTTTACAGTGATACTTTGTCGTCTCCAGCGTGCACTGAGCCCTGCTAGCAAAGCAGGACTCCTGATTTTTTCCCAGACAGAATTGTGCTTGTTTTGTTTGCATACATAGGCTAAAAAAGAGTGGCGAGTTGTGACCTCTTACATGAAAGAGCTCTCAGAAGGAAGGATCGTAGACACCTCAGGACTGATAGAACTCGCTGAAGAGGACTTAGAAATAACATCGCGTCCCCTTGACTTTGACTCAGACAGACACAAGGTGCTCAACTCTGAGTTCAAGTTTTTGTACACGGCCATTACTCGCGCAAGGGTCAACGTGTGGTTCTTTGATGAAGACGAAGAAACCCGGGCACCAGTGTTTGAGTACTTCCAAAAGCGTAGCCTTGTTCGCGTGATACGCATGTCAGGTGAAGCTAACGAAACAGATCAGCTGACCAGTATGTTCGTGGAGAAGTCAGCAGAAGCTGAGTGGTGCCAGCAAGGGCATTATTTTTATAACAAAGAGCTATGGGAGGTGGCTGTAAAATGCTTCACAATGGCCAGCGATCAAGTTATGATAAAGAAGAGTCAAGCCCAGTTGCAGGCCGCTGAAGCAAGTAAAATAAAAGGTAACCCTAAGGCGATGAGAGCACAGTTCCTGAAGGCTGCGGATCAGTTTTTACAGTGTGCCATGTTGGATGAGGGCGCCAAGTGTTTGCATAATGCTCGCGAGAGACTGTTGCTTGCCAGACTAAATAAGAAATTAGGAAAGGTAAGCACAGAATGTTTCTAGACACTGTTTCCGTAAGCATCCGGAACAAGGTCGTTTTTTGTTCTTTTACTTGCGTGAACTTGTAATGACGTTAATTGTGATTGATTTAAGCAATGATGTGCAAACTTTCTTCTTTGAATCTATGGTTGATATCTCTATGCTATCTTTATTATCTGGAGTTCGAAGTATTCAGTGCGATTTGCTAGGGCGTATTCTTACCAGCCTTTGAAGTAAACAGTAGCCAATGTTGCTGTTCCTATCGCCCACAACACCGTTTTTTTTATCCCATTGTCTGCAATAGTTTGAAGACGCAGCGAAACAGCTCAGGAAGGAACGCTATTACTTGGAAGCCAGTCAGTGTTATGAGATGATTAATGATTACCACCAAGCGGTGGAGGTACTGTGTCAAGGCAATCTCTACAAGGAGGCTATCGATACCTTACAGCGGTACAAGAGTCTGGTGGGAGCTGATACTAGCAAAGGAGGAATCCGTCCACCCAGAGAGTCACGGACGGTGGAGCGACTGTGTCATCAACTGGCAGAAGAACATTTCAGGTAGGTTGTAAAACGTTGACTGATTGGCTAAGCGAATTTGGCTTGGCTGATCTGTAACATTTTGGGCAATTGGTCTGACTTTGCAATGGAATCGTAATACATTGCAATACGTTTGCGAATTTCAAAATAGTTGATGGACAGAAAACGATCCGTCAGCAGCCTTTCCGTTTGCTTATTTTTTCGTTTTTTTAAGAAACAAGAACTTAAGAGAAGTTTATTTGTAATTGCGTTCGATGATGCTGTTGTTTCCTACACCTTTTTCTAATTTTCACCATATGTTATCATCATTTTCTTTTTGTTGTCTTCTTTCTATTTTCTCATATAGTGTAGCAAGTCAGTTGAAGCAGTTCTTATTTTTTGAGGGTGAACTTCGACTCTTAAGCTTCTTATTGGTCTGTTTATATTTTAGCTCTGGTCGTCTTGATGAAATGGTCTCCGTCCTTGAGGGTTTACCTTCCACAAACGATCGAATCCTTTTTTTGGAGAACCACGGGTGTGTTCAAGAAGCTATGGAGGCACTGGTCGATGAAGGCAGATACACAGATGCTGGCAACCTCTTAAGCAAAAATGGCAGATTTATTGAAGCGGTAAAGTTTGTACACACGAAGAGCTTTGCAGCCGAGTGCTTTCTGTCCGCAGCACGATGTGCCCAGAATCATGCTTGTTTTAATGAACGTCGTGATTTAGTTGAGGGACCTGCTGAAAGAGCTTTGGAACTATTTGAAGATTGCAACGATGAGAACGGTCAGGCGCAATGTCTGCTGATTCTTGCGAGATTGAATGAAGATGTGGAAGATACCAGAAGTGCCCGGGAGCTATTTAAGAAAGTAAACAATATTTGTGGCGAGGTAGAGGCATGTCTCGAGCTTTTCACCATTTCAAATGAAGATGTTGCTCTTGTTGATTTTCCTGGTGTCTTTATTACTAGCCTGAACAAACTGTTTGGTCTTATTGTGGCGCTCAATAAGCCTCAAAAAAGTGTCGTGGAGCTTCAGAAGGTGGAAATGTGCGAGGCGTATTTTGGTGTTTTCAAGGGAGATAAATCAGACGCGAGATGCGCTTTTGTCAACAGTGGTGCGCTGTTCGTCACGTCTGTCCCTTACAGCCAAGATGAAGTTAAGGTTGACAAAGTGGTACTTGATGAGGGAACCGCACGATGGCGAATCGCAAGACACTTGTGTGACCTGGCTTTTGAACTAGTCCAGAACATTGGTCAAAGAGTAGAATCCAGTGTACGTTTTCATGGTATCTGTCGAAAGTCCCTTGTGGGCTTGAGTTGCAATCCTGGACATTGTCAGTTTCATCACGCTGAGTTCTCACAGTCACATTTTGAAAAGCTGTTTACTGCCGTGTGCACTCAAATTCATGTGAACGCCCTTGTTCAGTTATTCGCAAATGCCATTGGCCGCTTCGTCCCTGAGAGAAAGCTTTCGCAAAAGCTGCTCACTCGTGAAATACAAGACTTTCAAGCGTGTCGGCAATTGTACGACCTTCTCTTTCCAAAGATGGGCTTGCATATTTCTTTCCTTGGTAGAGAACACGTTCGCTTTCTTCGCAGGCATAGCGCTATCAGAGAGCGCTTGTCCAGTTACGCGGAGTTCTCGTGGAAGATTACAAAGGAAAGCCAAAGATGGGTGAACCCTAACAAGTTCTTTAAGATCTCACGGATCCTTAACCTGGTTGGACAACCCGGCAAGATCGGGGCTCTGCTCTCCGTGGAGGAAAAAGGCTTTGCAATGAGGAACATGCCTTGCGATGGAATGCTCCAAGACAAATACCATGGAGGTTTCCGTAGTTTCTTCCGTTTGTTTCAGGAGGGTAACTCTGTCCTCCATATGTACGGTGATGTCTTGAATGCTGCACACTCCTTTATCAGGAGATTCTTCAGCGTGATCGCATGGAGGTCTTCCATTCCTTTTCCTTCCGCTGCCAACACAAGTGCCGTCTTTGAGCACCAATTAGTCTCGTGTCTGGCGTTGTTTGCATGTTTGTTTAAAGACTACGAGAATCCAGTCTGTCTACCCGAGAGCTATCTCCATCTGATTGACTTCTGGGACGCAGTACAAGGTTCAGACAAGTTCCCCTCCTTGTTTAGTATCGTTGAAGCCACAGCCGCGAGAATTCCCTCTTTCAAAGGAATCCGAGGAGTCCAGCGTTTACTGGAGTACACAGTCCAGCTGATGTCGGGACAAGTCCACGGTCGGTTCAACTTAATAAGCAGTGCTTTCAGTGTCAGTTCAATTGAGCGCGCACGGCTGTCAGGTGAATCAGAGAGAATTCTGATTTTGGCTATGACCATGTTGTGTAACTACGGTAGTGGTATCCCAGCAGCTCCATGTGGCCGTCTCATCCAATCCTTGCGTAGTGTCACCGTTCACCCACTCTTTCCCGTTCGAGTACAGAGGGCACTGAAAGCCGTACAAAACGCCAAGGGTGTTCGAGACGTTGTTACCGCAATGCAAACTTTACTATCACAAAGGAACGAAGCTTTATTTTCAGTTCGTTGGTGCAACGGAGGGTTTCTCACTGCCGAGGTGAATGTTGCTTACTTCAAGCAGTCGTTTAGCACTGATCCGGCTCCTTGGCATTCGCAGACCACGGACTCAAGTGAGCCACCCGTAGATGTGTACTCTCCATCGGAGTTTCAGATGCCAACAGGATACCTAGAAGAACAGAGGAAGGAGCGCGCTTTAGAAACCAAGCGTGAAAATGCAGCTGTTAAAATTCAGAGATGGTTTCGTCGAGTCAAACGCAAAACCCCGGAAACTACACCGTACGATAAAGTTGAAGAGCAGTCAGCGGACTCTGTTACACTCCACTTTGAGCGTTTTAAGGTAGACGCTTCAGCTTGTAGTATATGCTGTGTGCGCTTCAGCGACAAGTCCGAGGGTGGAAATTACGAGTCGCACATTGTTAAAGAGAGTCAGCACTGGCGTCAGCTTCATTTGTTCAAACAATACAAACAGCTGTTTGTCGGGAAGATCTGGCCTCTGTTTAAAGCTGAGAAGGAGCTTCATGACGAGTTGAATGCTCTAGCTGGACGGAATAGGGTTGGTTCGCACGATTTTGGTCTTGATGTCCAGCGGCTTGACCACGTTGGTGCACGCGTTGGTGAATGTGTGCGAGATATCGAGTCCTGTTGTAAGTGGGGTGATACGGGCCGCTTGATGCATGAAGTCGAGGCTTTGGGAGCGACCATTAAGGAAGTACAGGAAATTGTAAGGCAAGGTGAGAATATAAAAATATTTACAAAATCGGAAGGTCAGAGTTAAGCACCCTCACGGAACCATATTTTTCCTTTGTTCCGCGCTCAAGTCGAATTTCATAGCTGTTTATTGCGAAAAATTATAACCGTTGGTATTTTCTCGTGCGATTGTAGACCTACAGAAATTGCGAGGTGTGGGAACAACGGTTGAAAGATCAGACTACCCTGAAGAAAATGAAGACTTTGCTGATGAAGAAGACATCTTGGATTTGCGTGGGCCTAAAGAGGGCGGAGCCAAAGGGGGAGGAGGAGGAGGAAAGCGAGATGGCAAGAAGAGGAACCGGGGAAAACGCGGGCGTGATAAAACACGTTTTAGACAGTCATGAACGTTCAGTTCTGTGAAGGAAGATTTCTAATGAGAGTTAGGGCCATTTTCAAATGCAGCTTTTGTAGAGGCTCATTTTTTGCTTTAACAAATGGTCTTTGGATAAAAAAAAAGTATCTAAGTGGACTGTATTAGTTCAGTTAAAAGAACTGTTATCTTTTTCCTTTTTTTTCCTCCTACGTCTATTACTTCGTCACGATTACTTATTTCGATATTCTAAGAGCAGTTGCTCAAGACATGATGAAGAAATATCTTAGAACTTTGAGTATCCCTTAGGACTTTGTTGATTGTTTTGTTTCAGTGTAGGATGGACAAAATAACGTTACTTTAACATTGCCTTTATCTATTGAGTCTCGATTTAAACACGACTCTTATTTAAATTAGTGTTAGTCATTTTAGGAGTAATTTTCCGGCAGATTTGAGTAAGTGCCCATGTTTCCTGCGTGACTTCAAATTAATTAAGGTGTTAAGCGAGCATGGGAAGTAAAGTAAAGTTTTTTTTGATTACCACATTGCTATTTTCTTTACTGTACTAAGACTGGTATTATTCTTAATGAAAAACTACCAGAACAATTTTTTTTCTTGGTTAGTATTAAAAGAATTGGTGAGGTGTTGGTGGGTGGGAGAGCAGAATCCCTCTGGCTACAAAAAGTTCAGGCAATATAATTTATTTAATTTTGCACTAATTTCAAAAGTTTGAATACAATTTCCAGCAAAAAAATAAATTTGATAGTATCTTATAGCAGTTCAGTGTAATTGTACAAGTATTCATCATTCAACTCAAAGCACTCAGTCCTTGGGTTCCAACGTTATATTTTTAAGATGTTCATGGTGAAATTTTTTTGAGGGACAAGGTAAATCCTTTCAATTTTCCCTCCAAATCTTTCTTAAACGTTGAGTAGAGTCATCAGCAATCCAGAAATTAGATTTAAATCAAGGTGCAGATGTATCCTTTACAGCCTTCCTACTGTTGCTGATAGTAAACAGGAATGTAGAGGGCAAAACTTAACCAAACACCATCGAGAGTGAAAATGTCTGTCCTGAAGCTGGATCAGGTTTATGGTGGCTTAGACAGTGTTTACTGCTGCTCTCCTCTTCCTTGCATTAAAGGTCCTAAAGGAATACATCAAGAAGAATTCTATCTGATCACCTTTGTGTGAGGAAGTCATATTCCCGTACAAGTCGAACAGTTACAGTCAGTAGGTTTTTACTTTTATCCCACTGTGCTTTGCCATTTTTACTGTCCACTGGGTGTGGCAGGTGAACTCCAAGTTTACTGAAATTGAAGTGAAAACACATTGTTGATCATTTCCGAGAAAACGTACTTTGTAAATTATTGAAAAACACAAACTGTCATTGTCCAAGTGTAAGGATGTAAGGATGAGGGAAAGGGAAGGAGAATGAAGGATTGTGGTGGAGGAGGGATTTTTTTTCCCCTCCTAGACAAGGAAAGAGAATTTTTATTTGTTGACTTACTATTTTGGTGTTCTACAGTCTAGAAAAGTATCTGTCACATCTAAATTTACATCGGAGTACTCTGTGTCTGGAAGCTTGATTTTTATCTACAAGCGAGAAAACAGTTGTAGTTAGCATCTGTACTAAGTAACAAAACAAGTCCAACCCAGGATTTACAATTGCATGAAAGCACATTCTCAAAAAATGAGATAGGGGGAGGGGGGTAGGGTAGAAGGTAGGCCTAATCCAACACTAAATCTTTATTTTAGGTTATCTGTGACTGCTTCAACTGCATGTACAGGTCATAAACAATTTCTTATAATGATAATTTGAGATCAAATTTCTTTAAAGGAAACAAGAAACCCTAACATATCATGGCAACCAAAACATGGCTATGTAACTCAGTCACTAGTAACTCTGGACAAGTGCTCAGAAGACCTAGGTTCAAACTCCATTTAGGCCTGATTTTTCTTTTTCTGGTTTCTCTTTCTTTGATTGATGTTCTCACAATAAATAATGTGATGGCTGATTCATAATCCATCTTGTACACTGATACTGTAGAACCATCAAAATTTAACAGACTTTTTTTCTCAATTTTTGCAATATATGCTGCATTAGTATCCTCTACCACCCACATTGCTAGTACTGGTTAGGGGTGAAAACCATTCAGGGGTTTGTAATAAAAGATTTCTGTTAACAACACAGCAGTGCTAGACTCATTCTCACCACTAAATCTTCACAGCTAGAGGAGGATGGATTTCTGCCACTCATTTGAAGATACATATCCTCTGAGGTTACAGCTTGCTTAAAAATCATTTCATATCTAAATTGAATTTAAAAATAAGGGATTTTAAAGTAATGTTAATTTCCATTATACTGCTACTAAATAAACAGAAAAGTAAACAAATACAGTGTATATTAATTCATAAATGTGATACCCTATCTTTTTTCAGTCAATATTTTCACATGAACCAAAACTCCTTATTCCGTCAAATATCTGCAGCATCAGTACTTTTACAGTTTCATAATCTCCCAGAAATTTGTTAAGTGTTCCTCAAAATGCTTATTTTGTTCTTCAGAGCAGAGAGTAAGTGTAAACAACACAGTGCCTCAGCCAGGGCTTTAAACTGGACCTCTGAGATTGAGTCTATAGCATTACATTCAGAAACCACCCGCCTTAGAGGATTTCAATATGCCCTGACACCTATCAAAGTTTCTAAATTTTAAACAATCATGTGTGATTACCAGTTACTGTGTGCTGGTTGGTTACCACTGAAACCATTTAATCAATACTACAATACTATTGGTAAACTTGCCAACATCCTTGAACAACTTGCTGAGGTCAACTTAGTGACAAATCCCTTGGAGTCTAAATATTCACAAACTTTTTGGAGGGTTGATAATTGATTTGAACAAGTTAATCATGGCTGTTAGCTGATGGAAATAACAATTTTCAATCAAGTCTTATATTGGCAAAGTGGTCAGAAGAAAATTTGATTAATTTTCACTAAAAGTTATTTAGAACAAGTTGGTAGATCGAATAATTTGTTGTTGTTGTTGTTGTTTCATACTCAGGAGCAGGTCTTGGATCTAACTCATCATCTCCTTGTCCACCCTCAGGTATCTCCTCCTCACTCCAGATATCACTGCTCTCTGCTAGTTGAGAGTTAGGAACTTGAGAACCACCTTGTAAATGAGAATAGCATTACAAGAAGAAGGAAATGTGAGAGTTATCCGCAGTAGTAATTTTTCTAGTCAGAGCCTTAGACCCAGCTCAGGTCAGCGGCCATGTGAAATACATAGATCAAAATCTGAGTTATCTATTTAAGACCTACACCTTGTATTCTTTTAAGTCACAGCAGTTGCTGATCTCGAGGCAGCAGGAAACAAGCACCACAAAAAAGACAAAAAACTGTCATTTGGAGCAATTCTCTTAAGTTAGATCCCTACCTAGCTATTTGATTACTTTTTGCTACGTCCATTGTAATGGAAAGCCAAACTGATCGTTCGAAAGACATTGTAAAGAGAACATAGGGCTTACCGAGTTTTTCTTGTTTCTTTGGAGGCCCAATGCTTCCAGGATTTACAGCAGCAGATTTCTTTGGCGAGAAATTTTCATCCTATTTATTGATAAAGGTAGGCAGTGTCATGATGAACACAAATTCGTTTTAAATTTCGCCGCTGCAAATACGCTGAAACTCGCTGCTCTTCTCCTTCAAACTTTCGCCCTTTTAACTAGTTTTAACCAACTTACATCAGAGCTTGAATCATCGTCTTTTGGAGGTTTCAAAAGTTCAGACAAAGCTTCTATTCCCGCTGGATTGAACGCCATATTTGTTTACCTTGGTAACCGTGCCCCACTATCCCCTCCCGTGTAGAGTCACTGATTCTTCTCGAACCATGCTTCACTCGAAAAATATTAGGAAAATATGCAAAATAATTAGCCCGGAGTTCTATATGCTGGATCATGGATCGTACCTGAGGAACTGTTTTAGAAACAAAAATTTATCATTTCAGAGTATATGTTCTCGCAAGGGCCCATTACTAGTAATGGGCTCCTGCACAAACAAAAACTTGTATTACTAATATTTGTTTGTTTGTTTGGTTTTTTTGTTTTAATGCAATTAGGGTGTTCGTACGGAGGATGGGGGAATATCAAGGATTGAAAAAGGGGGACTGAGAATTGAGCCGTGGGAAATGAAGAGTAAAGAGAGGGGTACCGAGTGAACAGGGGATTAGGGGTAGGGGTGGAAAATCAGGGGTAAATTGAACGGTAGTTGATGGTTAAGGAGTTGTTTCGTACCCAGACCTTGCATGGTAAAGCGGTTGTAGATGGATTCAGTTACACGTTAGGGGGTTCAGGGTCAAAAATGAGAGGTGGAGTGGGTGAGTTAATGAGAGATTTAAATGTAACTAGCATTTGTATTTTAAGTAATGTTAGTTTATTGTAAATGGGGTACATGGAATAATAAAAAAGAACTGAACATACAGAGGAAATAGATGAAAAAATAAAAAGGTGGGAATGAGACAAACGGAAGAACCTTGATTTAAACTACCCTTTTTAATAGTTTTTACCTAACAAGAATGAGACCTAAAATGACATTCAAAAACTACTTTAATACTAAATAAGAATTCAATGAGGTTTTTACGGAGCTAGTTGCTTTCTCACATCAAAAGTAACAGTATCAAGTAAAAACCGTCACACGGTGATTACCACTATCTGCAATAATCACGTGACCTCGGCGATTCACCGATACTGCATACGGAGTATCAATACATCCGGGTCCTGATCCCAATCTCCCAAAACTACCAATGAAATTCCCCGTTGGGTCTATCACTTGAATACGATGGTTCAAGCTGTCAGCCACTAAAATATTACCCACATTGTCTACAGAAAGCCCTCTAGGATTCATGAATTGATTTTTGCCAGCCCCGTTACGACCCACAACGGTAAAAGACTTTCCGTGATCATGGAAGATTTTCAGCTGGTGACTTTCACATTCAGAGATCACAACATCATTGTTCTTCGTGATCGCTACTCCGCTGGGATATTGAAGGTACATTGAACCACCAATAAAGCCTAAAAAGTGACCATCAATACGAAATTTTTGTATTCTGTGGTTCGGTCGATCGGCCGCCAATATGTTTCCGTCGCGATCCACAGTCAGCGCAGAGATTTCTGGCCTTGTGTCCCTCTTGCTGTAAACAGGAAGAAAGTTATGCGATAATGCCCCATCCGAACTGAAAACCTTTATTATCTGCGAGTCCGTTGTTATTATATTTCCTCGTTTATTGACTGCAATAGCTACAGGGCCCATGTTTCCAAACTCAAGTGGTTCCCGAGCGAGCTCCCCCACAGAGTCAAACACCAGAACACGGCAGTTAGTTCGGTCAGCGGTATAGATTAGTCCTTTGTGACTTGCTACGCAGCACGGGAAGTCGAACTGAAGGGAAACAGTACGACTGCCCAGTGAGCCAAGGGAATAAGAATTCTCCTCGAGAACTTCTGAATAATTCAAACTCTGTTGGGAGAAAAAAAAAAAGAACCCATTAGCTGTATTCCCTCGACTCTATGCTCGATTACCACTAGTTATCAAACGATATAATTGTGACGACGGTTTTCTTTCCCAGATAGAATCTCGAAGTCAAAATCCACATCATTGAAATCAAAACTATAACTTGTTCAGTTTAGGTCCAAAAGCGTAAATTGCCAGGTCGCTGTCAGATTTACCTTTGTCTTCTGCTTTTCTGTGTTTTCTAATCTCCAGAGCGGTATTTTATAAGCTTTATTTGCCATGCCATTGCTTCTAGTTCGTTCAAGTTCTTCTTGTGTCTCATTGATTTGATACTGTAAATCAGACAGTTCGAACTCGTTCTTTCGTATTTCCTGCTTCAGTTTTCTAACATCCTCCATCGTTTCCAAAATACATTGGTCAACACTCACAAGTTCTTGTGTTTTTAGAAATGTGGCCTCGTTATGATGTCTGACGGCCTCGCGTTTTGCCAACAACTGAACCCTAATATCGTCCACGGATTTGATCATTTTTTTCAAGGTTTCTTGTTTTTCGTCTTTTTGCTTGTTTAACGTCTGCAAAGTCTTACTTGCTTTCTCATTGGTGTGTTTTTCAAAGATAGTTTTCCTCTTATCTCCTCGTCCAGATTTCTTCAACTGTTTATCCTTAGTTCCCAACAGGCTCTGCAATTCATTTAGATCTCTTTCCTGGGCTTCAAACATGGCTTCATTTTCCTGTGCTCTTTCTTCGACTACGCTTCTTTCTTGTTCCGCCACTTCTCGTTGCTCCAGGATACGATCGACAGCTTCTTGACCCACAATCAGAATTTCTTTCTGTGAATCAAGTAACATTTGTTTTTCTTCAAGATTCTTCTTCAAATCATTTCCCCGCGAGGAACAATGCGCCAATTCTTCCAGCTGCCTTCCCATCAGCCGCTGCAGGGCGTTAATTCTGCGAGTGATTGTGGCGCTGTTTTCACCTTGGGGATAAAAGAGAAAAAAATGAATACTTAATGCTGCTACTTCTCTACTGATACCTCTCTTTTGATGAATGATGAAACTCCCCCAATTAGCTGTAACACATTTACCTGTAAATAGGCTATGAGAATTAAACGATATTTCAAGAATCCCACCCTAAGCTCAGACATTCTAAGTCACCTCTAAGTAGAAAATGTATTGAATGTGTAGGAGCAGGAACCGACAGAAACATTTTGACATTCCCACAAGCGAACTTTAATCTCATAAATTCGGCCTCGATTTCTTAACTTTAGCAGTTAATTTTTTCATTAAGCTCAGCTTAGCATTTGTTTTCTTATCCCCAAGCACATTCATCAGGAGCAGTTAGGTATCAGGGTTGTGGAAATAGAGAGATTGCACAAAATTTTATAATACCCTTTAGAAGTTACATGATGGATAATCGAACAACAAATTTGCCCCCGCGTATTGTCTCATCTGTGGCTTAAAATCACTCTTGTAGTTTTTACTTAACAATATGTGGTATCGTTTAAATTCGAAGAATAAGTGTTTATTCCACGCTATCGACACATTTTTTTTCATAAATGAATACCCTTGTGGATCTTGCGGACAATTATTTATTTGATGTTGACACGCAAAATTGTTAACACTACAGTTTTTACTGCTATCAGCAAACAACGATATATCAATTAACGTTATCTACTAATTACCTTCCTTCGATTTGCCATTCATAACTTGCACAGCTTGTTTATATTCATCCAATAGTTCCATAAGTGCTAACAATTCACAATCTTGCAAAAGTTTTCGCAGGAAAGACAATTTTTTCTCAGTGACTAATCCTTGTTCTTGAAGAATGTGAATGACATCGAATCCACCTTTAAGTTTGCCGAGGTGTTCTTTTGTAACATGGCCGCGAAGCTGTACTTTAATCTTGCGTATGCTTTCTCGGGTTAGCTGGCTTGAGATTGTTCCCAACAAAACGTTAAACGGTGAAATCTGGCTTTTCTCGGATACAACGTACGCCATTGGTGGAAATCGTACAGGCTGCGACGTCAATAATTTACTGCTCGCAACATGCGCGTGTTTGACACTCGTAAATAGAAGTAGTTGCTATGATTGTCAAGTCTGTTTTCCTAGCACTTAATTTTCCTATTGATTTGAAAGTAATCAAGTGCTCCTTTTGTTAACGATCAATTAATTTACCAAAGTTAATCCAGCGCTTTCAACGTGAAGACTATCAAAGAACGGAAACGTGTGAAACGAAATGGCAACTCAAAATCTGATTGGTCCGTTTCCTGTAATAAGCGTCTTTCATGTTTTCGGTTCTTGAGGAACATTAACATATTGATGAAATTTAAAATTCCGTGCAATAAAAAGGGAGCTAAATCGAGTAGATATTATTAATTTAGAGTTTCTTTCAAAGTGAGGTATCCTTGGATTGAGGCGTCCAACTTTGCGCTTTGTGAATGACTGTAAATGCAGTGTTTTTCTTTACTTTCATCGTAATACCAAATGCGCGCATCATACTAAACAGATTTTTCTGATTTTTCTTTAGTATGATTTCTTCAGTATGATTTGAAACCTATAAAATATCGTGACATTTATATTTCATGGATAAACTCCTAAGTCCGTTAACAAACGTAATCTAAGTTTGACCAAGGCGCAACGTTTAGATATCATTAAGTGTCTCGGCGACATTGAATGTACAGGTTATCTTTTAATCATATATTGCACTGTGATTACCAACTTCAAAAGATCAACTATATATATGATATATGCAAATTATTTCACAAATTAGATATAAAATTCTTGTTGAACAATAAATAGATCGACATATTCACTCAAAGTACACTTACACATAGTTAAAAAATTTCATCTAATTGTTTGTTTACTCAACGAGGAATAAATAATCAGAGTCATGATATCAACGCATTGTGGCCTAATTTTCCATCTCAACTCCAGGCATTGAACAGTTTCTTTTTGTTAATCATATTAGTACTTCTTTCTTCACCGTTTCCTCGTTTTGTTGCCACAATGGATACATCTTTTGTGTTATAAGAACCTACTGAACGAGTCTTTGATCTATTCCCGTTCACAACGTCCTGTTTGTTTAGTACAACTGCCGTCATAACAACAGAGTCAAGTTCTCGCTCGTTGTTATTTTCAGTCGGTTCGTGACCTGGCGTCCATTGAACCAATTCTAAAGGCTCGATACTTTTGATAAAATTCTTTACAGCTTGTCTCTGGAGATAAAGCTCTTTTTCACGCATTCGACGAAAATATTCCAGGTCAATCTCTAAAGAAGTATGTCGACGTTGTTTTTGACCAGCATTTTTGGAATCTCGGGCGTTATTTCTCTGCATTACGCTAAACTCTGGGACTTTATAATATGACGTTCTCGCTGGAGCGCTTCTTGCCCGGTTCAGTCTTTGAGTTACAGTTTTAAGCTGTCTCTCCCACATTTTGTTTCGCTTTTCCAGAGCTGTCATCGGTCGAGGCGGTAGATCGGGTTTTTCTGTAAAGCATTGCGGCTCTTCGCCATATAATGCAGCGCTGTCTAGGCGAGGTGGCTCGCATGATTTTGCCCTTCTAAATTTCGGCAACGGCGGCTTAGGGCTTGCACTTAAACAGCGCAGCTGCCTCAAAGACATTCTCTCTTCACCGTTGGTATCATTGTTTTCGTTCTGTAGTTTCCGTAATTCCCGAGCGCGTTTGTGATTACTGTCTAAACTCTCTTTAACCTCGTCGTGCTTCTTTGCAATGTCCACGCTAAGGGAAAGTTTACGTTGAAATCGATGTACAACAAGTCTTTGATCGGACGATATTTTGGCAACTCTTTGCTGTTCCTGTTTATTTAAACAATCCATCTCTTTCTTAAGCTGTATTTCTTCTTTCCAATTAGCCGAGTGTACTTTTTGGGACTTTTCAGAACTTCCCGGGCCGGACTTTTGCCTGTCGATGTAACTTGCGAATTGGATCATCTTTACGATCGGAAGTTCATAGCCGGACAAAATTGGTCATAACAAGGTTCTTTTCAATCGTCCTAACCCTCACAACAACTGTATGCTTTGCGTACACTTTTGTGATTTGTACTTCCACGCGTCAGAAAACCAGAACAAAAGACGAGGACGAAAATTAGCATTACTATGCTGCCTTCAAGTTCATTACCTCACACTACTCCATGAAAACAATTCAATCATTGTCTCTCGACTTTAAATTACAGTAACTAGGTTTAACATCTTGGCATTTTAGTACCAGCCTTTTATTGTTTGCTTTTACAGTAAACAAGTCCTTTCTTTGATTCAACCGTGATTTGAATACCACCCGGCGCAACATACATCGCAGCAGCTTTAGGGAGAAGTAAACGGATGATTAAATTCATGGCGCATTCGCCTTTTCCTGTTTTCGTTGTCTGAAAGGATTGTTGAAAGAAAAGGCAAGTTCCAGTGGTTAAACAGATAAAACAATGAAGCTCACGTGAGTTAATCCATCTGTCCATGACAAGCTGGTTGTAATTATACATTATAAAATTTCTCGTACTGTTTGTCGACTTCTTGTCATAATTGTCAAGATGACGGAGTGCTCAAATTGCGTAACAAAACTGTAAAATCGAAGACTGTGTGGTTATTAAATTGCTTTCACACCTGTTGCTCTGACTTCAAGCGTCGATCTAAACGAACATATGAAATACCAATTAATAAATTTAAGTCTTGCCCTTAATTTTCCATGGTGGACCACTTCTATTTGGAAATGGATTTGATTTCTGATCATAAGATGCCTCGGCTTTGAGAAGTGCATATGTCTTTAGCCCAATATGTATTGGACAATATTGTCTTTCAAAGCCGTAAATCAAACCGGTAGCTTTACAGATGCTAAAAGCTAGGGAGCAATTTCATAGCAACGGCTGATCATTTCAAAACATAAGAAAACAAACTGGTAACTAGGAAGCTTAAGCTTGGCAGCCACGCTGTGTCTTAGTTCCGCTCAGAGTTCAAACTAACGCAAAGATATGATGTAAGAAGCTTACACTAGGGCTAAAATCGTCTCAACATTTGCAACATTACTGTAAGAGACGATTAACGAGACGATAAGGCTTTATCACTCCCAAAGCTTTGACGAACACAAGGGCAGAAAATCCAGCCAAATTAAAGCGGTTGATCTCGGTTGAGGACGACCCATCAGTGTCTTCCAGTGGAACCATTAACTTACGAGGACACTTTGTGATGCCCAATATAAGGTTAACTGTATGAAACGTACTCCGTGAACAAATTCAGAAGCTAACTCTTATTAAAAAAGAACTCGAGGACTTTTTCTTGAATAACTCGCAACGGTTTTCGACCAACACAGCACAGGACAAAGAGAATATTCTAAAAAATGCCATGTAAAAACACAAACTGGGTTTACTTGTTCCACACTGGACCAAACAGTAGCTGTGGTTTCACAGAATTTTCTCCATTTTTGCCGGTTGTTGGTTTTACAAATTTTTCTTTTATGTTCAACAACGCATGTTGATCATTTTCAGGACATTTAGTGCACAGGGTTGCAAAGTTTCGCTATTGACTCACGAAGGGAGATTTTAAAATTCTCCAGATTTGGCAGTCAGCTGAAACACCATATCTGACATTAAAATTGAAAACAAAACCAAGAATAAAAAAAGGAAAAAAAAAGAAAGTAAAAGCCTCTTTCAATTGATTAATTAATTTATTTTTTGCTAAGTTTGATCAAAACTGATGCGAGACTTATCCATTTGCAACAAATGCGCTTAGGAAATAATCCACTTAATTCAAAAAGCTACGAAAATAATAAACAGTCTTTCGTCAAGGATTCCTTTAATTAAGGTCTTATAGATGTGTAAATTGAGGGCCATTTTTAATTTTAGTCTGAGAGCGAATGTCAATCAAGATCGACTTGTTTCAAGGTGCGTTTGTCGTTTCGAAGAGCCTGAAATGAACATCAGTCGGAAATGTATTCATTCATAGCTAATTTTCATATTTTCGTTTTACTTTTTGCGTTTCACACAACGTAAGAATAAAACTTAATAGCGTGTTGACAGGCTGTTAGTGAAACAATTGTGATACGTTGTTACGTAGACTGCTTGATGCAAACATTTATTCCTGTGCGTTAACCGACCTTTAAAACACAAACTGTTGAGTTATACCATATAGTTGTGTCCTTTCTGTCTATTTCTGAAACCGTGAAATACGAGTTATTTAATTATTTTATTTATTTGAAATATTCTTGATATACCAAAGATCGTTGAAATAAATATGCAGCCTTTTACAAACAACCCACCAGCGGTAAATTTTAATCTAAAAATGTTAATCATTTGTCGATTGTAATAGATGCATTTTTGCGTAGACAAATAAAAGTCATCAGTTATGTTTTATTTCGCATGTGGCTTGGGTTATTACGCCGTACCCGCGTTCTCTCTTTCTTCGTTGCTTTCTTAAACTGAGAAAAATTCGACGCTTCTTCATTAATACACTTTAAGGTTTTGACTGACAATTCTCTGGGCAAAAGCCATCGAATAGGGTTTAAAGCGGAAGCGAAAGCTATTTTTACCTTTGGAGATGTGGAAAAGTATCAGCATTACCATGATTCGAGGATGTGTGGAAAAGTGGCTTTTGTTCTAAACAAAAGATTATTTAGTTGTGTGGCCATACTGTGTCGAAGAGACAGATCTATTTAATTCAATGCTTTATTTTCAGAGGAATTTGCCCATACTCTTACGATTCACAGGCACAGAAACTGACAAACAAACATAGTTCTTAAGTTAACTGCGCCATTAGAATTCACTTTGAATAACATACAGTCATGCAGCAGTCAGCTTGTACTGGCGCTTTGAGTTGAGATTTGAAAAGCTTGAAAACGTTGTATAGAGGAAATGTCAAACACTTTTGTGGAAATTGTGGCGCTCGGTAAACCCTGAAGAATATATGTTGGAAATTCATTCTGTAACCGAGGAAGAAGAAGTGGACTGCGCGGAAAGTGAGAGCTTTAGTGAACTGGATGTAAACAGCGACCCTCTTAAAACAAAAAGGAAAGTTCAATTTTCGTGGCCATTGGAATACTGGAGGGAATTTGACAAGGAGACGGGAGAGGTTTATGAGCTAAAAGATGAAACGACACAAGAAGTGGCTGATTCATTGCCAAAACCGTCCGAAAATATTAAAACAAAAAACATTGATGTTCCAGACTTGAAGAGCGACCAAAGACTTGATTGGAAAAACAGTGCTAAGACTCAAAGCATCACTGACGTATTCCAAGTTTTTCAGAAACGAGATTATAAGAAAGCGAATACATTTAAACAGATCAAAGATAAACGGGATAATCCAGAATGCAAAAAGTCTTTCATTAAACGAAATTTGACCACATTTCCATCAACTTCTTTACACACGAAGCAGCTGAAACCGGGTAGTTTGCTTTGCAAAGTGTCAACCTGTTCTAAGTTAGCACACAAAGGTGAATTCACGTTTAACGCCCGCAGTAAGGAGCCTTCACTCATACAAAGTCACTGCACATACTCATTTTCGAGTTCCCTGGGCATGTTGACAGGGGTTACAGTACCTTCTCAGCCTTTGGTTTGCACGGGTCGTAAATTATACGATGAACGGCTTCTACCAGCAGTAGAACGGGAGAGAAAATATTCCTCTATGTACACTTCGAAAAATAACAATGGGCTGCCACCACTGACCTGCGGAAAGCCAACAACGCCAGACATTGTACAACTTTTTGACTAGTTTTACAGAAATTATTTAATTTTCACTATTGTTAAATTTTAAACACGTTTTGAATACGATGTTAGAAGCTGATTCGTTTTAAGAAAAACCTCATCGGTATTTATTTTGTATCATTTAATGTTCGAGCCGATATCATCACCTTCGAGTGCATTTAATTTCAATTAACAATATTTCTAAAAGTACATTGTGTGAGAGAAATGGTAGCTGCATAATCGGAGGTATCAGATTAAAGTTATCAAGATAGGACAAGATGGTGAATTCCATGGCACCTGCGCACAAACAAAGCCTTGAATCCGTTTTCGTGTACTCGAAGTGGGGGAAACGAGGGAACCTAACGTATTAAGCGAAAACGAGTGGTTCTGGGTACGTGAATGGCTTAAATCGCCTTTATACATAAACTCACTACAGCAGCCATAAACAGATATTGTGTAACATAATGTTATAACTTAAAACACGATACAGTTGTTATCTGTGCTGTTTTCCATTAGCCCGTGCCGAGCTCTCAGTTGATGGAGACGAGCGGAAAGCGGGCGCGCGAAAATTGGCTAGTAGACACAAAGGTAGCAGGTGCCAGAGAAATAATTTGCATTTTTCAGTCACGCACACAGTCCGTAGTAGGAGGTCGTCGTTAATTTTAACGGTAAATGCATTTTCTCGCATCCATCAACGACAAACCTTCTTTGCAGGGGTAGTGACAGGTGTTTAAGCACAGATGATTCACGTCTAAGGAGTTTGACTGACCTCTGAACAACTTTCGAGTGTTTCACGTTGAATAAAGACTAAAAACCTGATTGAAGTAGTTAATTATGCTCTACGGTTCGTCAAGTCAACACTTACTTCCCTTGGTAGAACACTTAGGGCCGGTTAATTAAACAAATTTTAACCTTCGTTTAACAAAACCGCATTCTAAGCCTTCTTCAATTTAGCCGAACCTTTCATCTAAGAATCAATTTTTTTGTAAACAGTGTCAACAGGCCGATACCTAAAAGTAGACGGACATCTATTTAAATCAAATCAACCCTCTTATGGAGAGTCACCGAGGCCCACTGCTTGCGTAAAACCGCGATTTGGGTTAGATCTCGTTTAAATAAGCGGCCCTTAAAGTTTCAATTTCCATATTAACGAACTAAGCGTTTATTCCTTGTTATCGATCTTTTGTTGTATGGATGATTGTATTAAACTAAGGAATATTAGTGTCACTTCACTTGACCTTGCCACTAAAGCCCATTGTGCTTTTGTCCAATGAGGAACGTTTTTTATTACTTGTAATCGGTCTCTTGTGATTCAGACACTTTGATTTTAAAATGTGTAAATAGATGCACTTGCTGTGTTTGCGTTGCTATCGAGTTCAGAACTAGGTCAAACGGAAACAATTCGCCCATACACAAAGTGATATTTCTGGAGGAGGTTGCTGGTTTGTATTTATTGAACTGATTCGTCAAGTCAAGTAAAGATAAAGACTTGCGGAATCTACTAATGAGAATTGGATTTCATGACCTAAGGATTCACTGCATTACATGGAGGAGGACATTAAGTGCAGAATAGATTGGAGTACAAAACAATTTTGACAAAACAAGGGCAGGACAAAGGAAATAAATTGAAAGAACTGAAGTGATTAGCAAGATGTGGGCTTTCGAGCTCAGAGGGAAACAATCAAGTAAGAGAGAGATCCAACTTGACTGCGCGGTTTAGAGAACCTTTGTGGTAACATTGTGCTATTTTTATCAAGCAAGTTAAAGCCGGTTTAGAAAAGGGTCTTTTTAAAATTAAATTCTCATGAAGAATAAGCGCGGAAAAAGAAAGAGTAAAGGCAAGAACCGTCAAAGGTCTGGCAAAGAAAACACAGCTAACGCCAGTGAAATGAATTCGCTTACAGAAAAGGTCAAGGACATAAAATCAGGTAGATTTCAGTTCAGTCTTGTTGGTGATGATCATTACAGTTTTTACGAGAGAACTTCGGTGAAATTTGAGGCCAAGAAGAGATGTAAAAGTTCTGAATATTCTATTGAGAATGAGGGAGTACAAACGAAATCCAAGGAGACTAAAGGTCAACATAGATCGCCTTTGCCGCCTTTGAAAGATTTAACAAAATCACAACAACGGAAGCAGTTGACAAGAAATGCTTGCGGTCAATCGAAACTCGATACGACACTTCAAAACGACGGAAATCACAGGAAAGAAAACATTACCTCAACCTCCTCTGAGAAGTCAAAGACGCTCGCGAGTGTATCTTTTGTAGGTACATACGATTTGGATGACATGAATAACACCCAAGTAAACAGGGAATATGGTGTTTTAAACTTAGACAATGAAAAAAAAGTTGAAGGAGAAAGCGATGAAGACAAATCCAGAGAACAGGTCGAAAAAACGTCAGGGTATGTAATTCAAACTTTAACGCTTGAAGGGGAGAGTCATTTCAATAGGAAGGAATCACTCCATAATAAACTCATCCTTCCTGGAATAAAACAGAACAAAAAGTTTATTGGCGATAAAGTTGAAACATTTCAGAGACGCGAAACATTGTTTAAAGAAAGAGAAAAAAACAACAGACTTCCAAGGTTAGTTCATAGTAACCAGAGACCTCCTAGGATGGTTCAACGCTTTTCAAAACGGATTCAGGGCAATCGTAGGGGAAAAACTCGAACAAATCATAAGTCTTTTGAACAAGTTTATTTAGAGAGAGAAATTCCTCGGTTGCCACTTGTTTTAAATGGACGAATAACTCAATTTTGATTTCCTCGAACTCTACTTTAATTACGATTGGTTGTCTGCGTCTCTCCTTTTCTCTCTATTTCCGTGATTCACAGTGCAGTTTTCGTACAATAAATTTCTAGAATCTATAATTGGTCATGGTTTCCTTTGTCAATTTTAAAAAAAATTTTTCGGTGTATTTCCAGGCTTTTGCTTACGCTGATCTATGCAAAAAATTTAAAGCCACACTTGCAGATTACTTAACCGATCTCAATCGACGGTGCGATCTCTGAGAGGAGCACTGCTAAACCAGTGAAGCAATATTTCCTCTTGATAATTTGATACGCAAATGCTTGAGAAATCCAAAAGCATTTCTGGTGTCGTCATGTATCCTCTTCTCCTAGTTGTTAAATGCATTTAGTCAACAAGTCCGTGTGGGAAAGACGTCAGACACTAATACACTTATGGATCAGAGATAGTGCTTTTTTGTCTGAATACAATGCTAATCAGCTCTAAGGTGCTCATACTAAACTTAACATCAGCAGGCCTTAAGTTTCCATTGTTGCTGATACACAAAAGCGCACAGTAGTAGGCAAAGAAAAGAGGATTGAAATGATACACAGAGACAAGTGTGGTCTAAAAAGACAAAATGGCGCACAGTGGTTGGCAAAGACAAGTGAAGTGTAATGATACACAAAGGCGCGCCGTGGTTGGCAAAGACAAGAGTACTGTAGTTTGTTAACGAAGTAAGCGTATGAGGATCGAAAAAAAAAATCTTAACTCTTATGTTGTCACGGTTCGTACTTAACTTAAAAACACTCGTTTAACTTTAAGTCTTTTGGGGGCTGCTATGGAAAATTAAACTGGAAATCACACCTATTTCCAGTACTTATGTGCGTAAACAACTAGAAAACATTCAAAACCCTGACGGCTTCATGAGGAATTTTCCCAATATATTACAGTGATGCTGAGAACTGTTCAGTATGACCATCTGGCGTGACTTCATTGTCGTATTTTAACTTAGCGCAGCAATGTTAAAATACGAATGTTGGAAATGGAAAACGCTCCGGGGACGAGACTGGAATGCAACACCTCACAACGATGCATTACACCAAGTAATTATCTGTACATTTCTGTACATAGTGAAGGGTGTGAAACCGAAAACATAGAAGAACTTCCCGATGATTCATTGCAGTTTCTAAGGAAATCATTCGTGCTTACGCATGGAAATTTAGATTAAAGATTTCGAGAGAAAGAATTTACAACAAAGAATGAAGAAACTGTTTGGTAGAAAACCTTCACCGCGTCAATGATCTCAACCAGTGTCCACCTTCGTTCCCAGTGCCTCCATCTCCTCCACCCATCAAATCGTTGCGAAAGAGAGAGACTCTGGGAACAAGTAATTTGTTTGATGTATTTGTTTGTATTACCGCTGTTTATTTCCTTACATTCCCTAAGCAATGCATCGATTATTTCCTACTGTACGATAACGTTTTTCTTTCTTGCATACCGTATGTATGTGATCATCATATGCAGACGGACGTATTCCTACAGTTAACAGCAGTCATCTTGCACATTGACAACACTTTCTTGTCTACAATGTCACCAAGCTAAAAAGCCGTATTTGCCAAATAATCATCTTCCAATTACTTTAAATAACTTTTTAGTACTTTGCTCTGTGAACTTCATCACTTTCTCCTGTCGTCAATACAGACCTTAGTATTCAATACGTACAGACGGACCACACAGGTTTCTTATTTTGAAAAGCTTTCACCACATCAAGCAAAAAGTTGTTCTCCTTGAGTAATTACTAATTAACTGTTTTAGGCTGCAGTTTTCTATTGGGAGTAATTTGTAGCCTTTTGTTTAAAGAGAGATTAAGGCAATGTCGTCAATGAAGATTACCATCAAATTATTTCATATATCTTGCTCTGTTTCGAAAGGTGTAATATGTACTACACTTCTGGCAGTTAAAGCTTTGAGCTTATTTCGAGGATTTTTATCCACCTCGCTTCCTGCTGAAAAACGTTTTTTCACAAATTCTGTAAATTTAATGGAAAGGTTGACACACTTCTAATGCACATTTTTACAACAGTTATTGAACGAAAAAAGTAATCTTCAAACTGTCAACATCGCAATTTAACGAACGCTGTGTTTGCACTGAAAGTAAACAGTCACAGAGCGAGAAAAATCGCTCACGCTTGATGGAATGAAAATTTAACAAGATTAGACATGATCTGTTTTCATGACGACGCAAACTTCGACACCAACACGAAACAATGGCGAAAATAAACAAGTACAATCTGTTATTCGAAGACATTCAAATCCAACTACGAAGACCAACCGTTCCAAGTGTCACAGAGGAGAAGACTAGTCTTAAAAAACCTCCATTCCTTTTGCCGAAGTCGAAAGCAAAAGAAACTTTATCGAGGACAGAAAAGGGCCTACAAGTCGACTTAGAACTGAATGTTCGTGGTTTTAGCAGGAAGGACAACAAAAGCTTTGGTAAGCGGACAAAACGGAAAGGCGAGAAAAAAAAGAGAAAATCCAAGGATAATATCAAAGGTTTGTCATCCCCTAGCAACAAGATTACCCATCAGAACAGTCCACACGTTTCTCTCCCTCCGATAGATTCTAAATCTTTAACGCAACAACGCTTGGATAATGTTCTAAGCTTCTCAAATACAGCGACTTTTAAGCCATACCGAGAATTTGAAATTGCGTTTAATACGCTTGTGAAAGTAATCGAAAGGAGCAAAGAAGAGCAGAAAAGAACTACAGAGAGATTTCAAATGAATATCGTCCAAGGGGAACAAAAACCAATCAACGAGAAACTTCAGTCGCAAGAGGAAGCGAAAGACAATTGTTTACGCGAGTCACAGAATTGCTCAGTGATATCGGTTTAATCGAGTTATCATATTGGTTATCGTGCAATTGCAAACCAACAGCTTAATGAAGCTTTCCAGTATGTGAGCCGTTATTCTGGATCTTAGTTACTCACGCGAAAATGAAAAATTTCCAAGTGGACGTTTGGCACATCGCCTGTAATCAGTAAAAGCAACATTCAGTGACTCAAGATGATGCGACTGAACCAATGAGTGAATCACAATTTTCAGACCATTCACTTTAAACTGTCTTTTACTACGAAATATTCTCCTACGATGAAAGCTGTTCTTTCATTAAAAGACCAAGTTTCACATTTGAAACCTTTGTAGGTACAATGTAGACCTTCACAGATTCATATGCGAACTGCAAACAAAAAATATCACACGCGATACGTAATTTCGGGCAGCTGCGTGGTAGAAAAACAATTTGTTCCAAATTAAATTACTTGTTTCGTACATTACTGTATAGAGTGTAAACATCATGTCTAGCAGAAAAAGATCTCCTAGAAAATAGAAGTTAAATAAATAAGATTCCTTTAGATGCTGGTGAATCTTCTTTTGAATTTCACTAAAACACAGTAATACAATCGCCGCGCTTCTACCGAGAAAAAGATATTCTTACTAAAAAGAGGGTAATTTGTAGTTAATTGAAATAATAAAGGCTTTTTCGTTGGGGGAATTATTTTCAGTTTGTATATAAAACTCATGTAGAGATCTCATTCAGAGGAACAGTTCATCACGACAAAAGCCAAAATTTCTCGCAAGACAATTTTTTCTCCTGCTATGTGCAGAATATTTTCAACAGCTGATATGTCCACGTTGGTGTCAAATCACCAGTCTGGTGCAATCCAGTCGAAGAATTTCATGGCTAATTCAAACCCAAGGAAACAAGCCTGTCAAAAAGAAAACAGCGAATTGATAAAAAATAATTTATCCATTAAGATATGGCGGGATTGGTTTAAGCGTTTCCGCATTAGAGCGTTTTGGATTGAGTATCGAAAAAAAAAACTGGTTTGTGTTTCTAAAAGCCAGTCACAGACGAGCCAATGAAAAATAAAATTAATAACATGCAAGCGCGAGAAAAAGCGAGGAAGCAAATCACGGTCTGTTTTAGTTTTCCACGATTCGTTAAAACTATAGCGCGAGTTTTCTAGACCGCTTAACGATAACTGAAAAGTAATAGCAAAGATGTACAAGTCAATGAAGGTCTAATTTTGTGTACATGGATGATATCCAAAGGTGTCCCTTCAATTGAAAGCAAACGAGCAATACCTCCAGTTGAATGAAGGGGTAAGTTTCTAAAGAGATTGTGGTGCTGCTGCCAATTTACGTTATCAGCTCAATTGATAACTCAAAATTACCCCATAAATTGGTTCTTCTTATTTTCATATCCACTCAGTGTCAAATTCAAAACGGAAACCACTGAATGATGCAATTAAAAGAGTGTACTTACCGCGTTTGCAGGAAAAGCTCTCAGCATAACTGGAGTCAGGCCTCTAAAGAGCGCCCCAGGTCCTTCCTCACGCATCTAAAATGTTACAATGCGCACTCAGTCAGGAAGATCACACTTCGAAGGTTACTTCTTACGAGCTTATCAGTTACATGAAGAGAGTGAGTTATGTTTTTCTGCTTGGACGGAATGCAAGTCCTTAGCAAGTTAACAAAGTCATGTGACCAGGTCAGATGACCAGGACCCGACCACAGGCCTCTTCGTGCAAAGTCCAGCGCGGTAATCATGGGCTTTACAGTATCCACGTCACCTTCAGTATCACACACAGTGAGACTGACCAAACTAAACTGACATGCTCTGCAGCAACAAATTCGTAGAACTGAACTTACCATGTGTCTAAAAACATCCCTAACACCATTTGGATAAGTTCCTTCAGGTGCTGCAAATAATAAACAAAAGTAAAATTACCTTTCTCCATTTCTAATTCTGTTCCTGCGCATTTTCATGTGCCTGGAAATTTTGCTGACAAGTTACATTTGCTTGTGACAATGTACAACAAATCAGGATCAATATCAGTATCTGGGCAACTGCCCACCTACCCCTCCCCTAACCCAACATTAACCCTAACTTGTTGTCAATTGACTGTTGTTGAGTTAGGGGAGGGGTAGATGGGCAGCTGTCCAGATACTGATATTGATCCAAAAATCATACTAAGGAAAAATTCTTTTCTCTTCCCTCTAAATTTTCTATCATAATGCAACCATTTACCATTTAACTCCCAGAGGTGATTAACATGTAACCTCTCCCTTTAATGTCCATACAATGTCCAGAAAACAAGAAATGAGAATACTCAAACTTATCAGGTAAGAGTTGTTATCTTGATTTAACACCAAATTCTCTTAATTGATTTACAAGGACATGTGAAGCAGCTAGAGGGGAGAATTTCAAATCAGATTTTGGGATCAGTTAGAGGGTTAATATGCACTTTCACAAATACAGGAAGGCTGAAGTACATCAAACTGAGCAATATTAGCTGAAGGACAGTGTAGTACTGCCCTTTGTCTGAAAAAAAAAAAAAAAAAAAAAAAAAAAAACACCAAGTGCAGAGCTGTGGATACTGTGAGGAAAAAAATGTTGAAACAGGATTTGCCAGATAAAAATACTAGTGTTTAGGAGATAGTGTGGTTACTTGTTACTGGATGGTGAATCATCAGACATTCATCCAATACCTCACTTTCTCATAAATACATTTGTGCGTGAATTTCAGGTCCAAATTCCTCTTAATGGTCATGTCCTAGAAGAGCTGTCTACTGTACCTGTTTGCAGACGAGACTTAAGTACATCTGGTGCTATACCAACACTCCAGTTCATCATGCCTGCCACACCTGTGAACAGAAACAGTAAGACCATTTTTCACTTGTCTTACTCAAATTTATTCTAATTTCTACATATGGATATTCAGTGAAAAGGAAAATACACATGCAGTAGACCCTATGAATGATTTTAAAAAACAACGAGAGGATAAGAAGGAGAGATTTGTGTTGTTTTGAGAACAATCTCATCCCAATTCTGTGGCCCTGGGTTTCCTCCCTCGAGTTCAACATGAAAACAAGGAGAAAGCAAAATTTCAGGTTTGAGAATAAAATGGGAACTTTACCTCCAGCACAGAGAATTGACAGAGCTCCAACATCTTTTCGCCTATTACAAAAAAAGAATTGTAAATTAGAGGGATTGTTAACACGGGGGTAATACCATCTTTTCACTCCCATACATATTATTTTGTTCATCCCTGATTTGAGAACTTCTCAGTGAGTAGCAAACAGAATACTCACGTCTTTCCCTCTGGAGTGAGTGCATTTAAGAGAAACTCATATGATGCAAAGTACATTCCTGAGGCCGGTACATCTGTAGAAAAACCAAGTAAACATGAGAAAATTTTCCACATTTTACAAACAATCATATCCATAGCAGATCAAATTATAAAACTGAAAAATGCTAGAAAGCATGTTATCCTGAAACTTATTCTCAAAGTAATAAATGCATCATAACACATTTATGATCATGCTAAAACTTTCAACACACTCTTTTTCCAGTTGGGCATGAATAAGACATCTAATGCTTACTGTACATATTCTTCTGTTACTAAGACAGTATATAAAGATGAAGCAGCTGATAGATGTTTTAGATTTAAACCAAGTATTATTAGTAGGGGTACATTTCATATACTGTCTCTCTTTCCCACCCTCTCCTCCCAGCCCAGATGTTCTATCGCATTACCCTGACAATATAATAGTACTTAGTTCACATAGACTGAAGAAAATTTTAGTGAAAATGAAATGGTTCTCTTGAGAAAATTAACACATTGACCAAGTCTCACCCTTTCACAAAACACATATCTTGAAAAGTCTAATACTCATTACTTTTAACTGTTTAAATTCCCACCTCTCAATAAAGTTGCACATGTTCCTTTGTATACCCCACGAATTCCACTCTGTTTGTAAAGCTTCTTCACTACATCACTAGGTCCAGCATATTTCTTTTCTGCTCCACTAGCCTGCTGAATCTACAGAGAGATTGGCAGAGAGACCATTATATAATTTACAACAACCAAGAATTTAACCATCCAGGTTTAAATTTTTGTTACCATGACAACCAGGGCTAGCCTGTTAGTATTTCAGACAGCCAACCAGTATTTCGGTTAGTTAACATATCCAACTCTGACTTTCAATCTAAATGCAGAAAGAACTTTCTATATAAAATGCCTCTAAAATGTGTCCTTGTTTTTACTGAGCTGAACATTTACTTTAAAAACTTACTTGTAAAATACACTTTATTCTTTCTCCTGGAGCCATAATAACAGTTGTACAAACTCCAGCAAAAAAACCTGATGTCAAAATTTGAAAATACCTGCGAAAAGGGAAACAAACCTATCATCAACTGTAATTAAAAAGGATCTCCATGGAAACTAGAAAACCTTGTGAAAAACTCAAACTGAATGTGACATCAGGATGGGAATTGACTGCACACCACAGAAGTTGGAAGATAAGCCACAATACCTTCCATGCTCCCCAAAAGACCATTAGTTTATCAACCAGAAGACCTCCAGGTCTCCCATGGTTGAGCTGTACCCAAATCAAGTTTATCATTTTATGCAATGACATCTGACTTACGTTGGTTCATCAGTAGGATTCTTGAGCTGCAGTTTTTTGCCCATGTTAAATCCCCAGAAACAGATGGCAAATATTGGTGCTACACCCACAACAGGAGCTGCCATTCCTTTGTATAAACCAAGAATTCCCTGGAAAGAAAAGTCCAATTTAACCCTTCTTAAGGTATGGACCAAAATCACAAATCACCACACCTTTAATTTTAAGTATACAGCTGGGTGGAAATTATTTCTCTCATTAAAGGAGCTCTAAAATGGTTTAAGAATCTTGACAACGCAAGCCTAAATTAAGTCATCCACAAGAAACATTTGTCCTTCCCACTTTTTCCCTGCATCTTTGATGTCTGTTAACTCTGCTTAACTGTTATTTTTGAGACAAATGAATAAAGGGGGTAAGTTTCTAAAGAAACTGTGGTGCTGTGTCAGTGGAAGGGTATAATAGGGTAATTTAGTATTATCAATTGAGTTGATAACATAAATTGGCCACCGTTAACAGTACCAATGCTGTCTTTTTGAGAGTTAGCCCTTCATCATTCACTCTGACCAAGGGCTATGCTCAAAATGTCAGCTTTGAAACTCTCTACGGTGGCCAATTTACATTATCAACTCAGTTAATAGTACTAAATGACCCTGTTATTTTTCAGGTTTCATTCCAACCCTAGTCAAGGATCACAGCAGGGATTTTTGAAAGGGGTTCAAAGTTATGAATTTGTGTACCTCTTCCAAAAATTGGTGTGTACCACTGCTCTACCTTGGTTACCAGCTGGCTCAATTATTCATGTGGGGATAACGACCAACAAGAAGAGGAAAAACAAACAGAAAATTGCCATAGCTGCAGTATAGATCAAAGTGGAACTTATAGTGATTACAACTTTGTGATTATACAGTATTTTAAAAATCTTAAGACATCTTAATGCCAAAGTGTTATCTGCATAACCCACCAGATATCAAACTCAACATTCTCTTTCCTGTTGGCCAGATTTATTTTTCATATCACTAATGTGAATCAAAAGGCACTTAATTATGGGAAGTTATACCATGATTCTCAGTTGAGTGATAAGTTTGTTGACAAGTTTTGACTATAAAATTATGGTATAGTTACAGACAAGCTTCCTTGTTTCCAGTGGTAACCAAAACTCTAGAATTGTGCATTCCCAACTGTCAAATGTAAAAGCCTGCTAAAAACAGTCACATGGCTTGTTGCCACTGGAAATGGAGCCAGCTGCCTGTGACAGCAACAAAATTTTATCATCAAAACATGGTCATCCAACTTCCACTGTGCCTCACTCAACAAAAATAATAGTAACACATTCACCATGTTTTATAGTGTTTGTGACCGTGTGAGCTACAGAATCTCACCTCCTTTCTAACTGTTTTAAGTGCACAGTCAAGAGTTCCAGTGAACAGTGGCTTCTGCCCTGGCTCTGGTTGGGGCATAGTTTGAAGGCGAACCTGACAAAATCATGATCATCAATCAAAAGAAAACAATGCATACACACAAACAACATAACATTTGTGAAAAGTTAAAAAACTGAATGACACAGCATTATGATATGAGCACTCCACTGAGTGATATTAGAAAGGAGCTTAATGTTGCGTGACATATTTCCATTTTTACGTTTGTTTCCTCACATTAAGGAGATAGCTTCCATGCATAAATAAAAATATTCTGTTATGGTCTAATTAAAGACAGCATCTTTGTTATCTGAAGTTGCCCAAATCCCCCAAAGATGGAGAGATGGAGTCTTGCTCAGGTAAAAAAACTGTGTATTTCGAGTTGAAAAAATCCATTCATAAATTCATCATCTCATTCACGAAACAGGTAAAATCAAAACCGCAAGCCTGATATTCGAGAAAAAAATAAAGAGAAAATTTCGTTTCTTTATTCTGTTAAATGATAAATCTGTTGCATATCTAGCGTTCTCAGTGTTTGTTTACTCCATTTTATCACCAGATTGTACAAATTTTACGAGACTTGACAATGCCGCCGGAGGAAAAATAGCACTGAAGTTCATGGACTTTGAACTTTGCACAAAATTTTTGGTTTAAAAATGACTTTAGAGTGAAAAAGCCTCTTAAAATCGACCATTGATAACGCAACCATGATTATACTTGCTCTAAAAGCTATATCCAGTTGTATCATTTCCAGATTATCCATCATTTTTTTTAACGATTCCACGTCACGAAAGGTATTTGGAAATCATTTTGTTCACGACATAATTTACCTTGATCGTATCAAGTGGATGGCCAGACACTACACAACATATTCCTCCAAATCCTCCAGCAAGGAAGTTCTTTACACCAGAGGTACTTCTGGTTTGCTTCTTTTGAGGCTCAGCAACAGCGATCTCTTTCTCTGCCATACTGTTCACACCGGTGCTTCTTACTGACTATCAGTACTTTGCCGTCATGAGGATTGTTATCAACCAGCACCGTGGGGACTGGGGTCTAGTCTTCCGCCCAGATCCTATCATGCTTGCCTTTAGCAGATACAGAAAGTAGACGCACAATATCGTAATTGTAATGGCCCCTGCGTTCAGCGGGAAAATACGTGATTCTCGCATGTGTCCTGTAAAATTACGCAGTAGAAGCCAACAATAAAGAAGCTCACAGGAGTTAAACTTTGAACTCGACGTTTCCAGTTTCTCCTTGTCAAAATTTTCATCGGTAACTCACCCTCCCTCCTTTCCGCTTCTGCCAGTGTTCTCTCTTTACATTTCCTAGCCCCATCCATATGATCTATTACAATCCACATATGATTTGTATGCGGTGAATCCATTAGAATTTTCACATTTTATTGTTTTGATATCTCAATACATAACATCCTGAGATCCTATTGATTAACTCGAGCGAAGTGTCAGTAGTAAGGAAAGCAGCAATTCGCTTACAGAGCACTCAATTCTCAAATTAACAAATAACTCTCTCCACTTTATTTCTCGGATAAAACTCGAATGCAGTCCCGTATTTTGTTACAAACGCATAATTCTATTGAGGGATTCCGACATGCTATTCAGGAACTTTGAATATTAAAACTGTACAACTTCTTATCTGCACTGCAGAAGGGCGTTCTTTTTTTTTTTTTTTTAACACGAATCAGTATAACTTGAGAGAGAATAAATTCTCTAATAATAGATCGTCTGTCTTGCCGTGGTTGAAGTTTAAAAGTTGATGGCTTTTCCAGCGTAAGCCGCGATGTTAGCTTCTCTGAAGGCTTCTGATACAGTCTGCAAAGAAAATGGAAATAAATGTTGTCTCCATACTATTTCAGTGCGGTACAGACTTCAGCGATTACCCTAAGAAATAAAATTGCAATGTAAAACATTTGACAAAGATTCCTCAGTTAATTCGGCTAAGCTTTTAGACGAATTTCCTGCACGTTCAGAACCGATCAGGAATCGTATTTAAAATATACATCAAGATAGCTTACTCCGAAATTCCTCACAAATTCAACGCGAGGCAGAATCCATGACATTAAATTGGACCGAAATTTGACAAATCCACAGAGTGGAATTCCATCCATTTTATTTCCAGATCGAATTTGATGTTTGCGTGTCAGTGTTTTGAATAGAAGAACAAGAAGCAACAACATAATCAACATACATAAAACGCCGTGACCGAGGCGTTGAAAACCCGATCCACACTATTCCTGGCGTAACAATCTCTCAACTGAAACACCCCCACCCCCTGCTCTTTCAGATTCAACCCTTACCGGATGTGCATGACACACTCGTGCGATGTCCTCACTAGACGCCCCATACTCCATTGCAAGAGCAGCCTCGTTGATCATTTCTCCAGCAACTGGTGCGACCATATGGCATCCCAGCAGTCGGTCAGTCTCCTTATCGCTCAGAATCTTCACCAGTCCGTCAATCTCGGCGTTTGTTCGCGCTCGGCTGTTGGCTGAGAGAGGAAACTTGCCAACCTTATAGGCCACCCCCTAAAAAGTAAGAGAAGAGAGAGATTTCTAAATTTACGCCAATCATGGTTTACATCAATACAAAATTGTGACAGAGTGCTTTAGCGGAGAAGTCTTCGAGGAAGAAGACACGAGATGCGTATATCAATGCTCCAGCTGATTGCTGTAGCGCAGAACTCGAACCTGACATAATTAGTTGTAACAATTCTCCAGAAGAACGTTTTCTCGTACTCCTCTCCCTATCCAATGTTGTTAATCGCCGATGCTTCTATGCCATCTCGCAGACCAACATTGAGAAGGGCAGGGAAGGCAGTAGTGTGTCAACTAATGTGTCTGGGAGTGTGGGAAAGCTGGAACGGTAGTCATTTAATTACAGTAACACGAGAGACCAGAAATATATAGAAGCGCTTTCTTTAGTTTCCGTAATTCAAGCGTTTAGAAATTTGTCTTTTATAACAGTTTACCTCCTCTTTCAGCATCTCTTCAGTTTTTCCGACCCAGGCCACTTCGGGGTGAGTGTAAATCACACTCGGTACGCAGTTGTAATCGATGTGAACTGCGCCACCAGCTATGCCTTCCACACATATGATACCTGGAAAAGTTAATTCCATAAATAAGTTAATTCCGCACATAAGCGCTCTAAAATGAAATGAAATTCATGATATTAAACAAACCTTCATCTTCAGCCTTGTGTGCCAACATTGGTCCATGAATGCAGTCACCAATTGCATATATACTGAGAGAACAACAGATACATTACGACTAAGAACTTGAAGATAACTTAGGTTCTTGTCACGTTATACCAAAAGATATCGTTCGATAGAAAAGTTCGTGGCGACTGGAACTTTACAGCCACTCACGAATAACGATTTGTGTCTTAACCTTAACGGATGCCTATAGAGGAGATAGACACAAGGGACAGACAAGCAGACGGTACTAATTAGGAAAGACAGACAGGGAAAAAAAAGAAAAATTCGCGGACAGTAAGACTGTAAGACCAGCAGAAAAAGAGACGAACAGACGCTGCCACAGACAAAAAGAATAAATGTCTTTGACTAGACAAGAGACAGTCAAAAAGGACAGACGGATTCACAAATAAAAAAGATAATTTTGTTTCATCATTTAAGTCGATAAAGTAAATTGGCCGCAGAAAATAGTTTCTAAAGCTGACGTTTCGAGCAGAAGAGAACATATTGTATAAAAACAAAAAAACCAAGTAGGATACGAACATGTCTTACCTAGAAACGCTAGACTGGAATCTTTCATTTACAACAATCCGGCCGCGAGGATCAAGAGGAATACCAACTTTCTAAAAAGGAAAATTAATAGTAAAAGACGCTTTTTGGTGGTGACAACTAAACAGATTCCATCGCACTTAAGTTTATAATGTCCCGTGCGCTTTGAAAATTTTCAGCACGCTACAAACTCCGCAGAGCACATGGAACTCAAATAATATTAATTCAATGTAAATTACCTAGTTACAGTTAAAGACGAACAGCAAGGGTAAGGTGCAACGTTTGGAAAATAAAAAATGCTGGTGTTGAAGTGTTAGGCTCAATTACAAGCGAGTGTTAGCAATCAATAGTCTACAAAACTGACCTCCAACCCTAATCTCGTCGTGTAAGGTCTTCTTCCAACACATACTAAAAGAACATCGCCTTCAAGCTGTAAATTGAAAAGCAAATTCCCAAATTAGTTAGCTACTACAGCAGCAGGATAAACACACAGAAGCAACACGTCAAACTTCACAAGGCCAAACACCAATGGTACCTCTTCCTTTTTCGAACCATCTTTGGCTGATTCCACGCTGTAACAAAAAACAAAAGACAACTGAAAGTTCCATCATGAAGAATCAGTCCTTAGACTCTTCTGTGTCGCGAATCAAAGCTTAATTTATTTAAGTAGGAGGTTTTTTTTCTTTTTTTAACTGTTACCTCACTTTGATTCCATCTTCGGTTCTTGTTGCACCTGAACGATAAACAGAGGAAATGTTACTGTTTTTACATGAATGAATTCGATTACAAGAAGTCAAAATAATTTTGCATTCTTCTAACCACAGTGAATTCACTTCATAATCCGCTTTTATTTGAACCTTACCTGTCACTTTTGTGTTAAGTTTGAACTTTATCCCTTGCTTCTGCAAAATTCTCTGGAAATTTTTCCTGGGTAATATTAAAGGCACAAAAGTAAAACATCAATAACTATGAGTAGGGTTAAAAAGAATGAAAATCTTCATATTAAGATAAACAGATGAATGAAGAGTCATGAAAGAAGTCATCCTACTGATAATAAAATATGAAAAAATGAAAGGAGTTTCAAATGGAAAGATGGGGGAGATGGAAAGGACCAAAATAGTTATCTCATTAAGCATGCTGTGCCACTGAAGGAATTGGAGAACACTGGGAAGTTATTTACATGTATCACTAAGAAAGCCACGCAAAGAGAAAACATTAAGCTTAATACTGAAAATAGCAATTTCAACTTACGCGACTTCCATATCAATACCAACACCACCAATATGTCCCAAAAATTCAACAGCTGTCACTTGTGAGCCAAGTCTTGACCAAACTGAACCCTTGAAAACAAACCAGTAACATTGCAACCTTAAATACCATGCCCAAACTTGTACAGTTCTTTACATGCCAAACTTTTAGTTTCCTTTCAACTATGGTAGTCTAAGAAGAGTAATGTAGCTCTTAGGCACACGTCTGTTGTCTATACAATCAACAGTAAACAGAATTTTGTAGAAGACACAGCCACAGCATATTGGTATGGCAAAATAATATGTTTTTCAACTGTCACATGACTGAAAACAATTATGCATTTATGAGGTAAGCATTTCTTTTGGAAGTAAAAAAAATTTTATTGGGCCTTAAAGAGAATGTTGAATTTCTCAAATGTGTGAGCAACTAACCAATTCAACCCCAATGACACCTGCTCCAATAAGAATTAATTTCTCTGGGACTCTGTTGAGTGAGAGGGCACCAGTTGAGGATATGACAACTTGTTCATCAAACTGTGAAAAGATCATAACAACATCATGATATCAGGATCATTTTGTTAGTGCCACAGGAACAAAGCATGCATTATACAATGAGCTGAATATAAACACACATAATGAATGGTGCTATCTTATGATCTATTGACGGACAGATGTACCAATGACATCACCATGAACAAATGTTTATATCACACAAATATATTACACGTCGCAGTGCACCTTTAAATATATCAAAAGTAACATCAAAATGTGGTAAGAAAATCAGCAGCATACTCTGCTACACTTTCTGTGCCACTTTTTCGATTTCACCACATTTTGACATCATCTGTGATCCATCACTGAACAGAGGCACAGCAACATGGGATCTTTTAGTCAATCTGACAAAAGATTATTGTTTTCAAAGCAGCAGCTTGTTTCCAACCAGCAGCTTGTTTCCAACCAGCATGATGTCATTATTAAACAAGGGTTTTACATGACCTTAAAAATAAACTTCAATGAGTTCCATGAATGTGGCAACAAGTGGTTTTTTATGCTCACCTCAATTCCAGGGAAGGGTGTCACTTCAGATCCAGTGGCTATCAAGATATTTTTGGTTTGAACAATTTCTGTGCCGCCATCCTCCTTATGAACTGTCACCTTGAAAATCATTAACACTGGGTAAGGGAGATTAGGAAAATGCAGATACATGCACAAGACACTATTTCTGTTTTGCGGTCAAGATTTGAATTTTTCAGGCAATAACATGTTCAGAATGTTACCTATCCCAAGCAGTATGTGCTGATGAAAAAATTAGAAAACAACACTTAATTTTGCTCTATCACATGAAAGAGGAGGAAGAGTGTTATTTTGGTCTCACCTCATTTGCTCCAGATATAGAACCATGTCCATCTATGCGAGTTACCTGTAAAACAGGATACATTTAGGAATATTAACCCTTTACTCCCAAACATCAGTATGCATATTCTCCTTACTGTTCTCTATACATTTCCAAAGATGCTGATAATGTGAATTTGTTTGATGATCAAAAGCTTAATTATTTGATATCATTTCCTTTATTCTCATGACCATACTGTGTGATTCAAGGGTGAAGTTGTAAGGAGAAATTAGATGCCAGTCACTCTTAGCGGTCAAAGGGTTAATAGTAAATATTATTAACAACAGTAGTGTACAGCTTCTCCTAGGTAGGGTGGAGTAACAACTACACATAGCCACAAACAAGGGTGGTTATGAGGATAAGGGGATAAGGAGAGAGACTTGACAGAGGGGTGAGAGAGATCGTAAATCATCAGCACAATGATCATGAGAAATGGTCCAAAGAACTTTGTTCCCTAGTGCTGTTAACAGGTATTGACCCACAAAGAGAATTTGTGGGATTGATATATTATTGACAGTAATATTTCCTAAGAGGATTCTGGTAACATGACTTGGATGGTTTATTTAGAACCCAACACATTGACCAGCTCCCACTTGGCATGTTAGCTCAGTTGGTTGAGCGCTGCACTGGTATTGCAGTCCTGTAAGGGCCTGAATTTTTTTTAGGTCCTATTTTCAGCTGCTCATTTCAGTAGTGTTCTTAGCTGCAAGGATCTCTTAATTTCATGACTTTAAAAGCTAACTTTGGCAATACTTGCATTTTTTGAAAGCTAGGTAGATACACTAGGTGGATACAACAACAGCACTAATATTGTTCCGGCCATTACCTTGTTCTGTTTAAATAAGTGAGCTATTCCATTTGTTAGTGTCTTTACAGCTGTTGTTTTCTGTTCCATCATTTTTTCGAGATTGAGTTTTACTTCACCCACTGTAAAATTAAAGGGAGATAGGAAATCACATTTTCATTCATTAACCAGTTTAAATATCTTAATCATCATTAAAAGTTTATGGTAATATTCATAGAGTAAATGTTATCAACCTTCTATTCCTCTGTTTTTGAAATCAGCAGTAACAGCTTGATGATACAAATGTGAGTTGTTCAGTAATGCCTGTAAATGATGATTGAAACAAACTATTATTGGCAATCAAAATTGATTAGCAATCAAATTGAAATCATAACTAAGACCACTTAAAGTACAATAACAAATAGCAGTCTGAAAAAAATTGGTTCAAATTTTTTTTTCTGTTTGAAAGAAACTTAATCTTTTTTGCTAATATATTCTATTTTTTATTATGAACAACAAAATGAAGCCATGTTTTACTTGTTACAACAGAAAAATATGAAAAAAGCGAGAATTCAAAGCTAAATTACCAAGGAGGGGGGTGCTCCTACACCACACTGACATTGTACTGAAATTTGGGGGCATATTAAGTTGTTTCAATACAAAAAAAAACTTGTCCTTGACAAATAAAGAGGGGGGTAGATTCACCTGAGAGGCTGCTCCTGCTACCTGATCAATTTTTTTGTTTCAATTTTTGGGAATATGCTGTAACGAGTTCTTCTAATATGAATATTATTTTTTCAAATTGACTCACCTTTGATGGAATACATCCAACATTTAAACAAGTTCCTCCTAATGACTTTTCTTTTTCAACACAAACTGTCTGTAAAACAAAAGCATGCAAAGCATTAAAACCATGCAAAGCATTTTGCATTCAAACTTCCCAAAATTTACTAATTAATTTGCAACATTTTCCTTGTCATTTTTAAAACAGTTCATGTTTCTGTACAAACCTTCATCCCAAGCTGGGCTGCTTTGATGGATGCTACATATCCCCCAGGACCTGATCCAATCACTACCAGATCGACTTCCCCTAAACAATGTAATAAAATATCATTCAAAATTTACTATCACCATCTATTAAGACTGATATACCTGTGTATCACATATTCAACCTCATGAAACTGGGTATAATCAAAGATTATAAGATCCATTTGTCTGTAACAAGGTTGATATTAAAAAGAAAGGAAAGCCCACCGAACACATCAAAAGACCATTGATAACAAAACAGAAAAGAGTGTTGTTACTTCTCTCTTTAAAACCTAATATACATTATGTTACCAAAAAAAACATACCCTCTCCTTCTTGAAAACCTGATATGCAACTCAAGATGCCCATAAAAGACATGTGAATAAAAGACATCATGTAGTGCACACAAAAATATGCTTCTTTCCAACAACTTGAGTTATATGTGACTTCAGTATCCTTCAAACTTAAGATAGTATTTTCTTCATAATTTTCCACAGGATAACTCACATTCCAGACAGTTAATAGTTTTCTGATTTTTCTTGGAGATTTGAGTTTTGAAGAGGAAACTGAAATCATAGTGACTGACTGACAAATTAACTTCATTTTTATGGGCTAGGGGGCAAGTCAATTCATTCTCGATTTTATATTTACACTGCAGTGCATTGCAATATCGTCAAAATCATAACCTTGACGAACTTAATAATAATTTCCCATCAGCAGTACTGTAAAATTTTAAAGTTAATCATTAAATGTTCAAGATCTTTATTAGATAACTAATAACTAAGTTTGATAATATAATGAAGATATATATAAAATTTCCATTCTAGTAAATAACTATTACAACTATTTACCATCTGTTGCGTAACATCTAGTGACTGCTGCAGGCTGACATCTTCCAGCCCGTCCAGACACTCTAAATACCTGGGAGGTAATGATTACAACAGTATTGAGAAATCAGATGGCATAACTATCACCTCAGAATGTGACTAACCTACCTCTGGAGCTCTTGAAGATAACCCATATGTACGTCGGATGAAAGACAACATGTTTTTTAATGAAAATTGGTGAAAGTGTTGCTAAAATTATCGTCAGAGGTCACGTTATTTTCATTCGGTCCTGATACATGCAATATTTCTGCAAATAGCCGCTAGTTTATCGCGGCCTCAGAGCATGGTACGCTTGTACTTTATCGAGTAGCCGCTGATATGAGCTCGTTCCCAGGCTTTTCGGCCTTAGAAATTCAAGATGGCAGGGGTTAACTGGATTTTCGTATCAGTAGTGAACTGATAATGTTGTTGTCGTCCTCTCTTTACGTTTTCTTTCCTCTAACATCGGCCTTTGGTATTGTGTGGGCTTTTACGATCTTCGAGCGTGTTGATGTTGAACTCGGACTGGAATATTATGCAGAGAAGGGAGATCCTTCTACGTTCCTTAAAATGCCGGCTAATGCCTCAGTGAACTTGGGCTATTTACTGGTTGGATTATACTGGCTGTGGAAGATACGTAAATTAGAAAAGAAGTTGAAAGATCAAGCAGTCTTCTACTACTTGTTCTCGTGGATGTCAGTGTTTTATGCCTTAGTTCAATTTGGACGGATTGTGACACAAACGCGTTTGTTCGCTGTGATTGATCAATGGTTTACGCTTCCTTTCTTTGCATGGCTTGTTTGCTGGAACGAGTTTGTGTATCGAGGACAATGGAATACTGGTCGTTATCTATTTATTATGCGAATTTCTGTCTTAAGTTACTTTGCCGTGTTATTTCACAATCAAGGCTTTGAAGCAGTTCTCAGTCTTCATATCCTTGTTGCCCTGGTTTATTCTCTGAGGACACAGTTAAAACCCGGTCTAGGGACTGAAACATCGCTAATGTCAATGATCCTTGCGCTCATCTGCTGCACTGGGTTTGTCTGTTTAAAACTTGCGGATCACCAATTAGCGCAGTACTCTTTATTCCAAAGTTTCACTGGTCATTTTTGGTCTAAGGTTTGTGATGTTGGACAAATCCACTTTGTGGCTGACTTTTTTAAAAATTTGCACATGCGACCCGAGAATGATAAAAGAGTCTCTTAAGATCTCAGCGAGATATGCTGGGAAACTCTTCAAATGGGCCTGGTGGCTAACCCTTATAGTAAGATTTTTCCCATTAGCCCAAATGAGAAATTTCAGCTTGGTTGCTTTGTCACAAAAGATTTCCAGAGCACATACAATGTTGTGAAAGTAGCCTCTTCCTGGCAGATTCTTTCCAACCCATTATTTCACTCATTCCCACTAACCTATTTTTAAGTTCACTCCAAACTCACTAGGTAAATTTTCACAAGTGATACAAACAGCTTGTATAGTGATCAATCACTATCTGGGTGATAACAGAATACCAACACATCCTTGTTCACAAGAGACCAGTCAATCCAGTGGATACCAACTTGATATCACTAAAGATATTCATGGCATCATGGAAAAAAAATTAAAGTAAAAAAAAAACATGCTGACACAAATATTTGAGAGTTATATGAAGAAAGTAGTCTTTTAATGGCTGTTGGGACATCTACACCATCTAGTCAATTTGCTAATTTTCATGAATTGTTATCATTGTCTAAAATACAATGTAAGACATCTGTTGCTAAAAATCCTTAATTATCTCAACTCTGCAAGTTTCATCACTTAACACTGAAAAAACACTCCTAACATTTCTACACATTCTACAATGGTGCTCCTATTTAACATCTATATAAAATTTGAGATAATTTAGTTGTTGGGATTCTATTTACAAAAAATAATACTGCACTGGATGCAAGCCTGCTGGCATCAATTCTTCAAGTAACAGCAAAGCTGAGAGTGACTAGCTGCCTAGCAGGAGTGTGGCTTCACAACCCACTCTTACTGAAGAGAGCAAACTCTTGAGTTAGTACAAATATTATTTAAACATTAATTATAGTATGCAATGTTCAGGGAACAGATCACCCCACTGTAGATACAGATGATAAAGAAGCAGAATCCTGTATGGATGTATATTTTAATTCCAAAACAGTATTTGGGTCTGAGAGAAGTGTGTCGATATTGTCAGCAAATTTATCCCTGACTTCGTTGAAAATCATGACACTCTCGGGTTCCTCCTTGATCCAAAATGCACTGAACTCAAAGAACAAATAACCTGGAAAGAGAAAAAAAAATTAACATATTTGCTACATTAATTAAGGAGAGTACATTCTAGTACTTTACAGTAATACCAACAACTTGCCATGAAATAAATTCTCATACTGGGGCAATTGATGGCTTCCCCACTATCTGTGGTCACGCACAGCACTCTATTTCTTATTTATGTTGTCACCCTTCAATTATTCCTTAGTTGTAGAGTTTACCTTGAACTACAGTTCAACTCAGAAAAAATTTGTCATTACAGATATCTTACACAGTCCAACTTGAAATAAAATATTGTACAGTAGATGAACTTCCTTGAATTCGAGCTTCAACTCAAATAAGAACCCACACCTTTAATAACCATTCCATCATGTAAGTACACCTTCCCTCAGTGTGAGTTATTCAAATAGGCATGATAATAATGGTAGTTGCTGTTGCTGCCTTTTCTAGACCAAGATATCCAAAGAATACTTACTATAAACTTCATGAAAGTCCTCTACTGTTGGTTTGCCTTGTTTGCAGTTGTAGAAATGACTTCTGAGAGATCCTTTGTTCAAAAACTGAAGAGCTAGTGAAGTGACATTAATACCAGCAATGGCATAAGAGAACCTAGGGGCAAAGAATAATCATGATTATGTTAACCAAAAACACAGGTGGAGACATGATGACAGTAAGTGCCCTGAACACTGCATTGAAACGTTGCAATCCATACACAATTGATTAACCTGACTCTGACATCATGAGACAAACCATTAATTGAACATTCATTTATGCAGAAAGGGTACCTTGCAAAAAATCAAAGTGAAAATCTATAAGCAGGAATAGTAACAGAAAATTTCCCTAGTCATTTGATGCCAATCAAGAAAGGGCTACAAGAATCCTTGAAATTCAGTCAAACACCATCATGGTTATCGCTTAGATGAGCCCTTCTTGGGTAAGGTACTTGTTCCTAGTAAATAACACGCAGTAATTGGCAACTTTTCAGATGTAGCTCACCAGAAGTGTGGATGATGAGATTGAGACAAAACTTTCCTTGCTGCAGGTGTGTGTTTTAATGCAAAATATCTAAATTTAAAAACAGATGAGATAACAAGAAATTAATCTCAGATTAATGCTGACATTAAATACAAAACAAACAAAATACACTTAAACTTAAACATCATTAAATATACTTACAATAGATTATCCAGTGCAAGGACACCTGAAATAAAAAAGTAGCCTATCAATTCAAATGCTTGAAAATTGAAAAAAGGTCAAGAGAACACTCAAATTTATTAGGTAGAAATTGTTATCTTGATCTAACACCAAATTCTTGAAACTAATTTACAAGGAAATTTGTAATAGGTGGAGAGGAGAATCAATCAGATGATAGGGCTTGAAAGGTTTTCCCTTTAACTCCCATGAGTGACCAAGACAGAATTTCTCCTTACAATATCAATAAAATATCAAGCAGACAAGTGATGAGAATAAAAAAATTTAATTAAGGGATTATTAGTTGATCCAAAACCAAATTCTCCAAACTTACATCACAAGAACTATATGGCAGACAGTAAAGAGAATTACTAATGAGATCTTGAGAGTCAAAGGATTAAGAACAACATACCCATTCCTCTAAAATCGGTCTTGGGGTCTTTTCCTTGGAAACCAATGTCTCCCCACTGCTTACTGATTCTCTCTTTCAGTGGAGTATCTGGCATCATAAGCTTCCAGAGCTATTGTATTAAAAAAAAAAAAACTTGGTCAGTTTACACCAAAAAATGCTTAAAAGAAACAACACAATATTTTAAATCATTAAGAGCAAACTTCATACACAACAGCACCTGCATTAACTTCTCTTCATGGCTGGCATCATCAGATGAGTATGGCTGCTTTCTCAACTGTTCAGCATCATAGCAAAGGTCTGTATAACCACATATCTGACTCAGGCAGATAGACATGGAGTCCACAAAACTGAAAGAGATTGGTTAAAAAATTCAATATGAGACACACTAAAACGTATCACCTTGAAAAGATCACAAAAAAATGAGTGTACATCTGCCTAATATTCAAAAGACATAAATAACAGTAACTGTCTGGAAAAAACACAACCAACCCAAAGGATAGATTCTGGAACTACAACATAGTATCAACTATATGGTTAAAAATAAAAGATAACAGGTAAATCTTTATTGAGAATACCTACTTCAGAAAGCTTTACATAAAAAATATTAATAGAGAAAAAAAAAGCTCAATAAAAATTGGCCTCTAGTCAAGATTTGTGCAGAAACTTTGGTTGAAATAGTAGACTTATTAACAAGAACCTATTAAAACCAGGAAAACCAAAAATATTTCTGGAATGATGTTGCATTGAAAGAGAAAGTGCACTAATCTGTAGGCATTAGTGGTAATTGGTTTGTGGTTTCATGGTTTACTTGAGCTTCCTGAGCTCCAATAAACCTCCAAAAATATTTCAGATGTTCACGGTTTTCTGAGTACAATCTGTGTAATTTCTTTTGTCCATACAAAAGTTTAACTGCATCACTTAGTATGAGTAAGGTCTCCTTACAATCTAAACCCACTTACACACTTTCCTGTGCCCTTCTTATCTTTTTGACTCCTATAATCAATTCCAGTGCTTCCTGGATATCCACATTTGCTGCATCCACTAAATCTGAGAGTTCCTAACAATTCGAGAACAAAGATTGAACTAGTTGATTAAAAATTACACCGTTTGCCCTGTCTTCAAAAAAAGCTACAATCTCTACACTTGTGTACACAGTAAGAAGAGAATGAAGTCAGAGATGGGTGAATTACTTAACCCCTTTACTTCCTAGATCTCTTTATCAATTCTCTTTCCTTTAACCTTCTTGTGATCTGGGCTATGAGAAATTGGAGCTTGATCAAACCATATCTCTTGACCAACATTTTTCTATCTTCTTGTCACCTTAAAGCTTCAGTGGGATGATGCAGTGATAAAAAATAAGTTGTCAAAGGGTTTAAATAGATATTAATGTTGTGGTTCAATTTTATCCTTGGTTCAAATTTTATTTTCTTTTGTTTCAAACTCATTATTGTACATTACAATACCCAAAAACAAAAGAAAATAAAATTTGAACCAAGGATAAAATTGAACCACAACATTACCATTATAACCTATTGTTTATCAATCAATAACTAACCTTGGATTTTGACTGCCTCAATGATTTTTCTGTTGAATTTAAATGACATTTAAAAGTAAAAAAGTTAGATAAATAATTCAAAAAGGTTTAAAGTATTTATTTCTTTAATTCTACTTAAGCTTGATCAAAATGAAAAAACCTAAAGACAAATAAGTTCAGGGTCTCCCATCTGAAAAATAAAGATCTGTAAGTGTATGATTAAAACAAAACCTCTCATAAGTCATGTGAAAGAGTATCCCTTATTCATCTCCAATTGAATATTCCAGAAAATTAAAGATGAAAAGAGACTCCAATTTAAATTATTTTTCTCAATTTTTATATTTTTACTTACCAACTTGGCCAGTCCTCAATGCTCCATGTCTTGTTTTGTAACAAATTCGCTGTAACTCACATTGGCCAGTAGAAAAATGAAGAATAATCTTCATCACTCGACGGTACCAAAAATAAAATGAAAGATATCTCCAGAAATCAGCCATTTTTATTATCTCTTCTGTTGATTTCTAAAAAGCAGATAAAAAAAAGAAAGTCAGTATTTCTGTTTGACTATTGTAGGAATACTGCTCCTATTTCAAAATTAATTAACTTTCCAGAAATGTTAATGAATGCGAGAGAAAAATGACACTCTCTCAAGTTAAGTTGTCTGTTGTGTACATTTTAGCCCCAGTCTAGAGTCTGAAGCTTAACAGAGTGATACTTCCTGCAAAAGCAAGATTTACCAAAAATATAAGACCCCTACAGTTTTTTGTCAAACCTAATTCAAACAAATGTAAACCATTCTTGAGACTTAGTATATAATTAAAATCTTCAATATACAAATTACATAACTTGTTGGAACTTCTATCTTTTTTAAGAGGTTTACTGTCGTACTGAGTAAACTTCAAAGACCCCAGCTTATAAGACCACTCAAGGCAGCTCTCTTTCTTTCAAGGGTCTAAGAAAATATCTATAAAACTGAGAAATATATTCAAGAAAATTACCTAACCTGTCCAAACATACCTCTGAGGATGTGTATGCTCAAAGTCCATCTTAGGTCATTGTCTACAATTCTGTGTTTTATAGTTTTTACAAATTAAAGTTGTCCACCTTAGAATAATTAAGCTTCTATGTTCAAATCAAAAGTGGAATTCTCGCATGTAAATTTTTGTTTATCCTTTGCCCAGCACGAAAGAATGAAATTGAAAGCTATCAGGTAAGTCTCCTTGACACCGACTAAACATATACAAAATAAACTATAATAATAACGCTTTATCATACCATACCACTGTTGGACATGTTGGCAAAAAAGTGTTTCCAAGATTTAGATCGAATAAATAAACAGCAAAACTGAATCAATGAGTGAATGTAAAAGTTCGGTGATGAACCGTGTCAGCCTGTAGACAGATACTTCTTCAACCGGTATGTGTCGATTAAGAATAATTGTTTTGAGGAAAGGTGTGATAAATAGGAGCTTTTGTGACATGTCTTCAAACGATGAAATGCATTTCCATCCACGCCTATACCACTAAATCTACAACGTCTCACTGGAATGCCCGGGAATCGGATCTGATCGTAATGACACATAAACAAAACCGGAACACAACAAAGACTTACTAGACAAAGCACAAAGGTAAATCGATCGTAATCATGATCAGATATCAAAATTGTTCCGGCGAGGCTTTCACGCTCACCGTATTAATTCACTAACCTGGTTCACATGAATTTAAAATCAATCCTTCATACAAAGTCTGTTCACCAGATAGTGTGCATTTAGTCATCTTTACTCACCTTAATTGGCTAGTGGAACGGGAAATATGGCGCCCGCACCAGCCCACAAATTACAGGTCGCAATCGACCGGAAAAGGTTGGCGTAATCCCAAAGTTTGAAACGGATTTACACATTCAAGACAAACCAAATTTAGAATTTTTAAACCAAAATTACTCTTTATGACGTAGATGACTTCCTATTGACGTAAACCAACCATGAAAGTAAAAATTTTGCTCGCTCTTCACCTTCTCCAGCTTCTTCACTTCCTCTTTCCCACGAGACATCACTGAACTGCTGACCAGAAACTATGACGTATAAAAAAGCGGCTCGCACCCCGCAACCTCCCAGATTGATTCCGCAAAGCAATCCAAATTTCCCACATATTTGTACTGGTAGGGGTTTGAAAAGTTAAAAGAGTTGAATAAAATTAGTCGGAAAGAAAAAAAGATACATAAAAGCGTGCACGAAGCCCGTTTCTTGAGGATGCAAATAATGACCATGAAAGCAACGACTCGAGGAGTGTTTTGAGTCGATGTCGTTTAAAATTGCAAGATTTTTCCCTAAAAGTATGTTATATTGTTCTATATGCTCAAAATTTTCTACCTATCGCTGTTTTTTTAAAAGTGTTTTATTTAAAACCCTTTGCTTCTAGCTAGCACAAAATATATCTCGAACCGAACGTGGTATGGCCATAAACGGGGTAAGTAAGTAAGTGACTTTATTTAATCAGGGTAGCTTATTCAGCAACGAGGCTGGTATCCATAGGGGCCCTGGGGAATCAAGATATGTAGAATTTATAAAATTTAAAAAAATAAGTACAATTTAAAAATTTAAAATTAGAGTGAAAATTATAAAAACTCTAAAGAACATTTAAAAGGCTAAAAAAATTCAAATATGATAAAATGTTTATAGATTTCCAGAGGATAAAGATTACAACTAAAAGTGTATTATTATCAAACTTTTAAAATTACTCAAGGAGGGGGCACTCTTAATACAAGCGGGTATTGCGTAAGTAGTGGGGGTAAGATTGACCCATCATCTCTTTGGCAAGCAGGATGACCTATCTTTTTCATCGTAGTTTTCGAAACACAGATTTGTAGGGAATACTCAAGGAAAATTTTTAAAAAATCAGATTACTTAAAACAGAGACACTCTACAACAGTCAGCAGTCATCACAGTCTGTTACGGTCCATCAGTTTTCCATGTTCTTTTCAGTTTGCAACTCTTTTTGCTTCTCTTGCTTTCACCCTATCCGCTCATTGGGTCAAAAATGGGAAATTGGAATCTAGAAGCTCAAATAAACTCATCATTTCCCCCTTTCTAGTAAAACGCCTTCATTCTGATCGACTAAGAGAAACACAGCTTACAATAACACATCGCAGATGAGACGTACTTCAGGGCAAAAAAGGGTGATAAACTGTTTCTCCGGGATTTGAATTTTGAATTTTTTATTAGCCTAAAAGCTAATAAAAACGTTCAGAAAACGGTGATTTTGATCTAATGTCGTTGTTTCGACTAAACACACAATGACATTTGCAACGTGCTTGTACGTAGCCATGAAAACGGCCGAAATAATTTGGACGTTAGGCGTAAAAATTGACGAATCGTAAAAATAGTTAAAAGTAAAAAGTTAACCGAAGTGGAGGTGGCTAGTGGCCGATTTTACCGACTCGGGTCAGCCAGCCCTCACATCTTTAACCCTAGTGGACCCGGGTAAGTATCCGAGTTGTCATCACGACCTGAAGAGTTACGAAACCATTGCACAATAACAAACCTCTACACTGTAAACACTTTAAACAGTGGGTGAGGGTGGGGACGGTGCTGTCCCCAACAATACAGCTGAATGGCGGAATTCCCCAAGGAATTGAATTGGCCCCTATCTTGTTTTGTAATCTTGTGAACAGTATGGCCTTTAATTGTAAAAATAGAGTTAAATATGTAGATGACGCTACAGTTATGGAGTTTGTCCCTAGGCTTTCTCCTTCATACTTGAATTTTACTGTGTCCGAAATTTACTCGTTTGCTTTCTCTAGGGGAATGGTTCTCAACAGCAAGAAGTGCAAAGAAATGTGCATTACGTTTTTACAGTATTGCCCGTTTTCGCCACCCCTTTAGCTGTTGGTAATTCTATAATAGAAAAGGTTTCCTGTTACAAGTTGTTGGGGGTACACTTATCAGATAACTTAACGTGGAACGAGCATGTATTTCGTATTGTAAAAAAAGGAAACAAGAGGTTATATGCAATACGTGCTCTTAAGAAGTGTGGTTTAACTGATGGGCAGCTTATCTTGGTCTACTGTAGCATCATCAGATCTGTCTTGGAGTATGCAAGTCCTGTATCGGCTGGCCTCACGCAGTACTTGAGTGATCAAATTGAGTCGGTTCAAAAGAGGGCTCTAAAAATCATTTTCCCGTTTATGAGTTGTGAGGACGCGCTTAAGAAGTCAGGCTTAATTAATCTATGCCAGAGGAGGGAGGATGCGTGCGTCACTTTCCTTAAGCGGAGTTACTACTCTTCTGACCTACTACGAAATTTAGTACCGCGATGTCAATTTTCAAGCCCATATGCCCTTAGGGCAGGAAGAACTGTGTCTGTACCTACCTCCTCAAGATCTATTAGATTTGGAAATTTTTGTACTATTAAATATCAGAATCATGTGTAATATACTTAACTGCAATTTATCTTATTACTTATAGTATTTAATGTTTACACAATATTTAATATTTATATTTAATTGATATCTAAAATATATCTATGTATGCATAATGTAGAAGTATTTGTAAATTATGACCCGCCTCGTAATAGGCCTTTTTACAGTTCGGGAGTTACTACATCACGGGCGACGAGCGGGGATAGAAAAAACGACCCAAATACGAGTGGTCAGCGGTGAAACAACTTTAATGCCTCATATATAGACAGATCATTTGTAGTATCAGGAAACAATCGTGTTGTAAAGCCGAAGTGATTCAAAAGTGTTGATTGTACATAAATCTTTTACTGCTTTAATAAACAATGAAGGCATCGGTGGCATCCGAAAGGTACCAAGAAGAATTAAATGTACGTTTTGTAGTTGCAGAAAACAATCGTGTTGTAAAGCCGAAATGTTACCAAGTTACACTTCGCTACTTAAAAAGTTAAGCAATTTTCCTCAAGCTAGATTTTCAAAGAACGATACTTTTAATGCTCTATTAACCAACGGAGGCATCGAGAAAGGCATTGGTGACACCGGGAAAGGCATCAAGAAGAATGATATTAACGTTATGTAACTTGTTGTGTGACGAAAAAAACGTATCTTGACTTGTTCAAAGCACTAATCACAGTTGGCTTCCTTTTCACTTGAATTTTGTATCCACAACCTAAGATGAGAAATTTAAAATTTTCTATCAGCTGAACTTCTTTTACTGCATATTATATCTATTCAATCGCCCCCCAATTCACGTGGAAAAAAGGCAAGTAGGAAAACACTGAGCTTCGAGAAACAGCCATGTTAAGGCTAATGTATTTACCATTCCTTAAATATTTATAATCAAGACCACTCGTTTAGGAGACCTTTTCTCAAAAGATCCACACGTGCAAATAATTCTGTTTTCCGTTCGAAATGTTTTTCTTCCTATTCAATTGAACAACTGACTTAGCGTTTAAGCCGAGAAAAAAATCACAAAGTTTGAATTCTGGGATGTTGTCCACTGTTGGCTCCATCAAGTAACGATTCTGCACCATTGACGCTCGTGAAAATCTATCTTAATTGACTACCAAGGACTGTATTTCTTGTCTTGCAAATTAAGGTCTGTACATGACATTAAGTTCATCATCTGGTTCATTGTTATAGTCAGCTTTAAAATTTAAACTCTACTTGTACTGACAAGAAGCCACCCTAAGGGCAGGTGAAATGTTGCGTAAGCGTCTCCGCGAAAGGCACATCCAGACAACTTGCATGGAAAACCTGGCCACAGCTATCTCACCCAAGCCAATCCTCTCCATCGTCGTCTTTGCAAATCTTACAGACCGCGGTATTTCTCCTATAATTGAACAAAAGATATGGGACGTCAAAGAGATCTTCGGACTGACATATGAATTCAGCCACAACCTTGTATCCCACGTTGGTATGTACACAAACGAAAAAAAGTGGAATTGCGTACCTTGTCGTTTTGTACGTGGCGTCCATCAGGGCCAGTTCACTACCATATCTTTCAAGCATTCGTTGTTGCCATGGCTCTTGATGTACAAAGAGGAAGGTTTCCTCAGGAGTTCTAGGTCTTGGTTCATCTTTTTCGTTAATGACAGCGTCTCTGGTACGATAAAAGAAGTTGCTTTTGGGAGACTTAGTTTGCCAATCTTCTATTTTTTTACCCAATGCTTCTTGGTCGTCATCGCAATACTTCACTGCTGAAATCGCCTTGGCAATGTGGTTTCGCAAGTCCTGGCGACAAGGGTAATATCGCCTATTTGTTTTCTTTTGCCTTCGTTCCTCGGGATGGCCTGAAAATAGATCCTCCCGAACATATTTATGAAGAGACCTTTGCACCTCAGAAAGGTTAGTTGTATTTTGCTTTACGAGGTCGTAGATTTTGTCAACTACACGTTTATCGACGTATTGTCCTATCGTGGACGAGTCCCCAACAGGCTGGTTGACATGGGAAGAGCTTAACGGGATCTTTACGTGGAACCGAGTCGAAGTACGGAAACTAAACCCTAAGTCACTCTTCGATTTGGCATTGATTTCTTTTAGAATAGCCTTCTTAGCCATCACCAAGCTATTATCTGATAGGAACTTTGCTTTGTCGATGAAGTAATCGTTGTACACCCGAATACATCGAATCTGCATGACTGCCGGGCAATCCAATTTTCTCGGCGAATTCTGCAAGTGTATTCTAGTTTTTCTTGCATAGTCGTGTACATTAGCGTAGTCACTCTTGCAGGTATAACTTCCTCGGGCATCCTAATTGGTACAGAAGATTTTAATACAGGTGTGTTCTACGAGAGCAAAATGAAATTACATTCTTCTCCCAGCTGCGATATCATCTGTGATTTTTACTGACTTCACTACTATTGCCAACACCCTTCCCCCTCATATTTCTTTGGGTAAATTGGCAACACCCTTCCCCCTCATATTTCTTTGGGTAAATTGGTTATGAAACATATAACTTAAAACTCCTGTAACATTTTGATCCTCGTAAAAAGAAAATTAATCAGTCCATTTGAATAAGCTTAAATTCAACCTCTTGACTCTCATTTCTCGATTGACCTCTTTTTTTACTTAAAATTCGAATGTTTACTAATCCATTTACTGTAATTGTAACCAACCTTTGAAGATCCATGTATACAATGTCGAGTTTCACTGCTAGAGATTGAAAAGGGGTGGCCAAACAACTGTATGAGGACATTTCCGCGGTTGTTTTCAAGTACGGGAGGTGCTGTCAAATGAAATCAGATAGAGTTGTTAAGCAACATGCCTTATTTCCGGTTTACGTGTAAAGGTGTCAATAAGAGCCAGACCTTTGACCCAAACTTTTGCACCAAAGCCACTGTTCGCTGTTTTTAAACCAAATAGACCTTTTAGGTAGAGATAAATGAATAAAAAAAAATAACAACAGCAATAACAAAAAACACAAAGAAACTAAAATGAAATATAAATAGGTAGTTCAGACGCAGCATCTCGCAAATCGCGTAAGACTGCCTTTGAAGAAATTTACCATAAACTCTGAAAGACGGCGATTCTTCTCAATTAAATTATCCCTGAATTAGGAGAGTCAGGATAGGAAACCGGGATCTGTGCACTTTAAAACACTGAGAGATTATATACCTGTTTGAGAAAATCTGTTGTGGTTTTTCTCTTTTGAATGGCTTTCTGTAAGTACATAACACGTGGAGTTCAATGCCTGAAATGAAACTAACAGATCATCCATCTCTGCTCTGTTTCCCTCGAAATATCCAAAACAATAATTGCCTTCAACAGAAAAGCCATTGAGATGTTCCTTCAAAAAGTCGATCTCTAAATCTCTTAACATTGTTGGCTTTTGGTCTTCATCCATGGCAAAATCTTCCAGGAAAAGCAAACTACAGTGCGAAAACCAAGTTCCTGCCAAATTTGATTGACATTTTTGACAACCGGAAATTATGATACTTTTTTTTCGTCACGCACGTCACGCAGCTAGCTACAAACCATATATATAATTATTCTTGGTGCCTTTCCGAATGCCACTGACTCCCTCTCCGAAGCCTCCATTGTTTATTAAAGCAGTAAGATATATGAGTTCAATCAACACTTTTGAAAAATTGCTTAAACTGTGAAGTAAACTGTTAACATTTCGGCTTTACAACACGATTGTCTCTGGAACAACAAATTTTATGTCTCTATATGAATTATAAAAGCTGTTTCACCGCTGACCGCTCATATTTGGGTCGTTTTTTCTATCCCCGCTCGTCGCCCGTGATGTAGTAACTCCCGTGATGTAGTAACTCCCCTGTAAAAAGGCCTATTCAGTTTCTACTGCAAGAAGGCTGAATAAACGATCAACAACACTGGAACAAACCCTCTCAGCACCTTCTCGCTGGACGAAATGGAGACAAAAGTAGCTAATTTACCACTTATGGATATGACAAGGGCAAAGACTGATCGTGAAGCGTTTGCCAAAGATCTTGTTAAAGTCATGAGTACGATTGGCTTCCTTCTTCTCGAGAATGTCGAGGGAGTCGATCCCGATGGTCTGATGGGGGCGTGCAAGTGGTTCTTTACCCAACCTCTGGAAAAGAAATTTGAGGTAACAAGGAAGAGGTGGAATAAAAGCTGCAAGAACGTGTACAGGGGATATTTTCCGACCGGAGAAGACCCTAACAATTCGAGTCATAAAGAAGCTTTCGAATGCGGCGTTACACTTCCGCTAGACGACCCCGACGTATTGAATGGTAACAGGCTGTATGAAAACCCCCAGTGGCCGATCGAAGAAGGCATTCCGTTCAAGAAAATTGTAACAACTTATTTCAAAGCGATGCACCGAGCAGCTGTAGACTTGATCCGTCTCCTGGCTCTTGGTTTGGGTTTTGATGAGCACTGTTTTGATGATATGATCGTAAAGAAGCCGTTGTCAACTCTCAGACTTCTGCACTATCCCCCTCGCGGAGGTATGCCTAGGTAGAGACCAAAATGTTGGCTAGACGGTTTTAACCCTTTAACTTCCGTGAGAGAGCACGACAGGTTTTTTTACCCTAGAATATCAATACAATATCAAGCAGACTAGTCTTCTTAACCAGAAGTGTCAAGTCTTTCCAGTAGAACACAAGTATCATATCTTTTCATATCTTTAAAGATGGAAGTGTCTAAAGACAAGGAGTTCATTTTTTCAAGCAAATAGCTCAGAAGAAAAGGTTTTCCAGGTCTAGGTTTTAAAGCTTGGTTACTTATTAGGAAGGCAGGGTTTCTGATTTTGCCTTTTATTAAAACATTGGGCTGTACATTTGAACACAACTTTGGTCCCAGGGGGAAGTTCAACTGCCCTGGAAAGGTTGCCAGGAGGGGGAGATTTTGAGGCTTCAAAACACATGATTTTTTAATGGATGCCTATGGGAAGGGGGGGTACCATTTTTGGCAGATGAGGGATCGTTTTTATCTTATATACCACAAATCGGTACAATAGTTGTGGTCACACTACAGACTTTAATTATGTAGAAATAAGTATTTGGTAACTTATGATGTTTAATTGATGTTCAAAGACATGCCATTAGTTAGGGTGCACAGAGCACTAGGTACTCCTTTGCTACCATACATTTTTGACTCCATCTCACCACTCATTTAGTGTGTTAATTCCAAATATTAATAGCAATAATTTACTTTCTCTAGATGCCATTCCCAACACCTGCATATCAAGTGATGGTAAGATTTTGACATGCGATGATCACCACGACACAGGTTTGATAACTCTTTTGGAAACATTCAACAATGGAGGCTTAGAGGTCATTGGGGAAGGTGGTGAGTGGATGGCAGTTGAGCCCAGACCTGGAACTCTGGTTGTTAATATTGGAGATCTTCTGGTCCAGTTTTGTGGAGGTCATCTAAAGGCTACACGTCATCGTGTTGTGGATATTGGAGTTGACCGATACTCTGTGCCTTTTTTTATGGAACCCAGTTACCACACTGACATAAACAGGTCTCCAGTTCTTAAGCCTCCCCCTGAGGGTACCCCTGTGCAAAAATATGGTCATTGGATGATTGAAACCATCAAACGCAAGAAGTTCATTGAATATGAAGGGTTGGATACCTCATTTAATTGGCATGAAATATAATTAACTGTCATGATTGTGCCCTGGCTAAGGATATTTAGAGACATTTGTATCACTGCATAATGTCAAGGAAGCATTTACAATGTTCATAAATTCAAACATTGATTTCATTTAATTAGAATGGATTTCATAATAATACTACATGGGAAATTAATTTTTTAAATTAATTGGTTCAGAAACTCATTACTAAGCGCAAAAATGTGGTACATGAACCAACTAGGATAGAGTCCAGGAATGAGGTTTGATCACATGAAAATAGACATTTTCTTGTTTCAGTGTAAGAGTATGAATAAGAGAGGGTGATGAATCATGGTTATGACTACATTTCTATTCAAGCGTAATGAGTTATATGCCAGTTGATTATGCAATTAAGCTCAAACCACATTTCTTTACCTATATGCCAAAAGTTCTGACTGTTTTGAGTACAGGGAAAAAAAATCAAATGCACTCTGTCTGGAATTTTTTTATAGGAACTGCATGATGTGCTCCCCAGCATCTATCACAAATTAGTGGTCAAAAATCTAAGAATTTCAAAATGTTTCCAATTTAAATAATATTTTTATACCAGAACCTTTAATGTGATGATTGTAAGGCATACAGAAAATTCATGACAGTGTAATTTAGTGTTTAATTTGTTTGTAAAGCACTGTCTGTAGACTTATCACAACAACTGAGTGAGTAGCAAATTACAATGATCATTTTTTCAAAATCTCCTGGAATTCCCAATGTAACCATCCACTAGTATATTAAATATATGAACTTGTAAGTCTGGTATTCATTCCTTCTTTTCTGAGGAAGAACAGCCAGGGTTCATTTCCCTATCAGCTGCTGGCTATGGAGCCCAGATTTGGTCATCCCTTTTGGAGAGGAGACAAAAACATTAATGGAGAAGTATTTTGTATCTTTTCTTATAACCATGTCTGTTTGTGTTTGATTTATAGAAGCAGAGAATCTTGCATGTAAAAGAGGCATGGATGCCCATCAACACACTTTGAATATTAAATGATACCTACAATGAAGGATGATATAGGCCGGACTCAAAATTTTCTTAGACAAATGATTCAGTAGGGGAAGAGTTGGCAAAGAAGCTGTTGCTGCGTCGGTAGAGGGGTATAACGAGATAATATGGTTTTATCAACTGAGGTGATAATGTCAGTTGGCCAAGGTCAAGAGTTTCCAAAGCTGACAAAGGGCCAACGCGCAAATCGTCAGCTTTAGAGCGTTATAGAGTGTTAGAGCGTACCAGCTGGGTTGATAATGTAAATTGGCTACTATAAAGAGTCTCTAAAAGCTGATTTTTCGAGCTTTAACCATTCGCTTACCCCCTTTAACGTAGCCAGTTACCCTGCTAAATGTTCGTTCTTTCCGTGTTTCCCCTTGTCTCATTCTGCTTTTTTCTTTGGTGTCGGGAATTGTTCATGTTAGTCATGTAAGCAGAAGAGCAAACGTTTCATCATCATGATATACACCTATATGCCTACAATGGAGGAATAATTCAGGGGATCTTGATTTTGTTGAAGAGTTACGTTACCTCTTATGCCGTGGATGTTACTGGCTCTGTTCAAACGTCAGTGTCCATGAATTAAAATAATTTGTTAAGAAGGGTATGTTAGAAATACCAAGAGAAGAAGCGTGATCGATCACTAAAAGGGGGTTGCGATCTAAGGCCATCTCTAAGCCGTTTTATATCCGGCGGAAGACTGAAGGAGCTTCACTGGAGTTCTGTATGATTGCGCATGACCAAAGGTACGCTCTTTCTATTAATATCTTATTGCTCCCCATACTAATTCCGGGTGCGATTATGGCTCAACGATAATGAGCTGGATTCCGGCTAAGAGGAACCGAGCTCGAGCCCTATCCGAGGCCATCCGGTGATCGTCTAAAGAGGCCGATCACAGGATTATGCCTGTGTCCGCTTCTTTTTTTTACAGTTGTATCATTTTCCTTTCCTCTAGATGTTTTATTCCGGTTTGCCCATCGTGCGTCCAGATAGCCTACTCAAAATTCTGTGTAAGCGTTGTCTCCAGCATCGATTCCGGTCTCCAAGATAGAATACTATTACCTCGTACACTCAAATTATTCAGCGCCAGCTTTCACTTTAAAATCAGATGCAACAAGAGAAACCAACAATTTCAGACACTCTCTAAAGTTTATTTTTCTTTTTGCATGTAACAGAGACTTCTACTTTGAAAATGAGGCATAAACTTCAGGCTAAGAATCCCTACATCAGGAACAGCATCTTTTTTAAATAAAATTTACAACTTTCCTGACCTGATGTTTTAATTTAAAGGCTCATCAAATGGCCAAGAGAAGCTTTCTTAACCCTTCAAAATGGCTCCCCTCATCACAGAAAATGCCCTAATTGTTCAAGTCGTCTAAAAAAATCTCGAGACGGTCGGTTACATTTCATAGAAACACTGTATTGACTATCACGAGCGAGTAAGGACCCGGGCGATCGTAACTTAATTGTTTTCCATTTTGACCGATCATGAACTCGTATCGAGTGCAATAAATGCAAAGAAACGAGAAGATATCAACTATAGATATTCTCTTGAAAGAAATATATCCCGGCGCAGATCAATCAAACTGTTATCAGGGCTTCCAGTGGTATTTCTACCGAAGTAAGCTGGAAACAAGATTTAAATACTTGCACCAAATATCGTAACATCTTTCTTGCGTCAGAAACTGAATGTCTTAATTTTTGTGTATATACAATCAGCAATGTTAACAATCGTTCCATTGTGTTTCTACAGGAGTGCAGGCTTTGTGAGTTCGACATTACAAACGCGGTCAAGAGCTGGCTCGGTGGTTCGTGCAACCAATAAGCCGAACCCTAGAGGGGCATTCGTTTTGCTGGAAATGCCTATCCTAATGTAAAAAAAGCATACACTCGTCATCTTCCTTTGATTCTACTGACTGACAAGCAAGCTGTCACGCTTTGCTACTCCTTATGAAGCAGAGAGTAGGGGTAGAGTTTAGTGTCTTGAAAGAGAATTTTGTATCAGCATTTTGAGAATTTAATTAAAATGAGTATGAGGACATAAAACTGTTGGCGTTGTCTCTTGAAAGGAGGGGCTTGTCATGAACGCAAAATAACAAATGACAAATTTACAACTCACATTGAGAGCCTCACTGTAAACCGGCTGCCCTGGCGACAGCTAGGCCAGTTTGTTTCGCTCGTTAATTATTATTATTATCATTAATTCTGGCTCGTCCAACTCTTAGATTTCATCATTTTATGCTGCTCTAGATCATCATTTTCAAGACTTTTTTTCGGTTTTGATGTAAATTATGGCCTTTTTCTCGGTATTTGATCAAGAGGCTCTAATGCCCCACTGTCTGAGTCTGTTCCACACTTGTTACTCACGTGCTATAATCCAGCCATGATCACGTGCTCCAGCAAATGACAACTTCCCTTCCTTCTGAAACCACAAGACATAAACACGAGCTTGCCCTATGATCAATAACAGACCATTGAAACTGAATTAAAAAAGGAAAAAGCCGGAACCAATACAGAAAAATGTGTTTCCAAAACCAGTATTACGGGAAGCAGTTTTAACCTTGCTCCCTTCTTTTCAACATTTTCAGTGTTTTGTCCACCAGTTCCCTGTCATATGGTTATTCAAAATTAAAGAACACCGATCGAGACTCGAGAGAAACAAATGAAGAGATTAAATATCTTAGACATTCACACCCAATTACGTTACGGTCTGGTAGAATTGTACCTAAATTTACTCTGCCATTTGATCCAATTTTCCTTGCATAGTGCATGTGCTGTTGGTCAGAGAAAAATAAATCTCCATCGACACAATGGAAATAAAATTTCGTCGTAACACCGAATAAGTGCGTATGTTCATCGCTGATGATTGACGCCCAGATAAAAATATGACAATTTTCGTGACACAGCCAAGTGCTCCAGCTAGCGCCATTAACTTTCACAAAACGACTAGATTACGAAATACATTTATTCCAATTCGTATAAGTACACAACAAATGCATGATTCTTTGGCTAACTACAGACCTCACTCAGTTGTTTAAAAGGCATTATTTGAAACGCAAAAGGTGCGTTTTTTTTTTAGTAATTGTTGACATGAGACGAACCAAATCTATGAGGGTTATGAATAAAGCTCTGAAAATTGCATATCTAAATTACACCTCGGTCTGAATATCTCAATAAAGTTAAATGTAAAGTTAATCGACGCATTTGTGATATTTTTTAGCCTTCATGGGCCGTTTGAAACGTCTTTTTATGAAACTACATTTGGTCGGAGGCCGTCGACAGAAGAAAATGAGACCCAGATTCATAAACGGTCACAAAACTGCTGATCGGATCCTTTTTATGCCAACCTGTTTAAATGCCAAACTAAATAGCTAGCTAAGACAATAATAATTTGTTTAAAAAGGCGTTAATTGAAACGTAGAATGGTTGATCGCTTGAAGTGGGATAAAAATAAACCATCCTCGCGGCGTTTTAGTAAAGAGACGCCATGTTTGATCTTATTTCACATTACGTGCTCGTTGTTTTTCTTCATTCAAATCTTTATATCCTTTGTAGATGAATGACAATCAGCGCTCTAGCAATTTGCCCAATGCAAATATTACTAAAGCCCACATGAGTACATCAAATCGTGAACGGAGCAAATAAACAATGATTAATTGATTGATTTAAATCATCAAAGCAGATCGCTTGAAACAGCTATGATATAGACTAGGCTTCGTCGGTCAAGCGGATCGCACGTATATATATATTAAGAGTCGAAATCATTCCCTTATTCCTTATGTGCCGAGAAAGAGGTTAATTCAGAAGGTCAGATAGGGTAAACTGCATTGCTTTCCATGAATGGAAAATGAAACTTATCTGAGCTTTTTAATAAAGAAGGAGAACGGAAATCCCAAAATCGTGATGCATTCTCCCTGACTGAGGTCTATTCATTAAGGGCCACATTTGGCAGCGCCTCTAAAGGTGAAAGTGAAAATTCAGGATGTGGTTAAATCCTGAGCATGCAGGCAAAATTCAGAGACTAAGAAGAAAGGAAAAAGACAGAAGCAAAGAAAGGGAGAAACCGAAAAGAAGTGAGAAAAAATATGGGCTTTTATCAGATACGTTACAGCTTGACCTCTCTTTTGTACTCAGTGGTTTCTTGTAAACGTGCTCAGCCATCGATAGCGGATCGTTCTTTTCTCTACTTCTCCAGCCACTGTCATTTCCTCTATAGTTTTACTTCCTGTTGCATTGGTGTATGTTTCCATTGACTTGGATCAATGATTCTTTCTTAACAGATAATGAAAATAACAACATTTTTTCAACGGGAAAAGCACTTACAGATCACCAAACCGCTAAACTAAATTTTTTATTTTCAACTGATCATCTGAATCGTTTTGATATATAGTCGCACTCCTAAAAACATGCAGAGAAGGACGAAAAAAAAAAGTGAAGTGGTTCGGAGTGATCGGATAGGATCGAATTTTGATCACCCCGATATTCGGTTTCGTTAGTGATCGTAATTGTCCCCATCAAATTGAGACAATTTCGGACCGTTATAAAATTTATATGGAAAAAAGCCTACTGTCCATTCAACAAAATAAACTCTTTGTTTTATTGGTTCACTAAAACTAAGAATGGGTTTCACTCTAACTTCTCGTGACCCCATTTCGAGCGATGAAAATGAAATGTTATAATTTAAAGAAGATCAGTTTTAGGTTATTTAAATATTTATTAGTTGTGTTATTTGTACTAAATTCTGTTGACAAATTGGAATATTTACTCAAATAAACTTCTATTAGGGCTCCTCGAAATGTCTGTTTCGTTAATGTTCGCTGAATACCAGATTTAAACATCATACCAAATATATCAGTTGATGAAATTTCTTTTACTTTGGAAATTCAATAGTCTCAGTCCTTTCTTTTTTCTTATATAAACCATCATTTAATCGAACCACTTGAAAATTTAAAATTTCAATCAATTTTTGAAAGTTTATTAGAAATTATAAGGTTAACTTTCGTCACGAACAATGCGATGACATCAATGCTTTTATTGTTCACCATTCATTTCCGTTTCGCAACATATTTATTTTCAAAAACTCTTGTCTTGATGGACTGTCGTGGAAACGTCACCATGTGACAGTGACATGTCTTTTATTTTTGCTCGTGACTTATGAAAGATAAATTATTGTCTTTTGTTATTTTCAACAGATCATCTTGTTTCATCGACACAGGAAGGCAGCTGGCATGTCATTAACTTTGTTTATATTTATTTTATTTGCCTTCAAGATCTTTTAATTTACTTTGCAACCAATGACAGCTGGAGAACCAAAGCTAGAATAAGCATCTCTTTGATAGAAAAAACAAACTTGTCAGGGCCCCAGCTCTTTTGACTTTGTAAACATTACGTGCAAAGCTTCCGTGATGGCTGTGAATTGCGTGTTTCCTAATTCCTTTCATCGACAGCACATCCTGCACACGGGTTACTTAACGCTTAGTATTCCTTACGTATTACTTCTCTCTGACATGGAGAACTAAGCTAAGAAGTGATAAAACCATAGGGGATCCAAAATCTTCAATGAGAACTTTCCACGTACTTGTGAAATGTCATTAATTTTTTATGCTAATGTATTTCTCACTTGTCACGTGACTCAACAAGCACCTGTACTCAGATCCCATGAGGCCAATTTGCGCAAGTTTGGTTTGTGTATGAGAATTCCACGGTAAAGTTAGGACTTCGAACCGCAGCCATGGCGGCCGCACTCGGAGTCATTTTATTTGCTTACATATGCCTAGTCTTTCTCGTTACACATAGGATATGTATGATGCAGTGCAATCCAATGTCTAGACCTGGTAAGTGGCGTAAAGTAAAGGAATAGAGGCTGTGTTGACGTTTGGTAGGATTCGTTTGTTCTCGTCGCTCCATCGTGACAACGGTAGAGTTTTACAAGTTTATGGCCAAATTATGATTGGAGTTTGTGGTTTGTAAGTCAAATACGTCTACCTGGAATATTTTTAGGTATATACCAAGGAGATATGGGCGATATGCGGTTCTCTGGGAGCCACGTACAGGTAAGCGTTCGCTGTCAAAAAGTGAAAGGTGTGATGAGCTGACGATGTTTAATGCTAAGAACTACTAGAAACTCCGAAAGATGGTCTTATCATTCTAACGTAAGTCCCACCAAAAAGTTGCTCATTAAACAGAAACCGAGATAATTTACAGCGAACCGTTTGCATCGAGTTTTCACTGCTTTGCTGAGGATGAACTTAGCTTGAACTTGATTATGGTGATGATGGTGCACTCATGTTTGAGGTCTGTCAAATTTCAGTCGTGGTTTGCACTTGGTGTAGAACCAGTAATTTTTTTTTTGTGCTCTTCGCAGGGTGATGGCTCACACCACCACAGAAGGTAGGAATATTCACTAAGACATGATCTACAGTTTAGAACACGTGTTCATCTCGATTTTTTTTGTCGCGATAAGGGTGGAAAGATCGTAGAACCAACACCCCCAGGTACTGTTAAAAGTGTCTCAGTCGCCCACGTAACACGAGGCCTCCTCCAGTTATTTTAGGATCAGTTTTGCCTTTTATTGTTTTGGTGTTTAACTAAGCAGCGAAGATGTTTACTGGGTTTATTAGGACTGCGTTCGTTCATTCCATCGCTATAATGTGCTTGTGCAAGTAAGGCTCTTGATTCGCGTTGTTGGTTTGGCAGGTTATTTAATCGACGTGACAGTATATTATCACTGCCATTACCGTTCATACACTGGGGTATAATTCTGTACTCATTCTCGATAATTTGTTTAAACAGTGATCCATTTTTTTAGAGTTCGCATCGGGGTTATTTAGACATTATTCGAGCATGATCTCCCCTAAAAATGAGTTTTAAAACGCCTTTGTTTCCGTATGAACTGGGTGATGGTTCAGTATTTGGTATTGTATCTGTCATACTGTTCCGCTATCTTGTACCGTTGTTCTTAAAGTTATTTCTCACTGTGAATTTGCTCGATTATTTCTACCGATGTAAAATACTCAGGAATATATCTAGGCGATTCAGGATGACTTTAAATCGAACAGCATGAACATAAATAGGGCAGAAACCCTTGTAGTACTTTGAGGTCAAATCTTGATATATCGCAAGTTCGCCAACAATGCACGGAAGTTTGTGAAAAATCTCTGTAATTGTCTAAAAGCTGGTTGAACCATTAACTTTAAGATATGTATTCCCACAACTTCTCAGTGTTAATTTGAGCTGTAGGAATCCCTCCGTTGGCAAGAAAATGGTAAATATGTTCACTTATTGTTATGACTGAATATTTCATATATTAATCTGTTGTGTTGCTTGATTCTTTATTTCAGAGAACAGCCCAATATTAGGCATATTCGCTTCGAGCCATCATACTTAGATTTTTATGAACAGTAAGTTCTTCTGTTAACAATTATTTTAAATTTCCAATAGTATTTTTTGAATAAACGTTGTGAAAATGAAACTGTATAACGATATGTCACACACTTGGCATGTGATAGATTTGACAGCTCACACCTATTTAAATTCCACTGTACGTAAATAATATGCAGCGAGAGTGCCCATCTCGTTACTGAAACTTTGAACTTTGAATCTTAGTGCAATCTCAAATTTTCTTGGTCTGAAAGTGTATGAAAAATCAGTTCTATGAATGTCAATGTCTTATCTATGTTATTTGCTCCTGGTCTATGGGCATTTAAATAGTATGGTCTGGTCTGAATGTGTTTATTATTATTTGTATTGAAGAAAAGTTGGTTCTCTTTGAATATTTAATGAATTTAATTTAGTTGCATCAGCAATATCTAAGATATATATTTTTTTTCAATCGTAACTTCACCGAGTAACGGGCTAACAAACATGTGGCAAGAATTATGTTAAAGGAATTACACCTCTTTTTTTTTTTTTTTTTTCCTGAGTCAAGAGTGTTATCTGTATATTGCTCTTTTCTGTTGAGTGTACCAATAATAGTAGAGTTGACAACCAGTATTGAAGAAAACTATGCAATGATGAAATCGGTGCTTTAATATTTTACTTTCTAAAGTTACTTAAGGCTTCTACAATGTATTGATGAAGTTGTTCACAAAACTGTCTGAAAGACTTGTTTGGCATGATGAGTCAGAATCATACAAAACAATGGGGTTGTGCTTAAGCAGAATCTTAGTACTGAAGACAACTGATTTTTGGTTTTAGTGGTGAATTAAATTATATACATACATATATATATATATTGGTACTTTTATGAAAGCTTGGTGAGATATCTGGGTCAAGAACCCTTAGGCACCCCGTTGTTTCTTCTATGAGCACAGCATTTAAATTTATGGTTGCTGTTTTTTTAACTGAGATTTGGAGATTTTTAGAGTCTGCAGTCTAAAAGATGAAATCCTACTTTGGTATGTTTGTCTCACAGGTGTGAGAGAAGAAACTAGTCATCATGATGATAGCTTGCAATCTCCTATTTACACCCAATATAGTGTAATTAAGGCTTGTTTGGTTTCTGGAGAGGCCTTAACTCGTTTATGTAATCTGTCATTTCAGATCAGTGGGTATGCCAAGTATACGAACAGTATCTGTTATAAACCCGCACACAGAGCAGAATCTTCAACTGCAATCTATATCTGGTAGCACTTCACATTTTCATGCTTCCTTTTTTCAATCAAAAGTAAGTTATTACTAAATCTAGACACCATAGTTATTGCATTATTGCAAAAACCTGCTCATAAATTTCTCAAAGTTTGTTTTAAACAATGCTGTTGTTTTTTATTTTCCCTTCAGGTAGTTTACCCTTTAGGAAATACCACATTTGAAATAGTGTTTCTAGCAAGACTAGTTGGAAATGTAGAAAACACTTTATTTATTCACACCTCCAAAGGAGTTTATCCTTATCAGGTATTATACTCTATATGTTGGTTATTCACATCAGTAATCCTTTATAAGTAACCATAGTTATGACAGTCTCAAAAGTTATGGAAGGTCCCTACTGGTAGCTTTTCAAGGGATTTTTACTAAGATCCTTGAAAAGTGTGGCCTCTATTCATCAAAGAACTTAGGTTCAATGTTACTGCTTGGGGAAGAAAATCCTTCATATCTAAGAGCCAAGTTGGGTGGTGTTCTGAGCAATAATCATGATTTATTTCCATAACAACAAACATCTGTCTGGGATGAGCATTAAGTGGGTCTCTCAAGTCTTGCTGTAATCCTCATTACATTGAAATCCTTTGAAAACATTGATTACAATGGAAGTTTGGTTAAATAAATAAGTATATGCATATATTTTTTGTAATGTGCTCATTTACTATTATTTCAGGTATTTGGTGTGGGACTTCCAAATCCATACAGATTGCGTCCTTTCCTAGGAGCAAGAGTTCCATTAAATTATAGTTTTTCTACAATTATTAATATGCATAATCCATATGACTCACCTTTACAGGTAACTACATGTAGAGTCTGGCAGTTTTATGTTTAATGAAGTTAGTTTGAGCAACAATGAACACACTGGAAAAGTTTGTAAATCACTTGCCTCCAGCCTATGATTTACAACTTTTCCTGTGTTCTTCCAACATCCCATGTGGGTTAGTACAGCTATTGCTTTAATAAACAACTTCAATTTTCTATGGGTTTATCAGTGGAATAAATGATAAGTTTTTGATCAATTAACCCTTTAACTCCCAAGATCTCATGAGTAATTCTCCTTACTGTCTGTTATATGGTTCTTCTGAAGTTAGTTTGGAGAATTTGGTATTGGATCAACTAATAATTCCCTTATTCATATTTTTCTTTATTCTCGTCACTTGTCTACTTGATATTGTATTGATATTGTAAAGAGAAATTCTGTCTTGGTCACTCATGGGAGTTAAAGGGTTAGGATGCTTGCAGTTTCTCAGTTATTTTATAAACAGGTGTATACTTCCTTAAAATTTGAGTACATCAGGAATGAAATGTACAAAGATTAGGAAAATTATTTTATAAGGTCTCCTTTTTTTATGGGGAACTTCCTTATTTTGGAGGTGACTAGATTTTTTTTGGTCACTGTGTGGGAAATGAGAAATTTATTAAAAAATCTGCCCTAGGTATATCCTTGTTGCATGTAAATGGGTTTAGGTTTTGGGTTTTTAAGTCAGGAGCCTGATATGTGACCAATGGACAAAACTTCTTGTTAGTTATATTAAAAAAATTAGTATTTATTTATTTATTCATTTTTATTACTTTATCCTCTTCTATTGTATTGTTTGTCATAGGTAATAGAGATGTACTCTAGTGGTGGTGATTTGCATTTAGAACTTCCTTCTGGTTTGGAGGAAGCACCACAAAAACACTGGGTATGTGTGATAAACTGCCTCACCTCTGCTAGGATTTTATAAAATGTTGGTTTTCTTTTCATATAATTAAGATGAGTTCATCTGACAGTATTGAGTACATTTTCCTAAAGAACATTGTGATCATGTGTCTTCCTATAGGAAATTCCACCCTACGAAACTAAAGCACTTATGCGAGTTAGCTTTGTTGGAAGAGTAGCTTCAAATCACACAGCATTTATTCGTATTAAAGCAAGTCAACCAGCACCTATTCAGGAGCTTCTAATTTTACCTGTAGAAGTAGAAGTTACATCAGGTACAACATTATCTATGTCTTCTTAAAATATTGATGAGAATCTTGGGTTCTTTTATATATATATAGATGAATGTGGGGGTAGAGTCTACCTTGGCATAAAGTGCTCAATGCTGTGGTAGCAGAGCTAAGTATACATAAGTTAAAGAATTAAAGAGGACGCATCGATTCTCTGTGATTCTAAGTTTCATGCCTAAGTGCTTGTCAGACAGAAAGTTCTGTCTGATGAGTGCTTAGGCACAAAACTCAGAGTCGCAGAGAATCAATGCTTCCTCTTTAATTCTTTAACTTATGTATGTATATATATATATATATATATATATATATATATATATATATATATATATATATATATATATATATATAGTGTTACCAAATGGTAGCTTTCACTTTTAACTCTTTCACTCTCTGGATCTAATTGACATTTTGTTTTGTCCGATAAACATTACTCATTATTTCAACTCTGAAAATTTGTTGTTTTATCAAGCATCCTTAGCTGATATTCATTCTCTTCTCATCACCCATCTGCTTTAAACTGTGTTTGTATAGTAAGGAGAAATTACAACCCCTGCCTTGGACAGAAGTTAGTACTTACAGACAATGTTTTCCCCTACAGCTCCTGGCTTGTTCTCCTCCACTGACATGTTAGACTTTGGAACTCTTAGAACAATGGGTAAGTCAGTGTTTGATACTTGGTGAATGCATTTTTTATTATCATATTTGTAACTGTTAAAAGAAAGAAAATAGACTGGAAAAAATTTACTCGCATGTAGCTCAAACAAAATCTCTCAAAAACTGATTTTTTTTTAGAACAATTAAGTGTTGGGGGGACTGAAAGGTTGTTCAGTAAGATCAGTGAGATACTATTTCTTCATATGTGGTGACATGAAGTGATTTTTCTTTTTTTTTTCCACAGATGAGCCTAAAAGTATTGGATTGTATCTTTTAAATGCTGGTCACAAGCAAGTTCATATATCGGTATTAAAGCAGCTTTTACTATCATTTGTTTAACCAAGCAAATTCAAATACTTTAGTCCTTGCCATATTCTTTGTCTTAATAATTTTTATCCTTTTTTCAGACAATATCTGTAGAACCAACAAACAGTGCACTGTCCATAAATTTCACTGTAAGTACTAACCGGTCATGACCTTTTTGTCAAAAAGTCCTAAGCAAAAAGTCAACAATATTTGCTAATAATTTGGTTTATTAACTGGGTTAATGATGTAAACTGGCCTCAGTAAAGCAAAAGATATCTTCTGAGCCTTCGATATTATTGAGCAGTAAATCGAGTCAAGCACCAACACTTTTATCTTGAATTATTTTCCTCATGATCAATTTATGTAGACTATGCTGTAACTCTAGGAATGTAGTAAGGAGATTGTTGGTTTATAGAGTCGTTTTTTTGATACTTAGCCCATACTCTTGAAGCCAGGATCAAAATACATTAAAGTCGCAACTGCAACTTATTCTGGTAAGATAGCAACAATTTAAAATTAGTCATTGAGTGCATGCTTCATTGATGATCCCGAGTATATTGTTATTGCTTGTAAAGGATAAGTTATTTTGGAAAGTTTATACAACTAGCTGAATTTAAAATAAGCCGCGAGCTATCCTAAATGCTTACAAATAAGGGTCTTAATGCAGCAGGCAATGCAAATTCATTTTTAACATTATTTTATTTTCTTGTAACAGCTTTCCATGTTAAAAGGAGTAGACAAACAACCGGAAAGGTTATTATAAAAACGAACAGCAAAATCTCTCCTAGATTAGAGATCCCTTATCAAGTTAATATACTTCAAGGGTAAGTTAAAAAAGTTATGTTGAAATATAGCAGTGAACTCTTACCTGCCTATATGGGATTTTAAGACTTAAGCCAGTGAAGAGGTGATGAAATTTATAGAAACCTATTAGCTAGGTGTTATCTGCAACTAAATGTTTCCAGGTTGAATTGAAAATTATTTATTATATCTTCAATTGTTAAATCAGTGAAGCATGTTTTGTTGCTTTAGGTTTACAGAAAAATGTAGTTTAGGGCTGAACAATGAAATTTTGAGGTGTTCCAACTGATTTGAGTCCTAAACCTTTCATATTTGATGCCTTTAAAAATAGAAATATTCCATATATGTTTTAGTTGTCTACCTTTCCTTCATGTAATGGTGGCCTCCCAGAACCTTTGCCTTTCATACTAAAACATATTTTAATGTGCTTTTATTGCTCTCTCTGTTAAATTTCAGGACCATAGCATATTCTGTTAGCAAGACAAGATTCTTTGTAGGGAAACCTCCTTTTGATCCAGTTTCAAGGGAACTCCCAATCACAAACACATTTAGTTTTACAATGGTTATTTATGATGCAGCCTTTCCTGCCGAGATGGAAAATATATTTTCTGTAAGTTTAAGTATCCTTTTGCTTTCACAAAGAAATATACAAAATCAACAGAAATAATTTGTTTAACACATAAACATATTTTTCATACAGATTGTAAATTTTACCAAGCCAGCCATGATACCACCACAAAGCACAGTGACACCATTCTATGTCCAGTTCCTTGCCAATGGCTCCGATATGGCTTTTTCTACTATTCTTAGAGTGTACACAAATGCTTCTATTTTTACTGTACCCATTCACTGTTATGATGGCAAGCTCAAGGTCAGTAGAGTTTGTGGTTAGTTTCTTACAAATAAATACTTTTCCTTGGGTTTCATATAGAAATCACCACTAGCTGCAATACCAGTAATATGTACATTTAGATTAAAAACTGAATTTACTGATTTGAAAGGAATTTGTGTTAATCTAATCCTTGCTTATATATATGGACAGATAGATAATTAGACAGGTGTAAAATCAGTGACTGACTGAATGACTGATGGACTGACAGACAGACTAACTGTCAGACTGACTAACTGACTGAAAGATTGACATACTGAGCAACAGACTAACTGGCATACTGACTGACTGACTGACCAACTGACTGACAGACAGAAAGAATGATAGACAAATGGATGTAGAGGAGAGAAAGACCAATATAAAGATGGATAGTCATTTAGTCAGACAGACAGGCAGGCCAACAGACATACCAGAATGGAGAGATAAGCAGATAGTCTGGTTCACTGAAAGCTGGATAGCCTGTTCATTAGAGGCATTCATGTGATTTGTCCCTGTCATTACAAAAGAGATTACAGATCACCAAGAACATAAGTATTCTAGTTTTCCTGAAGTTTTGACATTTGCTTGGTCTTTCTGTTGCAGTATGGTGTAGATGGCTTGGAGGAAGATGTAGTTGATTATGGCACTGTAGGAACTGGGGAGAATAGAACAAAACTCCTCAAAATCATCAACAATAATCCAATAGAGGTATAACAGGACTTAGAACTGATCTTCTACCAATAATATCTTAAATGTGACAGGTCCAAGGTTCAACACTGTGTCCCTCATATGGCCTCTCTCCAACCCAGGCTATTATTGTGTCATTCAGCATAAGAAATCTGTGGTTAACCCTCTACTCCTTAATGTCAGTATGAATATTCTCCATACTACTCCTGAGACATTTCCAAGGGTTCTGACAAGGAGAATTTGTTCAACAATCAAGAGTTTCTTTGGTTGGTGATCAACTCTGTTATTCTCATGACCTAATGTTTGATTCAAGGGTGATTTTGTTAGGAGAAATTTGATGTTATTCACTCATGGGAGTTAAAGGGTTAAAACCACTGGGAAATATTACATTGTAAGGGTAATTAAGATTTGTTTGTATTTTCCTCAGGTCACTATTTACAGAATAGAATGTAATATCCAGTTTGCAAGATTAAAACTATTAGTGATCAAATCTAGTAATGACAGCAAGTTATTTAAAGGGAATCAAAGCTTATCAAATACAATGGATCAGCCTGTCAATGGAGAGGCAGAGGATGACAAGGTAAAAAGAGCAGAATGTCTTTTTTTGTCACCATGGCTAACTGCATAAGGATTTCAAAAGTGATATGCATGGTTGTATTACTTTCACTTTTTCTTGATTTCAGGTGCACATTAAACCTGGCTTTATGGCATATTTTAGTGTAGAGGCTGCTGTACCCAAGAGAGAGGGACAGTATATTGGAGAAATAGAAATGGAAACAGATTATGAGGTGAGAGGATCATTTGTTAAACCCCTTTAATGTAATTTTTTAAATTGAGATTACACTGCCTTTCTTAGAATGTTGAGTAAGAAATGACATCCTGTTTTCAACTTTACAGACATTACATATTCCTCTTCACTTAAAGTCAATGGATGGAAAAATAGTTTCTGCTCCAGCATCTGTAGTTTTTCAGCCTGGGTTTCCAGTGAGTAACAAGCTTTTTGTTGTGCACCAAAATAGAAATTAAAGCAGTTTTAGATAGTGGCAATTTTTATCAGTGATTGGTAATTAGCTAGCTTGCCACTTGTCAGCAACAAGATTCTAAGTGGAAAATACAGTTAATTTTGATTGAGCATGGTGACACCAAAACCAATTAAATTACTACTGTAAATCAGAAGAAAAATGCCACAAGGAATTGCAGAAATCAAAATAAAAACATGCTAAAGGAACTGCAAATGGACTAACCATGGTTGCTGATTTTTTGTTTGTTTGTTTTTTCTCTGGGTCTTTGAGCCATGGCACAAGTTGATAGGTCAATCATGGAGCAGAGATGAGCCAGAACATTTCAATCCTGTTTACTTTCAAGGTTTCGGGTTTCTGTTTTTCTGAGTTCTAAACCTATCGCATATTCTTGTTTTTCAGGGTCAAATTGTAAATTACACTCTCACTCTGCTTAGTTCATTTTCCAATACCTTGAAGCTAGAATCTGTGAAGCCTCATCTTTTTAGTGATCAATTTTCATTCGAGCCTGTGACTTCTGAGGTTCAATTACTTCCCAATGAGAGAGTTGAGGTTAGTATATTTTCTGTATAAGATAATATAACTAATTATATCAAAGGCACAGAAATCTATAGAGGCACAAATTTTCAATGAAGACAGCAGTTATTTAAAAAGTTGAGGATGTGCATTTGGTAGATTTGTGTTGGTTTTGTCGTTAGTTGCCTTAGTGAAAATTTCCCACTTTTTCTCAGGTTGGACAGTTATATTATGATCCTTCAAAAGGTTGTAAAAACCTCTGCCACACTGGAATACACTCAAGTAAGACATAAAATGACATTTCTTTGCCTCCAAGGTTTAATTTCCTTGATTAAAAAAGCATTTTTTCTCTGGGAAATGCGACAAAGAAGTAAAGAGCATGGCACTTTGTCTCAAGATGTGGTAAAAATGAAACTTTTAGAATCTCCCAACTAGCGCTATCAGTCGTAAGTTAGGATCAGTAAAATGAATCCTTATATTGCTTTTAGTAGAGTCTGAAAGGTGTTGTTTGTTATGCAGGTGAACAGTGGTTATCGAGTTTTTCGTTACCCTCCAACGTTGGGGAAATTGACAGTCAGCTCATAGAGAGGAACCAAAAGTTGTTCTCTTCGTTAGAACGGTCAGGAAAGACTAGGCAAGTCTCTCTACTTTTGGCTTACGGTGTTACATTATGTATATCTTTGTGTTTCCGTGTTTTGGGTTTGAATTTTTTTTAGATTTTTTCTTCTTAGAGACCCTTTGCTCGCGGTAACAGACTAGAGCACAATTTTTAATATTATATCTTGCTCTCTTGCCTTTGTTTTTGCAGATTAAATTTATCATTCATAATAGATACAGATGTTGTTAAGGGATTCCAAATCCCAGCACAAGCCAGTCTTTCATGGCCGTCGTTTTCATCAGACAAACCAGTCAAGTTTCCTCTAACACACCTTGGTAACGTCTCAGTCAAATTCTTCACGCTGGAGAATCCAGCAGATGTTCCTGTCTTGGCACAGATTGTGCCTTTTTCGCTTTATCCGCAAGGTGTATGGGATATTTTAACTGATAGGTAAATGACAAAATGATACAATATTATAGATCTTTTTTGCCATTTTTTTTTAATGAAGAAGTGTCGAAAGTTATTTATGTTTGCATTGGTTTCTCGTCACGATGATCTCTGATTGGTTGAAACGATAATTTGCAACATCCCTCCAAACCAATTACACGGGAAGGTAAAAGGTCGTGTTGGTCACACACAGTTCCCCGCGCTCGAGGCCGGTTTTCTTTGCGAGTACTTTTAGTTTCTCCATAACGTAACAAATTGATCTTTGTTTCGATTGGTCGTTGAGACCAATTATCATGTCTCGATATTCGCTGAGGTTGTGGAGAAAAATTATTTTAAAGAGATTACAGGGGTTATTGCCAACGGATTTTTCCCTATATTTCTCTTGAGCGATGACACAAAAACGGACGGCGTTAAGTTGAAAATTAGCGCTTCAGTTTAGTTAGCACCATGCGCTGGGAAACCTTCGGGGTGATTGCACCAAGATATGTTGTAATCTCCCACCAATCAGAGCGCGGGCATCTCTGGAATCGTTTCAACAATTTATAAGTAAGTCTGATAGTCCGGGTGAGGATATTATCGAGTCTTCTCGGTGACAGTGGCGACGTTTCTACCAACTGAGAGGGTGTCATCGTACGTATTATTGGCCGTTAGGCGAAAACTGATTTGTTGGTATAGCTGTGGTGTTACTGAAATTCATTCAGTGCTAGTAGTAAGCGGTAGACTCTGATTTACGCAACTGCAATCACATCGTTTTTTTTTCCTTGTTTATTCATAGGTTTGATACAGAAACATATGGATTTGATCCAGATGAAACGACCTTCTCTGTGCCCTCACATGAGGTATACTGCTTTCTGTCTCTGTCATTTAACACGTAGAGGTCATTTGTAAGGAATGAATCAGCTTTTTCGAAACTTTAACTCTGTCATGGGTAAAACTAGAGTATCACCTTTACTAGAAGACGAGTTAAAATTTACGGCCTGTTTTTAGGACTACTTGTCAACTCTGGGAAGTGAAATAGCTCACGCGTCCGGTACGTTGTTGACTATTCTCAAGCCCCGCGCGGTCGTCAGGATTCCAGTGCTGTTTCAACCCAAAGATGAACGACTCAAAACATCTGTGGTCCTCATCAGGTAGACACCACCCTTTTTCTTTAATTGCTGAGACGTAAGACCCAGCTTCGTTAGCGATTTATTTAAATTGAAACCTATTATTTCAAATTATTGTTGCGAAAGATGCAAAAAGATTCTTCTTCGGGAAGTAGAGATGGCATAGTGGTGTGATAACTCACCTCCATCGCTGTTTCCCGGTTTCTGTTCGTAAATTTGGTGTCGCATTTGGGTCGAGTTTGTAATTGATTGATTTTCGCCTATTCCTCTACGGTTTTTTTTTCTGTGGGTTTGCGGCTTTTTTTTTCCGTCCACGAGAAACAGCTTTTCAAATTCTAATTCGATCTTGAAATAGTGAACGAGAAGCCACCTTATTAATATATCACTACTAAGGTTATTTTCAGTTTTATTTCGCCCGTTGTAAGACAGGTCGCACTCGACAACCATCTTCATTGAATAATGACTTGCTTCTTTTATTACTTGCATAAACCAGAGGTAGTCGAGGGGACCACTTTGATCCTCTACTTACGCTGCACAAAATTATTGTCGTATACTAGAGGTCATTTTTTTCATTTTTTTGAATTTATGATTTATTGTTTATCTATGTTTGTTACTTATTTATTTACGGATGTTTCTAGGAACAATCTTACGGTTTTGGATGGAATAGTGGTTCAAGGTCAAGGAGCCCGGGGAGAGTTCACTTTGAATGGCAAGAGGCCTGGGTCCCAAAGCACTCTCTTGTTTGAAATTAAGCCGAGTCAGTTGACAGATTGTCATAGTAAGTCACTTTGTACTGTTAACACATCCACAGGCAGTTTTGCCCGCAAGGCAGTCTCTTGTATTTCCTTTCAGAAAGCGCGATAAGCGTGAGTCGGGGCCCAAGACCTTCGGTAGTCTTCCCTATTTACATTTAAGAATTTTGATATAGAAACTTTGAAAGTAACACAAAAAAACGAGGAACGAAACGGAACAAGCAGGTTTTTGAGCTAAGAGCCGCACAAATATTCTTAAGATTTCGCGAAGAAACTTTGTTCACTGCCTAGGAATCTGATTGCAAGTGTATGAAATAGATCTGTTTCTTATATCAGAAGCTGCTCCTCGAACCCGATCCCTGCAGCCCTTATCAGTAATGAAGACAGTTACAGCAACAAATCCTGGTCAGCTCTCCATGTTCATCAGTTCACTCAGTATCAATGGCTACGAGTGTGAAGGATACGGTTTTAAAATCATGAACTGCAAGTCATTCATCCTCAAACCAAACACATCACGCAAGATTGAAATCACGTAAGCAATGATCATTTTTTTGGACGCGAAATTTCGCAAGTTCTTGACAGAAAGCAAACCGTCAGGTGCACAATAAAACTTGTTTTGTTTACCAAAGATAATAGAAACCTGGTTATACTGCCTTACATAAGACTGATTAAGTCTCTTTGTACTGCATATTTCGGTAGTGAACACAAGAAGGCAGTCATGTTATGAAGTTAGTTAAAAAAATATTGTAGACGAGAAAAAAGCAACTTAGTTTGCTGATCCAGCGGAGCCATCTCCCCCTATCTGTTTCGTGCTTTAACTACATCCATTTGAAATGGTTGTAAAAAGGGAGATCTCTATTCAAGAAAGAGCAATTTTGTTTTTCAGGTTTACGCCAGATTTTTCAATGTCGAGAGTAACTCGGAAATTAGAAGTGAAAACCACCGTCGGTCCAGTAATGGAATTCACTCTGGTTGCGACAATTCCAACCCACCTCCTTCCTCTGTGTTCTTCGGCTTTGGGCCGCAATTCCTGGGAACCTGTGGTCCAAATCGTGGCTGTTGTCCTCATGGGTGTGGTCTTCTTAGCTGTCATGATTGCCGCTTACGCTGAGGCGCGCAGGCTCGTGTTCCTCTCGCATCCTGAAATGCAACTACTGCAGATGAAACAAGAAGAGCGAGGGCCGATATTTGATTTGAATGCCATCGCTGGAGTTAAGAAGAACAAGTGAGTTAAGGTCATCTTTGTAATGTTAATGAGAGCCTTCTCTGATCTTTACTTACAGAATTGGACTCTCATTACAATTTAAATAGACATGAAAATATACGGGTAATGAGATTACAAATTTGATTCTGACATACATGTGGAAAGAGGTTGTTTTGCACTCCCTAAAATGAACAAGAATTGGAGATTTCCAACATATGCGATGTTTGACCATCTATTTTGGCGATTATCAAAAGGCGATCGGAAAACGTGACGATTTTTGTGAGTTGTCTTTATCTTTCCGGTACTTGCGGACAGGGATGTTCTACACAGTTAAGATTTCGTTAAAATATGAACGAAAAAATACCAAATCCCTGAAAAATATCAAACCCCTTATTACGATAAAGTCTTCTAACTCGCCTTGTGTCCGCAGAATTCCAGCCAGAGAGGAACAATCAGTGAGTCAAAAGAGGACCAGACGCGATCAGCAGCGAGAAAGCAGAGAAACAACACCTGTGTCAAGTGAGAGGCCATCTGGTTGTGACAGCGTGACAACCAGCTTGGCGAATACTTTACCAACAAATAATAATATCAAAACTGTTACAGCCAGTACGTCACGGCAAGAGAATAACGGAATGAGAAATAGAAATACGAGGACTGAAGTTGCAGCGGTGAAAATCCAGCCGAATGCGACAGAAAACGCGGATACTCGTGCCATCAAGGTATCTAGTCTTCCTCTAGAAATCAAAACGTGTTCTGTGGGAAAAGACAATAAACCTAAAGGTACTGTGGATAATCGAGGTAAGGGTTTGGCAGAAACGGTGGCAAATGTAACGCGGAAGGTCGTTGAACCGAAGAAATCCGAACAGAGAGTAAGCGATGAAAATAAGAAAACAGAACCAAAGAGTAAATCAATTCCTGAGGGTTTCAATGATGAAATTATCAGTGTGGTAATCCCTAACAAATGCGAATCACCGCCCAAAAGAGACTCTAAGGAGTCGAAAGGAAAGCAGAAACGAAAAACCAAACCTGTCAGCAAGAAAGAGGGAAAAGAAAAGAGGGTAAAGGCGAAGGAAAATACTGCAGCCAAAGGGAAGGACGATGAAGGTGTGTTGTCAGATGATAGCTGCAGTGATGGCTCTTCAGACAAGTCTGTACCTGAGGTTAAAATACAACAGCCTTCAAACGACATCAACAGAACACGGAATGGTAATCTGCCGCTGGACACACAACTGAAAGAACAACAGCAGAACAATTCCAAGCAGCCGAACCATACAGGTGAATCATTCCAAGACACCTCAAGGGACAGAGCGAAGGGACGTAAAAACCAAGTTACTCCGGAAAATGCAAATAGTAAGGGCAAGAAAGAAACACAACTAGCGACTGGAACTGCTCGACCTAAGGTCCTGGAGGTTCAAGGGAAGAGTCAGTGCAACGCACACAGCAGCAAGATCCAGAGTAATACATGCAGTCCTGTCAGTCCAACATCTCCCCACGCCATCGCCGCTGCAGTCGTTTCAGCACTCAATAAGAACATGCAGGCATCCTCTAAAGAGAATAACTATGACGAGCAGGAGCCAAACAAGAGGAAGGCGTACACCAAAACGTCTACCCTATCATCAAGTTTGTCGGATTCTCCACCTCCAACCTCTCCAACCCTGCTGAGCGGAAGCAGCCGGAGCAGCAGCTATAGCAGCATTGTCAGCAGTGATAGTTCAAACGGTGTGGAGCAAGTGAAGTCCTCAGTGTTGAAAGGAAACAAGTCACGTGTCAAAAGTACCAAATCGGCTTCTTTGGAGGCTGGTGTCGGTCCACCGTGGTCTTCGACAGGTATGATTAACTGTCTAGCTCGAGTTTTAAGAGTTTTTCTTCACCAAAAAAGTTATTTGAATTCTGCGAATCAGCTTCGATTGTGAGATTTCAGTATCTTTGATATTATCAACTCCGTGGGTTCCCAGCAAAATTTGGTTAGATGGTTACTATGACAGGAAGTAAAACCTCCAGGGACCAAATTTGAAGTAAATAGCTTCACTTTGATTTACCAGTGTTAACATCCTCACCTTATTTAACTGGTCATACTGTTTCTTTCTCTTATAACTAATTTGCAGGCTCCAGAAAGTCTAGCAAATCTGGCGAAGACCTTGGCTTGTCCGGTCTGAGGCGAAACCCTTGGTCCACGTCTGTTGATTCACATTTGACCCCGCGTGGCCCGGTCGGAGAGAGACCTGACAGGATGGCACCATCCTCGCACTTCATGCCTCAACACAGGCCATCTCTTTTGGATAGTCAGTCATATAACCGAAGAGGTTTAAAGAAACAAGCATCTGTTGGAGAAGAGAAGGCTCGTCCGTTGGACCTAGGTGATTTTGGACTGTCCGATAACAGTGCCACACGCAATCGAGGCCTCTCTGCCGAACATCGTCCCTATTGGAACAGTAGTGAGCAATGCTACCACAACCGCGACAGTCTCTTCAGCTCTTGCTCTCGTTCTTCGGAGGACCAGTTTCCTGGAAAGAGCTCCCGACTGTCCAACAACTGGGTAAACTTCCTAGATGCTAGCAATACCAACAGCGGCGTAGTGTCCAGTAATAAGACCATGGCTGAGATATGGGATGTAGGCAACTCCCCTCAAGACAGTGATGGATGGTCCGTATACAGGCCACCAACCTCGTCTCCCGGGCAGCCTCTAAGCTCTGAAGCAGATGCTGTGGATGCGTTATTTAGTCATATGCCAAACTGGTCTGGCGAAGGAGCTGTCGTGGGACCAGAGTCACCGTTCAGCACCCAGGAAGTTACTTGGACCCCACCGCCTGACGTCTCTTCCATCTGGAGCGGTGGATACCTTGGATCAGCTTCTACTGCAGAGTCCTTGCCTACTTCAACTGCGGTTTCTTTCGCCTCCTACTCAGTGCAGCTACAGTCCAACCAAGATTCAACACCAACTTTTGATCCTTTGGGTTCTCTTGGAGGCGGCATCTGGGACCCCAGTAGCAAAGCTTCAACTTGGTCCTCCACATCAGAATGATTGAACGCCATTCGTAAGAGTCTCCTTTGCAACGATTTAAAGAATATGTTGATTTGACTTTGTCACGTTAAACTCCTTTTGTTTCCTAAGGAATCTTTTTTGACAAAAGTTTTCAGAGGATTTGTTTCTTTCCTGTTAAAAGCAGCTGCGTCACAGTTTTTGTATCTTGTAAACTTTATCCTAAATTTTTCCAGTTCGTCTTTTGGAATCGGTTTAAGTCAAGTACCTTCGTGCTTTGTTATTTCCTCTGTTGTGTTTTATCTCACCGAATTAATATTTTTGTAGCTTCCTTCAAGTTGAAGGTAGTTCCATATGTTTCGAAAAATGATTCAAAAATCTTGACGCGGCTGTTTGAGATCTACTTCGACATTTTCCTCTATTTAAACAGACGTCATTTCTTTCCTGTTATTTTTAAATATCTTCCCGTTCCGTTTGTCTGAAATTAGGGATTTTCGAAGGCGTTTCTAAACACTTGAGAGTAATTTCTTCTTTTCTTCAAACTGTTAGGGTTTATCTTTAAAGTAACTTACTTTGACTCATATTGAGAAATTGAATTTCACGAACAGACAGAAAAAGGAGGATCAAGGCAAAGGATAAGATCTCGTTTTTCTATTGGTTGGCGTTTGTTGATTCTGAGGTGATTATCACTTGCGAGGAGCCTTTACACTTGGTACGTGTTTCGTCCACTTAAGTTCCCTAGAGGGGTGTTGTGGTAACGATTGGGAATCCTTTCTTTTTTTTCCTGGATGATCTGCATGGCTGTTGACAAAGTGATAGGTGGATAGGGTGTACACGTTTGATTTTATCACATAAAATAGTTGGTGTCCTGGCGCTTTCCAACGGGTTTCCAGGTTGCTCCAAAGTGTCCCTGTGTGTTTCAAAACGGGGTGTGCCACCGACAGAGTTTTCCGGCTGGCGTAAGTTGCATGCGGGTTCATTAGCTTGTAACTGTTGGGTACAGGAAAATGATGCTGGCTTCATTTGTTCATCATTTCGTCCACCGAAAAGTGAGCAGTTCAAAAAACGTTTATTACATCTCAAGTCAGTTGCATTTCTATGCTTATTCCGAACCAGCGTAACCCGAGTACCAGGCCTTCCTCTTCTCTGCCTGTTTGGGTTGGCGAAGAGGAAGCCTGGTGACTCAGGTTTGTGACGGCGCGCGAATATGCCTGCCACAGTCTTAATAAGACCGCTGTACTGTTATTTATAAGAAGACCCCGTTATTTATTGTTTTCCAGACATTTTGATATTAAAAAAGAGTAAATGTGAGTGCAAAGTGAGTTATTTGGGTCGTTTTTACGCTGTCATCATTTTGTACTGTAGAGGATTTTATAAGAATTATTGCTAAATAAAGTTTTGTACGATCAGAGGTTAACAATTCGTCTGTTTTCTGTGTTTTTACCCTTGTCCTATTTTTCTCCTTCTTCGAAAACTTAACTAAACATGCCTGAGTTACATACGGGGAGCCTTTTATTATAATGAGAATTTAATTAAATGGAACATTACTTAAGTTAACTCATGAGAATAGTACTCTGACATCGAAAGCAGCCAGAAATAAAGAAAATGTTAAAAAGTCAGGGTAACGTAAAGCGTTCACAATTGATGAGGCTTAACCTCTCAGACCATGAAAGCACAGAGATGGTACTATAGTATAGTTGGTACTATTGATAGAATGGATAGGTGTGACATTTACTGAGTCTAGCTGGTATTCAAGAGAATGTAATTAGTACCAGAAGCTTACTGCTGGTAAAAATGATCAATCTTTTTTTCTCTCCTTGCAACTTGCCTCGACTAGCTTATGCCATATGCAACTTGTGCATATACCTTTTTGGCAACTGTAAAATTACCAATAAAGTTTTTGAGAGTTTTGTCTAAATTTTATTGGAAAAGAATATAGGGAGTGATCAGGTGAAATTTTGTCATGTTCCCTTAATAGTGCTGAGCTTCCAGTGAGAGTTATAAAATTTCTTAAGTGACTGATATATGATTTGTCTGCCTTAAAATTGGCACAGCCAAACCCCTGGCTAGAAAACTGTAAATTTCCTCAAATAGGCATTGAAGCCAATGCCCATTACGGCAGAATATGCAATGTCAAAGTCCCCTTTTGACTTAAGTCTCATTTCTCTAAAATCTGATAGATGTAAATCATCCATTTTCCGAAAGAGATCAACAAACCTCTCCACTTAGGTTTAATCTGACCTTATTTAGTCCTGTTCCAGGGAAATATTTTGTTTTTTATACTCACTGTTAAATATCAGCCCTGCAGCTTGTTGATAAAACACTTCCAGATGAGACAGTTGGAGTTGTTGTGAAATGTGAGAACAAACATCAGGTCAGTTGTTTTTAGTGTCAACTTGACATGGGAATCTCATTTTCATCCCAAATTGTTTTGGAACAAATCAGATATTGTTCAAATTTCCAAATTTTTTGTCAATAACTTTTTTCATCATCAATTTCCCAACTATAATTTTATCTACCAAACCAAACTATACCAAACTTGGAAGAATATTGCAGATTGTGATTTCTTCTAGACTAGTGGTGTGATCAGACATTGAGGCTAGCCATGTGCAATCATACATATATACATGTTCCAATGGCAGAGGCCCTGAAATGATTGAAAGATTACTGAAAAAGAGGAAGAAGAAGAAGCAGAAAAAATTTTTAGGTCAAATCATAAACACTAAAAAAATTATATTATTTTACAAATTAAATGAATTATGTATAATTTGCCTTGGGAAGACACAAATTTCTCAAGGTTGTATGATTCCTTGTCATGGCTTTAATTTCCCAAAGCCTGATCTATAAATCAAAACAAGTAATAGAGTAATGCCTGTTATTGAGATTTTATTTAGTATTGAATAAGAATTTTTGATCAGGTTGCTGAATACAGTGAGATGTCAAAAGAAATTGCAGAGATGAAAGACCCAGCCCACAATGATAGGATCTTATTTCTAGATGAAAACATTTGCAATCATTTCTTCACTGTGGACTTCTTGGAGAAAATTGTAACGTAAGTGGTGGCATGAGTGGAGTTCAACTGAAGGTACTACACTCACAAAAATGTACTATGCCCTCTAATAGATGCATAAGAGCATAAATCTTTTAACAGATTTGTAATTGAAAATTGTATCTTCATTTGAGTCAGATTGTAATTAGCAATGAGAATTTATTTGCCTGCTTGTGCACTTTGTAATTTAGAAATGTCTCATGATGTTGTTGTTGTTGTTGTCATTTTTTTTGCCACTTCTGTAGAATGAGATGAATGCTATCTAGTCAATGTTTCCATTTGTTCTAAATGTTCAACCAAATTTAAGAAATTTTGTTACTAGTGTTGTCACATCATCATTTCTTGTAATCATTGAGTCAAATAATGAACCATTGCTTTAGACTGAGTGAAAGATGCAGGTTCTGAAATTCCAAAAAAAGGCAGTAGAAAGAAGCTTATCTTATGATATATAAAGCCCCATGTGGACTTCAAATGATAAACATTAAAAAAAAAAAAAAAAAAAAAAAAAAACCAGTTTATGAGGGTTGCATGCCAAGGGGTGAGCGGAGTGGGAAAATTTGTTACTCTTGGTCATAACACAGTGCTGCAACATAGAGCCAAATATTTTACAGTCCAACCTTCCCATGGTCAACAACTTTGCACATAATGAGAAGTCCCTTAATTGGTTTTTCATATTTTTTATCTCAGGGAGCATGAACCATCACCCAAGTTTCACATTGCCAAGAAGAAGATCCCATTTGTTGATAAAAGTGGAAAAAGGTAAAAAGGATTTTTCACTTATCTGGTCAGTTTTGTTACCAACAATTATGCCATTTTTCAAAATACAGAACAAATTTTGCGGTGTTCTGTTGAGTTCATTAATAGAATGTTGCAACTAAATAAAAGTGAATGTTGATATCTGTCCTTTGAAAGAAGAGATTATTTTGAACAGAAGGAATTTTTTGAAAACACAAAAGTGTAATAATTTCCATTTTTAAAATTCAGATTGAATAAGTTTGCCTTTTCTTTCTGGTTCTAGGGCCACATCTATAGTCTGTGAAATTTCTCCTCTTCTTTCCTATGCTGGAGAGATGAGTTTATTCAGCTATTTGAGTTGACCCTTTTACCCCTAAGAGTGACTAGCATCGAATTTCTCCTTACAATATCACCTCTGAATCACATATTAAGGTCGGGAGAACCAAGAAAATGATCATCAGCTTAAAGATACTCTTGATTATGAAACAAATTCTCCTTATCAGTGCCTTGGGAAATGTATGGAGAACAGTATGGAGAATATGCCTACTGATGTTAGGGTGTTAAGGGTTAACGTCACTGGGTACCTGTTACTGTATACACGAGAGACTGAAGGTGGAAATTCTGTCCATGTATCACTGTGCCACTAAAAGTGTTGAGCTCTTAATTTTTTTTCCTTTTCTCCTTTTTTTGAAAGGAATCGAAGCTGTCTAACTGGAATTTCAAAGTTTTGAAGATCCTCTGAAAAGATTCTAAAAATGTGTAGGTTTCCAACTCCCACACATCTGGCTGTCAAAAAAAAAAAGAAAAGAAAAGAAAAATGGCGCGAATTGTCTGCTCGCATAAAACGAAGTAAACTTGACCATATTTAAAATTCTACGTCACAAGCGGATAGGAATGCGTCGTGTCACTTATTGTTTAGATACTACAGTCGAACCTGTATTAAGCAGCACCGTATTAAGCGGTCACCCTATATTAAGCAGTCGGTTGTCAAAGTCTCGAATTTGTTTCCCTTTATCACTGTAATTTACACCTCTATTGAGCAGTCGTGGTCACCTTTGAATGAGTCCTAAAGGCCTGTTTGTACTGTCCTCCACTTGTATTAAACGGTCATTTAGGAGGAACCACTCAAATAAAACCACGAATAATCTTTCAAGTAAAATTAATTCCATGTTTCTCTCCCGAAATCAATGTTGGTAGTATTTTTTAGCAATTTTTTGTACATTAGTGGTCAATTATGGAGTCAAATGGCGTTTTTTTTTAACGTTTTTTACATTACCCCTCTTCTGTGGAACCTGTATTTAACGGTCAACCTGTGTTAAGCCGTAGTTCTCCTAGGGTGACCGCTCAATACAACCGATTATGTATATGACCGTTTGACTGTATGGAGATAATCTAGTGTCCTTGTTTTTTTTTTTCTTGGAAATTGTAGGCCTGTGTTCCGTTACCAAAGTAAGAGTTTTTCATACTGCTTATCTTTTTTTATGTTTTCTTTGTATTTAGGGGTTAGAGAATAAAGTTAAAGGCAAAGAATTTTCTGCCACAGATGAAATTTACCTCCCAGCAGATGGAGAAGAAAAAATAGAAGAACCAGCGCTCAAGAGAAGTAGGGAATGCTGAGACTGTTTTCAAAATTGTCGCTAAATCATCCGACGGCCTACGACGTTCACAAAGTGATCACAGCCACTAGGCGGCCACTTGAAAATCAAGCTATTTCATGATTGCGTGAGTTCTCAAGCGTGGTTTCATAGGATCTTCCCAATCATCTCAAACAAAAAAATCAAGGCGATCTGAAGCATTTGAAAACACAACACAACTAGTTACTGTACGACCTGAACGATCATGATGATCGGATAGAAGTAAAGAGTTCTATCGAGACGAGTATTTTCCCGATGGTCCTGCGGGTCAGTGATAGCCTATGCTGTGTTCCCGCATAACCTTCCCGATTGTCTGGTAGATAACCATTTAAGATTTAAGATAATCCTTTTTACTGGCCGAAATCATAACTTCAGACACTTACAGAACCACAGATGGCTAGTTTTAGTTTTAAAGGTGACCGAAGCTAAATGTCAAGAAATGCTTCTTGAATTAACTTCGTGGATGTTATGATTAAAAAGTCTTTGAATCACATGGCAATTTATTTTCCTTGCGCGTGAGTGATAATTTGTGATGATAGTTTATTGAGCACTTGAGGAATTTCCGACGCATAAAATGTGTGAAAGTCGTTAAGGTATTGGTTAACTGTATTTTTGATTGAAATAAGAGCAATGATGTTGCTATTGCAGGTAGATAAGATATCTGAAAAGAGTTCTGAAATTCTGATACATATTTTAAAGTATGAACAATATTGATCAATATGAATGTTCTGGGAACTTAGCAACCGAAAGTTTAATCGGGAAGTATTTGTATGGATGATTATTGTGGAGTGAGAGCTGAGGCTTAACAGATACAGTGAAGGTGCAATCATTTGCCGTCTGCTTTTAGTATTTTTGTTCAAAGTGATATAATTGTAATGTGAATAAAAGATTTTCGCCATTTTCCTATTGACCGAAACGATGTGAGGAATGGTATATTAATGAAAATGAACAGAAGCTAAGTTTATTTTCTCTGCCATAGATGTCATGCGCAGAGTCGCTATTGAATTACATTTCCCAAAGCGATGTGAGACTGGTTTGCATGGCTCCGCCTGAACGAGAAGATTTTAATGTACCACAGTATATGAATTGTCTCTTTTAGGCAATCATGGTTCTTAAGGCTATGGTTACATAGGGACAAATATTCATATGCATCACATGATATGCGACTTGAAGTTCGGAGGTATGCTTATTGTAGCAATGCGCTTGTCAGTTTGGTCAAAAACAGACCTCACATAAAAGCCCTGGCCTATGCATCTAACTTCAGGTCATTTAAAATTCCTAACATGTCCTTAGCCCAGTTTCGCTTTTCAGATATAAAGGTAAGCGAAAACAAAATTGCCTTCGGTTAGCGGAAGTGTCGAGTCATCGCTAGTTCGGGTAACCAAAGAGATTAGGTGGCCCTTCGTACCCTTTCCTTAAAACCTCCACTCCCCCGCCCCCAACTTGTTTTTTAAGCTGTGATGTCATCAAACGCTTCCCCCATCCCTGAAGGAATATCTTTCCTCAGTCTAGTGTCCTTTCCTAGGATTCCTGGACTGGCGTTCTAATGGGGAGTGAGTAGGTGAAGAGGGGGGGTGAAGCAATCTCCCGTTCACCCGTCTTCCACAGCTCTTAATAATTATAAGCTACTCCCTAACTGGTATTTTTTGAAATGATTGAATTTGGTCATATTTACATTAAAATTTAAATATGCACAAATTCAAGCTTCCGCTTTCTTCAGTCTCTAGGCATTTCAAGAAATGCCGAAGATTGGTAGTCTCTTCCACGAAAAAATGTCTTCTAAACATATTACAACAATCTAAACATACAACAATTATTTCCACATATGTTCGTTCTTGGCTTTTGCTGCGGGAACCTTCGCATTCTGAAATATTTCTTGATGAATTATGTCATCTCAAACGAAAGAAAAAAATAGCAATTATTCTCTCAGATGAGAGACTCTGAGACATGAAAGGTATGCCGGCTCCATCTTCTCTGCTCTTGTGGAAACAAGTCTTTTACTAGTGACATGTAAGTAACACAAAGACTTCGTAAAATCTCGTATAATATCGCTTATCGTGAACTCAAAACGAAACTATTTTCCAAATGTGTGGCCTTGAAAATGATCGCAAACTAAGAGGTTTGAGCGGTAGTCGCGCAAGGTAGAATTTTTAGAGCAGTAATTGACAAAGAAACAAGTTGTTACCGGTAAGTGAACCACTGTGATGTCAGCCATCCTGGATCCGAGTTGTGAAAAATACTTGTTATATTAATGCAACCATTTATAAATCAAAATTCCAAGTTGAGTCAGTGAAAAAAAAACGAAGAGGAAGGAAAATGAAAAGTTTTGTGGAGGACCCGGGCATCGATCCCGGTACCTCTCGCATGCTAAGCGAGCGCTCTACCATCTGAGCTAGTCCCCCTCCATGAAATCACTAAGTGGAATTTAATATATTTAAATCTCAATAAATTCACTCCTGGCTACGTCACTGCAATATTTTGCGCATGATCGCTTGCTTCGTTACCATTTAAAACATGGCTGCCATTTTGACTTGTCTTTTTAAATCCTTTCAATGGATTCCTGTACTCTTTATCAACGCAGTGATTGTCTGGTCTTACTATGCTTACGTCTTGGTTCTTTGCTTTGGTGAGAGCTCAAAATTTTAGGGCCTAAAGGCGTTGAATTGTTGATTTCGTGAGCATTATACAGTTAGTGCTCTTGTGCCGAGTTAGGAAACTGAAATTCTGCCTTCCGGTTAAATAACTTTCTTATGATCTTGTTCTCTTTGTTTCGATTTCAGAGAGTGTGCAGTCTCCATTCGAAAGAGGTAAACGAAACTCTGCTAGAGACGTTAATAAAAGTTTCGTGTGAGAAATACACGAATTACAATCTGATAAAATCAATACAACTTGCGTACTAATGTTTATGTGAATTTCGTAATTTGATCGCTTCGAAATGTTGCCAAATTATGATTTCTCCTTCTTTTAAATTTCAGCTGCGTATTTGATCTTCTATCATCCTTTCTTCTTCATGTTGTTGATCTCATACTGGAGAACGATATGTACCTCTTCTGGTCTTGTTCCCTCGCAGGTTTGTTTAGTTTCAAATATTGGCTTAGATGTCATCGATTTAGCAAATAGTGCAGTAATACTTTGCAAATCAGAGAATGTTCGCACTCTTAATTTGTAAAGAGTGCTGTGAAAACGAAAATAGTTTAGGATTACTTCTACCGCCGTAAGTGTGATCAGATGACCTGATCTTGAACTTGGGGATCTTAAACTATTATATAATATAGGAAACATTTGTAGAAGACAACTCACAGCTGTATTAATCACGGACTTCAAAACCCAGGTTGCTCCTAACTTAGAGCCAAAACTGTTCTAAATGTTACTTTAGTTACATGTTACTAAGAATTTCCAGTTAAAGTACAAACTCGGTTGCAAAAAGCTGTTTCTTGAAAAATTCTGCACAACATTGCAAATTATAAAATTTGGAATTAATACACTTTTCATGAAATGGTTATCCTTTTTAAAAGGAGTTTTAAGACTACACTGCATATCATATGTAATTAAATGTTAATCTTGTTTTCAATTTTCAGTTTTTCCTGTCAAGAGCAGACAGGGAGGCATTAGATAATGGAGTATGTAATTTACTTATTGTTCTTATTAATTTTAAAGCTATCTTAGACTAAAGATGCTCCCTGGATGATGCTTTTTTGAAAGAAGTAAAAAGAAACCAAATTATTTAGATCTATGAGGATAAGAGTCATGTTTTGCCCCGTTTCAAAAGGCACATCACTCAACAGATCTAAGAATTACCAATGCAAGTTTTATAACATAGCTTCTTTAAATTAAAGAACCTGTGTAATACTCAGCCACTGATAAAAGTTTGTCACAAAATGGTATATTTATACACAGGGAAACTTTGTTGCAACACAGGTTTTGTTATTAGATGACAATGTGTCATGAATTTTGGGGCACAAGAAAATTTCACCCCTAATGAATAAAACTGCTCAGGTCAGGAATTCTGCATCAATATTCTTGGAGGTTCACAATGTATTTGCTGATGTTTTTTGTTATCTTATAACCTTCAAAATATAAATGATAGGAAATATATTTCCATCAATAAATTACCATCAAGCACAGTTTACTTTTAAAGTAAACTGTGCTTGATGGTAGCAGATAGATCAGTAGAAATGCTTAGTAATAACTGGCCTAGTAACAAACTTACATTATTTAATAATTCTAGTGAATTTTTTTTGCAATAAGCATTATTAAGGATAATTAATTAACACTGAATTCTGATTAGGGAGGCTACTCAGGAGTGACAGTGAGATTAAAACAGACGTTTTAAAAAGAAAAACTTTATTTTTTTGTGATGTGTTGTCTTTCCTTTTTAGTTCACAATGTACATTTATGAAAACTGTTTTCCTTTGAAATCTGTCTCTAGGATCCTAAAGAAGTCTTAGAAAAAATATCAAGAAAACTTCCAGTTTTTACACAGACCATATCAGGAGGTAAGATCTTGATTTTATTGGATTTTCTTGCGTCTTGTCACTTCAATATTATGGAGTTTTTTTTAAAATAATTAATTGGAATTCTTTTGCAGCTGCTAGGTTTTGTGATGTTTGTCAAGCCATCAAACCTGACAGATGTCATCACTGCTCCATGTGTAGAAAGTAAGTTGAACAAGAGGAGACAAATTTCATTTTCAGTTGAACAAAATCTGATTTTGTTATTTAATTTGGTAGAACATTATAGCGAGGGAAATTAGGCATTTTGGAACACTGATTAAAACTATTTAGTTACAAAATTTTTAGAAGGGGTGAGAAGGAGTTTCACAAAGCCATATGCAATTGTTAATCTCTTAATTTGCAAGGCCAGATTGATCATTACCTTTCCCTTTTAGTATCTTAACATTTCCATGTGAATTAAACCAAGAGGATGTGGTGTAACCTTATGATAACACCATTAACCCTTTCATTCTCAAGATCTTAATAGCAATTCTCCTTACTTTTGCAGTTTGGAAAGCCTCAAAACACTAGAACAAAAATTTATCTTCCAAATCAGCACCCTTAATCCCCATGGAATCAACGAGCGCTTTTCATTCAACTAATTTATTCCTGTGTTCTCGTCACCATATTCCCACCAATAGCCTAGCTCCACTTTCTACATATAAACCCACACACAATCCACAATTCCTCCAATCACTCTGACGAAGGGCTAATGCTCGAAACATCAGCTTTTTTTTTTACCCATAACAATGGCCAATTTACATTTTCAACTCAGTTGTTAACACTAAATTACCTGCAATTTTCCTTACTGTCTACCATACAATTCTTATGATGTCAGTTTGGAGAATTTGGTATGGGATCAAGGGATAATTCCATCTTGGTCACTCATGGGAGGTTAAGGATTAAACTGACAAGTATTCGGTTTTCTTTTTACTTGATTGCAGGGTAATGTGGCCCTCACATTGCCAGGGAAAGATTCACCTTAACCCTTTAACACCCAGGATCTCATTAGTAATTCTCCTTACTGTCGCCATACAGTTCTTGTGATTTTAGTTTGAAGAATTTGGGATTGGATCAACTTACAATCTCCTAATTTATATTTTTCTTTACTCTCGTCACTTTTCTGCTTGATGTTTTATTGATATTATAAGGAGAAATTCTGTCTTGGTCACTCATGGGAGTTAAAGGGTTAATCATTAATAATAAATGGGGATGAGGGAAAATAACTTTTTTTTAATAGTTTATTTTGTATTTATTACAGATGTATTTTGAAAATGGACCACCACTGTCCATGGGTGAATAACTGTGTTGGATTTACAAACTACAAGTTCTTTCTGCTATTCCTGTTTTATGCAATCCTTTACACACTCTATGTCACAGCAACAGTTACAAAGTATTTCATTGCATTTTGGAATGTAAGTCTAAGAAATTTTCAATATCGTTCCATTTTTACTTTTGTTATTTAAAGGGATGTCAAAGATTTGATAGCAGTGTGTTCCTTGGGTGGTGTTAGATAGACCCATCCTTGCCAAATTTTATAAATGTTTTTAAAATATCATTGTTGACAAGAAAAGGTTGTCATTCACTAGGAAGGGTGCTTGTTTCAAGGACATAACCCAGTGTAACTGTGTGTTGAAGGTTTTTCATGTTGTCATTTTCTTGTCTCTTACAGAACTCTTTGGAAGGTGATGGAAAATTGCACATTTTGTTTTTGTTTTTTGTTGCCCTCATGTTTTGTATAAGTCTTTGGTCACTTTTTGGTTACCATTTATATCTTACTGGTAACAACAAGACAACACTTGGTGAGTTTGAAGTTTTAGTTCATATCTTTTTCTTCTGCCAAATATGTGCATGATTATAAAGTAGATATCTTTTAAATAGCTAAACATAAGCATTGAAATGAACATTTTTCCAACAGCTGATGATATACAATGTAGAGAAATGACCTTCACTGGTAAGCTGCAATTAAATCAACTACAGAAAAGAGGCCTGAAAAATTCAGGCCTCAACAGAATTCAAAACTGAGCCTCCCACTTATTAGTTAGGTGCTTAACCAGGAGGCCCTGGTTTGAATCCCATCCATTCTGCAATTTCTTTCATTGCAGCTCACCTGTGAAGATCATCTCTCTACTTGTTAAACATGTTAAGTAATCTATCCTTGGAAGCCTAATTGGTTTTAACTCTACCTTCTCCACATACCCTTCAATGATTTTATATCATGTGAGCTTGATTTTTTCAATGAAAATATTAAGCTTATTATACATTTTTTGTCTGCATGAGTTGCAATGCTATTCATGTCTAGTTCTCAAATATTTTGTAAAGTAGTGTTAAGTTCAGAAAAGTTTATAAAATTTGTTTATCTACAGTGATGTACATGTAGTTCCTCTGTTTCTTTCCTGACAGAGTCATTCAGAGTTCCTCATTTCTCTTATGGCCCAAATAAGGATGGCTTCAGTTTGGGAACTGTAATTAAGAATGCAGAACAAGTTTTGGGACTCAACAAGTGGTATTGGTTTTTACCTATTTTCACCAGGTAAGAGTTTTGTAAATGCATTCCACTACCTTCTCCCTGCCCCTCCCCCTCCCCCTCCCCCTCCCAGACAAACACACACTTTCCCCTCCCAGTGTACCCAGCTAAAAAGCCATGTTGGAGTTTTCCTTACATAATAACCATTAGCTACTCTGAACCCCACCATCTGATTTATCAAGTTTCATAAAAATTAAAAATAAAGAAATAATAAAAAATAAATTAATAATGGTAAAATACTGGTTTATTAAAAGAATATAAAGAAGAACCCTGCTGACTCAAACTCCCAGAGGTTCCTCTGTATATCCACAAGTTGACAGTTTATACACAAAACTCAAAACTGTTTTTACTCTGCACTCCTAGTACAAATAGCATAGTAGTATTGTTTGATAGCAGCCTAGTTTAGAATCTTGAAAATTACTAGCTCAATTTTGAGTTAAGAAGTGACATTTTCCAATTTTTCATTTCTTGGACAGTATTGGTGACGGAGTTCACTTCCCACTGGTAAATCAACCTGAGCAAGACTCATTATTAAATGATCAGCAAAGATGGATGGAGGAAGGGGAGTTGGATCCACAGGACACCCACTCCAATGACGACAAAGGTGATTCTACAATTGTGGCCATTGATATTACATCAGAAGAGCTGCTGCATGAGAACGAAGTGGAAACTCAGGTGCCATATGCTCACAGGGCCAAACCAGATGTGCTGGCAGTTCAGGAAGATGACATTCAAGATGGGACGGCATTGTAATATCTGCTCTGAAGCGCTAGTTTCCCTGGCTGGAACTGTTGGTGTTTGCCATGGACTCTTGCTGAGGCAGTATTTCATCAACATAAATGTCATTGAAAAAAATAATGCTGGCTGGTAAACTTTTCCATTTTCTGGAACAGAGGAAAAATTCACTGCGACTCAATCAAAGAATGGACTCTTACTGAATTGGGAACCAGTGGTTGAATAACATGTTGTGACCATTTTGGAAAAGTACGTGGTGCTTAGTCTATGATATTTACATATGACTGCTAGTGTACATTGATTTTAGTTTTGCGCCAAACATATGGAATGCTGTATGGATTTGAGAGAAATCTAGGGACTGAAATGTGTTAAAGCAACATTTGATTTATTTATCACATGGCTCATAGATCATGGATTATGGATTTGCAAGATAAACAATTTGTTGAAGTTCTCTAGACTAGGTCATTATTTCTTAAATGTAATTTTATATCTGAGTAATTTATTTAAAAACCTAATTTTGGCGTTAGGTTTGAGCAACTACCCAAAAGGCAGGTAATGTTACAAGGAGTCTTGAGTTTTGGACACCAATGAAAAAATGAAAAAAGTGAAAATTTGCTGCAGATAAAAATAGTTGCAGATTGTAAATAGTATAGGCATCAGCAGATGTGTTATTAAACTAGCAATTTTGAGGATATCTAGCTAAGACTCTAATTGTCCAATGCAATGTAAATTCTTTCAAGCTCAAGACAGCTGCAAGTGACTGTAATTGTATATTTTATCTTTTTGAGCTTAAATACTCAAACTGAATCAGCTTTAGTAGTTTTGTAGATTCTTCGCAACAGTTGGGTCATATATCAGGATACTTCCCTTGGTTGATCGTTTTACAAATTATTATTACCTGTTGTTCAGTATAGATTTTCAAGGAGAATTTATATTTTGGTCACTCCTGGGAGAGGAGATAACCAAAGAGAATTGTGCAATCACGATCTTGCTTTTTTTTTGTTTAAATCCCAATGTAAGGTCAAAGCAAATTTTGTAATTAATGAACTGATAGAGTATATGTTCTTATGTTTATTTTGCTTGATGAAATTGATGGAATGTATGTGGTGTTTCTTTTAGAATTTTTGTACTTACTGTATCAAAAGATTTATTTTGCTTTCTTACTTACATGGATTAAAGATGGGAATACAAAGGTGTGGGGTAGAGTTTTGACATCCATTTCTTTTCGAACAATGTGATGTTAACCCTTTACAGGTAATTTATTGTTAACAACTGGGACGAAAACGTAAATTAGCCACCGTAAAGGGTAAAAAAGATGATGTTTTGAGCGTTAGCCCTTCGTCAGAGCGATGACGAAGGGCTAACGCTCGAAACGTCAGCTTTTTCACCCTTAACAGTGTCTAATTTACGTTTTCAACCCAGTTGTTAACACTAAATTACCTGCTATACTCTCCCACCGACACAGCACCACAGTTTCATCAGAAACTTACCCCTTTATTCGTTAACCCTTTACACCCTGACATCAGTATGCATTTTCTCCCCACTGTTCTCTGTACACTTTCAAAGGTGCCGACAGAGAGAATTTGTTTAACGATCAAGAGGTTCTTTAGGTGGTTATCATATTCTTTATTCTCGGGATCTTAATGTTTAATTTAAGGATGGTATTGTAAGGAGAAATTCTAAGGGTTATATAGAAAGTGTCTGTTTTCGAAGGCCAATAGGATGGAGGATGGAAAAGCTACGTTGTTGGCCTCTCTGGGTGTTGTACCTCATATGGTAGGTCATGGGAAGGCCCCCATCAGCATTGAAGGCACATCCATACTACTACGGGTAACTCTTCTTCTGCTGCCGACCATCGCACAACATATGAAAATTAACGGCCAACAAATTCTGAATACATTCTTTGTTTTAGAAGGAAAGAAGTGTCTACAAATTGATAAATATCTTTAAAACTTAGCTTTCCTTGAAGCAATGCTGAAAACGTACAATGCTTACATGCAGTTGAATATTTTGCCGCTTCTGTCACCGGGTCCAAACGCAAACGAAAATATTAATCAAACTAGAGAAGATTGGGCTAAAACGTAGGGGGAATTCATCGCTCGTTTCCTGAGATAGGATTGGTCAGTTTTGGGTGAGTGACCCTTGAAACTAAGATCGCACACAGGTGGAAAGGAGAAGGAAAATCATATTTACATTCAAGCACTAGGCACTCGAAATACATCTGACGATTTTAAAGAAAGACGACTAAGGGTATCTCTTCTTCTGCTGAATACGACTGCGTTTGATTGGCTTAAAAAATAATAAAGATTATTTAAACAATTTAGCCAGGGATAGGAAATTATATATGCATACAATAATTTTCTGCGCCATAGCAATACTTGTTCAAAAGATCCACTGTTTCTGATAACGAAAGATTTAGAAAAAACATTTCATATTAAAAAGTAGCGAGATTAAAACATAATGTTTCGGCGACGACATGTCACCATTATCAAATGTAAACTATTGTAAGTTCAGTGACGTTTTATAGAGGAAGGAAAGTGTGAAACTTAAACAGAATAAAAATGAGATGGAGTGAAACAAAAGAATGTACACGATTAAATAAACAGTTTCGCTGGAATGGAGTCTTTGATTGTTCAGAGTCGGTCTCTTTTTCCTTATTAAAAACATCTCATCAGATAAGGCACTCAAACTTTCCGCGGCATTTCTTTAGGATGGCAAATTGCTCGTGAAGATTGTTCGGTCTTTGATTGTGTTCGTCTTTAAGATGTTTTCCGATGACGGAATAGTTGTGCTCCTCAATACGAAGGTGGAGGTGACGGTTCTTGTAGCCTATATAATTCGCATCACACGAATTACATTTAGATTCATATACAACGCTTTGTTGGTTTACCAGTGATAGCTTTGTTTCCGTGACTTTTAAACCTTTCGAGATTTTCCTACTTGTGAAAACTGGTTGTAGTACACGACTGATTCACTCCATCTCATTTTATTCTAATTTCGTTTCACACTTTCCATTCTCTATAAAACGTCACTGAACTTATAATAATTTTACATTCGATAATGATGACATGTCTTCGCCGAAACGTCATGTTTTAATCTCGCTTGTTTTTATTATGAAATATCACTAAGCACTAAGTTTAAATAAGCGGCATAAGTATGATACAAAAAGTGCTACATTTAGGACTTCACCTCAGAAGACTTTTGTCTTATATTGGTCTCTTTTGATTTTTTTCGAGAGAAAATGAAGCGATTCTCCGAGAAAAAGAATTCGCGGAAAACGTTAAGAGCTTAAAAATCTAAGAGTAAAGTTTGTCTCTCCTCCGTGACGTTTCGAAGTCCTTTACATGAAAAGTAGTGATCGACAACACAGTCGTTTGCATCAGGTGTCATACCTCTTGCTTTGATGCTTTTGGCTGGTTGGTCTGTGATCTTTAAGCTCTCTTTTCGTATAATCACCGTGGCGACTATTTCTACGTCACAAGGAATATGTCGGCCCAAATTTAATGCTCGATATCCCATGTACACCTCGGCTGCTTGCTGGCTGTGTGGAGCTATCAGCTCGATACAAAGATGGCTTCTGATTATGAGAGCCATTGTCTTGAGGTGGCAATCTTTCTTCACTGCGTTCAAATGACACGCCGACTTTGTTTCCGGCCAAAGTTCGTCGGGTGCTGTTCGCGGGTTCGTCCGTTGCAGTGTCTGCTTTGACATCGCTCGCGGTACCGTAAGATACCCACACCCTCAAAGGCGCTAAGATTCGCAGGTACTCCGCGCGGATAGAACGATTCATGATGCCATAGATGATGGGGTTCAGGGAGGTGCTAGCAAATCCAAAACAAGTGTAACTCACGTAAACTTGGCGTTTGAGTTTCCAGTCCGCGTTTATGAAGTCAATCATGTCGATAACCATCACAGGGGTCCAGCAAGTTAGAAAACCAATTACAACCACAAGGAGAATATAGGTAACCTTTACTTCGTCCACGGATAGAAGACTATCACTGCGATGGTTGAGCTGTCTTCGTTTTTGACTGAGTCGAAAGTTGAGGTTATGTTTTCGAACGGTGAAGAACACTTTGGTGTAACAAGTTATGATGATGATCAAAGGAATAAGCACATAAACGAGAACCAAGTAAGCTCCATATCCCTGGTATAAGCTTTCAGCATTGTGCGCACAGAAAACTTTACCAGTGTGAAAGAAAAACTTGTGTCCGGAAACAACGTATGGAAGCGGTGCAAACAGAGCCAAGATCCACAAAATCGTGATTGTTACCTTTGTTGTCTTGATGTTAAAGTACTTTTGATACTGCGTGCGAGATCGAACAACACGGAAGTATCTATTCACAGCAGTGACAGCTAAAGTTTGTAAAGACACTGCACACATGAGAAGAATCCAGAAGCCTTGAAGCTGGCAGACAAAGTTGTTGAAAGGCCATTTTCCAACGATCAGAGAGGCGACTGAGAAAGGAATTCCCAGCAAAGACATCAAGAAGTCTGAGACAGCCAGAGTTATGATGTACATATTGGGAACAGTCCTGCGAAGATTCGGGTTTTTGATGACAGCGATTCCAAGAAGAAGATTCCCAAAGAAAGAGAGGGAGTTGATAAACAACATGAAGAACGACTCTGTGGCCTGAATGACAGTCGATCGGCTTTTTAACTGCCAAGAAAAGACTTCGATTGTGGTCAGTGATGCGTTATCGCCCATGGTTGTGGTCTGGTTGATCTCTTTGGTGTAATTGAAAGACTGCAAGACTCAGAGTCCCTGCCAAACGATCGTTTTGCTACCAAAGTTTATGATATGGTTAGGTGTCGCTGGATTTTTAACGCTTTCGTGATGTTTAGATGGGCCCTGATAAATAATTAAATAAAAAATGATAGTTTCGTCGCGGAAGTTTCACGAATATATCACCGAATTAATATGGATAGAGAGAACGAGCGAAAATCGAAAATTCGAGATAGTTTTGCTTTCGGATACGTACTTGTACTTGTTGGGCGTTCACTTCTTTCGGATTTACACTCAAACTTTAACTGTTTGGAATGATTTCCATAATAGCTTAAACATCGTTTAGTTGTACAGGTTTTCCAGTCTTTTTACCGTTTTTCAGTTACAAAAGCGGAAAATTTTCCGAATTAAGCAGAGGCGGGCTGCAGGTGTCGTCAATGGAAGTGTGAAAGTAAACTCACCGTTTTTAAAAAGCTATGTTTCAGCTTTTGTCAACACAGCCGACAATGTTTGCTTGTAACTCAAACGAATCGCGGCTCTTAAATGTGAGCGAGCGGTATCAGATTCCTTCCGCGACTAATGCAATATATGTCTAGAAAAGGCTCAAAAATACATTTGCAAAACATCATATCTACCAATTTGATAGGTCATCTTAGAAATATTCTGCTTGATAATTCGTGACCTATGTTAGTAAGTTTTGTCTCTGTTTGTTTTATTCTGGAAATTTTATTTACTTTTTGCAAAAACATTTCCTCACTTATAAAAAATGAAAGTAATTCGACATTTATTTTTTCACGTCTGTTCCAACACTAATTCCGATTGAGCAATTCATTAGCAAAACCGAAACGCATAACTTTTATGATTTGTCATAAACGCCTCTCTTATTATCAGTTGGTTTTATTTTTTGTAAAGTTGTCATCAAATTTTCTTTCAACGCGAAGATGAAGGTGGAAAAATAACACGACAAACAGTCATGCTTTTCAAAGGTACTTTCTGAACAATACCTTTCCGTCAACTGTGCTAAGATTGCAGGAAACACTCGAAATGTTCCTTTAAAATTCATGCTGGTTAATTTTGAAAGCACTTAGTTTATCATGCAAGATGTCAAAGTTGTCGGAGACTTACGTTGATTACTTTGAAGAATAGGGAGGACAAATCTTGATGAATAAAACATTTCAAATGATAACCGCAAGAATTGTGTTCACTGAGCCAAACGGGACTCAGTTTTGGCATTGTCAGATGAGTCAAATGTTGAAATTCTTTCTAGAACACTCGGCCAAAACAAACATTCTGTATTCGGCGGGGTTGAATCACCCACAAATTTCAATGAACGTGCATTTAACTTGAACGGCTTTGTGTGATTCCACAAGTTCTAATTATCTTGCATCCTTTCCTACAGACGGTAATTGTCTTTTTTTTAATAAAAGAAACCTGAATATATAACGCTTTCATTTATCAGTATCAGACAGGTTGCTAATTAACTACAACACGCCGGTCTTTCATTTACCCAGAAGCACGTTGCGGTAAATAATGAAAAGGTTATTCGTTTTTCTAAGCCCTGTGACCGACTAATTTCTTTCCTGGATTATTCCGCAATTGATTCGACCAACAATCCGCAATCCAACCTGTAAACTTCTCACACGCCGGTCGGAAATGTTTTTGCCTTCCTGCTCACAGCGGGAAATTGCAGCGTGCGTAGGGAAATTGAAATGGCGCCATTTTGGCTTTGAATTGTGTGTGGTTTACCGCTCCACTTTTTTTATGTTTTACAAAAGTCACTTTTAATAATTATAAATTTGCTTGTATTTATGCCAGCGTATTTCGTTTCTTCGCGTTCTTCAAACAGGTTTGTTTTTTGGTAATGGTTAACAATGTGAATGAATGATCAGCACAGTGAGCCCATCGCTAGTCCATTCCTAATTCAAGTGTATCGCTTTAAAAAGAACTCGAAAGAGAACCGCAACACGCATCTTGTATCCGCTCGTGTTTCGTGTTTCGTGTTTAGGGCATGGCTCTCTTGGTTTCATCTAAAGAAGTTATTTGGTCTTATGAGGGGCCAAAACGACAGGCTTCTGCGGAGCCGGTTAGATCATGATGAGTTATATTATTTATCTTTTGGTCATCCCATCCCCTTGCCTAAGGGGTGCCAGCTTTGAATGCATTCCGCTCTGACAACTTCCTTATTTTTGTTTTGGAGGCTGCGCAGGATGATTAGCAACGTGTTCTCAATAAGATTTTTCTTAAGAGAATCGAATTATTTTCCGTGATCACTTTCGATTGAGAAATCTCCCTTACCTCAAGTGCTGTAACTCCAGAAACCAAATGGGAAATTATAGTATATATTAGAGGGCAAGTATGGTCGCGTACCGCTTTTACTTTTCTTCCTTGTTTCGTTTCGATGCTCAGAAAAGCCAAAATTCATCGCAACACTATTTGGATTGATTCTTTTAAGTAAACAAGTTAATTTCTTTCCCTGAAAAAAATTTTAATTCGGTGACTAAGGGAAATTCCGATTCAATGTGAACGACACATTTTCGGAGCTAATTGGGATTATTCCAGAGGACGGTAGATCTTGACAATATTACAAACTATCATGGTGCCGAATAACACTGTCACATTCTTAAAACCTGGAGTCTAAAATATTAATTGCGCAAAGTCATCACTAGATCTCGCCGGAAATATCCAAATTGTAGACGTGCCGTGAAAAAGCATAATTTTCAATGTGACGATTATATTTACGTCTGTATGCCAAGTTCCTGTTTAGTTTTTGTGGTTAAGCAAAACAATTATATATCCCGCTTGCGAAAGGGGATGACATTTTCAACATTTATGTCATTGTATCAATTTGTTTGCCTAATCTTCTTCAAATATTGTTTTCTTTATCAGTGTCTGGTCGTTGTGTCGTGGAAGCCTAATCGTTGTCAGCAATTTCAGCATTTAGGACAGATTCCTGGCAAGGTTGCTTTCGATTTGCCATGTCTTAAAGCTCTCTTTCGAGCGAAAAACGTGGCTGGAACATTACATTTTGAAGCATCATAAATTTAGATGTATTTTACTCGGCAAATTTCGTTTTTCAAACTAAATAGACTTAACTCCCGGTCATGATCAAATTATGAAGATATTTAGTGATGATTCCGTCTACGAATTAGGAAGGGCCATTTAATTAGCAATTGAAAACCAATGTTTGAATGCTGCAGTTGACCTGAATTTTGAATCACCAAACTCGCACCACCCTCTTCATTTTCCAAACATATCCTCCCCAAAACGCTGTAAATCCAATCGCAACCTGATCACAAGCGTTCTTTCACGCTTGAGACAGTTTGATGCTTTGAGTATAAATTCTCTCCAGCTTCTTGTAATAGTCCCTATTTTCGCTGATTAGCAGCTATTACTCTGCATGGTTTGTTTTACTTGGGTGCTCGCCAAAAATGGTTTCCGCTGTCGGTTCTTACGAGAGTGAAAACAGCATCTTAGTTATTCAGGGGTACAGTCCATAATATATAGATTTAGCCAAGCCTAAAAGCGGAGCTCGCGTTTTTTTCCCGCACGTCTCAAGGGTACAACGCCTTGCCTCGGCCAGGACTAGAACCCGGGTCGTCCGACTCGGAGCCCAGTGCACTGACCACTGGACTACTGGACAAAGCCGTGGCGTCGGCGTGCCCGCGGTACAGTTGGCCACGCATGTTAAAAGTAGCACCTTGTGCGGTTGTAGGTCGTAGGTCGTAAGGATACTGATGGTAGAAGTAGGCCGTCCTAGTCGTAAAAAATCATTCTACTCTTACCTAGGTTCCACTTTCAGTTCCTATTGCTATCAAAGTTGATTCGAGTAAACATTTCCCTCTCCCTGCATCTTGTAAGCGTCCTCGTAAGTCTTGTAAGTCCTCGGTCTTCATAAGCCTGAGCCTTGCCCATAACCTCCTACAGTGGAACCTCGATTTAACGAAGTGCTGAAGGACTGGGGAAATTGGTTCGTTATACCGAGGACTTCGTTCTAAAGAGGTTCGTTAAATCGAGGTTCTACTGTATGAAGTTTCAACTTCTGTAAATTCACAGCACAGCGACAACAACGCATAAAGTGAATCCTGAATTTTCAGTTGATGTCAAATACCTTAAAAAGGCTTGACCGAACCTTTAAATAATAACTGAGATCGAAAACTATTATTGTTTCGTGATGCCCTGTCTTACAGTCACCTTGTTTTGAACATTATTTTTAATTTGCCCGGAAGCTTTCCTTCCCCCGTGACCCTGTATTTAGGTCCTCAGCCTCTTCTATAGGCCCATTAAATTCATCTTGAGAATTCATGAGTCCAGTTAGAACTTATGGCCGTAATTTTTAAGACACTACTGTACTCGAAAGCAACTATGTCAGAGTTATTCAATATGGAAACTTCAATTTCAGTCTTAATTTGTTTTGACAAAATTGAAGTACACCAGCCATCACACATGCGCACCACCAGAACTTTAAAAGTTCTTGATGCCAGAAATACTTCATTTTCGTTTTCGAAAGTTTTGGTTTCTGCGGTTGTGTGAAATGCGGCTAATATAAACCACAGTAACGCATTTTTTAATATCGTCGATAAAAAAATCTGCATAGAATGTTTGGGTTCATTATTCCGTAGCTTTCAGGAAGGAGAGTGGGCAGGCGTAAATTTGTAATCACCGTGAAACCACGAGGACGATTCACTGCAGACGAGTTGTTAACAAGGTGTTAAGTCTCTCGATAATTCATTGGAATTGTAACATTTATTTGGAATCGAAGATTACAAACATCTGCTGATCACGAAAGTGGACAACCTTTATACCTACTCAGTCTAAAATGAATGCAACACTGAACGCAATTGAAATATTCGCCCGCCAGTTACAAGACCGTTCTCCTACAAGTCAAGCCACAGAGTCGTTGTTCATGTTGTTGATCAACTTTGTTTCCTTTGCTGGAAATCTTCTGCTCGGAATCGCTGTCATCAGAAATCCGAATCTTCGCAGCACTGCTCCCAACATGTACATCATAACTCTGGCTGTCTCAGACTTCCTGATGTCTTTGCTAGGAATTCCGTTTTCAGTCGCTTCTCTAATCGTTGGAAAATGGCCGCTCAGCAACTTTTTCTGTCAGCTTCAAGGTTTCTGGATTCTTCTTATGTGTGCCGTTTCGTTAGAAACTTTAGCTGTCACTGCCGTCAACAGATATGTTCGTGTCACCCGATCCCGCGCGCTATATCAAAAACTCTTCAGCCTAAAGAAAACGAAGATAACAATCGCGATTTTGTGGATCCTGGCTTTGTTTGCGCCCCTTCCATACATCGTTTCTGGTCACGAGTTTTTCTTTCACGCTGGTAAAGTTTTCTGCGCGCACGATTTAGAAAGTTTGAATCAAGGATATGGGGCTTATTTGGTTCTTGTTTACGTGGCTATTCCACTAATGATCATCGTTGTTTGTTACACAAAAGTATTTATAGCGGTGCGCAAACATAACCTTCACTTTCAAAGCAGGCAACGAAGGAGGCAAATGGACCTGCGATCCGACAGTGGGCTATCTGTCGAAGAAGTGAACATTACAAACATTCTCCTTGTGGTTGTAATAGGTTTTCTAGCCTGCTGGACTCCCGTATTGGTGATTGATATAATCGATTTTATAAACGCGGATTGGAAACTAAAACGGCAAGTGTATGTGAGTTACACTTGTTTTGGATTTTCCAGCTCTTCGTTAAACCCCATCATATACGGTATCATGAATCGTTCAATTCGAGCGGAGTACTTCAGAATTTTTAAAACATTGAAGAATTTTGTTTTTAGACAAAAGAAGTAATCCAGTGGTAGATATAAAGAAGGTTTTGGAGAAGGTCTCCTCCTTCCCCTTTCGCCTTTTTTTATAAACCAATACCTAAAAATACAAGACCGAGGCAACAAGATATTTCTCAAACTTATTTTGGAAATAAGAACCTTCCTCTTCCCAGTGATTCTTGCAAACAGAAGATCAGAAAAGTAAAATAAAACGTGATTATATACATTATACTTTCGTTTGTTAAATCAAGGAGGTGTATCTTTTCTTCATTTAGTCATTTGTCGGCATAGCACAATTAAACAAACAGAATAAAAAATAAGCATTATCACAGAACTGATTTAAGATATAATCAGAGGCTTGTTTACTGAATTATTTTCTACCTAGGACATGGAAAAAGGAATAAAAACACAGCAAACTCTCTCTTGAAATTATTTCAACTCTGGCCTAGAATGAACTTCTTTCAGTTTACTCCCGTTAGTATCATGAACTGTCGCCTCAAACTGAATGTACACTCAGCGCAAAAGACCGATATTCTTCTGAGGTTATGCGAGCCAGACACAAGACAGGAAAAAGTCGAATAGCTTTCAATATTGGCCTTGTTCCTAAGGTTGTATCTATCACGTTATTTTAAGATCATTTGTGAACTAAAAATACATTTTCCGCCCTGGTCTTTGTGGCGAGTTCTTCTCCGTTATGCGACGAGTTCTGCCACAAGTAGAAAGTATAGTATACTAGGGGATTTACACTTTTTCGACAACAAATCATAAGTCTGTTTAACTTATACTATTAGTACGAAATCAGGAATTACGCTTGAGAGCTTTTTGAAAATATGCCCAACAAAGGATGCCATGCTTTCATAACATCACGCACGTTAACGGAAATACCTGAAAGCGGTCAGTTGTTTTGTGGTTACAACTAGTACTGAACACACATGGTTCCAGCCCCCCCTCACTCCATCTCAGCCAGTCATAAGGGGGTTGATGATAATCGTTTCACATGATAATTTGGTTTAATCTTGTAATACCTCCTACCCCCCCTCCCCCCACCCCCCACCCTCAATGCAGCGCCATAGTTTCTTTATTCTTGATAATGTAAATTGGCTTTCGTGTATAGTTTCTAGAGCTAACGGTTCGAGCGTGAGCCCTACAACTAGCAATTGTTCCCTCATGTTGGAATGAATATTTCTGAATAATATTTGACAGGAGCACATGGTGGGCTCCTCTACTTGATATGAAGTCGAGGGGATTGTTCAATAATATTCACTCAGTCTGAGGAAAAATAATGGTGTTATATCAGGCATCAGGCATCAGGCATCTGGCATCAGGCATCAGGCATCTGGCATCTGCGTTGCTCACCTGTGTGACAGATTTCTCGTTCCCAGGTCTCTTTAGTTCTCATTGGCTGCGGTTTCTTTCGAAAATGAATGCGCTTGAAGAAATCGAATTATGCGCAGAGCGCCATCTTGCGGAAGACCGGTATACAAATTTGTACCTGTTTGGGTCCTTGTTTCTTGGGTCAAGTTGGACTGTTTCTCGAGTTTAGAATTCAGAACAGGAGTGAATTGTCTGAGGAGACAGAGGTGAGTGTTTTTCTGTTTGAATTATTATCCTAAACATACTTAATCATCATTTGATGACAGCTGTAGGAGTCGCCCCACATGATCTATAGGTGCCACGATATATTCGAATAATTTCGAGTGTTTTACTTCTTTAGATCGTTTTTCACGGATTGCAGGGACTCTCCTGCAAGGGTTAAAGTGGATTTACTTATGTATAGAAGCACCTCCAGTTGACCGAGGGTGAAAGATTAGGTTGGTTCACTGTGACTGGAAAAAAATGCCATCCACTGTGAATAATTTCAACATCAGAGACGTATGGAAAAACAACATGGAAGAAGAGTTCGCTAAAATAAGAGATGTAGTAGAAAACTATCCTTATGTAGCCATGGTAAGAGTAAAATATTTCGTTTTAACCTTTGTTGGAGTAAATTGCTTTAAAAGTGAACCATTCCGGTGGTTAACATCATCAAATAGTACAAAGGCCTTTGAGTTAAGTATTGGTGAGCAGAAAGTCACCATTAGATATGTTTGAAAACAAAACCACATTCGGTGTGTGTGTGTTTTTTTTTTGTATTGAAAGGAATCCTTCACTGTTGGGACTACATGTATGTTTAGATTATGGCAAGAATAATTTTTTGACATTCATGATATTCTTAAATTGGAGATCATTTCCTTTATTCTCATAACCTGTTTATTTGATGCAAGGTGACACTGTATGGAGAAACCATAAGCAAGTTACCCTTATTGCTTATTTCTTGACTGATAGAGGAAAGCTTGCATTGTTAATAGAATTGTTTTTACCTGACAATGCCAAATTAACTAGACAAGCTTAATTATACTTGTTTTTTTGATGGTAGGACACAGAATTTCCAGGTGTTGTGGCAAGGCCTATAGGAGAGTTTCGCAGCACTTCAGAGTATCAGTATCAACTTCTAAGGTGTAATGTGGACTTATTGAAAATCATACAACTTGGCTTATCCTTTTACAATGAGAAAGGACAACAAGCACCTGTTGGAGCCACTTGCCAGTTTAACTTCAAGTTCAACCTAACGTAAGTTTTATTCTGCACAACTGTGAAACAAATCACGGATACAAACAGCACAGAAAATGTTCAACACAAGCTTGAATATTTCTTGAGTAAGGCCTGCCTATCTAAACCCATGAGAAGAAGTGGGTTGAGATAAACACAGATGGGTACCTCTGGTGGCAGAGGAACAATAAGCACCTGGGCTTCAGAAACTCTGGCAAACTATAGAAGTGTGATCCACTTAGCACATGAACTAGGTTTTTTTTTCAATTATCAGAATTCTTGTTTCAAAATTTAAAGAGCTTGAAAATATTCTGATGTAGTTTGTGGCTGTCAGAAACCAAACATAATAGGTCTAAACTTTGCAAATGGACCAGTTTAATAGTATTTATTCAATTGATTTTACAAATATTTACCACAGAGAGGACATGTATGCCCAGGACTCAATAGATTTACTCAACCGAGCAGGTATCCAGTTTAAAAGGCATGAAGAAGAAGGAATTGATGTGAATGACTTTGCAGAGCTTCTGATAACATCAGGACTTGTACTGAATGAAGATGTCAAATGGCTATCATTTCACAGGTAAATATTACTTAAGACATGCTGGGTGGGAAATAAGTTTCTTTGCTCAGTATTGCATACTTTTCTCATATTTAAAGGTGTACAAGGTTTTCTTTTATGGAACATTATGTTTTAAAACTCATATTTTGATAATCATCGAGTCTTCCATAGAGAAAGATATTTTCCTTTATGTTATTCAACATTTCCATCTCTTCCATTCTGATTTTGTGGCTAAATTTTTTCACCAGTGGTTATGATTTTGCATACCTGTTGAAAGTGGTGACAGCACAAAATTTGCCAAGTGAAGAATCAGAATTCTTTGACCTACTGAAGATCTACTTTCCAAATATTTATGATGTTAAATACTTAATGAAGAGTTGCAAGAGTCTTAAGGGTGGCTTGCAGGAAGTGGCTGAACTGTTAGAGGTATAACAATTCATCATAGCTCATTCAAATGGTAGCTATTATTATAATCTCATAAATAAGCCTTGTTGGGATCTTTATATATATATTTCCAACCATCTCTTGAGTGATGGGAGATAATAGAGAAGGTGTTTGTCTGAAACTTGATCAGAGGTAAAACTCTAAGGTTTTTAATGATATTACAAAAGGTAGCTGATAACATTTGGCAAATTGGTATTATTAGTGTGATATAAGGGAAAAGATCAGAGTTCCCATGAAGAATCAGCCCTAAACATTTGCATAGCGATGCTGTACACCCAGTGGTAGAACATTGAAGAGTGGTTTGCAAATTTTTGAAGTTGTGGGTATCAGTGTACACATTTTTAAGGTTGGGTTTTGATTTTAAACAAAAGGACAAGTCTTGGGAATTATAGGACAGAAAAGTGCCCATGCAAATACTTGAGATAAAACTCAAGGCTATATTTTACCTTTTTTTTTTTTTTCTTTTCCATTTCTTATAGCTTGAAAGAGTAGGACCCCAGCATCAAGCAGGAAGTGACAGCCTATTAACAGGAAATGCATTTTTTAGAATGAGAGAGGTATGTCATTATATGTTTATCTTGGAGTTGCAGCCCTTGTTTTACTGAGGACAGTATCTGATTAGAACAGGTAAAGAATTTCAATTTAACCATTTTAATAATTTTTCTCTGCATTTTGTATCCTACAGATGTTTTTTGAAGATAATATAGATGATGCAAAGTACTGTGGACACCTTTATGGGTTGGGAACATCATATGTGAATGGAGGGCAAGCATACAGTGGGCCAACTTCCAACAATAATTCCAATTCATCCTGATGCTGGCTACTGTACATTGCTTCATGGAGCTTTCAATTCAACAGGTTGTAAATCTGCATTTTAACTAGGCACCCAAATGTTCTTTTCCTTTGGGGAATCTTAATGAGATTTTTAACTGTTCCTAAGTTACAAGATGCTTTGCTAGGGTCCATATCCTTTTCATCAGTTGAAGATTTTTTAAGAAGATCAGTTTACTAAAGACAAAAACTGCACAGTTCTGTTAAACAACCTCTATGAACCAGCAATCAGATAAGTGCATTTATTTGGAACTCCTAATAACTGATAGGTCACGGTATTTCAAAGTTTGAGAAATAGAAAGTCTAAGGCCCAAGAAACAGGTTTGTTTGAAACTTCCTTCTTTTGCTTCAATGAGACAACTTATCTACTCAAAAAAGTAGCAAAACTGAATTGAGCTTATCACTTGTTGAACTCTCAATACATTTTTTTGTGCAGTTTTTAATACAATGACACTGTAGATATTTAGTATTTTTATGGTAAGATTTTCATGTAGAAAAATTTGACAGGAGTAAGGACAGTGGCAAGTATAGTTATGCTGGAGAACTGATTAAAATCTTTTTAAAGTTATTTTTAGATTTAACATGATCATTGTAAAAGATAGATATATATTGCTCTTTATGCATGCTTAAGTGTACATTCATTTTAGGATTGGACCAGTTGTGTTAGATTCCCTTTTGCCTTTTGCCTTTTTGTGTTTATCGTACTTGCTGTTTAGATTTGATGGGCAAGCACAATGAAGCCAATGTGTATGGATTTGAAACAATTTCAAATAATTTTACAGTGAATGCAGGATTTGGTTCTTCACAAAAACCTAGTGATTATCCAGCAATTTAAAGCAACAAATTCTAAAGCAAAACAACAACAACAACAAAAGGAAACAGAGTAATCTTTTTTAGGTCATAATATGTCCACCTTTTTTCACCTTCATGGAAAACATGGAACATGGTGAGATGATAACATAGTAACTTGAAACCCTCCTACAAATCAAGCAAGTCTTAAAGTCTTTACCTTGGAAGTGCTCGGTTGGAATCTAACAGTTTTTACACTAGTGTAAAAAGGTTTGTTCATTGCTAAAGCATGCATTTATAAATATATATATCAAGTCTTGTAAGTAGTACTATAAGAAATTTTGCAATTAAAGAAAATTATTAAAGTTAAATGTTATGGTAATGATGCAAGGAAATCCTGGCTCTGTTTGGTTGTTTTGATTATTAACTTTATTTATATTATTGAATCACCTAACTTTTGTGGGAAATCGTTGAATCCTATTGTTACACATTTCATTATTGTAAGGGTAAATCTCCACCTCACATCAACTTTTTTTTCATTACAATCACCACAGGCCTGTAAACTTTATATGAAAGGTGTTTCCTCTAGGCCTAACTCGCTTTAGAAAGGTTTCCTTTTCAAACATCTCACTATTCTAAGGGTAAATCTCCACTCCATATCAGGTTTTTTTTCATCTACCATTTATACAATCACTGCAGGCCTGTAGATTTTAGAGGGAAGACATTTCCTTTAGGACTAACTTACTTTGGAGAGGTCTCTTTGTCTCAGTGGTAGACCATTGCAGCCTTGCCTTTGCTCACCATCACTCTGATGATTGTTTCTGGAATCTGGTGGCTCTGATGTTGTGCTTGAATTTGAGACAGCAATACTTAAAGTGAAACCTTACTTCAAGTGGCATTAGAAAGCGAGTGGGGGTTGGGAATTTTTCTTAGTATTGAAATTGAAGTTTCAAGCTCTTAATGGCTTTTCACTGTACAAAAGAAACAATGAAAAATGAATAAAAAAAGGAGTTTTAGTTGGAGAGTGGGTAAAAAGGGTATGGCATGCTGGCTACCAACACCATTTTTTCAGTGCTAAGTAAATTTAGACAGCATCAAGTGTTCCCAATTATGGTTATTCAGTTCCTCTGGCAAATTTATTGGCATGAACACATCTCCCACATTGAAAGCCAAGCAGTAAGTTACTGGATCTTGTTCTTGAAGGTTTTGTCTTCATTACTACCTTTAACTATTTGTTAACACCATTTTGCAATAAAAAATCTTTATTAACAATCACTTATTCTGAAGCTCAACCCATACACTATAAACTGACAAGACTGTAAAGCAAGGTAGAATGCTAATGTAAGATTGTACTTGACAAAGCAACATTTTACAACAATGACAAAAGAACAAAAACAAACTATAGCTTAAGTACCACATGCAATGAACATTTTTGTTGATCATACAAATCCAAAACTAACAGAAAGCATCCTTTACAAATTCATACAAGATTACAATGACAACATTACATGTCATAACTAACTCAAAGCAGTCTCTTTCTGGGTATTTCACCGGGAAATTAATTCTTTAAATCCACGATAAACAGTTTTTTCTCTTTCTAATACCAAATTAATACAACTGTAAACTTACTCTTGTCAAGCTCCCAAGATTCATTTCTGTATGTGAATGAATCTAGGTCCCTAGCTTAGACTGTCAGAATAGCATTATACATTTTTAAGTATCCTGCACACTACATGCATAATTGATGCCTTGCCTGTGCAAACACAATAGAAAAGAGGAAGCTCTATTTGTATTACCAATTCATTTCTTTCCTTCCCTTGATTAAGCAATTGCCTAGACATGGTCTGTTTATTTTCATATTATCAGTGATTGCACTTTTGGAAGTATGTCATGTTTCATCAGTTGTCCCTCTTATCTCCAAAGTAGATTCAGTGTGCATGACCTCAGTAGCAATTTGCAAGAAAACTGAACAAATTAATGATTTCAGTCTCAAGTATTCCCAACATCTTAAACTTATAACAAAACCACAAACACTTCAACTTTTGAAATTCCTCAAAATCTTTAACCCTTTGATCCCTAAGATGGCTCAACATTTTTACTCTCCTTACAATGTCATCCCTGAATCAAACATTATAGCCATGAGAATAAAGGAAACAATCAGCAACCTAAGAGTCCCTTAATTTTTAAACAATTTGTCATCAGCATTTTAGGAAATGTAAACAGAACAGTATGGAGGACATGCATACTGATGCTGGGGTTTCAAGTAAAACAAATATCTTCCCACTTGAGTGTGTTCATCCTTGAGTACCCACTATCTGTGCATCAGGGTTGTCAAAAATGTTAATGATCAACTGGACTTGTCAACAAAGTAGTGATACATAGACGATATGCTTCCATGCTAAACATTGAGCTGCAATCATTCAGAAAAGTCAACACATTTTTTCAGGGTAGAGGGTGAAATGTGCCGGATGCAAACTTATTTTGACAACCCTGGTGCATAAACTATGTACACACCATATATCCTAGAATAAACATCCAAGTTATTATTTAAAAATTCAGCTAAAAGAAAAGGCACTTAATTGAGGGGGTAGGATGTAATAAAAATTAAAATAACAGATAACGCACTTAAAGGAACTCTGTGAGCACATGGAGGTAGAAATAACTGCAACTGACTTATATGGAAAAGATGGTATTTTCCTGTCCTGACAACTCTGTAGTTGGAGCTGAAACAGTTGTAAATGAAGTGGCAACAGGTTTTTATTGTATTCCTACTATTGAAAAAAGCGAGGGAGGAGGGGCGCTTGTTTGGTATTGTGGCCTATAGGATGGGAACCATAGGAGAAGGGTGCTTGTTCCAGGAAATATGGTACATATTAAAACCTACTCATGTTACAGCGTGGGGTCAGAGTAAAGGAATTGCCATAGTGCAACACTTTCTTGTGCTTACAACTCTCTTATTGTAGTCTTTGGTAAGAGAGAATCACAAAACCTTCAGGAAATTGAACTCCTTTTCTCCTCATATCCAATCTGACCACTATGTATTTACAGCAATCTCATTCCAGTCTCTGTTTGCAGAAGACGCAAAAGCTGAAGTCCATAAGATGGATTGTGTTGCGGTGCTGTTGGCATAAAATTCTTTTTCTTCCCACAAATGACTTTCCACATCCCCTGCACTGGATTGTTTCCGGAGATCTGTTACAGTTACAGGCAACCTCCTAAAAATAAAAAACGCAATGTTTGATGTTTCTGCACTCCATCATTAAATACTCCCTGAAGATTTTAAATAGCTTTACACTAATAAGTAACAGCTCATACATGGGAAAATAAATTGTGAGATTACTGAAGCGAAAAGGCAGAATGCAAAAATAATTTTGAAAGAAAAAATTTTAAAAATCAAAATAAGAAAGACAAGAAAACTGATGAGGTCATTGTCAGCAAAACTAGTTTTATAGATTGCAAAATTGGTAAAGTGTGTTTAAAGTAAATGAAGAGCAGGCTTTTCCTCAGTAAACCTTTAACAGTTGATTAAAAAAGGATGTACCAGTAGGTAGGCATGCTTTAAATGTTGCCAGTGTACACTTTACCATTAAAATCAGTATGCGTTTCCTCCATACTGTTCTCTTTACATTTCATAGGCTCTAACAAGGAGAATTTGTTCAACAATCATGAGCCTCTCTGACTGGTGTTCATTGCTTTGTATGTGTGATTCAGGGCGATGTGCTGAGAAGTTAAGATGCTAGTCACTGAGAGGTCTAGTGCATTCACATTAACATTTGAGACTGGACAGTCCTACGGAATAACCCGTCGTGAATAATGACTTATCAGTAGAAGACGTAGAGAAAAACATGAAACTACTTTTTTTTTTTTAACTGTACCAACTGCTTAGGGAAACTTCTTCAACTGCTTAGGAAACTTCTATTCAAGATGCGAGATAACGTTTTAACTGTTTCTTAATAAAACGAATACTTCAGCACTGAGCCACAATGCAAGGAAAGCTCTTATAAGGAAAAACACCTTCGGTTATTTCTTACTATGCATCACGAAATAGGATAGATTTGAGAAAGAACTAAAGTAAAAGAATATATGTTTATTCGATAAAAACAACACCTACACGCCAATTCGCACACTGACTTGAGCACAAACACTAAGAAATACCAGAAAGATAGAGGTACTCACCATCCGAGGTTTGTTATTATTTTTTTCCGAAGACTCAGTTACGTTTATTGCTTTAGCTGCAATAAGAATTACCGAAAATTATCTATGAGTCAGCTGTCTTCAATCTGCGAGCAACGCTAACACTAGCAAATTTTATCACACCATTAGCCTCCAAACTACCAAACAAAAATCATTCACATAAACGAGTGGAGACTGTCTTCCATAAATAAGATACTTACAATCAGTGTGATAGTAGCCGTACATCAAGTTTCTGTTCATTTTAGCTAAGGATTTTTGGCTGACTGACGTATTGCTTCGACTAAAATCTAGTCCTCATTAGCGAGGTCCTCAAATGACAACTACACTGTGTGCGACCTCACATGTGCGCTTTTTTGGCGGGAGACGTCACTCACACCCAGACCCTGGGGATCGTGGGAAATTTAGTAGATTTAAAGACGATATGGTATGATTGGTGCGCTTTTGTCTTGACGATTAGTAAGCAGTTCCTCTTATTTGCCGCCAATGCAGTAGTTACAGCTTTAATATTCTCTCGGTGACGATCAATGAAGTGAAGGCACCTTAAGGCATTATAATCATTTTGTTCTTTTGTCCTTCTACACTTTTCTAAATGTGATTTCCGCCGTCAATTTATTGACTATTTGATCTGATCGGAAGCAATCAGTGTCATGCTTTGAGTCATCTGTTGCTGACTCGTTTTAAGATCTGTCGAAAAACTTGGTAGCAGTAAAACAAAAAAAGGAAGAAAAAGTTAATCGCAGTTGTCGCGCAAAAATACTTATTTCACCTTCGGAATTTTATTTTTGTAACTGTTTAAACTCCGGAAGTAAACAGTTCCACCCAATCACCAACAAGGGCCACGTGTGTCAAGAAACAATACCACCCAAAATAGACTCCATGCAAATATTAGCAGTGCATCTGGAGAGAAAAGATTACTCATGAACCCTCTTTCCAAGCCCTGTCTATCACACCCGTCATGCAAAACGATTGGGCCACAAAATTACGTCTGCGTCAGCTAAATTTATGATTTTCTTTCGACCTGGGTATGCATGAGTGATTATAAATAGTTATTGAAGTAAAATACCGGTACAGCAATCTTCCACTTTCTTCGAAATGATGCTCGCTTTTCACTATCGAAATAGTTTCACGTAATGTGGATAGACCTGTTTGTTCGCTTAGAAGAGGGAAACGCACATCGAAAAAAAGCGAATTTAGATTTGAATGATTTGCGCTAAGGTTATCTTGAGTAAGGTGATGCCGCCAAAGTGGTGGAAGAAATATTTCCCTTCATGTCGGATGAGAACAATAGGAGCTCGTTTGCAATCAATAGGTGAGAACAAAAATTTATTTCACACCATCTTTTGATCGTTAACGTTATTTTAAATTATTACCGACTTGATGATCAAAAGAGGCGAAGCCGGAAACAAACGAAATGCTAAAACAAAAAAACAAAAAAGACAAAAACGAAAGGGAAAGTAACAAATAAACTCTGAATAAATGAGTCAAGGAGTTTATGAATTATTGATTGATCGAATGAATAATAGAAAGGAGGGAGTAACTGCATTGGAAGGTTGGGAGGGGGGGGACTAACACCAGTTGCAAAATGAGTTGAGTCATGTTACCACTACAAGAGGTCACCACGCGATCCAACACGTATTCCCCCATCCCCCCCCCCTCTTGCAATGGTGGTAGCAAAGCAGTATCATGTACAAAACCTCGACGAACAACAATGAATCGAGGAAGGGAGACTGTATTTGTTTTCCTAGCACTGTAGATTACTTCTCGAACTTCTGATGAAGTAGGGAAATGAACTTTCTGCGCAAGGTGTCTCAACATTTTTGCAACTGGTTGTAGCTTGAGCGATCTTGCTGAGCGTAGTCTCCGAAGTGGTACCAAGAGTTTTACCACTGCTTTGCAGTCACAACTTCTATAGCATTCTCTCTCTCTGACTCCAATTATTATTATATTATAACCATAAACTGCGTTGAATCACATTAAGGATTTCTTACGGAGATTGAAGGCAAGACATCATGGATTTCGAGTTCTCAAAATATATGTATATTTTCCCGTAAATTAATTTAAATCTTTTACAATGTTTATGCCAATACGAACGGTAGGAATAACTACAGATATTGGAGAAAAATATTGCAAGAATTGATCGCTTAGCTTAATAATATTGTAAGTGAAGACAACTGTTGGATGGAAACTCTACAGGGCTCATATTAATAAATTAATGCCATCTATTGACAGCCATGTAAAGAAATAATTTACTTTATTTATGGGAAAAATATACTTTTCTTTCGAGTGTTCAGAGATAATTTACTTGTTGTCCTATGTTGTTTAGCTAAATCGTTCAAAATCTTTCAAGAATGGAGTTTAGAAAAATTAAAGGACACTCTGGTCAGAAAAATGAACTAAATTCGCACCTACTTGACGGGTAATAATTGGTCATAAAAATTTTGTTGATCACAGCCGCTGAAATCAACCTAATCCACGCAAAAGACAAGTTAACAGAATTTGAACCTGTAACACTCAGCATTTGCGCAAAGGGAATCAGTCCAATTTTTATTTCTTGTTCCCCAAAAAAAGGAAACTAAGGCTTCAATTTCAAAGTTAGTCATTGTTTCCGCTTCATTTCTTCTCAAAAAGCGTTCAATTGAAATTTTGACAAGTAACGAAACATTTTTTGGGGCGGAGTTCCCTGAATAGAACGGACTAAAAAAGTTTTACGCCTTTGGAAGTGATGCATTTTTTCCCCGGAATAGCGCACATGAGTAATGTAAAGCGGCGAATTCGCGACGAGTCATGCAAGATCACACCTAAACGCACCTCTACAACTTGTTCCTGACATTAAAAAAAATCTATAAAACCGTGTTCAAACGTAAACGGCAAATTCCATCTTTGATTTCGCTTACAAGGCCCAAGTTCAATTCTTGCCAATGGTCATTCAAATAACCGCGATTCTAAATCACTCTGATCTATGAGCAACCGCTGAGTAGGTTATGTATTCCAGAGAGCATTAGAACGTTGCACTTTAAGTTCAATTAAATCCTCTTATTCATTTTGAAGGCCCGTGGACACTTGATCACATATTAAATGAGGAACGTAGCGTAGTACATCACAATGGCGAACAAAACTATCATGGCGGAAAAGAGTCCCAATTGAACTTTAATGAACACATTCAGACCTGTCTCTATGTGCGAGATTTTTCTGTTGCTGGTATCAAGCTGAAAAATAAGAAATGTGCAAAATTAGTATGAGCAAGGCTTTGGCAGCTTGTCGGCGGAAAGTGAACAACGACGTGTGTGAAAGGGGTGAGGGGGGTATTCCACCCTTGTTGATATTAAATACCCCCTCCCCTCCCCTCCCCTCCCATCCCTTCTGATGTACTTGCCTTTTTCTCCACGTCACTCAGCTGTCGTTGAAGAGCCTGAATGCTGTCGATGGCCATACTAAGAGTTACTGGTTTACCTTCCGCAATATCAGAATACTGACCGGAAAGCTGAGAACTAGACGCCAGAAATCGGCAACGAAGTCTGAAAGAAAATTCAGAGATAGGCTCAAACGCGTAGGGGGTGGGAGAGGGGAGTTTGGCAGCGCGCTCAGTTGAACTTAATATTCAACGCTCTGACTAAAAGAGCTACGTCACCGAAATATCTTTATTAAAAAAAGAAACACCTAAGAACTACAAATAAACCAAAAAAAAAAAAAAAAAAAACAAGGAGAGGAGAGACGAGGAGAGAGGAAAGAAACGAGACGGAGAGGCCTGACACGGTTTGCACGAGAAAAAATAGTAAAACAAGTTGGGGTCTGGGATAGCTGTGCCAGAAGTAAAAGAGAAACGATGAAAATGAAAGTCTTCGGGATGTACTCGCGACTGTTACTCAATAGAGTTAAAACACAAAATTTACTAGGGAAATATTCTAACCTGTGTTCCACAATATTTGCTTTTGGTATCGTTTTCCATAATGCAGCAAGTTCACTTGGCGACTTATCATCCTGTAACTCAGTCGACATCACCAAGAACTTGTCTTTTACTACGCTGGCAGCATGACCTAATGTAAAACCACGACATTCCTTTATACTACTCGCGCTTTATCAAGGAACTAATGATTATTTTTAGTTGCCCTCCCTCGAGGACTGAATAGAAAAGAGAGGCAAGCACTAAATTACTGCAAACCCTGTAATCTTTCTCCCATAAATTACCGTCAACGATTAGCTGGGATTTTTTCATTCAGCTACTTTCTGATATCTCATAAAAATAAAATAAATAAATAACACTTCATGGTCCTCTTATACTGAGCAACCTCTAGAAAAACATTTTCAAACTTTACCTGGCTGTAAAAATACACTGACATCCGCAGAGGAGTTTGCAGGAATTATACCCGAGCTTGGTCGGACTCGATAACTCTCTGGAGAGGTTGTCTTTACCTGTAAAATAAAAAATTCGCACAGTATTAGCGAACAATGTCTACAATCTTTTACTATTCGCGTTAGGCTTGAGTTTTGCCCTTTTCTCCAATCCGGTCCTCCATTTTCGGAGGGGAAGCGGGGAAAAGAAGCGCGGGCTCATTTACCGAACAGCAGCTACTTACGACCTGTTGGCGTCACAACAAAATTATATAAGTAGCTCTATGTAAAATCTAAAACTACTGACCTTGAAAGCTACTGTTGACAAAGCGTTGTTGGTGAGCGACAAAGATTGAAGAATTTCTCCAGTTGAAGTTGTTCCGGTGAAAACTAATTCCTCCGCTGGCCTGCAATTACCAGAATCGATCAGAATTACGTGCTACAATAATCATGGCGACACACTTCGCGATTTTATACGCCGATCGCCATGATCTGCGATATAAATCGCCAATATTTGATATGTTAGATGTCGGCGATTTTCGCCAGCGATCAATTTGCCGCGATTGGAGGATAAAATCGCCAAGTGTGTCATCGGCTTCAGTTTGAGGTTTGACTAAAAACTTAGTAGATACGTCAAAACGAAGAAGGAGAACTTCTAAAAAAACAACACATGTGCAAAGATTGAGAGAGACTGGAACGGGCTGCCTTATAACAAAATGGAATCTGAAAGTTTATTAAACAATACTAACGTAATAGTAAGCAGACTTCCTGTTCTAGTAAAGCCGTCTGGAGGAGCTCGTCTTTGTGATGATCTTGAACTTACAGCTCGAAGTGTGAGCTTTGTTGAATTATTCCTCTACACAAGAAATAAATGAGTCAGTCTTTAATCTAACCTTCCTCAACATGACTGGATATTCCCCAAAATTATTTCGGGGGTGTTTTATGGTCGTGTGTGAAACAGTAAAGGTCAAAGAAAAAAATTGTTATTTCATTAAAATCGTAAAATGAGAATGGTAAAATAAATTCATGAAATTCGTGGTTTCCATGAAGTTGAATGTACGGTTGCTTTGTCTTTTTTCAACTCCACACGAGAAAAAAAATCAAACAAAAAATAAAACAAAATGAGCTGCACGGAAGTCAAGAGGTACATAAGCCGGTATCTTGCAGCATGGGTGGCCAAACAGGACACCGCAAAGTCATGCCCACTTTCGAAGCCTGGTCAGCCAAATAATCTAAGGTTTACGTTGTTCAGGTTAAGTAAATTTAGTACAGTGACTTTTTCGCATCACTCGCCAGCTTGCCATATCTGTAACATTCCCAAAAGGAACTACAAATAGACTACGACTAGAGGTCACAAGATTGGGAGCGAGAATCAACGGATTTAAGTCGAAAATATCAAACCTGCTTTGAATTCGACTGAGAAGATGCATTTTCAAGACTCTGGTCGGCTGCAGTAGAAGGCGCATCCTCAAACGTCACCTACAAGTAATCAAAACAACAGCAAGAAAAAATTGAGAAAATCGAAAGCTTACAGGCAAAGCTCTGGTAAAACATGCGTTCGATTTGAATAAAAATTCCTGTGAATCTCATATCCCAAGAACTCTACAAAACGAAAAAATTATGAGTCAAGCGGCACCAAAGAATTTCTTGGATGGTTGTTCTTTACAGCAAGACGAAAAAGAAGCTGGTTTGACCTTATAAGAGATGTTCTCCATAACTGGAAGTTTAGCCGATGTAAGATTAATCATATGTCTGACAAAGTTAATCCTAAGTAGCGGAAATGAAGGCCGAGCGCTCAGCACCGCTAGGGCAGGTCATGTCAAACATTCGTTACAATTGAGTTGTAAGAAGCTTAGAAAACATGAAAATGATTTAACTGGGGCGAAGAGAAAACACATGGTGATGCCCAAGGACAACTGTTTTTTCTTATAATTATTCGTTTTTTTTGTCCGAGGAAAGGAATTGCGTGGGGAAGGAAGGAAATTGCCTATCTAACAGCCGGTTCAGTGAGAAGTCACGCAATGCTCAGCCAAGCGAGGAAGCATTACGTGACCTTCTACGTGACGAATGCGAACCAGACTACTCAGAGAAGGAGGGAAAAGTGAAGGGAGATGAAAGGAGTGGATAGAAAAGGTGTCAAGAAGGGACAAATTATCGAATCACAAAGATGTTAAGTCATGGTTTGCCTATTCTGGAAAATTCGAGTTCTCGTTAATTCCCTGTGATCATTATCTTTGTTTTGACAGGCCGTTCTGCAAATTAAACTTTGGTCTAAGTTTGCGAAAAAATAAAAGAAATGCACTTTGTATGTCTCTGTGAAAGGAATGAATCTTTCTTTATGGCTTTGTTCAATTCTAAATCATCTGTACAAATGATGGAAAGTGTTATGAAATCCTTGAGAAGTTCATCTCCCGAAGTACCTTCTTTGTATTGGACGGAGGAGCCTCTTCACCCGCATCTTCACAACTGTCATCGTCAAAATCATTGCCTTGGTTTATGGTACCATTTTCAATGAGGTTATCATCTGTACTGTTGTCAAATAGAGAAAAAAATATCGAATACGATATAAAATATTGGTCTGCAGTACGTATTTGTGCAGGCTGAGCGAACAATCAAACTCTGCCGCAACATTCCGTATGAACACACCCTTATTTCTTTGATTGGGTTTTACAAATTTTGTGCTGGAAACACATTCAGAACCACAGAGAAACAGGGAGCCGAGCTTAATAGACTTAAACTGTTGTAACATTATCCTTGTGTTCTCATTGGCTAAGCATGTTCGGCACGATTTAAGCCTTAAATCTTGCCAAACATGCAAAATTTTTCGGAAAATCTTTCATAAGATCTCTGATATAGGCCCTTCATAAGTTGATAAAACTTTGCAGAGGGCTGTTAAATGGGCCTCTGACAGGCTGGGGATAAGGATACATGGCAAAGTTAGACGATTTGAGGGGAGAATTTTTTCACTTTCTGATTAATTAAGAAAAGATCAATAAAAAACATTCAAAATACTTAAGAAGTAGCTGTAACCTAAGATAAAGTTACTGTTGTTTTCCATAACGGCTTGTGGTAGGAAAAACTTGTGCTTACTTTGTGGATTCAGTCATACCAAGACTGGCAAGAGCTTCTTTTGTGGGTGGATAAGAATATTCATAGGGATCCTGTTAAGAAAACATAAGAAATATTATTCTATTCAACCTGACAATTTACAATTTCACCAATTTTCACAAATAAATTATCATCAGCTATTGGCTCTATGCTGTATGCCTTCAATTCACAACATGCCTAAATGAGAAACAAGTCAACATGCCTAAAATGCTTTTGTTTAAAATGAGAACTTAACTTTTTTGTCTACTAGCAAAGTTTTCATTATTTTTTTTTTAAGGAACCTAATGCAAATGCTTTGAACCATTTTCTGATTCCAACTTCGAAAAAAGAGATGCTTTTGTTTCATTTTCCATATGATCTAGCCCAGAGTTGGCAACCTCTTCTGCCTACGCTTTGATCTAGGATAGTAAATCTATCCTTAAAGGCACTAATTTTGTGTACACAGTTTATTCCTTTTACTCTCAATTTATTTCCACTCAGAGTTCCGGATAACCATGCAGAGGAAAACTTTTGAACTATCCAGCACTTACAGTTCCACCTAATCTAACAAGTAGCTTGTCTTCATCAACTAAATCCAAAAGTTCAGGTTTGTTTAAAAATCTGAAAGAAGTAAAAAACCATGAATTTTAATGACAAGGCTTGCATGCCAGCATGGATTTCTTGAATTGGAGTCAAGCACACCATCTCTAAGCCAAAATATCTCCCTGAGCAGCAAAAAATATCAAACAGCTCTTGGATAAAGTATAAATCTTAAACTGAACCTGATTTTTTTGACAGCTTCAGGGCTCAGCCATGACTTGACAATTTTCCATGTTGCTGTGGTAAAGAAACAAAACAGATAAAACATGAATCCAAGAAGATGCAAGAAAGGGTACTCCCTACTTATAAAAGAAGTGATTTAGCAAAGTTGGTTGAGAAATAATTATTAGACTGAGGGAAGTTTGATGTCCTACCATCCTTGGAGACCCATGGGCTGTCAGTCGATTTTCAGTCAGGGTGGAAGAGCCCCTGAGACTGGGCTCTTCCACCCTGACTAAAAATTTACTCATAGCCCCTGAGTCTCAGAGGATGATGTCCTGCTCTTAAAGGCCTACTCTGACCAAAACTCACCTCTAGAACAAAAATATCCACTGAATTATGAGTAATCCTTCACAGCAAAGAGAAATTCTATTGATCTACTTCAGTTAAATGTTTATGTTTTATATGTAGATCAGTATGAATTAAACAAAAATACCTGATAAAATCCAGGGCATTTCCACGACTACTAGCCATGCTAATGATAGGAAAGGGAATATATTTTACATTTAGTAACCAAAGGTGGACTTGCATCAGAATAAAGAAATTCATGTTATCCAGCTTAATTTCATCTCCTACCCAATGTCCATGGAAAGTAATCTCTGAAACAACTTATGATAAATTTTACAAAATCCAGGTCCTAAAACAGCAACAATAAAAGAATTACATTTTGTAACAGTTATTACAATAATAATTATTGCTTGTGACTTAATTTTGTATTACCAAATATTGATGTCAGAATGTTGCAAATTTAATAAAGATAAGCAACATTTTCCTAAGAATTGTATTCCATAACTCCACCTTCATATAAAAATGTAACATATTTTAATTATATCAAAGCTCACCATATTTGATAACCCAGTATCCTGCATGTCAAATAAAAATGTTACTTTTCTGCCAGGGAACATTTTCACCTACAAGCAAAATAACTTTTTATTACTAACATAGAAATAAAATCATAAAATTCAACTGAGATACCATGAGCACCCTGATAATTAAAAACCTATCATTTTATTGCACTGGTAAACCCATAGAAAATTGAACTTCATTTTATAAAAGCAATCCACTGCACTTTCTACCAGGAGAGTTTAATGGTATATGTAAAACAAAGTCCACTTGGGATGTTGGGAGAACAATTTATCAAATGTATATATCTCCTGCTGATGTGCAAATACTGAGTGCGAAAAAGCTTCAAAAAGAAAAAAAAATTCAGGTAAAGACTACTTAAAGTTTTAATTTAGACAGTAAGCCAATGTGACTTACATGTTTTTCTAGGAGGAACACAAGGTATCTCTTCAATTCTGGGTGTTGTTGTGGATCTTTTTTGTAAAGTTTTCCAATGTAGATGACTGGCAAGATATGATGAAAATAATTATATTCAGTAAGTAACTGTCCCAATAATAAACAAAGTCACATAAAAAAAGTCAAGTTCCCAAACATAGCTAGCCTTCTATAAAATTGAGAAGAGAGGTTGTAAATTTCAAGCTTGGCCACAGAGGAAAAAAAGTTGTTTTTTTTTGCGAAAGTATTAGATTCAGATTTTCCTTTATCCCATGAGCACAGTAAAACAATCAATCACTTTCCTGATTGACTGCTGATGAGGTTAACCTTTTAACTCTTATAAATGATCAAAATGTAGCTTTTCCCAACTACATCAGAAATCTTAAACCAAACAGATGACCAGAAAAAGACAAACTTTGTCAGCAAAGGGGTTGTTACCATCATGATGATAACACTGACTCAAAAAGAAATCTATCTAAAGCAGTTAAAGTAGGAGGAAGAGATTCCAATCAAATCTTGGGAGGTCAAGGATTGACCATTCAAATTGGTTAGAATCCCCATCTGAATAAGATACACCTGTCAAAGAAATCATCTAGATCATTATCAACCTTTATTTAAAAGATCTCAAAATAAATTCCCCCCACTCTTTGCTGTACATTTCTCATAGCAAATAGCTAAAATAATTTACCATGAAATCAGTCAGCATTTTCTCTTCCTCCTCATCACCTTTCGGCCTCATAGCATAATGATATTGTAAGCAAAAATAACTTATTGGTTCTCCATTGGTTAGAGGGGGTTAAACACTTACTTAACGTATTTCCATCTTTGTCCCGATTATATGGAAAGAGGAAACCAGCCTCAAACAGTCTCCGGTCTACAGAACGTTCTGTAAGTTCTGCACATGTAAATATATCATCAAAAAGTAAATCAAGAGATGTTAAAAAATGTATTGAATAATCTATACATCACAAATGAAATTATGTGCAAAATTGTACTATCAATCCTTTAAACCCTAATATCAGTTATCAGTATGCAACTTCACCACACTGTTCTCTGATATATTTTTTTGTATTGTCTATCCTACTTACAATCAAACTTTGTCTAACAATCTAGAGCTTCTTGAGTTTGCGACCATTTCCTTTTTCTCATGACCTTAAAGTTTGATTCAGGGGTGTTAGATTTGGGAGAAATTAGAAGCTTATCACTCTTAGAGATTAAAAGGTAAATCAACTTGATTTTGTGACCAAGAGTAGACCATTAAACATACCATTAACTCCAAATGATTTTCTCCATCTTAAACACTCCACCTAGCAGATGGAAGTAGAAATTTAAATCATTTCATGAGCACAGAGAAGCAATGTTTCTTTATTTTAACAGTTTTTTGTAACAGAAGTTCAAAGCATGGTGCACCAAGCTTTACATGTAGGTGTAAAATAAAGTTGATCCAATCCGTGTTATAAGTAAAATTACAAGACCATTTGGATAATACATTCTTGGTGGATGGACAGTGTCGAGTAAGGTTCAACAACAATGTCAGTGAATACAAAACTGTCAAATTAAAATTCCAAACACTTATCTTCAAGATTTCAACATAATAAGGATGCAGATACTCTCAGGAAAGTTTGATTTATGTCCATCAATAAGAGAATCTAAGAATTATTTCTTCTCTAAGAGAGGTCCACTGAAAGGAAAAAAATGACTTAAATGCACATAACTTACCAAGACAGATAATGCAATGTCTACATCCTGCTTGCGAGATTTCAGAAAGCAACTCAACCAGAAGTCCTCATCACGGACTCGTTTCACGTCTTGTTCATCAAATTCTTGCAAAATTGCACCTAAAATCAAGGATTGGTAACTTGTGACATTATGAACCCCTAAGATTAATACCACGCAATCTCTGCCCAATTCCTGTCTCCTACTCATCTTTTCGTGCACATCCACTTTCTGTGACTCAATACTTAAAGGCTTGTTAATTTATTATAGGATAAGGAATTGGGTATAGGGAGATAGATAAATGTGTACGCTTGAAAACTAGAGTCACTCGACAATGTGTTGTTGAATGATGAAACATTACATTTCAGACATAAAAAGAAATTAAAAATTATAAAAGGAGAAAAAAAATCCTTAGTGCGAATGAAAGTAGCCTGCCTTAGCACTCAGCCCTAATAATGCGGAAAAATTAAATTTGAACCAAGAGAGAAAAGTAACTTGTAGGAAGAAAATGACGTCATTGTATTTTACTAACACCAAACTGATTAGTACCACAATGAAACTCTCGTTCATAAAATTTAAGATAAATTGTTTAAAATCTGTTAAATGGTATTGTTGAAATCATTTTAAATTAAGGAAATTCGCATCATCAAGTAATTATGTTTGAATTAGTATTCGATCTGAATAAAGTTTCCGCGTTATTTGGTGGCATGAACTGGTTCGAGATGATTCCTCCAGTTTTTTTTACCGACATTCCTTACGAAAGCAAAAGGCTTCTACTACGTAAAATTTAACGTACGCTGAAGCTAACCTAGTGAGCACAGTTTCCACGTTAATTTTCCATAAAATTCGTCGAACTTGCATACAAAAACACAGCTGAGAAATAACTCAAAACATGCAACCTGGGAAAGATTTACCGTTTTCATGAAAAAACCGCTGCCTGAGCTCATCGATTCGTTTGGCCTCTAACTCATTCTGTAAAAAAAGAGAGAAACCGGTGGTATTTATTAATCTCGAAATCAAAACAAAATGCAAAATGCATGAATTGAAAGATTACCTCCTCTGCCATCTTTGAGTCACGGGTTTCATCGGTTTCTGTCGGAAGAACTCAGATTAGTTCGTGAATTTCTCGGACTATATTCGTCGCCGATCTACTCAGGTCGGGAGAGATGGCGGGAAATTCGCGTTCAGCTCACCTGTTTAATCCTTACAGGTAGATTTTACCATAAAACTGTCTACAAAATGCATTTTTGATGAGACCTTCAACTGAGAAGATCTTTCCCATAAACGAACTGCAAAATGACGTGACTTCGTAGGTGTAAATTACATTTCGTTCGAAACGACAGGTATGGAAGAACCGTTCATCAAAGGAACACTGTTTCAAAGAGTATTCGTTTTGTTTTCGTCTGTAATTTTTGTCGTTGAACATTCTTCAGCCAAAAATATCGACATCGACTTGAATTTGGCACCAGAATGGAAACGAGAAATTACTCAGAGAGCGTCGGATTACGGTAAAAATTTATTCGTTGAGAAGATCAAGTTCTGTTACCTATGTTAAATTTAATATCAATCGATATCACAATCTTTCCCTGCTCTTTGTATCTTGGCAGAGAACAACTTGAACTGACGCTAACGAGGCATTGGTGCTCTTGTTAAAAGCTTAAAGCAATGTGCTGTGAAATTTGTTTACCAATTTATATTTAATTTTATACAGTCTACATCACTGATCGTTCTCTCTCGAATGAATGAATCATCGCTCTGCACAAACGACGGGAAAGGTTCCAGATCTTAATAAGCCTCGACAGCTAACCGCTCCGTTGGAAATAGGCCATCAATAGGGCCTCATATACTCACCGTTATCTTAAGGAAAATGTCAGTGATATTTTTTTTATTTGTTAAGTACACCATAGGGTGCCAATTTGCACTTCGGCTGGTGGTTAATAGAGGTCACCTTGATTAGCGTTTCACTTCTGAGGACTTGTGGTTTGCAGGTTCCATAATTTTTTGGATAGGTTGAAAGCTTAAAAAAGCAGATCAATTTACGTGTAAAACGAATCAAATGATTTTCCATCAACTTATAGAAGCTATACATACTGTTAATTAGGCTAGAATGTTTCGGTTATGTCATTTGGAGGTGATGATACCAAACTTTGTCAGCTGGTGAATGTGATTAAAAATCATATCCCCTCTCTATCCTATCATTTAATCTAATTTTAAGCTGGTAGATTTGTGAAAAAATGGTATGTGGTTAAAGTTGGATCGTGTTTGCTTTGTAATTTTTCACCATTCATCTTCACATTTCTGTAACTGTAACTCAAATTTGGGGAGCAGAGATAGTGCAGATCTCCTGCTGCTGTATCCAGATGTTTATTAGTGGACCCTGTGTCACAAACGAGTCCAGTTAATTCAATTTATAATTTTAACTTTTTTGCTTTTTATATTACAGATCTCTTCAAAATTTGTATTTGCATAACTTTTTAGGCTGATTTCCAATGGTTTTTTCTCAACTTTACAGTGGACCACATCATCCTTCCATTCATTTCTAAAGAACTCAATGACTTATCAGTTCCCAATCTTTCTGGAACCATCAAAACTCCATTAGGAAATGTGCAGTATGATCTCAACCAGTAAGTTCTTTTTTAAAACATCTCAAGATATCAACCTGGATATGGAGATTTGTTTGATTTTTCCTAGACTGTATGCATAACTGTATCAACTTTTATCAATATTTTAACCAGATGAGTGAATTGTTTGAATCATAGTTTCAAATTAGTCCAGTCTTATACTATACAATTTGATGTATATTTTTAGGATCAAGTTGTCCAATGTAGTGATTAAGAAGACCAATGTTTCACTATTAGCTGATCATGGGTTACGGATTTCTGCTAATGAAGCCTCAGGAAATATGGCAGCTAATTGGCACTACAAAGAGAACTCTTGGTTTGTTGTCTGTCAATATGTTTCTTAAGTTGTTTTGAGGGAGAACAAATGAAAGGAAAAAAATTAAATTAAAAAAATAATGTGATTTAAATCAAAATTGCATTGTCTACATTTTAGGGGCAAGGAGGTTGAGAGCATTGTTTTATTATTACTAGTTGTAACCTTCAGTTGATGATTTTCTTCTGGAAAATGGATATTTTGCATGAGTCTTGTGGTATATTGGACTAAGTCAGCTCTGCTCTGGTTATAAAGTCAATCCGGTGATTTGGCATACAGAAGTGAGGGGTCTCTTAAGAAGAAAGCCCCCCCACTGCCTAAGCTCTGATATTCATACTACTGCTGGGCACCTGCTGAACCTTATTGTGTGGCCAGACAGTCCTCTAGACTAGAATTGCCTTCTGCTTTGTTGAGGATTGGTAAAAAGTACTGTCTGTGTGTGCATGGGTATTTCTTAGTAAGACTGAAGGAGTCTATACTGCTGAACTCAGCTCTCCTCTAGGAAAACCCTGATCAGTTGGCCAATTATTTTACATTAGTTACTGTCTATCGTGCTACAGATACAATTTTACTATCAGTTCCAAAATCTAAGATTTAAGAGATTGTGAGTATATTAATTTTTTGAATTGTTTTTGTTGATAAGGCCTCACATCTCTGATTCAGGATCATGTGACCTATCAATCAAAGACCTGTCACTTGGAATGGCTTTCTATGTTGATGGTTAGTACAAGCCTGCAAGTGAGATCCTATTTCATGAAATGCATACTTTTTAATCCTAATTGGAGGCTTTGTGATTTTTAAAATTTACAAGATTTCCTAAACATTTCTCCAAGTATCCTGTTATGGATCACCTTTGTACAGATTCACCAAACTCTGTAACAACCAGTGACTAACTTTATATTCTAAATATTTTATTATGTCTGGCATTGAAGGTAACTTGGGAGAGAAGAAGGGAAAAGTCAGTGCAAAAGACTGTACCATGAAAATTGGCTCTGTGCATATCAAGTTCAAAGGAGGTGCAAGGTAATGATTTATATTGCAACTGCATACATCATAGTCGAAGAAACAACAGTTATAATGATGGTCTAAAGCTTTGCCACTCCACCTTCCATAGCAGGAAGCAACTAATTTTGCTGATTTCTTCCAGATTCAAATCCTACCTGTGTAGATAACACTTTTTTGGAAGGATATTTCCAGGAATAGGGCCAAAATATGCAAAATCCAGTTTTTGACTCAATTTGAGTAGAATAATATAGGGTTTTCATATTATATCTTGGTGAAGAGGTTGGTTTCACTTCCAGAAGAGACCAAAGAGGTAATTTCTCTACATAATAACAATATACTTTCAAGTTCAGATGACAACTAGGAACAAACCATGATTAATATTGATTTAATACTAGATTTGCAGAACTAAAATCATAAGCAATGTATGGGAAAAAGTGGAAAGAGTAAATTCTCAAGTAGTGCTAGATCTTGAGTGTGAAATACTTAATTCAACATTCTCCTTCCACAAGCTGGTTGTAATTTTTATGTAATTTTGTTTATTTCTTCACAAGCTGGTTGTATAATTTGTTTGCTGATGGCTTGGCATCAAGCCTTAAAGACCAACTCTCCGCTCAGGTAAAAGTCACTGGTAATAACATTTAAATTTATTCATAACTGTGAAGTGATTTTTCATAACTTTTAATTTGTTCAACCCAATTATGTGCCAATTAAAACACTAACAAGTACTGTATTTTAGCACAAGAGCTCACACATTTTTCTGAGTACTGATCCCATCATTCTTTCTCAACTTTTTTCAAGCCAACATGACTGTTTTCTGGAATGAAGGTTTTGAGTCAAATCACATGGCTTGTTGAGCAATGATAGCAGTTGTTGTGAGAGTGCCACAAAGTTGATATTATCTGACTACACTAGTAAAACATTTTAACAGATGATAATCCAACATGTACATATAAAGCTAATCCATTCTCCATCCTTCAGAGTTTCACAGTTTGATGATGAATGATTTCCATATTTTTTTTCCAAAAATACAAAACTTGTTTGTATCGAGTACACACTGATTGACTACCAGTTGTTAGTAAAATTAACATCAATTTCCATATTTTCTCACTTTTAATTGTAGATCTGTAAGACTGCTATCAGCCTGATTAGCTCCAAAGCTACTCAAGCCTTAGACAATTTTCCTTCAATTATGAGGAAGTTTCATGGAGTACAAGACTGAATGGAAGGAGTTGAGAGAAAATCCTAGCCCAGCTTTATTTTCCAAAGTGCTTTCATTGTTACTTGTGAAAAAAAACATAAATACAGGGCTGTAGGCAATGTCCATAGATTATCCATGAAATTGGTAATGACTTAAACTTATCAGGTAGAAGTTGCCATCTTGATCTAACACCACATTCTTGTAACTATATACAAGGAAATGTGTGGCAGAAGGAGGGATCAATTAAAGATCAGATCTTGGGACATTGTACCACCAGGTCAGCAGAAAATGCTGGTAATCAAATCACTGTTTAGTCACCAAATATTATATTTTTATTACTACAAGTGGAAACAGATGTGTACTTGTGCAAAGAGAAGTCTTGCAATGAATGTTGGATGATATTTAAGACAAATCCAATAAAACTTTACAATGTTTATATACAGATCTGGGCTCATGCTAGTCTGTGAGAAATGGTCAGTTCAGCTCCTCAGACTTATCCTTGCTACTTATCATACAGTAAAAAGTAAAGCAACTGTTTTGCACCATGTAATAATTTACTTTATTATACATTTCTGTGTAATTTCCAAGCTGTAAATAATATTTTCCATCATAGAAAATTGCTTCCCAATGATAGACTGACAAACATTTTCTCAACTAGTTTAAATGACATCTTACAGTTATATTTAAGGTAAAAGGAAGCTCATTGGTACGATCTCTATATCTATCAATTAATATCTTTTCCAAAGACCTTTGCATATTCACTTGAACAGGCTAGTTACATGCACATATCTCTTTGTTGCTGTAGTCCTGGCTCCATTTTAATTACTGAAATGCACGGTCAAGTGTCATAGATTTATCAAAAATTATAGATACACTATGTACATCCAAAAATGTGTCCCAAGTTCTGATGCATCATGAGATAAGAACCTTTCTGCTGCAATTATTCTGGTTTTTCCATAGTATAGCACCCACTCTATTTCAGCCTTATGAAGAAGACTTACACTATGCTGGCTAACATCTTTTTTTATGATCCATGGGTCAACATCCTCTGATCTCCAGAAATTTCCTGCCTGACATTCAGCTAATAGGTTGAGGCAAGCTGGCAGTCTGAGTCACCACTCTATACTCATAAAAGTGCAAAAATGTCTGCCCTATGTTCCAACCCACAGCAAGAGATACAATGTATCCCATCACTACCAACAAGACAGGATACAGTAGCACTACAGTACTTCGAAGAAATGGTAATGCTGTGGATATTTACGAAAAAAAAAATCAAAGAGAAGTTAATAATCAAATACTCATGCAAGCAATTAAATTATTTTGAATGTTCATGAAATTTTCATGGCTCATCGATTGAAAGGGTTGGCAGTCATTTTCACAGTTAATAACTTTTGAAGCTCATCAATTTTACATTTATGAGGCTCAAGTAAACGCTCCTCTGAACAAAAAACTTTGTGAAAGTGTATTTAAGTTTGGTGTTAAATGGGAAAGACATTACTAACAGAGGCAGGAGGTTGTAATGTCACAGCAATGAAAACATCAACAGGTTTAAAAGACATCACCACTACAAAACAAAGTAATCTGACCAAGATACATTACATGTAAAAGAACCTATGTCAGTAATAATTTCCTTTAAAGGTAACTCAAAGTGATATCCCCAAAAAGGACAGAATATCAGTGAGCAACAGAGCAGCATTGCAACTGCAGGCTACATCACTGATAGTCAGAATTATAAGGAGAAATCATAATACTTATACATATCTGAAGAAGTAAAAACTCACCGCTGTATCCTAGGAAAGAAATATAAATATAATACACCAAAGCTATGAGCCAAAGAGAGTTTCCGATAAACCTTGATATGAACCAGGGATTGTCTATGATAACTGAAAGAGACAAGGAGATTTAAGGTTATTCATAAGACCAACTTTGAAAAGCTACCATGGTGCTGTCCTCAGCCTTATTTGTCCTTTTAATACCAAATAGGAGCAACATGCACCCATGAACTTTCCAAGCTTGTTAAAGAGTGCAGTTTTTTGTTTTTTTGTTTTTTTTTTTTTTTGGGGGGAATATACAGACCTTTTGCCTAGCTTTGCAAAAGGGAAACGCATAATACAAGTCATTCATATTCTAGTACTTCTCAAAGTGATACTCCTGGGATATTGCCACATCAATGTACTACTCCAATACTACAAGACTAACTGAAGATAATTTGCATAGCCTTTGATGAAAGGGGCAGAGTGATTCCCTAAAACTAGCATTAAACTAAATGTACATGAATTGCCAAACAGCTTCCTAGAAAATTCATCTAACATAACTAAACATCACATGCTTTCGAAAACAAATGCAAAACATCAGAAAACCATCACCACACAAAATATTTATAAATATAATTATGTTGTGCTTTGATATCAACTCTGGTTCAAGTATTAATAACCTTTGTTCAAAACTCATCAATGAATGTTAGTGTTAAAACTACTCCTCAAACAAGGAATAAGAAATGCAATATACACTTCAAGTTACTATACACAATTAATTAAAAGTGATCATCCATTTCAGCTACTAACAACTGGTTAACACAAAAAGCATATTTACTCTTCATACAAAAGAGTTGGATGACATGTAATATTAACAGCAAAGGGAAGAAAGCATTCAGGTGAACATCAAATGCATAGGCCCATTCTACTCTTTGTCCTGGATCATGTGCAGTGGATATCCTCAGGTATCTGTTGCAAAAGAACCTATAGGGGTAAAAGAACCATTATCAGATACAGTAGCTTACTTAACAAAGCATCAAATAATATTTTTTCCATCAAACAAGCTCAGAAGAAGATACAACAAGCAATCAAGGACAAGCAGATTCATTTTTAGTGAGTGACTTTCACTCGCATTTAAATACGAGACGAGAACTCAAGCAGAATGTTTGCCAAATGGCTCCCAAAGGAGAGGATGTGGTCGAAATAATAAGCAAACTCAATAGCCTTGTGGTACTAACTTACCATAATAATGAAGCGATAATGAGACCCACAGCAATGCAATCCACAAATACAACCCATAATAAAAACTTTAAAAATCCTAAAAAGGGTAGCTTCAACATAACAGCAAAGCCAATAGAAGATGCTAAGGATGTAAAAGGAAACAAGGACTAGTTGAGTGCTGAAGGAAAACAAAACACTGCAACCAAATTCACCAATCAATTATTTTAAGCGCAAAGTTACTTATGAACAAAAGCTATATCAGATTGATAGACTTAACTTGTCAATCTTTATAAGCTTTCATACCATTTTCTGAAGAACACTTTAAAGTAATCTAAACTGAAGACAATTTGACTAATGTCAAGTTATCAAATTATTCTTTGGTCTTATACAGTCACATTCAGTTCTCTCAAAATCATTCCACTATAACTTCAAACCCAGGGTGACTCTGATTTTATTTTGTTCCCAGCTTGTAAGATTTTTCTTACACTAACCATTTACTTCCAATCATATAGAAATAGAACTTCTAAGAGCACATGATCCTGTTCAGGGACTTGTCACCAACCCCATTTTAAATCTAATTCCCTATTAAACAGATGTTCAACATCTCCTTTCCTGTGACAAATACTGGTACAAAAGGGTAACTAATACATGAAATAAGTGTCTGCAGTGCTGGTTACTTACCACACAACCAAATACTAAGCAACACAAGAAAAGCAGGATCATCCCTTGCCCACTGGTCTTTTGTTTCTGTACGAGACAGGAAAGTCAACTATATGTTCCAGTAATAATCACAAAATGAACTTCTGATGGAAGTTTCTTTTAAAAAAACGAGGCAGTGCTTACACATCCCAAAAAAATCTAATTCTAACGTACCTCTAGAAAATGTTCTTTACTGAAAAAAATACACTAAAAATATACAGATTTTCAGTAACAGCAGTACACCTTGAGGTGAGCCATTTTGACAAGTAAGTGTCTTCTGAATTGTCATTTGATAAAATAAAGAATGCCATACACTACTACCAAAAGAACAAAACATGTTTAGTCTAAATATTGAGTGAGTAATGCAGTAGTGCAGTGATGATTGAAATCTGACAAGGAAACGAGTATGAAAAGCCATGCCAGGAGATAGCTTTTGTCACTTGAGTAAGATAACCATGGTTTACATCTACAAGGTACTTACGTTTGTGGTAATGAAAATTTCTGTATCTGAAAACAATAAAAGACCAAGAACAACATTGATTATGAATATAATTATTTGAGCAAAGCAAGTATGGGGTGTTGCTTTACAATACACCCTTCTAGGAGGGGGGTCTAAGGACATGCTCCTGCATAATTTGAAATTTGAAGTTCTCTGAAATGTGATATCTGGCATTCAGGGATGTATGTGAGTAACTTTTTTTTTTATCCAGCCACTGATGTCTGCAGTTTTTGCCATCTACTAGCTTCTGATGACAACCTCAGATCACATACTTTAATTGCATTCAATGGAGGCAAAGAAACTTGAACTGTGTCTCGGTCAATATACGTCAAGGATGCTTCTTTGAGGGTGAATAATATGACAGATTTGCAGGCTCCAATAGCATTGCAATAAAAATCTAAACTCTACTCATAACAACCAAACAGTTGGTCATCAAAAGAGAGTTTTGGACAACGGTAAACATAACCACAACTTGAATGGATTCAACATCAGATTCACGTCATTATCAGAGTAACTTAAATAACTGATGATGTCTTCATCTCTGGTTTTCAAAATGTCAGTCACTGTCTACAACTACAGCCTTTTTTGGAACTTCTCTTGAGCAGATGAATCAGACTACCAAGTCTACTGCTAGTGCTGTACATGTACTTCTGTATTCAAGGCATTCACTTAACTATGAGCACACCTTTTGATGTTTCAAAAAACAGTAGAACAACAGAATACAGGGCCACTTATCAACTTGTCATTCAATCAAAGTGTTCAGCCTAGTTCTTCAAAGCATGCCAACGAGGTGGACCTCATTGGCTCTGTATTCTGTAGTTGCTCTCAAAAAACTGCTAGAAATATTAGGACAGTGTGATAACTGTGACAGAAAATAAAGTGAAATTTTATGTTACAAATTCAAGAATAATTTGACAAAAAAAGGAAGAATCAACAAGAGGAAAAAGTTTCATTTCGAGAACGTATATCTTAACTTTCACACCAATTAAAATGAACTGGTTTCAACCGTCACATCAGGTGAACAGCTCATCAAAGTCATTCATGAATACAAACTCGCATGTTTTAGAAAAAAAATTATGTGTTCTCAATTAAGCATAAGCTTTCGCAGGTAAAATGTACGGTACTATGTTTATAAGGTCTCGCTTTCTGGCAGACACGTCAAGCTGACACAGCCAATTATACAAGCGTGGCAACCTTAAAATAAGCTGGCAAGTCAAGAATTTCGCCCCGTATGTTGAAATCATGGAAGAAATAACAACATACTTACACCTTTCTTGGTGATACGCAAAGGTAGAGCATCTGCCACAGGGCAAATTCAAAATCCATATGCCGATATTTTAAGATCCGACGAAGAAACTTGTACTGCATCGAGGTCGACATACATCGCGAACGCTTCTTTGAGGGCGAATGATAAGACGAATTTGCAGGCTCCGGTAGCATTGCAATAAAATATCTATATTCTATTTGTAATAACCAAAGAGTCTGTCATTAAAAGAGATTTTTGATTTATACGCCAAATTATCTTGTACCTTAGCAGTAAGACTGCACGACAAGTTTGTTTTCGGCTAATATCCTGCGCATGCGTTGACACGTCAAAGTTTTCCATGATTCTTTGCAGGGAAATTTCCCTCGTGACATGTCACGCAAAATCACAAACACGTCACGCAGAAAGGATACTAGGCAAAAGCACTGTTTCCCCAATCTCAAATCGAAACGAAAACAATCAGAAGAATGTATCATCAGCCTTTCTAAATTCTTAGGCAAATCAGTAATATTTGGGAAGTTATCATCACGTATAATTGGTTATTCACCATCCAATAAAATTGTCACGTTACATATCATTACTTAATATTTGTACTCCATGGAGTCTTCTTAATCTTTATATCATGTGCTTAGTTGATTAGAATCGGAATGATTGTAAGCGAACTTGCGTACTGAAATTGGACGAAATGAAGGGTGGATGAATGAATATATGTACGAGTTAAACACTTGTCACCCTTAATTTGGTGACCATTTCAGAGGTTCATTTGATGAGGAATTGGAGTAATCAAGGAGTAAACTTATTGGGAAGCGTCAAATATGATCCGCACTTACTTAATTGGCTTTTGTGTCATTATCAAACTGAAACTGTAGCTGCCATATTACATTCGATTAAGCCTCATACTATTTTAAACGCCCATTTTATTGAATTAAATGTTCTTAATACCATGTATTAATACAGCTGCATGGTAACTTTCACTAAAAATTGTACTTATATTACGGTACAGGAGCCCATGGGCTCCTGACGGTATCAATTCTGAAACGACAGAAAAATAAAATTACCCCAATATCTCTATAAAGCTTCTCTAAACGGCCGGTCTTTGCCGACAACAACTAACTCTGCTGGTGGGCTTATTCATCTTCACGTAACGTATATATATAAGACATTTTAGAAAATACAAAATAGCTATCATGGTTGCATTACAACAACTTTTGCATCGCTTAGTACTTTAAAAAAAAAAACTGAAAATCTCTTACAAACCATGAAATCATTGTAAATATGCAGAAATTAATTAATAAAGAGGAATGATTTTGAGAAAGCTGCTGATCTTGGAAATCCTTTTTTTAAAGGGAGTTTTTCAAGCATTAAGTGCACCTGTTTTTCGTATGGGAAAGGTAATTTATTCCACGCCTGACAAACGGTCAGAGTGAAAGTTCTTCCGCCTTGTTCCGTTTACGTTTTACGTGTGAACACTCTACATTTACGTTAGCGTCCCAAGTCTGCCATGAGTGAGTCTCGCTGGTAAACTTTAGTAGACTTTTGAGATAACTAGACACATGAGCTTAGAAACACTTGTAGATGATACAACAATCAGCTAGCAAACTTCTCTTCCAAACCAAAATTTCATGATCTTTAAAAGGCACTCTTGTCTAAAAAATACAATTAATAATAACAAATTATTTTGTATCATCTTTCCTATGACGGTAATTTCCCTATGAAAGCCTGATGAGACCAATTTACCCATTACTCAGGCTTTCGCGAGAATGGCGAGCAATAAGCTCAAAGCAAAAGCGACTGGTGACGAGCGCGAAGCGCAGGTGACCAAGTGGGCTACTGGTTTTCAGGCAGAAAGAGCTCTGGGAATGAGGCACTCTTAAGTAACCGCAGGAGCCTATAATTAATGAGCTCCTGGTCACCGCCACTTCTGTCGTTAAACAGTCAGAAATAAAGAGGACATACGGTAAGACCGCAGTTCAGTACATTTTACAATTTAAATTGCTGGATGATACGTTCTTCCTCATTATACAGCATCTGCAGAGGACATAACTTGATTAGGCAGATTCTTGCTGTTAGCTGTTATCTCGGTTGCGGTCTCTGATCTTCCCGTGACGACACGGTTGCTCTCAAGTGTCCGGCCTTCTGTTGAATGCGGGAGTGCGGACTCAGTTCCCGAAGGGCAACTAGTGCTCGGGCCTTCGGCTTCACCCTTCGTGAGAAATTTCTCGGCATCAGATTCTACGCATGCGCGATACCCCTCGCGGTGATAGGCTGTATAGAGTGAAGACGTAAAGAATTGATTGACAGTTGACGTACTAGGGAATCCCAAACAAAGCTTTTTAGATATCCACTGAAGGACTTTGGAGTTTGAGTGACAACATTCACAGCAGCAGAAGGTCAAGCGGTCAACTTCATTTGCGCTGAGAACAGGCCCTCTACCCCACTCTGTTTCGTCAAGTGTCTCTCTGGTATCATCGTGGTACTGATTCCAATTATTCTCCAAATCTGGAGTAGATTGATCGACAGTTGACGTGCATGGGTATCCCAAACAAAGCTTTTTAGATATCCACTGAAGGACTTTGGAGATTGAATGACAACAGTAGAAGGTCGAGCGGTCAGCTTCATTTGCGCAATTATTCTCCAAATCTGGAGAACGCTCCTCTCCAATGGGGTAACGAGGTGCAATGATCATTATTTCTCCTTCTTTCACTCTCTCATAGCTTTTATCGGGTTGTTTGTCGTAATACTGAACCTTGAATTTATAATATCTCGGCGGGGGATCTCGAGGTACGTCCACGTACTCTTTCTGCATCTCCTCCTTCACATCACGGCCAGTACATCCCACAAATTCACAATGTAATTCCTTTCTGGCTTGATCCAGCGATCTCAGGATCTGTTTGGCGTAATCTTCGTCGCTCCTTATGAAACTTCCATCCACGATTAAAATTTTCTTAAGTTGTTTCTTCAGTAGTGGTAGCAAACCAAATTTCTCCAAGCGACCTCCATCACTAAGAGACAGAAGCGCTGGGGGACTGGGGCCGACGTTGTCGACTTGAAAGAACTCGCGCAACATTCGAACGTGATATAGATGCACGTGACACCATCTATATAATATATAAGGTCTGAGTCAATACAAGGAAAGTAACTACAACGAAGCGAAGGGTGATCAAAACCAACATTTATCAAATTACGTTTGTTCAGGGGCAATCATTGACAAATTAAACACCTTTATAAAACAACAACGGCGGTAAATGTTCAAAAAGTTGGAATCTTTTTGCAAAATTTAAGAATAGCTTTTGATGAGCTATACCTGAAACAAGATTTTTGTCTCTCTTTCTTGATAAATAGGCATCAATAATGGTGACATTCACTTAATGAAGATCGTGATAGGGCATCTTTTAACTCCCATGAGTGACCAAGACAGAAATTCTCCTTACAATATCAATCAGAAAGGTGACGAGAGTAAAAAAAAATATAAGTTTGAGGATTTTCTAGTTGATCCAGTACCAAATTCTCTGAACTAGCATCATAAGAATTGTATGGCAGACAGTAAGGAGAATTACTAACGAGATAATGGGCGTTAAAGGGTTAACAAAGTGGTGAAAGGATTCCTAGATTCATATTGTATTAGTTTCTTCTCGATGCTTCTTATTTTCTCACGACTTATTCCCTTCCCCCACCCTCCCCCTCTGTGTTGCATGCATTTACCTTTGTCCAGTTCTGATTGGCAGTCTCAATTACATTAGATTTATGGGGACTCAAATGAAGCTAACATTTTCCGCTACGCACACGATACATGAAAACTCATTTGAACCAAATTATCTAATTTCTTACCTTGCGAATTTGTTAAGGAAGTTTGGTGTATCTACGCCGGTTGGAAACATGGCAATGCCAAAAAATATCACGAACAAAGCGATGACCACGAACAAAACGATGACCACACCCTCGGCATTAATTTCCCAGTTAGCAAACCAGATAACGGCAAGCAATATCACCGGGAGGGCTACGATGCTCTGGATTAAAATCGTTAAAATCTGAAAAAAAAAAAAAAAACGTTCACAATACAATGAAGTACGGGAATAGGAAAGGAGCAAAAATGAAAAAGTTGTCGAAGGTTGATCAAAAGCTCATTTCATTATGTGTCGATTAATTCGAAGCTTCAACATCCCCCCCACCGAACAACTCCCGGAGTATTTGACCTTTTAAAGATTAATTCGTTAAAATTACAGCCCCCTGGGCCTCAACTGTGTTCAAATGCCCCACTCAAGAGCACGATTTGATATTCAAATTTTTTTCTAAAAGGCCACCGCAACTTTCTACTCACTGACCAGCAATTGATTTTATCATAAATTATTTTTAAACCTAGATCTTATAGACTTTTTCTTCTGAGCCATTCATTTGCGAAAGTTAAGTCATTACCTCCCTATCAGAAGATAAAACACGTGTGATCCATAAGAAAGTTTTGACACTTTCGGTTCGAATTCCCCACCCCACCTAGGCAAGGCTAGAATTCTCCAAACCTCCCGACCCCCTCCCTGGGCACGGACGACAGTCAAATCCCATGGGTTGCCCGGGGACTTGTTGAAACTTTGAATTGATCGAAAAGTGCTTGCTAATCACTTCCGTACTTGGCAATCAACACGCGCGGAAAGCACTATTTACCCGTTTTGTCTGGTATATTTATTATTGTTATCGATGCGAATATATCAAATAGTTATTTAAAGGTCACATTCTCCGCTTTGAAGCGAAGATTTCAGTTTTCCATAATACTCTCCCTCTTCTTCATACTCTATTGGCAACGACTGATTCCCCTTCTGTTCTCCCTGAAATCATGTGATCCCCCAAAAAATACTCCACTCCTACTACCCCAGTAGATAAACAATGAGTAGTCCATTACTACATTTCGACGTCTTCTCTGCTACTGAACAGACGCGCGCAAAAACTGAATCTATTTGTTATACTACGTTAGCTTCCTCAAGAAAGTAAATTCGCTCTCCGTGCCACCCACCTTTGAAGCTATTCCTTCTTCCTCCGTGCTGAAACCCTTCCGGAGGGTTAGGCCCAGTTGCACTTGTAAATCTCTGTACGGCTCCTCCTGCTCCGGACTTAGTGTCATAACAGCGGCAGAAGTAACCATGGCATCCGCCACGCTGACGTTTTTTGGTTTTAATACCTCCGACACCTTGGACTTGCCGGGCTGATCGTCGATTCGCTCAATTTTATTCGGCGACAGAGCCATTACGGCGTAGGGCAATTCTTTCCATTCTTTTCGCCAGTAGTCTACTGCCACACAACTGATGTACTCCGGTTTGACTTCTTTCAGGTCATCCATCATCAGAGTTACTCTTTCTGGGTTGCGTTCCGGACGAGTATACGACAGTATTGGGAAGAAGTCTCGGCAACCGATTCCTTTACAACCAAGTGGACCAACACTTGTCTCCGTAAAAAATGCTCGCTGTAGCCTCCACCTGAAAATTAAAACAACCTTAGATTCAAAAAGATTTTTGGAATGATTTGAATGCGAACAGAAATCCTGCCTCCTTTGTTTTGTGTTTTTCTGCATGTCTGTACCACTGACATACAAATGTTAGGAAGACTAAGTTTGGCTAACGAACGTTTGATTCTAGTCTTGACCCAAATGATCTCTGTTCGTAGATGAAATTGAGTCATTAGGAAAGTTGCAGCTGCTGTTACTAATAGAGTGTAAAGGGGGGACTACATGAAATTCACTGTCAATGGGGGGGGGACTGAATGAATATTACAGGTAGATCATATGAATTTTATCGCGACACAAACAAAATTATTCGACCCCCCACCTTTAGGCGATCGATAATAACAAGCCTTCTAGGCCATTTACCTGTAGTATACAAAAACTGCCGTAGTGCTGAACATTCCAACGAAAGGAGTTAACCATAAGAAAAATCCAGAAATAAGGAGGAGAATGTAAAAAAGTTGCTCCTCATACACGATACCCAGAACACTTGTCTCATACACTCGCCACTTCACAACGAATGCATAAAAGTACACCATAAGTACTAGGGATACTTCGCCTCTTAATGGTGGAAATCCCAGCCAAAAGAAGATGCTAAGGAAGATTATCAGCGCGTTCAACCAGCTGGGTAACACCCCAGTAGACTGTTGTATTAACCAGGGGAAGAAAGTCAAAGCAAGCAGTAACCCGGATAAAATCTTGAAGTAACGGGCAATCGAGCGAAGTCTCGTGGGAACGATGGTCTTGACGAAGTAGGACACGAAGAATGCGAGGAATAGGCCAGAGAACAAGTAAAACTGCTCGCGCACCTCTGGATGACCGATCTCAAATTGTTGAGTGCAATGTCTCACTGAAGTGTTCAGTCCTTTTGAAGATTGAGGGACATCACTGCAATTGAAACCTTTGCGCATGATCGCGCCAAGCACGTAATCGATGACGTAGGCAGATGGAATAGCGCCAGCGCTATAGATGATGCAGGGTATGAGGAGATTGACTGTGATCACCAGAAAAACCAGTATGATGCTCTCTAAAATGCCTTGTAATGGATTTTTCCAGTTGCATAAGTAACCAGCTCTGCTTCGCATATGCTCAAAAAAATTTTTATGCCAATCCGGATTATCCGTTCTTTCGTGTCTGTATTTCCAGTCCAAGTAGGCAGCGGCTGTGTAATTTCCTCCTGAGACGCAGCTCACGTAACCAAATTTAACTTCACGATGTAGAAGCCTTCGCAACACACCTGAGCTCAATGCAGCAGAGCGAATTCCACCACCAGAGAAAGCAACGCCAATCTCTTCCTCTGGAATGTCTATCTGTGCCATCTCTATCTCTGGTTATTTCTGATGCTGTAATAATCCCCTGGAAATTCTTGAAAATGAAAAGAACAATTCCAATTATAATCCCGTAGTACTCCTCACTATAGTAGAAATTGCACATTTCCGCCTGAACTGCAGGTAAATGGATAACCATTCCTATTATTTTTGTTTTCTCATAACTGGAGCGGGTAAAACAAATTTAAAAATGCTCATTGATAGATATGTAAAGAGATCAATAATAGTATGGAAGCTGAAGGCTTGCTGGTTTAATTATAAGAGAGTTCCAGCGTCTATACCTGAGTTTCCCAGTACTTATCAACAGTCGTGTTACATGTCACGCGTCTTGCTACTTATTGACAGTTGTGTTACATGTCACGTATCCCCCTAATGAGGTCTCATTTGCAAACAGGAAATTGCCATAATTTTTGGGAAACCGCCTGATTTGCATTTCTCAAGCCGTTTGTCATTTTTTTGTGAATATTTAATTATCTTAGCGCAACGCGGCAAAAATAGATCAGGTGACTATTTATTTAAAAACCTAGAAGTTCGTTACGCAACTTACATTTCAAAAGTGTCACCACAGATCGCACTTCGAAGCTTACTAGCCGCATATGGAACACAAATTGTAAGTATAATATTTTTCCCGTCGCTTCAACCGAAATCGACATGTGTAATAACCTTCTTTGTCATATTAATTTAATTTTTCAGTTGACTATACTACTACAAGTGCAAATAAATTCCATGTACGGTCATGTACGCAAAAATCAGTTAGTGGTGAAATCTTCAACATAAAGTAGCCCTTCAATCACAGGAGCGAATCACCGCCTTTCCGGCAAGAAACTAATAAACGCTGTCTAAACTCAAATCAATGATAAAGCTAGTTGTGCTTTTCCCTTCGCATGAAAGTGGAGATAGCAAATTACGATGAAAGAAAGGAAATTTTCTGATTGGACACGAGCGAGGAAAAAGAGAACAGAAAGTTTTCCAGAAGTTTTATGACTTTTACAGTAATTTAGGTTCAACATAGCAGCACTTCGCACGAGGCAGTCAACACAATGTAAACTAAAACGAATTTTGTCAAAACATTTTGCGAAATTCGAGCGTGGTTTTCATGCCATGCAATGAATCCTTTACGAAACAAGTTTGTTCAGTGAAGATGGATATTCGTGTTACCTCACTTCAAATATAATACATCCGCTCGAGAACTTATCAAACATTCAAGTTGGGCAATCCTGACTTTACGCATCGTCAAAAAGGCAGGTTCATCGAGTAAATGACATCCCAAATCGATTTTTTTTGTCATATGAAGTTCATTAAACCTCTTTTAAGCGATCACGAAAAATCAAGACAGTTCCAAGATACTTACAAAGTATTAACCGACCTTTTAAGTGCGGTCACTTTCAAACGATAGCTTAGCCTGATATGAAGACCATGTCTTTATGAAGATTGTACGTCCATAACAAAATATCTTCGAAAAATGTATATATCCTCAAACAGCAGACGCAAACTTTACTTACCTCTCCGCTTAAAGTAGCAAACAAACAATTCCTAACTCCACTGAACTATACCTTTTTCAAATATCTCAGTCTTAAATGAGCTGACAGTGGGCGGGGGTTTACCCCTCAAAACACTTTCATTTTCAGAAAGGAAGTCCCTCTTTAATGTTTGCATATGTCCTCCGGGAGAATTATCAGTGAAGCTGTGCTAATCGCGTAATAGGTTTGTATGTTTAGCGGTCTTTTGGTCGCTAAAAGAAAATAGCTGTAGAGATTCGAGTGCAGAAGTAATTACCATTTCTTCCATTTTTTCCTTTTCAAACTTCTTGTGGCTTCACCGACCAAAAATCACACACAAAATCGCCTACCACTGCTTCTCTAGCCACAACTTTTTCATTCATGTTTCGAGAAATTTCTTATTATTATCAACTCTTTCCCTGACCGCTTTCACTTTCGAGGTACTGATTATTCAAAATCACGTCAATGGCAGGTATTCTTAAGAAACGAATTGAGGCGAACCGTGTTTAAATCACTTACTTTCAAACATAAAACGCAAATTGATAGGTATTCGATGACGAATTACAAACTGATATCTCAAGACACCTGTACACAGTAAGCTTATTTACACTTATTTGTGTAAAACAAGTTGATAAACACAGATTAATAAATGAATCAATGTTAATTAAAGTGTCAGACAAATAGATTACATAAAATATAATAAGATTATTGATATATTTCAGTTCTAGCCATGTTTAACCAATGCTATCACTGCTTTTCTAGCCACAACTCTTTCATTTATGTATCGAGAAATTACTCAATATCATCAGTTCTAGATCTTTCCCTGTTTACTTTCACTTTCGAGGTATGACGTGTCATTCAATTAAATGATGATTATTTATATCATAATAATGACAGGTAGCCATGTTTAACCACTTACTTTTAATTATGAAACGCAAATTGATAGGTATTTATTTTACACTTATTTGAGTAAAAATAGTTGATAAACACAGATTAATAACCGAATCAATGCGAGTGAAAATATTGGACAAATAGATAATATGGGATATAATAAGATTATTGACACACTACACTCTTCTCGAAATGTATGGAACAATCAGGTTATACATAGTTTAAAAGGGCGAAGAGTCACCGTCTGATTTTTCATTTAAAATCGCGGATTTTTGTGAGGTTTCTCAGTTCTACTGACATTTCATTTCGTAATTTTGCTCTCAATCTTGCGAAAGAGTTGATCGAGTTGAATCGACGATTGGGAATCTTTGGTACAAACGTTGTTTGATGATATGCCAAGGAACGCATACTATAGGAACAATCAATGCCATGCAGTGTATTGTCGTGACGGACATCATGCATGAAGAAACACAAGCATGCGGTTTTGTCCTCATTATCATAAGCTTAAGATTCCTTCTAAGAAAATTTTAGAGGAAATACACACCACAAAATTGCAAGCGTTCTTGGATCAAGTGGCGAAGAAGAAGAGCTTCTTTCTGTTACCAAAGAAGATTGTCAAGGTATAAGTACGAGCTCGTCCTCGTGTTGTTAAACCATAAGTTATGCCCCGTTCAAACTGTCATAGTAGTTAATGATAGTTTCAACTATCACGCGTATTTGAACACGAACTATCATGCTCTATCATCGACTACTTTCAACTATCATGCAGTTTGGACATTTTCAAATTCAACATGATAGTCCGGTTGACGATAGTTTTTGCCGTTTGCACGAGCGGATGATAGTGAATGATAAGTTTTCGGGCAGCAGTTTTGCCAAAACTGGGCTCAAACCGAAATGGCAAAGGGTAAAATGAATTAAGTAGCCGTAAAAATTCCTCAGAATGTCTTGCAGTTCATTCTAATCATCTCCTGGTAGGCTTCAGTATCTTCAACTCGCAACTTCTTGACAATTAGGTGCTGCAATGGGTCTGCACATATTGATGACCGAATATTTTGGTAACATGTGACATCATCTTAACATGTCTTTTCTTTAACTCGCGGTTAATCCCTACGATCACATGACTATTTCCCGCCAAGTCAGAAAAGCAATTCTAGCTTCTAAGATCTCCAGCGCTGAGACTGTAGACTTTTACGAAATGTTTAAATCTATATGTACTCCAGAGAACGTCCTTTTAAAGGTCTGATTTGAAAGTCGGGTAGGATTCAAAGGACTGTAAAAGATGTAGGTTCATCTACAATCAAGCTGGGGAGCGGTCATTAGTGATCGTCTTGCAAGGGAGGGGGGGGGGGGGAATTTTGGTTCTGTCACAAGAAAAATACCTGGGAATTGGTTGGACATAGTACTATTTGGCATATGGCGTGACAGCTTTAACTCAGCTTCGCATTTTACACTCGGACAGAACACGCTCTTTCAACCGATGACAGAGCGCGTTACATCCGAACTTTATTATAAACCATAATAAACGGCTGAATGATGCCTCTTACAGTAATTTTTTTTCTCGCTAAAATAAGCTAGCATTGCATATATTATATAAAAATTTTGAGGTTTTGAAACTTTGTAAATTATAGGGAATTCTGTTACCTCAATGAAGATTCAATGGAATCCTTTATTCTCAAAGACTGTCTCATTCACCCTCCCGACCCAATCTTTCATGGTCATTAAACGGTAATTTTTTTCTAAGCAATCTTGCAATAATAAAACCTCGTTTATAGAAATTTTCTCTTTAAATCAATTTCTGCCAATTTCTATTCAGAGGGTACAATAAAAGAACATGCGCAGTCCCTTACTATCTTCATTCTCTGTAGTGGGACGGTGCGTTCTTCTTCATTACACAATATCTGCGAGTTCAGTGGCATCACACTCCTTAAGAAATTCCTCGGCACCAGATTCTACGCATGCGCGATACCCCTCGCGGTGATAGGCTGTATAGAGTGAAGACGTAAAGAATTGATTGACAGTTGACGTACTTGGGAATCCCAAACAAAGCTTTTTAGATATCCACTGAAGGACTTTGGAGTTTGAGTGACAACATTCACAGCAGCAGAACGTCAAGCGGTCAACTTCATCTTCGCTGAGAACAGGCCCTTTACCCCACTCTTTTTCGTCAAGTCGCTCTCCGGTATCTTGGTGGTACTGATCCCAATTATTTTCCAAATCTAGAGATGGTTTTCCATACTTGGGGTAACGAGGTGCGATGATCATTATGTCGCCTTCACTCACTTTCTCGTAGCTTTCATCGGGTTTTTTGTCGTAATACTGAACCTTAAATCTATGATATCTTGGCTGGCGACCTCGAGGTACGTCAACGTACGTTTTGCGCATCTCCTCCTTCACATCACGGCCACCTAATCCCACAAACTCACAATTCAGGTCTTTTCTGGCTTGATCCATCGATTTCAGGATCTGTTTGGCGTAGTCTTCATCGTTCACTATGAAACTTCCATCCACGATTAAAATCCGCTTAAGTCTTTTCTTCAGTAGTGGTAGCAAACCAAATTTCTCCAGGCGACCACCATCACTGAGAGATAGCAGTGCTGGGGGCCTGGGGCCGACATTGTTCACTTGAAATAACTCACGCAACATTCGAACATGATATAAATGTACGTGACACCATCTGTAGGAAACAAAAGATCAAGGTCACTAAAAGTAATAAAAGCTGTGAAGTGCGCGAAAAGGTTTGATCGAAGATAAAGTTTTCAGAAAATACGTTTGTTTAAGAAGACAAAAACTATCGCGGCATTTTCGGAGCGCAATTAATGACAAAAAATAACCTAATGACAGGCTTTTCGAAAAATTAACCATCGTTAGAGCAATTTAAAATCAAATGTTGTAAGTAATCCAGGATTAAGAAGAATTTTTTTTCATTGTGTGCTATGATTGTTATAATAAACTCAAAGCTCGTTCCCGCACAATCAGATGTAAAACGTAAATCAGACCGTTGAGTTTCCTTTGTTCAGCTCTGATTGTCAGTCGTAATTATCTTAGACTTGTTTTTATATGACATTCCGGCAATTGACAAGCGCTCAACTGAAGCATAGATTTTCCATTCTGTACGGACACACACTGATAAGGTAGAACTCTCAAATTTCTCACCTTGCAAAGTTGTCGAGGAAGCATGGTGTTTTACGGCCAGTTGGCAACAAGGCAATTCCGAAAAAAATTATAAAATAGACCACGAACGAAGCGATAGCGGCTCTCTCAGCATTCTTCATGTCCCAAGGAGAATGCCAGATGGCTGCAAGCAATATTATCGGGAGGGCTGCGATGCTCTGGATTAAAACCGCTAAAATCTGAAACAAAAACGCCAGACAACACAATGAGACAACGGAATAAAAACGATCGGAAATAGAAACTTGTCGATGGTCAGTGGAGAGCTTGTTTTGTTATCGCCACGAGTCGTCCGTTTAACCACCCGCCGCCGGCCACCCACCACCTGCCAACCGCCGCCTGCCGCCTACCGCCTGCTGCTTGCCGCCTGTTGCCCGCTGCCTGCCGTCTACTACCTGCCGCCTACTGCCCACCGCCCGTCGCCTACCGCCTGCCGCCTGCAGCCTGACGCCTGTCGCCTGTCCGCCTGCCGTGAATGCATTCGCCTCTCATATCGTTTTATCGTTTTCCTAAAGTTAGGTTTCACATTGCAACCCACCTTTGAAGCTAATCCGAAAGACTCATTCGGATTACTCCTGATTCCTTTTCGGAGGGTTAATCCCAAAAGCATCTGTAGATCTCTGAACGGCTCCTCCTGCTCCGGACTCAGTGCCATCACAGCAGCAGAGGTTACCATGGCATCCGTCTGATTGACGTATTTTGGATACAATTTGTCCTCCACACTAGGTTCCCCCGGCTGATGGTCGATTCGTTCATTCTCAGTCGGTGACAGTGCCATGATGGCGTAGGAAGGCTCTTTTAGGATCGGTTTCTTGCGCCAATAATCCACTGCCACGTTACTGATGTATTGCGGTTTGACTTGCTTTAGGTCATCCATGACTAGAGGTTCTTTGGCTGGGTCGTGCTCCTCGGGGCTATAGCAGGACAGTATCGGGAAGAAGTCTCGGCACCTGATTCCGTTACAGCCAAGTAAACCAACGCTTTTCTTCGTAAAAAATGCTCGCTGCAGTCTCCACCTGAAATTGAAAAGAACTTCGCTCTATTACCCCATTCACGCAAAATATTTTTAGTTGAACCGGGTTTAACTAAATGAAAAGGACCAATATCAGTATCTGGGCAACTACCCACCTACCCCTCCCCTAACCCAACATTAACCCTAACTTGTTATCAATAGACTGTTGTTGGGTTAGGGGAGGGGTAGGTGGGCAGTTGCCCAAATTAGAAACAGAGAACTAAAAACTGAGTTTCCATAGGATTCAAGTAATCGCTAACTTTTGTTTTCAGTGAGCTACATTTAAAGTCGACAAACATCGGTTTAAGCAGCTTCTGTGAAGTAACAAATTTATAGAACTGTGTTTAACAAAAAAAGTTTAAAACACGTTTAAGGTTTAGTGTGAATGAGGTATAAGATTGAAAGAGGCTTTTTGAAATCATTCGAGTGTGCGCAGTAACTCTGCCTCCATTGAACTATGCTCCTCTCGTTGTCTGTATATCGCAGCCAAATAAATGGTTAGAAGCGTGATAACGTTAAAATGAGGATTGTTCGATCCTTGGCATAAACCTACTTGATCTCTGTTCGTAGATGACAACACAACAGCTACCTCTTGAATTGATTGAGAAGTTAGCACTACTTACTTGTAGTATGTAAAAATTGCCGTGGAGCTGAACATTCCAACGAAAGGATTCAACCATAAGCAAAATCCAGAAATGAGGAGAAGATTGTAAAAAAGTTTCTCCTCATACTCGATACCTATAACACTGGTCTCATACACTCGCCATCTCACAACGGATGCATAAACGTACGCCACTAGTGCTAAGGATGCCTTGCCTCGTAAGGGTGGAAATCCAAGCCAGAAAAAGATGCTCAGCACGATTACTAGCGTATAAAGCCAATTGGGAAGAACCTCAGTAAACTGCTCCATCAACCAGGGAATGTACGTTAAAGCGAGCAGCGACCCGGACAAAATCTTGAAGTAACGGGAAATCGAGCGAAGTCTTAATGGAGCGATAGTCTTGATGACGTGGGACACAAAGAATGCAAGGAAAAGAAAAAAGAACAGGTAAACTGGCTTGCGCATCTCTGGCTCGTCGATTTCGAATTGTTGAGTGCAAAGTTTTCTTGAATTGTTCAGTCCTTTTGAAATTTGTGGGACATCTGTGCAGTTAAAGCCTTTGCGCATGACCGTGCCAAGCAGGTAATCGATGACGTAGGCAGATGGAACAGCACCGGCGCTGTAGATGATGCAGGGGATTAGAAGATTGACTGTGATCAGCAGGAAAACCAGTATGATGCTCTCTAAAATGCCTTGCAATGGATTTTTCCAATTGCAAATGTAACCAGCTCTGCTTCGCATGTGTTCAAAAAATTTATTATGCCATTTCGGATCATCCTCTTTGTTGTTTCTGTATTTCCAATCCACGTAGGCGGCGGCTGTGTAATTTCCTCCGGAAACGCAGCTAACGTAATCAATTTTAACTTTACGATGTAGAAGCCTTCGTAACACACCGGAGCTCAATGCAGCAGAGCGAATTCCACCACCGGAGAAAGCAAGGCCGGTCTTTTCCTCTGCCATGATGTGGTAATTCCCTAGAAAATCTTGAAAATAGATGGGACAATTCCAATTAGATATACCTCAGCTTAATATATATTGCATATTTCCGTTCTTATTTACGAGATAAGTTATGCTCATTTCTCGATCTGGTTATTTACTCATCAGCAGAATTGATCAAACAGAAACAAATAAAAAATTAAAAGAATAAAAATCAAATTTATAAATGCTAATTCGAGCATAGGATAGCTCCTCGGTTTAGACCTGAATAACAACGTTGCGTTACATGTCACGCGTCCCGCTTGTCAAATGGACGGAAATCCAATCTTTTATCATGAAAGCGGAATTTTTAACGTTTCCGTGATTCTACCAATTGCATCAAGCATCCAAGATTACTACTGTGTCGTAAAGTCACAAATTGGAAAACTTTACAGGTGAATAAAAGCCGATCAAGTTCAAAATGCTCAGCTCCCATTCTATAATAGTGCGGTCTGGTTTTTGTTAATTGGATCTCTGAGCGAGAGAAAAAAATTCAATGCTTGTTAAGGAATTTTGACTGTGACTGATGTTAAACTGCAATAGTTCGTCTTAAGACATTCAAAGCAGAGAAACCAAAATGAGTTTCGTCATTTCATTTCGAAAAAAAGCGCAATTCTTTCGTGTAATCTTCGTACACTATGATGAATCCAATATTGACAAAGTTTGTTTGATAAACGCAACGACTTGTTTTGCCCTACTCCGTACGAAACGTTGAATAGATCTCAGCAAACATCGAGCCATCTTGACCTTAGGTACAATCAATAATCATTCAAGTGAATCAAGTAAACAAGATCGTAAATTGAATGTTTTCCATTTGAATTGCTTCAAACCTCTCCGGTATGATAAAGAGAATTGACGCAAGAGTTAAAAGATCAAATTCTTACAAAATATTTATAAAGTTATCTTTCTCAGATATTCAACTTTCAATTTTGATTCAGGAGAGAAACACTTCCATCGGTGCGTAGCACATTACTGAAAAGGATACTTAGAGAAAATTATAAAAAAAAAAAATGATAAACTGCGCTTACCTCTGAGGACTCTCCCTTATTCAAATTATACACAGCTTTCAAGGAAAGCTCTTTATATCCAGTCTCTTCAAAATACCTTTGCGGTTTTTTCCCCTCCCATCGGTTCAACTTCCTGTTCTGTTGTCTTGTAGTTGGCCGGTGACGCACGACGCACTTGTGATGTCACATGGATAGAGTAAAGATCCTCATTTCCAATCTAAGAGACAAAATTTGAGGAAAAAAAGAAATACCTTATTTTTTTATCTGCTACTCTGTTTATTTTACAAACAATATATCACGGGCAATAAATCACGGGATTGACTCAAAACACTTCCCTTCTCAGAAAGCCCGGAAAAGTTAAGCATATGTTATGTGAGGCGCCTATAACCTCAATAGTAGCTTTGCTGATCGACATCAAACTCACACGATTTCTGATAAGTCCCCCACAAAAGTTGTTGACGTGTTTTGAAGTTACCGTCATCAATTCTTTTCCCAACTGCTTTACTTTTCGAGATTTCTTTCAGTTTCATTTAGCGTGTTTTAGCCGGACCATGTGTCACGCTATAACCCACTTTGAGCGTGACGTGTTCATAAATTCGGGCTTAACATGCCAGCTCGCGCGTAAGTTTCCACTGACGACAAAGCCACGTTGGTTTCCTCTTTTTTTTTTTTTTTTTTGTTCATTACCTTTTCGAAGGAAAGAGTGCGTACATAGCATGAGCACAACACAAATCTATAAAATGTTGTCATGCAGTAGAAATAGATCTGTGATATTTTAAATCCTGTATGATGTCGGAGATACAGCCTCCTCTTTGCGTTCAAATCTTGATCCATAATACTCAATTTATGTTTAATTCTACATATTTTCCGTTCGTTCTTCCACGAAGGTTGTATAAAGAAAGGGAAATGCTAATTACGTACGAACAGCGCCCAGGAAAAATTACACGGAAGGTAAACAATAACTATTTCATCACAGACTATAAACGGTCGCTTAGACTTCATTTTTCTTGCACGTAGCAAGCGCTGCTGCATTAAGCAGTGTTAAGATTAAAAAAGATGATAAAAAAGGAATAAAATTTCGTATAAGAGTAGACATAACCCAAGATTTATGTTATCTACGCAACAGGCTATCTCTAACTACTTGCGATCCGCAAGAGCGCACGGTAAATGCGTTTCCGTGATCCCTCTCTGGCTTGACCCAAAGCGAATTATATTTTTCATATCTGAAGGCTAAAAGTCATCAACGTGTATGGTGCCAAATGCAATTTCCGGGACTTGTTGTGGGGTTGTTGTAAGTGGGAGGTTTGTTACGTGAACCAGTGATCCAGATCAAAGAGGAATTTAGCGAAAGAATGATCAAAACATCACATTGCAACTAAAATTGAAATCTCACCTTTGTATTTGATTCCTCTTTCTTTGAAGTGCTACAGTCAACTTTCAAAAATACGGGGTAGAAGCACAGAGGATCGGGAATCTTACCTAAGTCGACATTGGCTTTGTCTTTCTCAACACGTATCATGCAGGTATTCTGGGCTTGTCATTTGATACAGTGGTTTCAATTCTTTGCTTATCATAATTTATATCAGATGACAAACCCCACTTGAATAGCAGTTGGTTGAAAATCGACTTAACGCAGATTAACCGTAATGAAACTTTCGCGCGGATCGCGCGCTCTCGCGAAAAGAGGCTGGGTTACAAAGCGCTAGTAATGGCGACTATGTTCTTTGGAGATGTCCGAGGTTGATTTTGGCCGATTCTACCGCAGACTTGTTTAGGATAGTTTCGGCCTTTAAGACTTCAGAAATAACCTCTATAGTTCTATTGTCAAAGGTGGGAATCAAAGGGCTGAAAAAGATGTAGTTTGAAGTGGACTCAATGTATTTTAGCATGAGTGAAAGACGTTTGCTTTCTCTTCTATTGTCATTCACTTGGTTTTTGCCACTACAAGGGGGCATAAACGGTAAGGAATTCTTAGATAGTCTAAACATGGCGAACAAATCATGATATCATCACATCCAAACTACGTAATGGTTTTCTCAAAAGTTTACACTAGATTTCTTTCCATTCTCTCGGAGAATCGATCAAAATTAAATGTTATGTTTATTACATTTAACTTATAATATCAGCGGTGAAAACATACAGCTGTTTTATAATATTATTGTAGGTGCATTTGAACCATGCCCTGGGAAATACTGTGGAAGAGTAATTAAAGAGGATGGAAAACCTGGAGACTGCGGAGTAAGTAATGCGATTCTTTAATAAACAACAAATTTTTAAAAATTTCTCGAGAATGCAGACGCTACATGTCTTTATTACAGTCCAATAGTAAGCTAGTTGCTAAGCTTGAATTAAATCCACAATACCGTTCAAATGTATGCTTCTCTAAATGTGGCAAATATGAAAAATCTTTTTTGGGTATATCAACGTCAAAACAATGTCATTCCTACATCATGTAGTTTTTTTTATTGGAATGCCTATCATTTTGCGCTGCTTCTCCACTGTAAAGGATTCCATTCTATTGCAAGTTCTAATAAAGCAAAAGGCTTCACTTTCTAACAGATTTCTCTGTGTATTGAACGGCAGTTCAGATGTATGATATCCATAAATTCACAATCATTTATTTATCACTTTCAAGTTTATTACGAACCATCAAAATGACCAGCTCCAACTTGGCTTATAGGTTCAGTTGTTAAAGCATTGCACCAGTATTGCAGAGGTCATGGGTTCAACTCGCATACAAGCCTGAATTTTTCAGGCTTTCTTTTCACTACTGCTTAAGTAGTGTACATAACTGCAGTGATTGCTCTCATCCTCATAGATCAGGAGTGTAACAACTCACTGTCAAGAAAAGTTGGGAGAACATAAGATTATTCACCTCTGGCTTGGGATTTTCAAATTTTTATTCTTTCCTATTAAAATATCAGGGTTGATTGTATAAGTAATCAGTAGTAAATAGGTTTTTATCTTGATTGTTGTAATTTTATTATCATCAACTTTGTTTTTAGAGGGTCACTAGGAAGGGAGAATATAAGAATTTTTTTTAAGATCTTTTATTTTACTTACTATTTGTAAATAGGCTTTTTATCATTGTCGTTGTAATTTTATTGTTATCAATTTGTTTTTAGAGGGCCACAAGGGAGAATACTTTTCAAAGTAATTGGTGTCACCCTCTTAAAATAAAGGTTATTAATAATATAAAAATCTTTCCATCTTAGGCTTGCCCAAGAGGTTATAATACCAATGGCACGGTATGCTTGGAATGCTCATCATCTCCTGATTTATATGACTGGTTGTACTTGGGTTTTATGGCATTCTTGTCTTTGATAATTCATTGGTTCTTCATTGACTTGTTTGCCAAAAGAGATAGAAAAAGGTAACTTCAAATGAAACTTTATTAATATTCAGTCATGCTTCTATTTAGGTGCTTCAAGTTCAGAGTTTTGTGTGACTGATGTTGTTGGGAGATTTTTAATCTAAATTTTTTTTCTCCAGTACTTTGAATACAGTTGATTTCTCAATTTTGTTTTTATGACTATTTTGCAGCATCTTGTTTCTCTGTGTGAGTGCTTTTGTTGAAAGTACTTTAGCTGCCATTTTTTCTCTTCTCGTCAGTAAACCTCAAGGTTAGTGTAGAACCTTAACCCTTTAACTCCCAGATCAAATTTGTAATTCTCCTTACTGTCAACCATACAATTCTTATAATGTTAGTTCTGAAAATTTAGTATTGGATCAATTAATTATTCCCAAATTGATATTTTTCTTTATTCTCATCACTTTTCTGGTTGATGTTATATTGATATTGTGAGGAAAATTCTGTCTTGTCACTCATGGGAGTTAAAGGTTAACAGATGCTGCAAACATGTATGAAACATTTAAAGGGCCTTGTTTTAATTTTTTGTTCCCATGCAACACATAGACAATGCCACAATTGGATATGACTGCTTACCTGTAGATTACATTGAGGTTAAATGCTTTAATCAATCACTACTTTTGCAGTATGTTTAATATGTTGTTACTGCATTGTATTTTATCTCAATTGTGTTATGTCATAATGATGCTCTATGCATTTACTTTTTATCTTTGTTTAAGCAAGATATATCATCAGTTTTCTTAAGCAGCAAAAATTACAAATTGACCTTCCATGTGGTTTGAAATCATTTCAACCCCAATCCCATTTTAACCCTTTCACTCCTAAGATCTCACTAGTTATTCTCGTTACTGTTTCACATTCAATTCTTGTGATGATAGTTGGTAGAATTTGGGGTTTGGATCGACTAATAATCCCCTTATTGATATTTCTCTTGATTCTCCTTGCTTGTCTGCTTGATAATGTATTGATATTGTGCAGTAAGGAGAAATTCTGTCTCAGTCACTCATGGAAGTTAAAGGGTTAAACTGCAACATGTATAGTTCTATGGCAACTTCTGTTTTCTGGGGACTATGTCATGGGCAGAGAGGGGCATGGTGAGAGTTAAGTATCTTGCTCATGAGCACAACACAGTGAGGTTCCCTGAACTTTAATCAAACCTCTTGACCTGGCCCCAGTTGTTTGAGGGTTGGATATTGCTATCCATTGGCTAAATCTCTGCACAGTGGATTACACTATATGTTTTGCTATCACTTATCTGTGGGATAGTGATTTATCATGGGATAGTGTTGTCTACCCTTTATTCAACTGGCCCCTGGAGTCCAGCATGTGAACTGATAGGCCAGAACATCTCCCACTTGAGAAGGACTTGTTATCCTTTGAGGGAAAAACAGAATGAACAACACAGGAAAGAGATATCTTTTGTCTGACTTTAACTTTAAGCAGTATACATTGTTCTACATTTACTGGTCTCTTTTCCAAAGATCAGTGTTTATGTGGATAAATTAAACTTGTTTTGTCTTTAAACATATAGGCAGCCTAAGTTTGACCTCATGCAAGACAAAACAAATTGCAGACTGGTATACAATATTCTTTAATCCCAAACCTGATTATGTCAACACCATTCATTGCACACAGGAAGCTGTTTATCCTTTGTAAGTAGCAACAAAAAGGTGGTTTGGTGAAGAATTGATTATTATCATTATGAAAAGCTCCTACTGAAAAAGATTTTTTAGTATAATTTTGTCCATTAAAATGTACTCAAATTTACAATAAACCTTATAGGGGAGTATCTGGTTCGGCAAGGAAATAGGGAAGTACAAAATGTGTGATGTTGACGACATTGTTGAGGAAGTTTATTTTATGGCCTGAAGATGATCATTAGTCATTTGTTTTCTATGAAGGCATTGAATGATGAATTGTCTGCAATGAATGTCCTCAACAGGCAGACAACAAAATGTTTGCATTGCAATCTCTTAAAGCATATGGGACATATTGATAAAGGGTGCCTCGGGCCAGGTTATCATTGAATGTAGATCAGGTATATTCTGTGAGACCAGAAGTAGACATTCTGGTGAATTTCTGTATGTTTTTCGGCTTTTTAATGTTTGGGTCTCCTGTGTCAGGTACACCATAGTGCTCATGTATTATGCACTCTCTGTTGGGCTCCTGTTTTTGTTCCGGCCCATTATTTCACACCAGTTCTGTGATGGCCAGGGGCGAGATTCTACGTATGCTGCCATGTACTTCTTACCATCCCTTGCAGTGTTGCATGCCTTATTTGGTGGAATCATTTGTAAGTGTTTTTGTTCTGTTTTGTTTATGATGAGGCATCAAGTTATTTAGTCTTGATGAGAAAACCTTGACACTCTATATGACATATTCATTATACTTTCCATTCTTTTATTTTCAATAGATTATTCTTACCCATACATCACTTTAACTGTCTCTGTCCTGAGCACTGCTGCAGTCCTTGCCAAGAATAAAATAACGGTTAGTGTACTTTGCATATCCCAGATGGTATGGTTTTAATCCTTTAACTCTCTAGATCTGATTGTTAATTCTCCAATCTAGCTGCTACACATTTCCTTGTAAATTAGTTATGAGAACTTGGTGCTAGATCAAGATAGCAGCTTCTAGCTGATAAGTTTGAATATTCTCATCACCTGTTTGCTGAAGAATGTATGAATATTGTAGGGAGAAGTTTTATGTTAATCACTTCTGAGAGTTAAAGGATTCTAATGCAACAGTGTAACATCATACAAGCCTAACAGGACCTGTACTGCTGTAGCTTTCATCAGCTTAAAGTAATTGCAGCATTTTGTAAGGTTTTTTTTCTGACATATTGTCAGTGGGTGTAGGGAGGCACTGTAATAATGAAGTAGCCTGGAGAACAGGCATAATTTTTTTGTGTATTTCAGGCGAAGGGAGGAAAGTGCAAAAAATAATTATATTAGTAGTTTGATATGTAACCCCCAGGCCACCTCGTCTCCCAACATTTGTGACAATGTGTCAATTGTAACTAAAAATTGCTGAACATTTTTTTCTAAAATCATGTTTCTTTTTAGCATATCAGTCAGTTGGTCAAGAGCAAACGTCACGCGATAATCATCGTGGCTCATTGGTTGGCGCATGCGTATGGAATATTGGCTGTCACGCAACTCCGTGACCCTGCAGTTCATGGACCGATGTTCGCATTAGTGTTGGCTCCAGTGTCATTCTTTTTGTTAACACATTCTTTTACGGAACCAAGCAAGTTTAAGACTCCTTGAATTCACTTCACGTTCTCTCATATTGCACTCAGTGTCGGGATGTGATTTCGCTAACTTCATCACGCGGTGAATTACGCTGGGGGAAAAAAAGGGGGGGGGGACACATCGCCTGTAAATTCGCGAACCAATAATTACACTTAGTTCGTCTCCCCCCCACACATACACAAAGAGGACCACGTTTATTTTTTAAATTTCTCTTCATGTTGCTTCTTATAATTGTCCTAAAAGACATTTAGATCCATGATTTTGTAAAATGTAGTAAAAAAAGGGCAGACAATGTCTGCCAAATATGTTAATGAAACTGGCGGCACGAACTCGAATTTGAAAAATCTGTCATTTCTGTGTCATTAAGGTATGGGCAGTAAAAATAGAAATTATTTAAGAGTATTATATTTGCTGTTCTTGAATGATGTTAAGTGTGGCCAGTGCTATCCATTGTACCAGACTTCAGTAAATCTGTTGAGTAATTATTTGAGTAAGAATGAATCAGATATAAACATCACTGTTTAATTATATTTTTATATTATGCTTGCTATTAAGTCGTGATTGCGACTGAGAAATGCTTATCTGCGATATTAGGCGCTCTCTTTTTGATCGCGAACGAGTAGCGACTCATGAAACCGACAGTCGGTGAAACGAAGAAAAACAATGCTTGATACGATTTCTCAATCTTAGTAGGCTGATTAATCGTGTGTCACGACGACTCGCAACTTGAACTGTATCTAGATCAAGCCAGTTGGACTTTAGTCTTCCTTCTCAGCTCTTCTACAGATGTCACGCATTTTGAGGGGAGTGTCGCGTGATATCCCCCAAGAACGGCTCCAAAGAAGACTGTCTCGACTACATTGATCATACTATTCTTGTGTAACCAGCTTTGCTCTCCTAGCCTGGTCTTGCCCTTCTTGTACTGGCCTGGGCTTTCAATTTTTTTTTTGTCTTTTCCTCTTTCTTTATGTCTTGCCTTGACTTGCCTTGTTTATTTTCCTCTTCCCTTGTTTGCTTTGCCTCAGCTTGTCCGGACTTGTGTTAAGTCTTATCGCATTTATCGAATTTACCCCCGAGTGCGACTAATCTCAACCAACGACGCGAAACGGAACAACACGAAAAGATACGAGGAGTAATGCTTTTTTAGGCGAATAAAAGATGATTGTTAGATTTATTGAACATCACAACTTAGCACAACTTTAATACCGAGTTATAGCTGGTTCGCCTTTACTCTATACGGTAACATGGCAAGATAATTTAACTTGAGTAGATTCTTCTTCCGGTGCGGTATTAGATGTACAAGGTTGACTACTTTCCGTTTATAAACAAGAATTTTTCGCATCACGAAAGCAGAGACTTATGATATCCGGCCTTCAGAATAATGTAAACAAAGAAATATAGGATTAACACTTTAGCCCCCTAAGAGTGACTTACATCTAGTTTCTCCTTACTGTATCCCCCTGAATCAAACATGGAAGTCATGAAAATAGAGGAGATGATCACCAACTTAAGCAGCTCTTGACAGTTAAACAAATTCTCCTTGCCAGCCTCTTTAGAAATGTGTGTGAACAGTGTGGAGAATATGCATACTGATGTTAGGGTGTAAAGGGTTAAGAAAGTTTTCAAAGTCAAAAATAAAATCATTCCATGGTAAAGCTGAATTCAGGGGTTGCGGAAGTTGGTAATTTCGGGTGATGAGTGAACTCAAACAATATCTAGTGACTTGATGAATGCGGGTTTGATGTTTCTTGTTTAGTTTTCACTGACATAAAGGAAGCCTTTAATTCATGCATTGTTTTCTCCTCCATGTTGACAACTAAACTGAATTAAATCTTGACAAAAACTTACAGGGAAGTAAGCGATTGCTTTCTCGATAGCAATGTTAGAAGTGAACAGTTTCGTGTTTCATCAATTTTAGTGATAAACCATGCTAGTCTGGTTTGAATTCACGGACCGATAAGCCATTCTGAGTAGTGGTTGCAGAATGGTGGTATGATCCTAGGAAAACTAATTTTATGAACGTGTGTTCGATATCAGTGACATAGCCGGAATTCCTGTTTGATTAAGTCATTTATTTTTAGCAAAAAAAGGAAATTTCCATTTTTAAATTATCACTCTTGTTTTCAGTTCAGTAGCCTAGTTCTGGTGAATGTTAGGAGATCTTTCTCCTCGCTTAAATTAACGCGGGGAAAGATCTTTTATTCAGCTGTAAGCACTAAGTGACTTCTTATTTTTTAAACGAAGAATGCTTCAACTTAAGTTGGTGCTTTTAGACGCAATTTACGTTCTGTCGCGGTGTCAATGAATAACATAATTATTTCGGAAAGGGAGTGTTCCAGAAAATTTGCAAAGAGGTTTCAGTGTTTCAGTTTCTCAGTTTTTTAGGAACATAATCGGGCAGCTTGTCGCATACGTGGCTGTAGCTAATGTTAGAAACATGTAAAAATATCTTGGTGCATTTAACGAATGTAATGTTTGACTTTGAAAATCACTTCCTTGAACTTGTCACAAGCCTGAGTCTTTATATATTTGCTCTTTGCTTGATTCCAAAAATAAGTAAGTCTAACGAACCATCGAACATTCGATCGTGTCAAAGTAGACCAAGTCAATGCTGGAAACGTGGCATTTCCTCTCTCGATCACTTTTTCAAGGTATTAAACCAGGCCTAAGACTTATTGTCACATCCCTTTTGCCGTGCTCGTCTTCCGACCCGGCTGAGTCGTTAAGAAATACCGTATTACAAAACAATTACAAAAATAGTAACCAAGAGAGGATTTTAATCTAAAAGTGTAATATACTATCCTTTAATTCTGTCAACAAGACTTCTAGGAGACTTTTATTCCCTACCTGAATATAAATACATACATGCTGCAGACAATTGATATCGCCGCCAGGTTTTATCATATTTGAAATTTGCCTCTCATGAGGTTTTGTTTGGGTTTGGAAGTCGATCGAAGTAAAGCAACACGACTTAAGTAGCTTTCCTCGAACTTCAGAGGAAAATGCGAATGAAAATAAAAAGAACAACAACAACTTAAACACAACGACAAAAAAAGTGTTATTGTGAAATGACCTTTGCAATATTTTGTAATATCACCATTACTGTTCAATTTTGACTCTATCTATAGTTTATGGTAGCCAAACGTTTCTGTAGCGAAGATCGTTGCAAATGTTTACCGCCTCTAAGAAACTTACAGCTGAGCGCGGACTGATATGCACAGAATACCGCAAACTGAGAAGGAAGAAACTGTCTTCCAAAAGAAAACGTGAAGGAATAAAGAAGCATAACTATACAGGAAACACTGTAAAGCGTTTCCAGACGCTGCTCTCAACCTAATGTTATGGAAGATTTAGAAAAAAGGCAAATTGTTTATCCTTAATGAAGTAATTTACGTAAATTGAGAGGGCGAGTATTTTTTCAAATGTTGAAGACTACGTCACCATTGTGGTTAGGAAGTGTTTTCAACAAGTTTTTATTCCGCCCACTTGTTATCCAAACGACAGTATTAAAGTAAAATTCTGTAAAATATTGAGCGACGGGTAAAGTTTAAGAGTTGTCGCAATACTATCGTTATACACTTATCACGTTTGCCTTCATGAAATAATAATGAATGAACATGCAACGAAGCGTATAGTTCTAAATAGCTCGTAACACTGACTCATAACTAGCTAGCAATGATGGAGTTTAACTGATTCATTTGAAATTGTAAGTTAGCCGGCTATAGTTTGGTTCAGCTTATAACGAAAGTTCACCAACCGCAAATACATTTTAAAATAAATCAAGTAATTAATTTATTTTATTTGAATACAACTGATATTGCCTTGATGACTTTCGGAGGGTGCCGCGGACAGGGAGGAAGTTTATCGCAACGTTTGTAGTATATCATGAACACTTTGTACCAGTAAAATTATGATACATTACTACGTAATAAATGTAAAATTTTGAGTTCTTTCATTTTCAATCGGTGCCTATTTGATATAAAAACGCTTTTATTTGTGGTTTAATGTCATCCCTAAATTTGGCTAGTACACAAATGACAGTTGAAAGGAATCTCTCTACAATCGCTGGGAGCGGCAAGCTAAAGCGGTATTTAAATGTCGTTTAGGAAATGATGCAAGATATCGAAGAGAAAAATTAAAAGGGGAACTATGAAAATGTTTTTTTACTTCAGTGATGCCAATTTGAAATTTGTCCTTTCAATTGCCAATTGCAAAATGCTCAATTTCTACTGCAAACGGCTCTCTAAAATAGAAATTTGCAAAGACAAGAGACTTTTCATTGTTAAATATTTCTAGGTCTTATAATGACTTAGGCGTTGCATAAACCAGGAAAAAAGTTTTCAAGAGGGTTTAATTGAATGTAAAAATCCGAATCTCCGTTTTGATTCGTGGGTGGTTAAGGCTGAAAGCAGATGAAGTAATTGATCACTATAGCTGAATGAGAGCAGCCATTAAGCTACTTTTGACAACAATAAACGGTGATTACTTGAAGTTCATCTTATTGTTAAGCTAAACATTCCCACTCTTTTTGGTAAACGTCAATTGTGACTTCTCCGACGCGGCTTGGGTCCTGGTAAATCATCGGGATGCATCGTCAGTTGCCAAGTACCAACGAAGTGAAATCGTCGAACCCGGAAAGTTTACGACATCGCCGAAAATAAAACATGCCATCATCAACTAGTTTTGAATAAATGAAAATGCAGATTTTTTAGCGGAAACAGACTCGTCTGAAAAGGGATTCCCCTCGATGCGCTTATGTTTCTCTAGTTGATTATTTTAGCGCGTAATTTTCCGCATCGCGCGTAGCGCGTTGGTGACGCAATGAAGTGGAAGGAAAATATATCATTGGTGTGAAGTATATAAAGTAGCTTCGCTTTAAGAAAATTTCAAATCCATCTGTTGTTGGCTTTGCGCTGGTATTCAACCGTTCCAAAGACAGACCGAGCGGTGCAATTGTTTTACGCTGTGAAAGTCGAGTAAAACACCAAGAATTATGCTGTTCTCAGTTATTAAGGTAAGATGGAAATTATTTTTCAGCAGTAATGAAAACCACTGTAGTTTTCATTCATTCTCTTAGTCAACACGGGGCTTTGGTAAGGCATCCCGAAACTTGAATTTAAACGTAAATATTACATCAGTCTTGTAATTTGGAAAAGATATGGAATACACAGACCAACTTAAATTACAATTTGATGTTGAAAATCACTTGTTAAATTTACGTGTGAGTTTGATACATTTGTTGTAATGGCATTGGATAATTTTTTTTAGGTTTTGTTCACGGTTCGCGAATTTTATATTGTACTAAAAATTAACATTTCGATTTGCTCACTCACCTGAAACAGATTCACTATCACGCACATTTTACACTGAGTTTGATTTAATGAAATAATAACTGATATATTTAAAAAGCGTTGGCTGAAAACTTCAGCATTAAAATTGATCTGTGATTTACCCCTTTTTCTTATCCTTTAATAGATACTATAACCGAAAATATCTCATTTCTACGCAGAGCAAATGCAAAAACTGTCGTTCAAATGTGGGAGGTCAGATAGTGAAAGTTCAAAAGTGTTTTTGGTAATTGTTAAGATTTGAAGACCAGAGTGAGCGAGGCGAAAATATTTTTGATTAGTCAGTTATTTAATCTACTGTAAGGTGAAATCAGAATTATTGATTAAGTATAATGCCAATTTCTCTTGACTCAGCAATATTTATATTAGCATAAGAACCTACAATCGCAACAATCTATTTATACTTTTCTTCATTATGTTTCAGGCGTTTTGGGCAGTTTTTACGCTCCTCTATTTGGCCCAAATTATCAACTCAGCTCCTTGCGGAAAGACGTTAGTTACACCAAGAAAAGTCGTGGAAAGGGTTTCCAGGTCTGGTTGGTTACTGGTGCGAGGAAATTCATGGGAGGATTTTAGGAAAAGTTTGAATATTCGGCCTCGCCAGAGGAGAGGCATTAATCAAAGAAAATCCCGTCACTGTAATTGGACTGACGAGCTTGACGAGAACGTAAATAGAAAGCCAAGATTTTTACACAAAGCAGTACTAGCGTGCAAAAGTTGCTCTTCGTTTTGCAAGCCCGTGGAGTTTGATCATAAGGTACTTGTTAAAGATTGTAACGCCAGTCTAAGAACTCACAGAGAGAGAATGGACGTCTGGAAATGGGAGACAGTGACACTACCAGTGGCGTTTGTGTACAATCCTTAAAAAACACCAAATCGATGTAGCTACTTTCAATGTGTCATCGTGACATTGGGAATATACGACACAAGATTTGGATGAATCTGCAAAGTACCTCAAAGAGATAAGCTATAAATATGAAAACCACTTAAATGAGTGACGAAAGGAAGGAGAAAAAGAAGGACATAAACGAACTAATATAAAAAAAAGAAGGATGTGAACTCCGAAAGTAGTTCAGAAGGAGAGCCTCTGTGTAGATACGCACTTAAATTCAATATGATGTAAAAGTTATAAATATTTCCTTCTATCATAAAGTAGGCAGATAAAGAATTTTAGAAGGAGAAACAGGCTGAATGAATTTAATTCTAAATTTGACTCTTCGTGATGCTTTTAGAAAATTTTTATCATCATATTGTGATTATTTATTATTCCTCGTACAACGTAAAAATAGCTTTTAACCCTTTAACTCCCAGATCGAATTTGTAATTCTCCTTACTGTTAATCATACAATTCTTATCATGTTAGTTCCGAGAATTTAGTGTTGGATCAACTAGTTATCCCCAAATTTATATTTTTCTTTATTCTCATCACTTATCTGAATGAGAAATTCTGTCTTGATCACTCATGGGAGTTAAAGGCTTAAAGCCGTTTTTAGGATTGCTGAATGATGTGGAATAGGATTCTACAGATTCTGTGCCAAGCATGGAAAAAAAAAACGTTGACTCAAAGAGTTAGAAATATGTTTTCTCTAAGTTGAGAACACTCAATAATGGTATATTTATTTTCTTTTATCTTATTTATTATCAGTTCAATTACTATGATCATCGTCAATATTACCATTTTTTTTTATTGTATCCATTTATTTCAAAGAACACGATTTTTCTAAATAATCATTTTATATCATTTTTTTCTAACAGAACGTCCCAAAGATGCGTTCATTTATTTAATTGTATTCAATACGTAACCAGAAAATAAACAGCCTTGTAGTATCTTTATTTATTAAACAAATGTTATAATATTTCGGATAGTTTAGGTCAGAGTTATTAACTGGAATAAAGTGAATGAAAATGGAGACTAAATATGGTAATCATTGATGCCGATTTCGGGAATATATAATCTAAATTGAAATTTGTGGTGAATTCCTTTAGTCTATCGTAGGCCAATAAACACCAACATTGTGGCTTGTGCAAATATCTTATTTTGTTTGTAAACAATTCTGTCACCAGCTGACAAATTGCAGCTCATTTTTTTACGGTTGCTACAGACAACTTGACGGCTTCAACAAATCAGTGATCATCGAAAACGGCGGATTCGCACAAATTACTCTTGTTCTCTTTACTCCGATGAGGATTTCCGCATAGGCAATGGTGACGCCGGTCACTGTAACCAATATCAGTCCATTTTAAGCCCTCCTCTGACACAGACGATCAGACTACGCAATTACACATAATGATTTGCGATGGAACAGTTTGCAGAGGGTTTTCTTTTAATAACTCATCAGATAAACATTGAAAACCCTTGGTATGTTGTTAGGCAATGGCTGGCCGGAAGTGGCGTATTTACAATCTGAGAAAATCTATTCCGCGCTTGGACAGTTTCATTCTTTATTTCGGCTTCTTCTTCTCCCTTACGTATTTTCTATCATAGAAATCTAAAATCTTTTAGGCTAAGCGATTTTTCATTTAGCACAAAACATTGTGACGTGTAATGTACCTTCACGCCTGACAGCTCGGCCAGATATGATGCGGATGTCCGCTGAAGGCTCTTCGTTATCAATATTCCCCGTATTTCTTCTTCAGTAAATTTAATCCGTTTAAAAGGAGCTTAACTTTCGCAATTTAGGTTTGAAATCATATAAAACGGAAGCGGTGTGTTTGGCTCGTTTGAACGGGTCAATATAAGCTTTGGCTGCTCTCAGTTATCTTGGAAGCAACGCCAATTCAATCTGAATTTAATCCGTCGTTCAAAGCCAAGGATTTAGAGGTTGAGATATCTTGTGTCAGCGGTCGAGCTCGATCCTCGACACGAGGGTCGGCAGAGGTAGAGCGATTACAATTTTTGCCCATAGCCGCTTTTGGATGTATAACATCCCTGATACGTGACGTGACATGTAATCTGATTTCCAGAAACTCTACCGTTGTTACTTACAATTGCATCAATGTTTCTAAAAAAAATGTCATAAAGAATTACGCTATTTTATCAGATGTCCTCTCAGTTTCAGTAGAGATTCTTTACATCCTTCAGAATGTGCTAAAGCGGATGCGTGACTGGGCAAGATATTATTTATGCAAAGGTTTTTTATCAAAGCAAAACATTTGACTCTAGGCATGTAACGCAATACACTAGCGTGCTTCCAATCGACTTCCTGTTATGTGTTTCCATAGATATCGGCCAAACCAACTTACATCGTCTATACAAACAAAAAAAAAACGGGGTTTGTTACTGTAAACGTCAATTGTGGCTCTTGAGTAGTGTAATTTAACATTTGGATCGGTTATTATGGTGAGTCATTGGGTCGCGTCATAACCTGTGAGTAGATTGCTGTGAAACTAAAATTCTCCGGAACTTTCGGTCGCTGTCTTTGAATCAGTAATTTTTTAATAAAATGGAAACTTGGAGTAAACAATTCATGACATAAGGGTGGTGTTTACGTCAATGGCCCCTTCTATGGCTTTGCTTGAAGGGACATGACAATCTGAAAGCCGCAGCGAAAGGGCTTCATTTAAATTTTACTAGAGGGGGAAATAACCTGGCGGTTTCATTAAGGCAGAGTTAAATCACCGAGTAACATTTTTTTAGCGAAGATCTAACGTGCAAAGTCAGCAAAATAATAATGTCGCGCGGTTTCAATCGTATCTTCTGACGCTGCCAGTAAGTACAAGTGCTATTTTTGCGGACGCAACCCGGTTTAGCTCGAAAGAATAGTTTAGTCACTCAATAAAATTAATTTGCCAGTAATATTAATAGAGATTGCAATCAAAATAACATCTAAAGAACTGGAAAGTAGTTTCCCCTTCGAAGGACTCATCAGCGTGACATTGTAGCATTTTGGCGTGACGGAGGTTATGAATCATGATAGGCAGAAGAGTTTCACCACCGTTTAAGCTCAAAGAAAGGGGTTTTCAGGACGTGAGTAATGGAGCAAATTTAAAATTTTCTGAAAACATAAAAAAGAAAACCTTTTCTTTAACTTATACGTAATTATTATTTCTAAACTAACGATATTTCCTTAAAAGGCTTCTGTGTGGGGGGAAGATATAAGATTACAATACAGGGAGCAGAAATATACACGGAAGAGGAAAATTCGTTCGGCGCTTCATTTGTTTTGGTACACAATCTATCAACTGAGTTAAAAATAAATCTTTTTTTAGATAATTTACCAATGTAAGGGGTTTCCCTTAGCTGCAATAATGGCACACCCATTCTAGGGTGTCTTAAATAGGATGGCAGAAACTTCTCGTTTACAATACTTTAGAATCTCCTTGGATTTCGTTGACCAAAGCGACTGGCCAACACTTTTAGCTCCTCACAGCAGCATATTCGGCGAAATGAATTTAAGGAAGCTTCTCTTGGTGAGTAAATGTAATTGAACTGAGAGAACTTTACAGGATAGTCGATGATTCATTCTCTAGCTAGATTAGAGCCTGTTGATAAACTCTTGTAAACAGAATGTTTAAACCTTCACTCGCCGGCCGTATTTAGTCAAAGTTTTCCGGCTGAACGGCAAAGAGGCTTATTTTGATTTTCCTTAAGCCTGTCGTTCGAGAAGAAGAAGGCCCGAAACGTTTAGTCCAAATATAACATATCCTTTTTCCGTTTTTGCAGGTTGCAAGTGAGGTTTATGTTTTTTTCTTTCATGAGTTTTTATGCACTTCTCTGAAAAACCGTTCATGAATAAGATCTAAGTTACATTGTTATAATTGATTTAACTCCGCGCTTAATGTGCTTCGCTGAAGCATATTAGCCTAAGAGATCAGTGGACGATAAAATCAAGTTGATTTTGATCAGCTACTACGCTAATCGAAGGCCAAAGCTCAGGAAGTTGACCTTAAAATCACTGAAATCGTTAGAAACATCAGGATAGTCTGAAATATCATTCAAATATTCAATTGGTTTACGATATGAGTTGTATTCACTCAATTACGGCACTTATTTTTACTAGAATTCATTTCAATTCTGCTAGAATAATAATTTTGGTTGAGTCGACATTCACAGTTAGCAAATTATACCGCTTTATGCTTCCAGCCCTTTCCATGGTTTAACTGTTCAGCGCTAAACGTCTGGAAGCCTCTAATGACTAAATTTCACGATGAAATATCTTTCAGTAGACTTAATTTCCATGATATTAGCTCCGCTCGAATAGTTCCATTGCATATGATAGTTGTCTGTTTCTAATCTGTTAGTCCAAACACATTGTGTCGTTTCCGAAATGGACCGTATTTCCAGGCTTTTGATTAGGCGATTACATCTTCTCATTTGCTTGAAAAGGATCGTCTACACCTATATAAAACAATCTTGTATAGGCTATTTGTGGTTTTAATAATCTCCATCTCATTTGTTAAAGAATCTCTTAATTTATTAAGATGGATGAGAGGAAATGGGAATCTAAAGTGCCTCATCATTTTCACCATATAGGCTTTTGTTGTTGTTGTTGTTGTTGTTGTTTAGCTTTTTTTTTAGTTTTGTTTGATGTAAATTGTTGGAATGTTGACAATTTGTTTGCCTAGGTTGTCGAAAACGCATGCGCAGTCTATACCACTAACAACTTTTCAATTCCACTTCACGCACCGCATGATTGACTTTCACTCCTCTGCGTAGAAGATGTACTGTAAATGTTAGACTGATGATAAGGTTAATAAGACATAACTTGTTCTTCACAGATTCCTGGCTTGCTGGCCTCTTTTGTTATTACATTACTGGCAGGGCCATTGCCACAACCATGTGGTAAAAAAATGTACCCTAAAAAGGTGCTGCGACGTATACTGAAGGAGAAACGCTTTATGATCATGGAAAACGCCATGGCTGGGGCAGACGAATCAGGCCCTAAGATACCGCTACTAAGAAAAACACGCTCTGCCTCGCCCATAATGCAGGGGGCATCCCCCTGTCAATGGCAATGGCGGTCTACAGACCGACCAAGTGAAATTCCAAGGTTTTTAAGAGAGGCACATTGTCCAAACTGCAAGCATTACTGTACCGCCATAAAGTACACAGTTAAAGTTTTGGTCCAAGATAAGTGCGACCCAAAAAGCGGCTTACCAATCTGGCGATGGAAGGAACGTGAAATAACAGTTGGGTACTTTTACAAAGGAAGCAGATAAAACGTAAATTTGTCTACTTATGTGATCAACAGCTCAAGTCTCCTGACGGTGGAAATGCACACGTGAACATTCAGGCGAAGAGAATCAAGGGAAGTAGTCAAAAATCACTATTTTGATGAGGACAGAGATTTTTCAAGTGATATTCATGAATAGAAAGTTTACTTAACGAATATAAGAAACTCGTATTTTTGGCTACAGTGGGTATTACCCGGCCTGATCAGTCAATTGAAATCTATATTGAGCAATCACCTATATCAAAAATGGTTTAGGGAAAATATTTTTCAAGCACATGATCGATTTGTTATCTCTGATAATCCCACGATCGCCGATTTCCATTAGATTTTTTCTTCAATTTATCAGTCTTTCTTAGAAAAACTTTCAACGTTTAGCCGCCGTCAGGATGTATGTTCTTTTAAATCTAAGAATGCTCTGTCTACAAGAAGGTGATTATGGCGAGGTGTGATAAAAGTTTAATATCTCAGCCAGGTCTCTTTGACTTTGACTAACATATTTTCAATGATCAGTCAGTTAAATGTAAAATTATTTTGGATCAATATCAGTATTTTATTTTATTTATTTCTTTCATCGATTTCAATTGATTTTCAGGCCGGGTTTACTGAGTTCAGCATAGTTATCACTTATAAATAAATCATATAAATTTCGTTTCAAATTATCAACAAGAGTGCGAGATATACCCAGTTTGTATAGTGTGAAGATGAAACAAATAACAAGTATTTATTAGTGACCAGTCATATTTATCACCCGTGAAGGATGGGGAGCAGAGGGGTAGGGGTAGGGGTAGGGGTAGGGGTAGGGGGAGTAGAGGGGTAAGGGTAAAGGTAAGGGGAGCAGAGGGGTAGGGGTAGGGGTAGGGGGAGTAGAGGGGTAGGGGGAGTAGAGGGGTAGGGGTAGGGGTAGGGGTAGGGGTAGGGGTAGGGGTAGGAGTTAGAAGAACATTACATAGCCTTGGTTGGGTGATCAGGTAACTGTCAAGGGGGGGGGGGAGATTCATGAGAATATTACAGAGACTTATCGAGGGATCAAGTACATATTATCGAGACACGACTAAAGTTCCCCGCCCCTCCCCTTCCGGTGATTAATATTGACCGAATTTTTTATATGTCACAAAGTTTGTATACGTAGTCACAATGTGACAGCATCATAACGTAGGAATTTTCCCTTCTTTCTGTCTCAGTTTTCAAAGTTTTTATTGTATAAAAATTTATCCATATCTAATTTATTGATAAAGATATTTAAATTTTAAAGTATATCATTGAGAGATATTTATTATGTCTTGATCAAACACATATATCGCCGATTATTTAAATGAATGAAATATTTTTTTAACTTTATATCGATCTAGAGTTTTTTCATGAACTAAGTTTTTTTCGCCAATCCTCATCACTGTGAATGGCACTATGTTGTAAAAAAAATGCATATTTCTGTAATAAAATACTTTTTTGGTCACTCAATTTGTTTGAAGTTAAAAGGCATCAGAAAACTATTTTAAACAATAGGCGGTTTGAAGTTAGCTAGAACTAACATTTGATCATGTAGTATGACCGTCTAGGTTAGGGGAGTCCCGGGAAAGACTGTAGTAGTTACTGACGTTTGGTAAATCTTACCAGAAGTCATCGTCACGGAGTTAAACATTTTGTAGTTGGCCACAAGGAGAAATCTTGACTCTGATAATGACTTCTGCTAACTTTGTGAAAACGTCAGCCATTACAACCGATGGCAGTCCTCCCCAGTGCTACTCTCAGCCGGGCGCGCGGAGCACATGATCAAGAAACTGGATCAAAGGACGTAACGCCTACTATGTCAGAGGTTCAGCGCGCCAAACTCTGAGCCACCGTGCCTTACACGACTTACAAGGCACTGAAAATCCCACCATTTCCTAAGCCAGTTGCACATGACTGGAGTTAGTGGGAGAAGATTGTTGTAACTCGCGAAGCAACTGAGGATCATATGGGAGTTAAAAAAACCTACAACTGATTAATCATGGCTAATTTTCCTAGTCTGAGCACATCATATTCTCTGAGCCACCAGATTGGTTGATTTCTGTTGTGCAAATTGGAAAAAATTCGGCTTTAAGATAACAGTTGTAAACAAGTAATGGCGTTCAGAATGGTATAAAATGTCAAGGGCTACTCCAGAGCTTTGATCTCCTCGACAGCTTTCCTCAACGACTTAATGCATATCACAAGCTCCTCTTTCGTTTCCAATCGTTGCAGGCCCAGACCTAAAAGCTTATTCAATGCGTCCATAAGGCGTGCTTTCAAAACAGCATTACCGTTGCTCCCTTGATTTCCTCTCATCGCGCCATATGGGTTGTCGCCGACGCTCTGTGCCATCGGTGCACTACAGTTGGAAACGTCCACATTAGTAGAGAAGGGGTAGGTATTGAGCTGATCTGTTCCCCCACGAATTTCTGTATTGGCAGCTTGCGTGGCTTGACAGCTCTGAAAACTCCTGTCTGGAAGAAGAGAGGACATACCTTGCTGTTGCGTCCCTGTATATTCTTGCACATCTACTTTTTCCGCAAGTAAAGGAGTGAACGTTTTCTGAATTTTCGTCGTTATCGGACCCTCTTCGGAAGCAGAAAGAGGTCCTGTGGAAGCATCGAGCTGGGTGGTTGTCAGAGTAACCGTTTCGTTTGCACCAAGGTGGTTCCTACTTTGCTCCAGACGTGAAGATTTCACAAACGGCGCAGAGCTGGTTGGTGAAACAAGAGGATGTCCCCTCTTCTGTTGATCAGTTGGATAGGTGTAAGTCCTGAGCCTCAATGGAGACGAGAATTCATTTGCTGATGCTGTGCGATTGACAGCTGTCTTTCCACCTACAAATCCACAAAAGTTTTTCTATTTTCAACTTTTATAAACGTAACTTAGTTTGTTAGAGCTAAAGTAATAATAATATATTCTGCTTTTAAGGGGCTCTACAATAATTATCAGTAAGGCGGAGGGCGGTAAAACAACAACATGTGATTTTCTGTGAAAGTGGAGGGGGGGAGGGGGAGGGGGGGGGGGGGACAGCTGCTGAAAAGCTGACTGAATGATTCAAATACCCCAACTATCTTACTAAAATGATATTCATTACTTTTTGGGACTGATTTGATATGAATAAACATAGTGTATATGCATAAAAAATTTAGCAAAGAGATAACAGTAATTAATAATTGTTTTGAAGCAGTTTTTAAGGTCCTCAATCAGATGGCCATAAGTTAACATGGTGCCCCCCCCTCTTTATACCACCCCCCCCCCCATCCCCCTTCTCCTGATAATTATTACACAGTCCCTAATCGGTCAGAAATGGGCGGAGATTTCAAGTTTTTAACACAGTTTTGAGGGCATTACAGAAAGCAACCTTGCTTACATGTCGAACTATTTTAACACACTAATAAAAAATTCAAATTTCGAAACCAAGAAACATACATTTCTTTATTCCGACAGGAAATAACTTCATGGTCATTAGATTTTCCCTTTTTGCATGACGTTGTTTAAAAATTGATGAACCCACTTTTATGTACTGTGTCCTTTTCTTTCTTAGCTATGAATTCTTCAATTTTAAATTACATGAGGTTTCCGTGTATCAAATCGTTGCCTTTACGCAGGGCCCACCAAGGCAGCTAACAACAGTTGCGAATTCGTTACCAATGTGGCTACTCAGTTTGAAATAGATTATCATCACTTTAATCAGGACCTTTGATAGGCATTCCTGTTTAACATACATATATACTTAAACTACATCGTAGTCTTGCAAATTCAATTCTTTCATATTTCAATTCGAATAACTTTCATAGAGTAAGACTTTACAAAATGATGCTTTAAATCACCTTTTAAGTCGCTACTATTCACCGAAGAACAGCTGTCGATGTGATGAGGTGCGCTCATTTTCCTTACATTCTTGGAGGGAGAGGAGTTTGGTGTGACAAGGTCGTTCCTTTCGTCATCGGTAACAACTCTTCTTTTCCAATGCTGGCTCTTGTCCAAGGTGTTGCTGTCCGCCATCTGAGACGCCACGAACTCTTTAAGTTTTACTTCCATGCAAAAGGGTATGCAGCAGTAAACGTCATCGCACGATTCAGCGTGTTTTATAGCGAGGTTTTTCATGCGTTGGCACACCTGGCACTGGGTCTTTTTACAGCCCTGTGTGTGTTTCATCGTCAACTTCATGTTCACACAATGTGGAAGTGGACACTCGGGGTTCCAACAATTTAAAGTGTGTTCTAGAAGTTCTAGGGAACTTTTAAACCGTCCTTGTACGGCAGCTGCATCTTTTGTGTTTGTGGTTTCCTGTCCTGCCATCATGACGTAACTCGCGACGATCTAGAAAAGCCAAATCCATTGTGAGTTATTGAGGTCCCCTAAGTTTCATATTTTTTCGGATACGTCTGATTTCCCTTGATGTTCGTGATTGTTGCCCCTAAATCTACCAATGAATCAACTTATCCAATTTCAAATAAAGAAATAAATAAGCAAATAAGTGGATCAATACATAGCATTAAGCGTGTTAGCGTCTGATCACTCGTTGACAAAAAAAAGCCGCTTGCAACCTATCTATAGAGGTTTTTGCCTTCGTTAACAACTTACAAGTCAGTTTCCGGTCGAATCTCAAAACATTTCTCAGAAACATCACCATCTTATTCGACACAACGCAAACCTTACGGAAATGTTTTCCATGCTTGAAATAGATTGACGCTTATCGGAAAGAAGAATTTCTTGAAAGACTTTCTTTTCAAAGCGAAAATATCTTTACGTAGTAGAAACGTAGTTATTTCCTGCCTAGAAGATGACTATATTTACAAATATTTCTGAAAAAGCTAAACCGCTGTCTTATGAACTATACTTCCACAGTTTGGCTAGCTAGAGTTTAACTTTTAGACTCCCTACAAGGATTTGTACTTTTTCACAAACGAAAATGAGCTAGGAAAGTATAAACTTTCAAATTACCGGAAACAATTATCGCTTCCTAGAAGGAACCTAGACCTTAAAATGCTTTTAAAGTTAAAACAGAATTTCTTTACGACTCTGCAAAAGACACAAGATCGTGTTTGAGGTACCTCCCGTCACTAACATTTTTGATTTGTAAGGCTATGGTCTAAAGCCAGGAAAAAAAACTAGAAGTTATAATATTCGTGGTGACTGTGAATAAGTTGACAACTGCGTGGGATTTGTAGTGTATTGTTATTCATGCCTGGTTTAAAACAATGGCTCGCTCGCTCGCTCAAGACACGCAATTCTTGTCTGCCAATTTTAAAAATTAAAACAGATTCAGCTACCATTTTCGAACATACACCCATACAGCACGCCCGAGAACATCGTCCGTCTCAAGTAATATCCACCCCGCCCCTTTGAGCTTGGAGCAGCACGTAACAATTACACGTAGGAGGTCGATCGGATACTTGAAATTTAAAATCGTTCAATCGAAAAAAGACTTGAATATCACCGAACTATCGATCCTCTTGCTTTAAGCGTCGAATTTCAAAGCACTCTTCACCATCGAAGCTGGATCTATATGAACTATCTTTTGATCACGAGAGCGAGTTAACGAGCTCAAGAAGTCTAAGAGGGTATCTGCACTGCCGGAGAGAAAATTTTCTCTTAACCAGACGAAATCGACGCACGAGATCGTCACGATCATGCAATATTTGCCAAGTGAGATTATTTTACAGATCTGAGGTAAATTTACCCCACGGCGATCAAATTCGGACGTTTGCCAGCCCGGGCTAAGATGTAAACAACCGTTGTTTTTTAGCGCGAGCTAAACAAGCCAGCACATGATACCCGCAAAAAGTTGCAAGCAGTAGGGTTAAATAATTTTTCACTGAACAAGAGCCCAGTTGCAATCACAGTTAAAGCGAAACGAAGATAGATAATAAGGTATTATAAGGCACTGAGAGATGTGAAGACAGGCTCACCTTCTGATTGCTGATATCAAACTCCAAATTTGGCAAACGGGAATACACACCTTTAGGATGAATGTTACCTGCTCGAGAAACTGAAGAAAGACCACTCGTTCAGCATTTGTAAGCTTTTTTTTATAGGCACCCTCTCTTATTGTTGAGGCATATAGCGATATCTGGTTGTTAAAAATGCGGAATTTTCGAATGAGCAATTCCGAGCAATTTACTTCCGGGGTATGACTCACACGCACCAACCGGTTCCGTTTTACAGAGACTGACCTTAAATTTTAAAATATCGAACTTCCATTGTCTAAATATATGAAAGAATATGGTTAAAATCCTGGTTTCTTGGTCCACTCACATCAACCTCCTATTTCCACAGTGCCGCTATCCGAAATTGATTCAGAGTGCAGGTAGATTTCGTTGCATGACGATTCTATAACAAGCCCACAAAATTAATTGCGTGGGTGCATACTTTTCTTATAGTCATAGATGTTTCAGATATCTAAGCTTTTGTTGTTATGAATCTTACCCTTATTATGCTCTGAGGAAGGGCTTCGCCGGGCAATAAGTTTGTTATTATCTACTCTTCCATGAACCCACGGTCTTTCCGAACTCCATATAGTTTCGGAACTGATCTGGTTTCTCCGTAACTTACACCAATTTCCTTTGTCCCCGGGAGGTTGGATAAATCGGATCTCGACTGTTATTGTAATGGTTGCTGCGGGGCGTTTACGCGTGCCTCACATCCTTTGCCAGTCCTATCGCGTGAAGCAGTCAGGCTGAAAGCTGCAACGAAAATGTAACGTAATTCGTTACAGTTTTCCCTTAAGAAAAGGAAAATACAATCTAAGAATTTATGCTAGGCAAAGACCAACGAAAGCCGAGTAGGCCTACTCTTTTTATCTGTTTTAAATCAATTCTTTTTCTGGTCTGATTCATTAAACTCAAGTTACCACTTCAACTGAAATACTAACCCTTCCGAATGGTGCGTGGTTTGAGCCGAAGCTAACGTGACAGGATGACTAAATATAACCAAAATTCGCCCACAGGAAGTGAATTTAGTTTCATCTTTAGATGATAAAACCTGTTCGCAACCTATAACTTGCTTTTTGCAAGGGTAATTTCAATATTTACGCCAAGAAATTTTTTCGTTCAAAAGCTTATGTTTGTTTTGTTTGTTTGTTTGTTTTTTTTTGCGTGAATTTTTTCAAATGGGATAAATGCAGATGCTGGTGACGCGTCACTTATCAATACAAATTAGATTGAGGTCGGATGCGCCTAGAAAAATAAAGTGAAGTGTTTTTGTGGTTCTCGAGAGCCAATTAACGTAAGACGTGAAATTAAGTTTTCTTTAAACAGAAGTTCACACCCTAACTAGAGTAAAACAGCTAACAAACGAAATTGATTCCATCAATTCACCTCCAATATTTTTTCCTTTAGAACGCTACTGAAAGCGAAGTCATCATGGCACGGCTGAAAGGCCGTGCAACTCTAATATTTAGCCAACCGCTGGGCAATTATGCAATACTGACTTTTGGCATGGAACGGTCGAGTCACTGTTCATCCCTTGTTAAGTAATGTGATAATAGTGAAAACTTTGTAACCGAACAAATGGAGCACAAAGGTTTCCAATCTACCGTCTGCGATCGATCTACTCAAATATTTCGTATGCTTGGCCTCCTTTTTTTTTTCTGGGCTTACTGTCGCCCCTTTGCAGTTTTTGCCGAATCACTGAACCAATATTGTGCATTTTCCTCCAAACTGGTAATGTTTGCAAATGTAAAGCTAGTCGAAATTTTGTGACGCAAATGTGTAGCTCCTAAAGTCCGGAAAAGAGGGTGGCTTGCAAGTTCGTTTTCTTACCCACCCAATATCTTTCACCTTGGCATTCTCCTTCTTCACCTAGTGCTAGAGCTGCGCCCCTCTTGTTAGAACCGAAGTTTTGCCCTTGAAACAAACAAAGGGAAAAAAAATATTCTATGTCGTTCCATACACCATTCTGCATGACAAGAAAATGATTTTATCAGTCTGCGATTGAAACGGTCGGGCGATATTGAACGTATTTGCTGATGCTTTGTCAATTATTAAATGAATAAAGAGCGCGGCCGTAAATTAGCAGCTAAATACTAGTCTACTGAAACTGAAATCTGCGTCAAATTTTTACTCAGTGTTGCAGTTAATTGTAACCGTTGTTCGCTTTTCTACGGTAAGATCACGTAAAAGAACTATTCAGTCTTACAACTTCACTGGGTCAAAGAAGGAAAGAGCTGGATTTGATCTACCTTCTTAAGACAAAACCCTGAACCTTGTCTGCTTTGTCCATTCTTTACTTCTAAAGAATAACCTTCGATCGAAAATACGCCTCAATTGAATTATCACAATAACTCAATGAAATCTTATTCTTTCAGCCAGACATAGGTGCTAATTTAGTAAAATACGTGACTGAAATGCAAATTATTTATGGTCTGGTGGGTGTTGCCATGGAAGTGAGCTTTGATATACTTAACAGCGCAAGCGACATTCGTTTGAGATTCTTTTAACCTGACTGAACATTTACAACAATTAGGTAAACGATTTTTCCGATTTATCCTCTTTTTGTTGGCTTTCTTTACTTTTTAACGATAACTGGCGGCAAGAGAAAATCAAGGGATTTTCTCTTAGTAGCGGTCCAATTCGAAATTATTAAACCCAAAAGACACAGACGGACATTTCGGATGTCGGAGAATACTTTCATAGTAGGCAGGGCACGGGATCAAAATTACTACCAAAAGTAGCGACAAGAAGGTCATTAATATTATTCAGTTTGAATTATCCCTTGAAAAGACTTTGATCTTCGCTATATTTTGAGGTAAGCGTCGTGAGTAAAAAAGGAAAAAATGCATTAGAAAGGAGTTCCCAACTGAGGACGCCTTAAAACCTCAGCTTCTCGTCATCCCCGGTCACTTGAACTACTCTAGGGCTACGCCCTTGGGCTTGGAGCCATGACATCATTAATAATAATTGGAATAGGAGTCACGTCTGCTGAATCCGTGAACGACAAACTCTCTCTGATTTCGCCAACTTTTCCTTCAATTCTTAAATGGATCCAACAGAAAACAAGGAAAATATATATTTTGATACCACTATTGCAATATTTTCGCGGTATCTTCACAGACCAAGGGTAGACTGCATAATTCCTCGTAATAATAACTCGTAAGCGGGTTAAGATTTCCAACTCTGGCACTCTTTATGTTTCTGGACCATCTAAGTCTTTAATTAGTCATAGCGTGTCGTTTTACTCTGATGATTCTCAATCGATGAAGAACTAATACAACAAATCTCATCTTCACATCATCCCAGGTCACTTCAACTATCAAAAGGCTACGCCCTTGCTGCATCCGTGAACGATAAACTCTCTGATTTCGATTACTTTTCCTTTAATTCTTGAATGGATCAAACAAAAACAAGAAAAGTATATATGTTTAAAACCACTATTGTAATATTTTCACAGTAATTTTATAGATGAAAGGTAGACTGCATAATTCCAATTTTTGTCTTGTCCCTCCGATTACACGGGTTGACTACAAACCGAAATTTTCTCAATTTATCTTAAATCTTTCCATTGTTTTACTCTTTGGGTATCTCCATAAGATTCCTTATCGGTGAGTTCTTCAGGGCACACTGATGTCTCGATGTCTCCGGAGCATTTAAGTTTCTAGTTAGTTATACCATGTCGATTTTATAATGATTCCCAATCAATTTCGATAACATACTTCATAGCTCGATAGAAAGAAGTTCATCGAACCTTGTAGACTGAAGCTTAATTTTCAGAGCGCAAAGTAGGTTGGTATCCTTAGTCGTCTGTTACATCTTACCTTACACGACAGATTCTACCTGTAGAGCATAATTCGAGATAATTTAATATTATAACATACCTAATTTTTCCGCTGGTTTTCACTCACTCGGATAAAGTTATAATTATCATTATTATTTGGAGAACGGCATTGAAATGTACGAAAACGCAAGGCTTTGTTTTATTGAGGTTCCCAATGGGGTGACGGCCCTTACGGTTTACGGTTGAAATTGTCCTAAGTTTATTGATTTCTTTCCATTTGTTGTAAACAGAAATTTTTTTTACGGTTACCTTTTTTTACGACTAAAAGTTAAAATTTGCCAATTTTTACGCCTGACGGCTAAGCTCTTTTTGGCCATTTTATGGCTAACGTTTAACCTCATCGAGACCCTCTTTGTTCATTGAATCATTCAGTTCAGCTCATCAAAAATAGGGAGCGGTCGTTATCTGTCGTCCGGGAGAGGGAGGGGGATTGGGGATCACATGGTTTTCAGTGGGTGTGGAGGAGGGGATCAGTCACCATCAGAATATTAGGGGAGGACTATAGAAAATTGACTGCCAATGGTGGGAGGGGGAGGGGGGGGGGGGGGGGAGGGGGGGGGAGGGGAGGGGAGGGGAGGGTAGGGGTAGGGGTAGGGGTAGGGGAGGGGGGGGGGGGGGGGGGGAGGGGGAGGGGGAGGGGTATGTTAAGAACATTACAGAGCCTTGTGGAGGGATCAGGTGAATTATATTGTGTTACGATTAAAATTCTCCAACTCCAACCCTCCCCTCCCATGCGATAAATAACAAACGGTTCCGCTCCATCGTGCCTTTATACTTGCGTCCCCAGAAATACTTTGGTTTCGTGTAAAACGGCTGTTAGTAACCGAATGCACATCTGCTGTTCCTCCGTGGACTTTGTTTGCATCAGCAGGCGTTGAATACTGTATAGCGCATACATTAGGCGTGCTTTCATCTGAGTTCTGGTATTACCAGTATCATTGTCAGCTCCATCATCTACGTTAAAATTCCTCTCTTGCGGTGTATTACCGGAAGTTCCAGGTTCTTGAGGAAAAGGAGGACTTGTCTCTGAATGTATTCTCTGGCGCTGTACTGCATTGTCGATTTGGCTTGTCTGCAGAAGCGCGGCATTCTGGCCTTGCCCAAGAGTAAACGGATACGGGACGTCGTTACCAACACTGTTGTTCGGAGCTGACGCTTTAGCCCAAGCATTTATTGTTGTATCCTGTGAGTACGGCGAAGAGCCAGTGGCAATGGGCGGTGTTGTTAAGGTGCCTGCTGAGGATACTGGAAAAAGCTCCATTAAAGCACGACGCGTTAAGCCTGTCATACCATTGGCTGCGTTTACACTGGATTTATCTTTACGTTGTAAAAGACAAGACTGAGGAGCCAGATGTGCAGGCGAAGAGGTCGTTTGAACCGAGCTTGAATGGTTAATCAATACGTTTAATGGTTGAACGGTTGGGTTGACTTTCATCGCGTCTTTCGCGTTTTTTAAGTAAGGAGGAGGTGCTGGGGTTGATTTTGCCAGTCTCTGAGTCACTTTACTCCTCACTCCTTGAGGTCTTGATATCTCAGAACTATCTCTTTGTTCGAATGAAAACTTTAGGGGAAAATTGTCTTTGATTACATCCCCTAGGTGATCATTGAAGTCAGTTTGGGCCCCTTTGTAAGGGTTGTCATTTGCACCCATGCGAAAAGGTATAAGGCACTTGGGTTCAATACAGGATCCAGCAGGTTCTATAGTTAGGGTTCTCAACGTTTGAGAAACTTTGCAGGCATTAACAGTTTGAAATCCCTGAGAATTTTTTAGCTGTAAAAGTTTCTTATTTACGCACATCGGAATGATACATGCGGAATCTGAGCAATTTAAGGCGTGCTGTTGTAACTCTTGCGAATTATGGAGTATTCTCTTTGCTTCTGGTTCTGCCATTAGTTTAACTCGAATGTCCCTGGCGGGAAGAACCTGTGTGGTTGAAAGTAAAGACGAGAACAGATGGATGGTTTGGATTAAATACCCTTGGCGTGCACAATCCATGAATAAATCTATGTATATCACTTAGCATTCAAAGTTGCGTTCAATAAAAAAATACCGGCAGCTTGTGATATCTCCCTTTTCCGTGTTTCTTGACGAAAGGGATTCAAATTTCTCAGTTCCCTTTGCGCTGAACTCTCGCGAATATGGGGCTCTCAAGCTGAGGAATTTTATTGACATTCCTTAATAGATAATAAAATGATAATAGGTGGGTCGTTTGTGGCGTGAGGGTAGTTATTTTTCCCTTAAGGCGGAATTTAATAGTTAATAGTTGCTAAGAATTAAAGATTGTGCTTTTAGCTTTGGCTAAAATATTTCTTTTCATATCGGACACTATTGCCACGAAGTAACAGAGTCACGGTGAAAAGGTTTGAGTCGTTTTTGTGAAACAAGTAGAAGGAAACGGTTGATCCTAATTTCCAAGGTGAAAAAGTTCTTAATTTGCAATGTTACAGGCACACTTAGGGTTGCTGTTTCCATAGCTTCTCCCAACTTCAAAGATACTCGCTAAAGCGTGAGGCCGAGGAAAGAGGCCGCAGAAATTTTTCCCTCTCGTCATTTGTTTTCACTCATTTTTATTCGTGGCTTGGAGCCCATACTTATCTCTCATCTTTTCAAGCTTCATTTTGCAATTCTACTTGAGTGCGAATATGAGTCATGTTTACCTTTAAGGCGATTTGAGTTTACTGACTTTCCAGATTATCAGAAGATGCTATTTCGTTGCATGTTAAGCGATTAAAGCTTACAACCAGAGGTAAAAAATTGAATTGCTTTGCCAACCTTTTTCAGGTTACGCATTTGCGATTTAACAGAAATGAAAATTGTTTTATTCACCCAGCACCCATAGAGGGCTGTCCTTAATAAATATACTTGTTTCAAAATTATTCATATCACAAAAATTACACCTCTTCAAGTTGTTTTCAAATCATAATTCTAAGCGTCAAGCTACTTTCTCCCTGCAAAAGTCCACTATTTAAAATTTCGATAAACGTACTTTTGGGATGCATTTGAAAATGCATCGTCTCTTGGGCAGTCATATCTACCACAAGAATTAACTTCATTCTATGAAGTAATCGGTAGCACCCAAGGATATTAAGGTGAAAATTTAAGCATTGATCAAAATCTCACCTGTTCTGCAGCTCAGTTCTTTTACTGCAAAACTGTTCTTCCTTACTTGCGGTAATTTCTCCCCAAAATAAAGCGTGTGAAATTGTTACTGATTGTTCGGTTATTTAACCTAGCCGAAAAATAACAATTTCCTGTGTGGGTTGGATAGCGAAATGTACCAGACAGTTCTACCTTGGAATTTTTCCCTCTACCCACGCTTTTGGTATCAGACCGGCCGATGTGTTTCCAAGTTAAATATTTATTTTAGACGAGGACTTTTCAACCACTTCATTTCATTTATAAACTCTTTTCATGCCCATGAAAATACAACAGTACAAAAGGGCACTTAGAAAAAAAGAAAAAAGAAAAGGTTGGATAGATAAAGGTAACTCCTTGTTCGTTATTTTCTTCTCCCACTGTATTGAGGTTATTTGCAAAACCGTGCGATGGGTCTCTCGATGTCACGGTCTGTCTAACATGCACGTATGTATGAATATAGTGAAGACAAATTCGCGTAACTGGAGTAACTTATAAAAAATCTTAAATATTAGGCCGCAGATAATAAACATTAGGATCAGTTCTGCTAAAAAAAAAGTTTAAAATACTTTCAATTTTTGTCTTTTATTTGCATTCCCCCGCATTCCTAAAGTTTTCTAGAATTTTAGTTTACTTTTAAAGGTGACCTAAAGAGGTCACGTAAAAATATCTCAGTACCCAGTAATTAAATGGGTCAACAACTCAGGCTACATCATAAAATTATTTTAATTTTAAACATGGGCAGGAGCAATTAGCAATCGGACCAAGTTCAAAAAAATTGTTTTAATTGTAAACAAAGGCAGGACTCACTTTTAATCGGACCACGCAGGACTCTATCTGAAATTGCAAGAGTTGTTTATCTGATTTTAAGGAAAAGCACTTTCAATTTTTGTGTTAAAAGACACTAACTTATAATTAACACTAATTTAGTTCAAACATCATATGAAACGTTTCACTTCAGCTTTACTTCAACGCTTCTCCTTATTCTTATACAAACCAAATTGTTAATGGACAACTTTTTCTCCTACAATCCCTCTGTGAAGATTCAAGTTTCTGGACAAATCCCAAAACAATTGTGAACGTGATAATCTTTTCCTATTATCTGCAATAAAGTTTACAGCTGGATCATAGAATCTCATTTTTTACATTTTTGTGGTGCCTTTGACTGCCCGTCACCAACCGGATAAATTATTCGCGAATAGATTCCCTTTGTGACCTTGCGGGCGTAAGAGTATTTGTTAGACTTAATATGCTATTTTTTTTTGTTATGGCGTTTGTTTAGACTTAATTTTTTTAGGGAATGCTGCACGGTTATTTTATGGAAATTCTACGGTTAAGATTGGTATCAGGGAAAAGTGAAGGTATTTTAAAGAGTGATGTCTCTGAAAAACTCGAAATTGCGTAACTTTTGGCTCCCTAAACTGAAGTAGGAAACGCGAACACCTCCACCGTAACCCCACGGTGTCCACACTTTCCGCCATTGGCCTACGCTTTTTTTTACCACGTAAAGCCCCTGGGTGAATGGTAAAAAAATTCATTCACTTGACGGACCCCATCAAAGTTGAGTGGTCAAAATTTAGGCACTCGAAAAATTAATTAAAAAGAAACCTTGACTACGTCTCAAACTGGCTTGCACAGTCTGAAGACGTCAGTGAAAGGTATTCTCATTTCTTAGTTGATTTTAATATATTCGCTTAAGAGAGAATGTTTTTACAACAAACAGGAAACAATTTGTGGCGAGATATAGACAACATCCTGAAGTGACCGATACAAGCTTGTGTTCACAGTCAGGAAACGTAGTTTACATGACACTACGGAGAGCGGTAGAAGACGTGGATGGAACTGGGGCGAATATAACACTCGAATGACGAGGGATTTGCAAATTAGTGGATCACCATTTTGAAACCCCATTTCATTCATTCATTCATTGCGTAACTTTTGGCTCCCTAAACTGAAGTAGGAAACGCGAACACCTCCACCGTAACCCCACGGTGTCCACACTTTCCGCCATTGGCCTACGCTTTTTTACCACGTAAAGCCCCTGGGTGGATGGTAAAAAAATTCATTCACTTGACGGACCCCATCAAAGTTGAGTGGTCAAAATTTAGGCACTCGAAAAATTAATTAAAAAGAAACCTTGACTACGTCTCAAACTGGCTTGCACAGTCTGAAGACGTCAGTGAAAGGTATTCTCATTTCTTAGTTGATTTTAATATATTCGCTTAAGAGAGAATGTTTTTACAACAAACAGGAAACAATTTGTGGCGAGATATGGACAACATCCTGAAGTGACCGATACAAGCTTGTGTTCGCAGTCAGGAAACGTAGTTTACGTGACACTACAGAGAGCGGTAGAAGACGTGGATGGAACTGGGCGAATATAACACTCGAATGACGAGGGATTTGCAAATTAGTGGATCACCATTTTGAAACCCCATTTCATTCAAGAGGTTTTCTTGTTTCATTTCATTACTTACTTGCTGAGACCAGAAAGTTGTAAATTTTTCTATATTTGTATATCACAATTTTCCACTTCTTCCCAATAAATTAATAGTGAACAGGCTGTATTATTGCCTAAACGATTGAATGCTTTTAAAAATGACTGGCTTTAATAACCTTACTGAGGGACTGTGACCGACTATATGACTGGCTATAAATTCCCTAACAGGAACTATGACTGGCTAAATGAATCTACGGCTAAACTATAACATGACGAAGTATTTAGAAACTGTATGCGTTGCCACTCTTCCCTTTTTTTTTAGCGATGGGTCTTTTCAATCTGACATGTGGTATTAAGTTCGTCCCCCTTGGCTCGTACGTAAAATCTGAGAGTTTGCGTGGGTGTCAATTCTGAGAAATACTGCGCCGTCTAGTGATTATTTTTAGGCTGAGTGTCAATAATTATGAGATTGACTGTTGCATCTGCCAAAATGTCTAAAAAAATGCCTTCTTCTCTTACATTCCTACGAACTATTTTAACACGAACTTATACAGAGCGTGAACACGACCACGAACTTAGCCATTACGACTTTCTGTGCGAATTCCCACTAGAATGTCGGCACGAGCTACCGTTTAAACACATTCTGCTAATTCGGGCTGTAACAATCACTTTGTGTTGAACTGTTTCTCCTCGTGAAAATGGCAATAGATTTCCGCGCAATTTTCTTTTGCCCTCAGAGGCTTTTAAATCTTGATGGCCTTTGACGTATAAAACTGAGTGTTTTCAACTTGTAAAATCAGCGTTCACCTTGGAGCAGTTCTCTCCGAAATGTTCACAAATTGGTGCGCTACATGAGTAAATTTTTAAATGTTCCACGAGTCCCTAAAGCCGAATTGCATGAAAATAAAATGTAGGTTGACACAAAATAGTAACTGAGCCCGCAATCTATGATATTTCCTGCACGATCCATTTTCAAGCCAAGCTTTTTTCGTGGCCTTAAGTGTCAACAGATTCGTTGCTAACCCTACAAAGACGAGTCCCAACGTCAATTTGGCTCGTGGGAGAATTTTTGCAAAATAAAAAAGAAACACGAGAATTTTGTCATTGCGATTATTCACATAAATTGAAACTGGTTCGACTTCGCAAGGCTAATCACAAAAACAAATGCTCTCGTATATATAAAGACTTTCATGAAAACTCCCTCATATCACCGAAGGCGAGCTGCCCCTGCGACGTATCCCTACGATTTGTTCTAGGAGTAATGCACATGGAACGACTGGTCACTCAATTTGTCAAGTGTGCCAACGCCGCGTGTGTGTTCTTAGTCACGCACAGTATGAACAGGCCTTTATTGAACGTGAAAGAATGGGAACTCGAGCGTGGTTCTCCCCTCAGGTTATCCTTTTCATTGTAATTTACAAACGGCCTTTCGATAAAATCACTTAAGTTCTTACCTATGAAAATAACTGATGCAACCTTAGAATTGCAAAGTTCAGACCACTGGTAACAAGTAGAATTTTCTATCAAGGTGAGCTTCAAACACTTTATTATTAATTTTACTTAAAATGGCACACTCTGAACACAAAGTTATGGTTATCATAACAATTTGAACCTTTGCGATATTTGGATTGCACCAAAAAATTGGTGTACAATGATTCTTTTATAAAAAGAAACGCTTATCAAACTAAAAAAAAGCACACTCTGGAAAGGTTAGCAAGGCTGTCCCAAAATTTTAGAGACCAGGAAAACACTCAACTGGTTTAAGTTAAATTTTTAGACACCTTAACAAGAAAAATACTCTTACGCAGTGTCCTTATTTGAATCGTGACTTCCACCTGTGAGAACGGAGAAGACCTTATCGTTCTTATCAAAACTTTTGATAAGAACAGCTACAGTTACTCGGCAAAACAGCATTGGACAATGTGAAATGAGTCAAAAAAGTTCAAAAGAAAAGACGAGAGGCTCCGACTATTGAGAGTCAGTATTCAAGACTTCACCACTTTGCTATCTCTGTTTTCATCATGCCAAGAGTCCGTTCAAGCAAATCAACAAACACAGCTTCTTGTTTCTCTGTTTTGGGTTGAGTTACAACTCCGAACAGTTGAAATAACGTTTCCAAGAGGACAACCTTCAATGCTGAGGAATTTTCTTTGGATCCAGCGTTCTCTCCCAGCCACATTTCAAATGTTGGAGATGGTGGTGGTGTGGAGAACATCTCTTCGAGAAAATCATCCACTAAATCATTATTTACTTTACCTTCATCCTGACAGGCCTGATGAAAATCAGTCTGAGAGGAATCCGAGAAGGTGAACCGACTCTTTGCAGAAACTTTTGAATACTGCACTCCTGCTGTAGGCTTAAAAGAAGGGACTTTCTTTGGTAAGGTATTTCTTTTGGTGAAGTGGCACTGGTGTGACATTGAGCCCGCTTTTTCATCCTGTTTCTTGGCGGCAATCCTCAAAGGTGCTCGTGGTGAGAACACGGCTTTGCTGGACTTCTCCTTACAACGGTTGGTGTCGTTCGGCGGGGCCGTTCCTTTAAGTTGGTTAGCTAGTCGCCCAGATGATTTTATTCCTATTATTTCGATCTCAGGACTATCATCTTGCTGTGATTTAAGACCAGTAGAGGCACCTCGAATAACTTTAGTCGGTGGAGAAGCTGATTCACCAGTAGAGACGGAGATGGCCTCGCATTTCCTTTTAGGGGCTGGTCGAGGTTGGTTCGTAACTGAAAAAATATCCGCTTTGGGTGGTAACCGTTTCAACGTACAGGTTGGGATGTAGTTTCCATGCAAACTCTCATGGAGGCCAGGCTGAGGGTGTTTTGGTTTTTGTACGGTTGACGAACGTTTTCTCAAATCTGGCAGGATCGGCTCCACTGAGTCAGGGAACTGAGTTGAATTTTCGGTTGCAAGTTGAAAGTAACTTGCCTCTGACAATGGCGCCTGTGCGGCCGGAGTGTTCCCACTGGGTCCATTGTTGAGTTCAACCGGTGCTGATGTTTCACTGTTTCTAACTGCCATGCAGTGAGAATCACTGTGCATTCTGGAAGCTTCCTCTCGTCTACATTCCTCTTTTGTATCTTGCGAAGGATGAATGGCTTCACCATCTTCTTGGCTGTCCAGTCCTGCATCGAACACTTTCCCTAATTCATCCATGAGTACCTGTTGTTGTGCCGTCACTTTGGCTTCCATGCAAAATGGCACACGGCAGTAATAGTCTCTACAGGAATTGGAATGACTTGAGGCGAGAGACTTGATCCCCTGACAAATTGTACAGTTGTCTACCTTTTTACAGCCTTGCGCGTGCCGCAAAGTTAGTTTTAAGTTAACACAGAGAGGTAAAAGGCAGTTAGGGTCGACACAATCCAGTGCATGTGGAAGAAAAATTTGTAGTTCTTCGTGCCAAGCTTGTCCGGACATCGCCTCGTAACGGGAAGCCATTTGTATCAGCTTCTTGAGCGGGAGTCTTCTGAAGGAAAAAAATCCAGATAAGGAATACCATTATCAGTGATGATGTAAACGAGCAGAAATAGACACATTAAACATGTGATTATCAGCTGTACGATTATGCGGGGTTTTCCCATAATTAGCGTACACGGGCGTGATGCCGTAACGCATGACCACCTAAGGAAGTTTTAACTTTGTCAACAATCTGTTGTGATTAAAAGGACTTGATGATAAATTTGCTTGGCAACCATAATAATGGCAGATGTTGACTCATTTCATTTTGATTGACTGTTTTGAAAGAGAATTGAGAAAACATTGTCTCAAAATACAAAAGATAATATTTTTTTTGTCTTAAAATATAACTTCCATTAACGCCTCTCATTCCTTCATGTTATTGCCTCAGCTGACCCGTTAGTAAGACCAATGGAAGCCATCGTCAAATCATATAAAGAACAGGCTTTCGCAATTGTTAAGAAACGAAATTTGCCATCTAAATCTTACTGATGCTCGATATTGATGTCAACAATTATACGTAATACATAAAAGTCGGGGATTTGTAGAATATCTGACACTTTATAGAGATCGTTTATAAGGAGTTCTTTTCCATCCGGGTGGAAACATTTACTCAAATGTCAGAAACCGAAGGAAGAGGTTGTGTAAAAGTTAAAGACAAATCTATCCGGCTAAAATTAAAAGTGTTGCGACAGCATGGGCGATGGAAACCACAAATTGATAATTTCTTAAGATGGCTGTCAACTGTGACATCTGACCGCTTTTGATCACGATTTTGCCTTGGGGTCATCGATAAGCTGTTTTTTACGGTTTCAACAAAACAAACACAACGGAAAAAAATGAAAGTAGTCGAAGAAATGAAAACAAAAGATCGATGGTTCATGAAATTATACTAGACATTGCAAATGGAATGTGCAAAATCATCGTCGGATATCAGTATTCGTAACTTTAAAGTTCCGCATACCTTCCCTAAGTGATGCTTCTACTTAACAAAGCCGAAACCTTTGAAATATATCTTCCAAAATCACGTTAGAGATATAATTTGAGAAGCTCTCGTATTATCTCTAGAGCTTCTTTTTGATCTTTCGTGAACACATCTACACATACAGTATGCCTCGTTGGTAAGCGGATTGTTAAGAACCCTTTGCTATGTGTCCGAACAATCACACCACGTTCTCTGGAGGTTCTGGAAGGGAAACTGACTGTTTTACCTGTGTTAAAATGAATAATTTTACGATGTATCGGTAGCGCTCAAAATTACTGCAGACCAAGTTACGATACTACTCTTTTTCTTACTGCGATACACGAACGTCTCGCTGGATTTTGCCGGAGCTTGATGAACCCTGACGCAATTGAACCGTTACATTTGAGTCGTTCGGTTGTGAAGCTTATGGTAAAGAAGTATTCATTACGTTATCGGAAACTATGGCCGATTAAGCGAAGGAAAAGTCCAACTGTCAGATCAACAATATTCGTCTAATAACTGTTTGCAGTTTATTTGAGATAGATTATTCAGACTGCTCAAGTTTTGATAGTATACAAGAATGTACTGTTATGATATTGGATCTCAGTTTCCTATAGAACACCAATATCTACTGTAACATATTCATTTAACTTTTCTGTCGCGATGTTCTCAAATAGGATTTTTTCCTACTTGGAATGATTTGTTTGTTTGTTTCCCGTTTTTAATAACCTTAGTCCTAAACTCTCAGACTAACAGACTCTTGATAAAATAAACTTTACGATTTATAGTTCGTGCAAATCAACAAAGAGCTGTGCGGATAAAATTTACCTTAAGGCCGGCTGTTGCAGAGTAAACGAGTGAATTGCCAACGACTTGAAGGAAAATATTTTTTACAGTAGTACTGTAGAAAAGCTAATTCAAACAGCAGGAGTTTTTTCTTCACTTGGACAACGGTATAACAGAATTTACGATACTCACCTTCCGTTTCTTGAATTGACAATAGAGTCCAATCGTCCCAAATGGACTGACTTGTTGCCGTGTCAATGAGCAAGTTCAAGTGAGAGTTTCTATACCGGCCTCAACTAAAGTATATTAGCGTTATTATGGCTCACTTAACAATTGCAACTTAAGAACATTCCTTAAGTTGGGCGACCACAGGTGTGTCGCCGGACGACAATATTTCTTTTTTACTTGGGGAACACCTCGAAAAGCCAGTTTTCTAGTGGAGAAGTATCATTCGCGCGTTTGAAAGAATATCTGCAAACATTTCGTCGAGAAGAGGGGCACTCTAAGTCAAAAATCGTAAAATCCATTTGCGAAGTGTTGGTCGTGACTAACGTGACTTTAGACACTCATTCCTTGCATAATTATAGACACGAATGAGACAAGTGTTCAAGCATTTCCGGACACACCGTTAACTTCATCAAAGCGGAAAATTTTCGATGACATGAATGTTAACTAATAACTGATTTATGTAGACTTGCACTCGCGTGCGCTAAAAAGCGATTTTCATGATTACTTTAAGTGCATAAAATACTCGTTAAGTGCAGAAATACTCGTACTTCCTGTTGTTTGCCGTTCATTTTAAAATGACGACAGTAAAGGTAAAATCTTAGCTAATATTGACTTCCATGCTCAAAATATCAGCACAGTGGACAAAAAAATCATTGTAAGTGATGTTGCGAGGTTTTTTAGATTACCGTGGTTTCACTAATAAGTCTAAGAAACATAAAATATATAAAATTAGAGTAATCCTATTCACATATGAAGTGCGAGTAAACCAAGAAAAAAAATGAAGGCTTAAATGATACTAGAGCTAAAACAGTATTCAAACATCTCCTCTGTAACCTGCAAATTGTGCTTGTGCTCTCTCTACTCAAAAATGGATAAAAATTATACCCGACAGCTTGTCGGACCACATCTAGAAAAAAGATCATGGATTTAAACTTTAAATCTCAGAAGATAATGAGAATGGTTTGTGACTTTGGATCTTCTGCGAGTATTCGACCATTCTAGTCTATTTTCCTGCCATAATGATTGACAATAGAATCGTCTGAAATAAGGACAAAGGACGCTGTATAAACCACAATCATCTCAAATCGATGCTCGTTACGGATCGGTAGATACTGTGACAAAGGGTCCACGATTATGACACAGCTTTGCCTTTCGTTCGTCATGCAATTTCCCCGTGACAAGTAGAAAGGAAGTAATTCCCTAAACTTCCTCTGTGCGTGAAGCTGACGAAAATAAATCGCGGCCCTTGATCCGACAAAGTTTGATGGCAACATGGACGATGTGAAACAGTGGTTACGCATAAGCACATACTTTCCGAATGCTCTTTGTAACACCATCCTATCATACTAAAGCAGACCTTGACGTGGGAGAGGAAGCATTCGCCGAGCCTCGTGAAAAATGATCCGTAGGATTGGCTCCATAGGGTTCTTTCAAACGTTCTTGTAAACTTTTATATAACGAATTACCATCGTGCCGCGACTATCGACCAATTGTTTTCACAGGAGAAGAATGTTGTGTATCCGCGAAGCGGCGAAGCCGACGCCAAATTACTATGTTTTGCAGTAGCATTTATGAGAAGAGGTAAGCTTTAGTAAAAGTTTTAATTTTTACATTTGGAACTGAGAGGTGCCCTCAAACTTATCGCTACGAAGAGTTCTGACGCAGTTTCTAGGCATACAAAGGGGGAACACATTTCTTCCTTCGAGGAATGTTTGCTACAATTGTGTCGCCGTCGCAACTGCTTACTAAAGAGAAGGGAACGCAAGCAGTATGCTTCACCAAACGATTTGCGTTTCGTTGCTTATGAGGAAATTATCAATTGCGTCGACGACTAAGTTACACATTTTCCTCTTCGGCCCTCACGTCGTGTATTACGGTATAGGTCCGGATTGAGGAAGAGACGAGATGCATCTAATTGGAGGGTAAAAACAAGACTGACAAATGTCAATGCTAAAGTATGAATATTTCAGTCAGGAAACCGTCACGCGTGGCACGTAAGCATAAAATTACCACTGAAATACGGTTGATTTTCTTTTTCTTAAATTTAAGCAACAGAAAAGAAGATGGGAATGATGTCAAAAATCTTGGGAAGAAAAATTGATGGTGGTAAGTATTGAAATTGTCGCTATTCTGGGAAAAGGTGCTGAATAGGAAGCGACTCTGAACTGAGTTCCCTGAATCTAAAAGCTTACATGACCGAATGAGAGCGCTTCCACGAAGCTGGTGGTTGACGCAGAAAATACAAGAATGTCTCTGAAAGCGGATGAGATGGTAACATCTTTTTTTTTTTTCTTCACATAGATTTATCAGGAAATAAAGACTATATTGAAAAATAATAAAAAATATTAGAAAACAAATGGTCAGTTCACAAAAGGAAAAACTTATATGTAAAGGGAACGTTTCAATTTAACTGTAGAGAAGCGTTTATGAACTTTACTTTATGAACCTATGGCTCCTTGATATGCAAATTCAGCAGCAGTTGTTTTCATACCTGCACAGAGAGAAATGTCCTAAGGTCTAAAACTGACATATAGATACCTTTTCCTGTTAATTCAATCTTTTCTTTGGTAGTGACAATAGGAGTAAAATCGTCGCTAGGCAAATGCTTGAAGGTAATAATGGCTCAGCGGGTGCGCCAGATGGAAAAACGTGGTTCTTTCTTCGATTCCCGCGTCAACAAAACAAAGTTCAAAGTTCAAGGTGCTCTGGAGAAAAAGAAATAAACGTCGAGCAAGTCCTTGACATACTTAAGGTAGGAAACTCGTGATCCTAAAGGTAACTGAAATGCTCACTGAAACGGTCTACCAGCACAATGCTACGCTACCATTTCAGTTGCGTTTTCTTTTGTCTAACTTATCGTTTAAATAGGAGTTGAGTTCTCGATCTTTGTATTTCGCGCAACATCATGGCGTTATATATTCCAAATTATTATAATTTTCAGCGATTTTTATTGTTTTGTGTCGTGAAACTTTTGTAAGGGCTGCATCCATGTTCGTTGGCCAGC